GAAAATTGTGCTTTGTGCAATTTTAATAGGGATACCTGGTGCATGGTAGACTGGAGCAGGTGCTGAGTATTGTGGAGCAGGTGCATGGTAGACAGGTGCTATTTTATGAAATGGTTTGATTTAGTTTGACAGAAATGGTAAGAGTTTTGATAGTGATGAAATATTTGTTAAGAGTTTGAAAAATTGTGCTTTGTGCAATTTTACTAGGGATACCTGGTGCATGGTGGACTGGAGCAGGTGCTGAGTATTGAGGAGCAGGTGCATGGTAAACAGGAGCTATTTTAAGAAACAAAAGACGTACTTTTGTTAATAAAATAATCTACTGCATCCATTAATACACAGAGACATTTATCGAGCATATTGTGCATATTCGAAAAATTTCGCATAATTACGAAAAATAGGAGGCAACATATTTTTGTAAAATTGTCACAGTGTTATATAGCATGGTATAGGTGTGCATAATGAAGTTGGTAATTTTTTGTGTTAGAGTTAGAAAAGTTGTGCATTGGGTGAAGTGTGATACCTGGTGCTGCATGGTGGACAGGGGCATGGTAGGCTTGTGCTATTTTAAGAAACAAAAGATTTATTTTTGTCAATAAGATAATAACTTTTTTCCGTTGATACATTTTTAAGATTCACCAAACATACTGAATGACACCTGATTTTTTATACATTTAATTTCAAATCCATTCAATTTATAAAAACTGCCATCCATTTCTGAATTACTAACTCGGAATTTACTCATAGAGTAGGTTTTCATATTAGGAGGAAAAATGTCTACAAACAGATTTGATTCAAATTCCGTTAGTACTGCCAAAATGGATGGTACTTTCCAAATATAAAATGGGTATTTCCAAATGTAAAAAATTCAGATCATTTATGATGCACATGGTATGATATAATTATTTCTACATGCAATCTAATTTGTTTTATTTTTTCCAGTTTGATTATAAATTTACCTGGTGCATGGTGGACTGGAGCAGGTGGCAAGTATTGGCTTACTGGTGCTATAAATATTAAATGGTTTGATTTAGTTTGGCAAAATGTTGAGAGTGTTGATAATGTTGAAATATTTGCTAGAGTTAGAAAAGTTGTGCATTGGGTGAAGTACCTGCTGGTGCTGCACGATGGACAGGGGCTGGGGCATGGTAGACAGGTGCTATTTTAAGAAACGAAAGATGTACCTTTGTTAATAAAAGAAATTTACCGAGCATATTGTGTGAAAATGTTCATTACAAACAAATGTTCTGCACTTCTTTCATTAGAAATATTTTTTAAACATATTTACGAATAATGGGGGCAACATAGTTTCGTAAAAAATGTCACAGTGTTATATATATAGCTTGGTAATATTATAGGTGTACGTAATTAAGTTTGTAATTTTTTGTGTTAGAGTTAGAAAATTTGTGCATTGGGTGAAGTGTGATACCTGGTGCTGCATGGTGGACAGGGGCTGGGGCATGATAAGCAGGTGCTGGGGCAGCATGGCGAACAGGTGCTGGTGCAGAATAAACTTGAACAGCAGCTGATTTTGTGCAAAATATTTATTAAAAGAAGTAGTGCAAAGATGTTAATGTGTGCTTGGATAGAGGATATCAAGATAGTTTGGCGGTATAAAATGAAATCGTGTTTTTCTTACCTGATTGGTGATGTTGAGCTGGTGGCAAATATTGGCTGCTTGGAGCTTGCTAAAGATATTTTAGAATAACATATAAATAACGTTAACTTTCGCTTTCGAATGAATTCACTTTTCGTATAAAAACGAAGCAATCACTCACGTGTTGTTGTGGTGGAAGATATTGGTTGGACAAGTGTGAGACATCGGCGCTTGCAGCAGCGATGAAAGCGAACACAAACAAGAATTTCTAAAATAAGATGAACAAAAACATTGAATAACAACAAACAGAACTTGCACTAAATTTACAGTTTTTAATTTTAAAATTCATAGAATCAAATGTCCAAAACGATTGATTATAATTTGAGCACTCTCAATGTTCCAAAAAGATCATTTGATACTTTGATTTATGTCACAACTAATTTTATTTGGTTTAGATTAGCGAATTGAACTTGATATTGCTCACCATTTTTAAAGTTTTTTTTTTATATTTTGTTCAAGCACAGAATATCTGTTAACCAACGAAGGCTGTTGAATGAATGATTTGCTAGCCAAATTGTGGCATCTTTTATACCAAAAATTTTGTACGAACTGACCATTGGCAAACGCAATGATAAAACCGGTCATTCGCTCTTTTTTCCTTTCAACCACCCATATTTGGTCCGTGAATATCATTTGTACCAAAACAATTAATGGATTAGAGTTTCGTCGTTTATGTGATTTTTTTTCATCTTCTTCAAATCTACTGTTTCTTTTTATCTAGTAGCATAACGAACATGCGAGATGATGACGTCGTCCATCATCATTATTAATGAATGTAAATGTGAATGTGTATATGCATATATATACACGTTTGTTGGCAACTCGCCAAAATAAACAACATTATCTTACAATAGAGAGTGTTTTTTTTCTGCTACGATTCTTTTTCTTAGATCGACATTAAGAATGATTCGATTTATGGTTCATATTGACATTAAAATTCGAGTAATATTAACAACAATAGCATTTGTATGCCATTCATTTGATTTTTTTCTTATATTTTTGTAAATGTATGGTGAATCCTGGGCAATAAAAGTACTACAGAGATTACCAACGTCAATAGCTTGAAAAATGTTTCGATTAGATCTGTTTTCTTCAAAACAAAAAAACATTTAATGGTCACTGGAGATTGATTCTATTTTATTCTAACGAGTCATTTCGTACGTCTTCAAATGTTGTATCATTTAGTTTAGTAACGTTGAATGCCAATCACAAAAGCGGATATATTTGCGTTGATTAAATTAAATGTGGTTGATATTTTTATTTGAATAGATTATTTATCAAATTCAATTCCATAATTCACATTTTAAAGGTGCTGCTGCAATACTGAAACAAAATGGAAATGTTTTTTTTTAGCCATTCCGATGCAGTTCTCTTGTCAAAATTTGCTGTGGTTAAGAAACTAGTTTTAGATAAAATTGACTTGCTAATGTTCATTATCCTTGCAAAAAAAATTGTATTTTTCATTAAAGTATAACATTTTCAGATCAGCTTAAAAGATCACTCATTCATATGATTTTCACACGGGTTAAGCAAATGATCGAGATTTGATTTTTTGATAAATCAAATCAATGCGGAAGGAAACTAAACTAAATCATTTCTGTGGCACATCATTTTTCAGTGTCAATAACGAAAGAAACGAATGAATGGATATTTAAAATTTATTGATTTTTTTTTCTTCGATTATTTTTGGAATCAGCATCGCGAAGCATTTTTAGAACTAGCATGCCTTCGGCTCGCTTCGCTCGCCTCGGCATACTACCCAAGCACTAAATTTGCTTTGTTCACCCGGGGCTCTCGCACCGTGCGTCAGTTACGAACACACGAAACAGAATACGGAGCGTGACATGAAAAAAGTAGTGTATGTGCGTATGCGCTTCATTCCTTGCGTCTTATTCGCTATTCCCCTTTTTCAGCTGTTTGCATGGCAAAGGCTTCTAAAAAGAGGAATAACGAATAAGATGCAAGGCACGAAGCGTATATGCAAATACACTACTTTCTTAGTCTCTAGCTCCGTATTCTGTATTTTCGTGTTTTCGTATCTGACGCACGGTGCAAATGCCCCGGGCGAGCAGTGCAATTTGAGTGCTTGGGTAGTTTCTTCCGATATTTCTATATTTTTTACATATTGGACGGTTACTCGCTCGCTTCGCTCGCTCGTAACCTTACCCTTTAATATTAAAATGGAATTTACATTCGTAAGTCTAACTTTTCCGCACTGTTTCCAAAAAATTTTCCTTTGCCGAATGAATTTTCATTCCCCAAAAGATATTGAATATGCACTGGTAGTGCAGTACTAAATTAATATCAGTAAATTTTTTTGGCCAATTAATACATTGTTGACGTATAAGTATTCAAAATATGTGAAGTGTGTGTTATACAGAAAAGATAAAATCACCAGAAATGTACCTGTATGATACCACAATGACATGAAATTTTTTACAGGCTATTTTCTTTCAAAAAAAAAAAAAATTAACATTCGAAGCAAAATTTCAATACAAATTGAAGGTACCTTCTATACAACGTATTGTACAAACCCCACTTTTTTGGTGACTTTTTCAAATATTGATTGTTTCTCAAAACTAACATCAGATTCGGTTTTCGTAGCAAAAAACCCCTTTACACATATCAAACTTTGATTTACGTCTCTGGGAAAAGATTTATCTAGTTAAACAAAATTTTCGCATACCATACCCCCATATATGGGTACATCATGGATACACCGATGAACGAATATCGCTCAAAAACAACACCAGCCTACTCCTTTCAATCCCAATCACCCTGTAAAGTCAGATGTGAATTTGCTGTTCTCTAAGAAGAATTATCGTGCTAACAAAATGGTTAAAAAAAATTGCGTACAGTACACTTTCGGGAGGTTGCTGTTGGAATGATTAGTTTTTCATGATCGTTTATTTCGGCTTTAGTTTTCAATATTCGAGTCCAATTCAACAGCACCAAAATCGAACGATTTGTTAAAAGCAATGGTTGACAAATGATGAACCGTGTTAAACTGTGGTGAATCCTCCGTAAACCATGCTAAATCATGTTTTGACACGTTTTACCGTGATGGTCGACCTCAAAATCCATGGTAAATCATATTTTAACAGTTTTTACCATGATGGCCAACCCCGTAAACCACGATAAATCATGTTTTGACAGTTTTTACCATTTTAAATGGTTTTAGACTACGATGTACCATCATGTCCGACCTCAAAAACCGTGTTATATGGTGTTATACCACGATGGACCGTGATGTCCAACCTTAATAACCATGTTAAATGATAGTAAAATCGCTTGAATCGTCAAAATTCTACATTTCAAACCAGTTACCTAGGTCCATTATGGTCGGCCATCACGGTTACCACGGTCCATTCTCACCTTTTGACAATAAAATGTGCAAAATTTAGGCAAAATATGGTGAAAATACGGTTTTTTGACCATAATGACCGTGTTGGACCACGATGGTCGACCATGATAGTGCCTATGTTCACCGCCGGGCCGAGACCTTTCCAACGGTACCACTTTCATCCGGATCGGTTGAGGCGTTTGGACGCCAACCCCGGACATACATACATACATACTTTCTGATTTATATTTGATGAATAATTCTCTCAAAAATCTATCTAAAAATAAATAGAAAGTACACTGCGATTGACATTTGAAATAAATGTATTTTCATGTGAATTTAAATGCACAGGCAAGTCGATATTCAAATACATACAACAATTTAGTTTGATTGTTTTCATTTGAAAAACATAGAAATATCCAACGAACACTTGATCGAAATTCGACAATTTTCTTTGCACAAATATGAATTCATTTTGAAAGTAACTACCATCGCTACAAATCTAATAAAATCGCTTGAGTTGTTAAAAATTTACTTTTTTAAGCCATTTTCCACGGTTTATTATGGTCGGCCATCATGGTTAACATAGTCTACTATCGTTGATAATTGATTAAAATTGCTTGAATTGTCAATTTTTTCATTTATTAACATGATATCCGATGTTAATAACCGTGTTAAATGGTGTAAGACCATGATGGACCATGATGTCCGAACTCAATAACCGTGTTAAATGATATTAGACTACGATGAATCGTGGTGTACGACCAAAATAATCGTGTCAAATGGTGTTGGACCACGATGGTCGACCAAAATAACTGTGTCAAATGGTGTTAGACCACGATGGCCGACCTCAATAACCGTGTTAAATGATGTTAAAATCGCTTAATTCGTCAAAAAATTTCATTTTAAAGCATTTTACCCGGTCCATCATGGTCGGCCATCACGGTTAACACGGTTTACCACGGTCCATTCTCATCTTTTGGCAACAAAAACTATAAAATATAGGCAAAATAACGGTGAAAATACGGTTTTTTGACCATAATGACCGTGTTGGACCACGATGGCCGACCATGATAGTGCCTATGTTCACCGCCCTCATCTTTTGGCAACAAAAACTATAAAATATAGGCAAAATAACGGTGAAAATACGGTTTTTTGACCATAATGACCGTGTTGGACCACGATGGCCGACCATGATAGTGCCTATGTTCACCGCCGGGCCAAGACCTTTCCAACGGTACCACTGTTATCCGGATCGGTTGAGGCGTTTGGACGCCAACCCGGAACACACAGACAGACATACATACATTCACTTTTATATATATAGATTAGTATTGTTAAATTGGACAATTTGTTATTTAATATTCGGTGAAATAGACTAAGAAAAATTGTGTTATGAATATATATGGACACAGTCGATATCTGCTGCTCCGAAGTCGAAAAGACTGGCGGCTGGTATTCGATCGGGTAGTGTTTCATTGCAAATGATATTGTAAATGATTGTGATAAAATCAGTCTGTGATCAGACGGTGAATAAATAAATACAAAAATTCATTTCTATTTAAAATAGCATGTATATGCTCTATTATCTCGAAAATTGTCATTAATGATTTTATATTGATATTTTCTGCAGTTTAACAACATTTTTAATGAAAATACTGATTTTGACGTGAAATGTTAGTTTGGAATCGACAAAAAAAAGCATCTATTTTGATTTATATTGACAGCGAAGGTTCCGTCATTTATTCACACACTTTACATCCAAAATAAGATATGAATAATAGCAGATAGCAGAAAAACGATGTTGAAAAAAAAGGCAATTCATAGACTGAATACAATTGGCGCAGACCAGACTTTTGTATTCACTTATTATGATGTGCTTTAGAAACGTCTCAATGATCAATGACTTTTGCTCATTTGCTTCTGGATAATGCTACTCGACAGTGTATTCAACTGTGTTGTCTTCAAATATTTGCTTTATTATAGAAATTAGGCGAAGCCGATGAAAAGGACAAAGAACATCGCGACATAAATCAAACAATATTGAACGAAAAATAAACATTCCGAAGCAAAAATTTAAACTTTTTTCCTTGATATACAAAAATTATTGCGGTATCATAATTTAAAATACGGTATTTTTCCTACTGTTTTAAACAATAGTTGTATACATTGTCTAGATTGCTGGTTTTTTCGGGTTGCTGAATATTTATGTGCAAAAAAAAATTACGCATTTTTACTGTCTATTTTATCAAATGTGAATTTTTAACAGTATTTGTATCTCATACTTGACATTTATAATTTTTCAAATACCATGTATTATAATATTAGATGAAATGTGAAACGCATTTAATTATTATATCGTTATGTGTTGAACATTTTGTTTTGGTTTTTTCGTTAATTTCGATTTCTTTACGAAATATTTTATAGATATGGTTTTAAGATGGTTTTTTCAAAAAAAAAAAAAAAAAATTTAACTTTTTGCACATTTCTTATCGAGCGTTTATGCAAAATTTATGGCTTTATTCTGAATGCGTGAAATATTTTTTTTTACAAATGAGAAAATGTTGTATTGCTGAGTTTTTTGAATATATGTTGTAGCGTTGTATTGCCTCCAATTTTAACGCAATAAAATGACATTTCTCTTTTTTAACTATTTTTATAATATTATTTTTAAGAAAAATTGATGTTTTGTTCGTTTTATAGTTCCTGATGATGGCCGAAACATATTTATTTACACTTTTGTGTTGAATACAACCATAAACAACGTTGTTTTCTTATCGAGTTAAAATTGGAGGCAATACAACATATTTCTTTTTTTACATAATTCAAATTACCAAATCGAATTTGAACTGTTTCTTCATATATGGGCTTTGAAAAGGTGGAGTATATATGAATATGATTAAAAATCCATTCAGAGGGTTAGTCTACAAGAAAAATAAAACTTCAGGATAACTGGTTGTCACCAATGGTGATTGTAATTTATATGCCCCATATAAAGTCAAAATGTTTGAGATGTATCAACTTACTCTTACGGAATGAAAAATATTTAACAAATGCCAAATTATCTTTTTATGTTCGACTTAATTATAATTTGTTTCGAGTAGAAAAGTTTACATATTTCTATTGATAGACCTTAATACCTCATCATATGACATGCTGATTGCTAACTGATTTTTTTTTCAATGGCTTATTTATCTATATCCGCAAAGAGTATTATTATATTCTCTTAATCATGTGGATAACTATTATAAGTACCACCAAATCAATATATTATCCATTTGCTCTTGGAAAAATGCTCAGATTTTTAAGACAAGGTGTTGCCAGTATGATTTCATTTGAATTATATTGATTAGTAACAAATTAATTAGTTTTTTTTATTCTTTGATTGGAGATATTTCGATAAATATTATCTCTGTTAAAAAAATGTATTTTCATACGGCAAATAGTGGTATTCTGAAGATGTGATATTTCGTTTTAATTTATTCTATATGATTTGGTTCGGACTAATTTATTCAGATGATATTTGTTTTTTTAATTTCCGACCTAAGACAAGAAAGAGAGAGAGAGAGAATGTAAAAGCAAGAGTATCTTCAGTTTCATTGGTTTTTTACTTTTAAATAATGCCGTTTTACTGTCACAAGAGCGCGTCATGTGTACGGGGCTTTTGTGCAAAGCTCATTCAGTAAAAAAACATTTATTCACGTTGAAACGTTTGTTTATTTCAAATCTGCGGCAGTCGGTAGGAATAAACTGTATTTCTTTTTTTTTCACGGGTTATATTACAATAGGTCCTTGACCTTTGCGACGGGAAAATTTTTGCGGATTTTTCCTCCCCACTCTAATCTATACAATGATTGCATTACAATCATCATACTAATGATCTTTCTTTAACTTTTGACTATTTAAATTGATACTAATCTAACAAAATAGCAAATGACTTTCACATTTTTTTCTCTTCCAATAGCAAAAAGTCAGCCTTGATTAATTGCAATTTTAAACAGAAGATTTTATCATATAATAATAACAATTGAAATACTATTATTATTGATTAGAGTAATGAATGTATGAGTCATTAAAACACAAAACGATATGCACGAATGCAACCATATGATGAGTTTCAATTTTAAAATCAATCAAAATAAAATATAATACGTGGCAGTCTATGCCACTGTAAGCACGAAATCATTCTTGATTCTACAAATAGAAATACGGCTTGAAAATTTGCGCTGCAGTGTCTAAGAGGTAAGACTTTCTTTGTGTACTTTTCTCTTTTGTTTATGATGTGCAAACAGTGATAATAATGATAATTTAGTCAATTAAATGCTTTCATTTATAATAACATCGCGTGTTTCTCAACATATAAATAAATTTGATCTGCTGCAGAAAAGCTTTTCCCATATTGGTTTTTGTCGCGATACTTTGTTGTCGCAATATTTTCTGTGGATAAATTGTGTTTTATACATAAAAAGTGTAAGAAAAACTTCTCATTTGCAAATGATATTTTCTGACCAAAATAATAAACGTGAAATCAACAATAAACTCTTGATCAATTTCATTTATTCAGTGCTCATTAGAAAAATGTAAGTGTTTTTGTTTTAAACTCGGGAATAACTTTTCATAAATTTCAACCTTTAAAACTATGCTATAGAAAAAGAAACTGCATACCAAAAAAACAATTTCCATAAGAGAAAATAAATATACTATACTAACGCGAATGGAAAAAGAGTGACTAGGTTACTATTGACTGTAAGTGACTATAGATAGCTAAATTCAACATTTTTGGCGATTATTTTGAGACTTTTTGACTATCGGATGACTATGATTATTCTCAACTATATAGTTAGCTGTTGCAGTTGATTGAAGTTAACAAACGGTTAAACCCAAAATAGTCAGTCACTTTTTTTGCACACGAGTATAATTAAGATTATTTTTCACTAGATTTCATCGCTAATTTTGTTATTTAAAATGTTCATGAATTCAGTTGGCTACTTCACCATGCGTCATCATCATCGCATGTAGTCAATATTATATCTTACACTGACGTCATTGAGTTGTCTTTTGAAATTGAACTCAATTTTAATGAATTTGTATGGATGGAATAGTCTAGCCATTGATATGTGATAACCATAAAAAAAAAATCTGTGATAAGAATCGTTTGTAAATTGGATCTATTAAAGCGTAAACCGTCTGGCGTTCATTTAAATTTTTACAATGGTAGTAGATCAAAAAGTCGACAGAGAAAGTGCTGAACAGAGTAATATTATGGGGTAAATACATAAAAATCCACCTGACTCGGCTAATAAACGATTGTGAATCATGGTTGAACTCATTCAGTCTAAATGTCTTTTTCATTTTACAGCGGGATTGTACCCGAAATTGTGCCGTTATCATGGAAACTTTGGCAAAAACGGCGATATATCGTCGTGTTGATGGCGTTTCTAGGCCTTTTCAATGTGTATTCATTGCGAGTTAATTTAAGCGTTGGCATCGTTGCAATGACAGAAAACCGAACCGTTTACTATCCAAACGGAACCATTGGATATGTAAGTATTAAAATGAATGACGATCATAAAGCAATCACGTCGTCATGATAAACGGTTTGTTGAAAACACACTAAAAAAAGTAAACAAATGAAAATTTAATGTTTTTCTTGAAGGAGCAAGAGTTTTCATGGGATTCAAAAGATCGTGGATTAATTTTGAGTTCGTTCTTCTGGGGTTACATTATGACTCAAATTTTTGGTGGTTTGCTTGGTTCAAAATTTGGCGGAAATCTGGTAAATAACAATTCCGATATCATTGGTTAATTCATTTGCCATTCAAATCGAACCAAATTCAGACCAAACTATTTCATGATTGTCAATTTTTCAGGTATTTGGTATTGGTGTCTTTGTGACATCCGTTCTAACACTGCTTACACCACTGGCAGCCAAGGCTGGTGTTGGTGCCTTAATTTCAGTGAGATTAATTGAAGGCATTTTTGAGGTAAACAAACATCTAAGGTGCCATCGATAAATGTTGATCCATCCAATTGCGTTTTTTAGGGCGTTACATTCCCATGTATGCATGCGGTTTTGTCACATTGGGCACCACCATTTGAACGATCTCGAATGGCAACGATCGGTTTTGCTGGAACCTATGCTGGAACGGTTATTTCGATGCCAGCTAGTGGAATTCTTGCGAATCAATTTGGATGGGAGAGTTGTTTCTACGTGTTCGGTAAAGAGCTTTTCCAAGCGAAGCAGTAGTTTCCCCCATTGAAATCATTTAATTTTAATTTTAGGGGCGATTGGATGTGCCTGGTACGTGCTATGGATTATTATTGTTCGTGAAAGTCCGGATAAGGATAAATACATATCAAAAGATGAATTGCGTTACATTCAAGAAAGTTTGGGCTCAAATACAAGCAGAAGTAATAAACATCCGTGGAAGGATATATTCACATCGAAAGCGGTATATGCAATCAGTGCTTCACATTTTGCCGAATGTTGGGGGTTTTACACAATGTTAACACAATTGCCAAGCTTTCTTAAAGGTTTGTTATGTTTTTTATAATGATATACTGAATTTCATCAACTCAACAATTCCTCGCTCGCTTTGCAGATACATTGGGCTATGAATTAGAAAAGGCTGGTTTTCTAGCTGCCGCACCATATTTGGCGATGGGATTTTTACTCACTATTGCTGGATATTTAGCAGATATGTGCCAAGTCAAGGGTTATTTAACAACTACACAAGTGCGGCGATATTTCAACTGTGGGGGTCAGCATTTGAGCGCAAGCACTATTCGATTATTCTATTCGGTGAAAATAAATTTTGTAACATGTTCATACATTTTTTGAATCGATTAGGATTTTTGGCTCAAACAGTTTTCTTGATGTTAGCAGCATATTTGATGAGTCCAACTGGAACGATTGCATGTATTATAGCAGCCATTGGACTGGGTGCATTTGCTATGTGCGGTTTTTCGTAAGTTATTCATCATGTTGAAACGTGCATCTCTTTTCACATTGAATTTTTCAGCGTTAATCATCTGGACATAGCACCACAATATGCTAGTGTCCTCATGGGCATTTCAAATACGTTCGGCACAATTCCTGGGATCGTGTCTCCAGCCTTGACCGGTTTCATTGTTGTGAATTCAGTATGTTATGTTTGGAATTTATTGAATTATGTAAAAAGAAGTAGTTATTAATTTTTCCATACTCTGCCTTTTCAGTCAAGGGATGAATGGCAAATTGTTTTCATGATTTCGGCTGGAGTATATTTGTTTGGCTGTGTTATTTATTGGATGTGGGCAACTGGTGAAGTACAACCGTGGGCCCAAAAAACATTGAGTAGTGAAAGCAATAACAAACCAAAATCACCAGATACCGCTCATGGCCATGAGAACGATGGTCTCGAAATAAATCATTCATTCGAATAACAAAGATGATGAGAAAATGTTTATTTTTGTTCAAAATTCTTTTTGGAGCAAAATTTACTGTGGAATTGTGCTTCCAATAAAGTCAATATAAAATATTGAGGCTGTATTAATTTTTGAGCTATTTTATTTTCCAATATCATCATATCACATACAAAAATAAGTAATGAAAATGTTGAATTGAAAAAAATATTCAAAAGAATGTTATGAACAATAAATAAAAGTGAAAACTATACGATAATTCGTGAAAAATGTCGAATTTTAGCACGAAAAATCGCTGTGTTTCCAAAGTTATATGGAAATTCATAACTTTTCTTTGAATAAATTAACTTTTGTGTTGGTTTTATTGATATATAACCTCTAGACGGCTGTGTCTACACCCATTAGAAACTTTATCCACAAGTTACGTCGCTCAATGTAGTCTGTCATGACTCTTTTCCCTAAAGATAAATTCGGAATTGGTTTTGAAGAAAAAGTAAAAATGTGTTGTTCTTATGAAAATACGACATAAAAAATTGACATACCTTTCTCAAGATGTTCTAAAATTTCGTTTTCTTGTGCAATATAAGAATCTAAGGCAGGTCCTAGTGTAGTTTCTTCACGAATCTTCCATTGTGCAAGAATTTGCCTTGAATTTGTTTTAAATTGTTTTACTTTCTTCGCAATTTCGTTCATTTCTATTACAAATGCATTGCCCATATTTCGTTGTATATTTCGAACCACACTCAATTGATTAATAATTCGCTGAAATTGCTCCTGAGTAAACATCGTTTGTTGCCAATCCTGGTATAATGAATTGATTTCAAGCGGTACGGCCATATAAGCAGTTGTCTGTGGCATAAGTCCCTTTATTGCGTCAATTAAAATGTTCATTGATACTTGATTTCTAATAAGGTCATTGATTCTTTCATTTCTTGAGCTGGGATCAATTTCAGTATGTAAGTTGATTTTGAACACTGCATCTAGTGCTAAAGTGACTTTAGGAACAATCTCTTGTTTACACAAAGTAAACAATGGCAATACATCAAGAGTGGATTTTGCTTGAAATGTTGTAAGTATTTCTGCGTACGTGGTTTGACCGTAAGCTCCCTGAAATTAAAACAAAATATAAAATCTAATTTTAAAACATTGTAAATACCATGTGAATATTAAAAAAAAATAGTGATTAAATTTTATAGCTGTAGCTACAATCCATTCTCTCCAGACAATATATTGAATTAACTAGTCAGTTGAGCTGACAGTACGTTAGCCAGCTAAATGGGCTAAAACAATAGACTTTATTGTTTTAATGATGAATCACTTTTCTTGTTTTAATAGAAGTGATTGTTCATTATAACAATAACTTCTATTGTTTTAGTCCATTTAGCTAGCTAACGTACTTTCAGCTCAACTGACCAGTTAGTTCAATATATTGTCTGATTCTCTCTGAATTCTTATCATTAACAAGAAGCCCATTGAAAGTTAGATTTTTAATTAACTTTTTATTTATGATTATTTCCGAGCAATGTAAATTTTTTATTTTTAATAATTTCTTACACTTAAATTTAATATGAAGATCGATAAAGATGTTAGAAATAAAAATTGCTCCATTGTCCGTTATAAGATCTCTTACTGAACACTAGTTATCATTGATAGATGCTTGTGCTTTTATATGTATATATATTTGACACGTGTAAATTTCTCAAATTTTATCTGAAAGAAAACAATTCATTTTCTCTTTAATAACCTAATTTTGTTTTAAAACAGGTGTGGACCTATAAATAATTTCGCATTCAAAAACGTCTTGTGTTTCTTAATTTCATTATTTTATTGAGAAAAAACGATTTAACATCTATCATGATTCTATCTTCAAAATAACATTATTTCTTTGGCTGCTTCTTTTTGCCAGTTTTTTTTTATAGCTTCTTCTTGGTTTTTCTTGGATTTTTTCAGTCGGTTTGTGCACCCCTTTAAGACCTTGGTCTCATGTTTTTCCAACTTTTTGGCAGTTTTCTTGTCAAACTGATGGGAACTGGTTGGCATAGGACTGCCAATCGTGGACTGCCAATTTTCATTATCAATATTATTGGTTGAATCAACATCTAATTCATCTTCAGAGCTGGTGGCGAAATTATTATGACATTTAAAGGTACAGCAAATACAAATTTATAAAAAATCGTTCAATTAAGGTGTTAAAATAAAATTGAATAAAAAATTGAGGGTTTAAGGAATATTTTATATTTTTCATATCATTTCGATATGTATAACGAACGACCACCTTTTAAACTTACCGCAAGAGCCACACAGAAGAAGAGGAAGATTTTGATCGAATTCATTGTTGAATAATTGATATTCCTGTGTCGGTGTCTGAAATATACTGATGATTACTGGGATATTTGTACATAAACGGAACTGTTGACTTGCCCTGAATATCATATGATGAATTTCGTTAAATGATCACCTACATGCAAAAATTAGTCATTTTCGGTTTCTTGGTCTCACTTTACTTCTAAAATGTTTACTATTCAGCCAAAGAAATAATGTTTTTGAATTTCCAAGTAAATCCAAACTCCAAGCATCACTAATTCCGAGAGGATTTCTTTTATATTGGTATTTTAAAATTAGAAACATGATATATGTTAAATAGTTAAAATAATAATATGATTAGATTTGCAACCACTATGAGTCCCTGTATATTAATATAGGCGAGAAAAAAGTCGCAGAATAATGCGTCATCTGTTGACGTGGTTATCAATGTATGTAATTACAAAGACAGAATTGTTGGATTCTGTCTTGACTAAATTTTGATATCGGTTGTTTTCAACCACAATTCGCACACGTTACCAGATGGCGTTTTTACAACATGGCATCTCTCAGTCATGATGGTTGTAGATTTGAATATAAACCGAAATCGAAACACAACGCCTTTTTTGAATGCGAAATTATTTTTTAGATCTGCACCTGTATTAAAAACAAATTGAAAAAAAATATGAGGTTAGGAAGAGAAAATGAATTTCTTGAAAGGAGCAGTTTCAGCGGAGTTGTTAATAAAGTAAAAAAAAAAAATCGAAACAAGTTCTTAAAAAAACAATAAAAAGGAAATTTTAATCAAAAATCATTAAAATTCAGTAAAATATGGCATATCAAGTAACAAATCGCATCTAAAATTTAAAAACAATGTGGGACGCTACGTATATTCGGATGCAATCGGTCAGCGTATTTTTCTAAGACAGATAAATGTGAAAGGAAAAATTGCCATAAATTTCGACATTGTACGAAGCATTGTTCTTTATTTATTCGACTTGCTGTTCTTCTTTAAATACATATTGCAAATGATTTTGTTTTCTGCATCCTTGATGAAAAAATCAATACACATTCAATTAAATTTATTGCAAAAAATTCACTAATCTCAATTGTCTAGTGTTTTATAAGTGACATGACTTGGTGAAATAACAGATAAATATAATCATAACATATATAACATAAATTGAAAAGGAAAAACGATCGTTCCTTTCTTTTTCATCATTTTCTTTTTTTTCTCTTTATGGCCATTGCAAATGCATTTGGAAACGAGAGAGATACGACGATTGTTTCACTAATACAATAAATTAAAACTTAAAATATGCTCACGATTTCACTGAAATCGCTCAAAATACAATGAGAATCATTCATCTTCAGTTGATTTGCTTTACATGTGTAACCAGATTTGTTAATGGAGAATGTGGCTTATAATTGTTCAATATATTCGATAATTTAGCGACAATTTACCATTTCATTTGGCAACAATTAGCTATTAGCAAAATATTCAGCAGTCCCATGGGATTCATTCATAGTTACAATTATATATATATTATATCTCTAATTATTTAAAAATAAAAAATGCAGAAAAAATATCAAACTCTCTTAATAGTTCGTATCTAAAAAAGGCAAACACTCAGCTGGTAAGCTAATTGAATTCGTGCATTTCACTATGGCAATGTTAATATTAGTCAAAATAAAAAAAAACAATGTTAAAACAAAAAAAAAAGACCAAATATAACGGTATGTAATACACATGGAAAGGAACAAAAAAAAATCTTCAATAAATTAGATTTATCGGCGGTATGAATTGCGCATATACGTTTGTGTTAACAATGTCTACGATAGTTTAATTGATTTTCTTTAATCTATGAATGTTCGTTTGTCTGGTTGGTCTATTTCTCTTCGTATCTGTCTGTGGGTCTGTTTTTCTCGTGTTTTGTTTGCTTTTGGTTTCATTTCCTGATATTAATGTGATAACAATTTAAGCCTTACATAAGTATGTAAAATAGTGAACCTTCAATTAAAGCCAAATTGCTATTAAATGCATAAGCTGCAACATACACATACACATTCGGTTTTTTCTTACATTTCCATTTGCAAATATATCTAGCGATTGTAAATTTTTCGAAAAAAGAAATGATAAACATTTCGTTCATCGAAAATATAATGTTCTTCAAAATTGACATTATCATTTTCCTTTGTTCTATATATAAGCGAGCCCAAAAATAGATAATTGTTATTGATACGAATTTCAAGTCCAAAATGAAAAATTATTAATAATAATCAATTATGAGATGCGTCTACAGCGTGGTTTCTGGCACAAGTATCTTTTCACCACTTTCTGCATCTCGTTTTAATGATAATTCTTTCAGGTGTTGCTCCATTCGTTTGAGACGAGCTTGATATTTTCGCTTGCAACGGTCCAGACTTTGCGTGAGAGACCTATAGAGACAAGTTTAAAAATAAACAAAAAAATAAATACCAAACGATGCAAAAGAGGCAAAAATGTTCATTTTTTTCATAAACATGGCGTACTTACAAATTGGCTTGTCTGAGTTCAGCCACAGTCGATGCATACTTTTCTTCCGATGATTTAGTTGCTGTTTCCAATGAACTGGCCAATGCTTGAAGTCTTGCTTTCAATCGTGATTCACGTGCCAATGCTTCAACCAATTCCAATTCAATGCCAGCCGTATGCTCGGCATCTGTATATGATGCGCCACGTTCCTTATTCGATATGGCAAGCAATGCTTCTGAATCGGCCAATTGCGCTTGCAAATGTATTAAGGCTTCAAGCGCTAAATTTTTTTCACGTTCCGATTGTTCGGCACGATATTTCATATCGTTAAAATTTTCGCGAACGCCCATTAATTCCTCCATGAGAACGGCCATTTCAATTTCTGATTTTCGATTACATTGGATATGATCATTCATTTTTTGACTATTTGTCATTATCGCATCATAATCTTTGTACGGCGATTCCAAATTTACGACCGTATTCTGTACGGCAGCCCGTTGTCCTTTTAACTTTGACATTTGATCACGTAATTTTTGATCATCTTCATCGGTCCATGCGTTATGATCATTATTGCTACCACCGCCGCTGCCATACATTACGCTGGCGGCATCTTGCCACGGTCCCAGGCTATTACCTTGATTATTTTTATCATTCTCTAAACGGACCATCAAACGTTTTGCAACTGATTCGGCTGCCTTACGATTTTCAATCGCTGAATGAGCATGCTCCAAAATTGCTAATTTACTCTCTAATAAAGCCAACATTACGTCATATGCTTCAATTGTACGATCACTGAGATTCAACGCCTGATTCAATGCAATTGCGTTCGATTCATATTTACCGCAAAGTAAGTACAAATGTTCACAATGCGCTTTGCTATCGCCCAAATTCAACGACAGCAAATTATTTTGTACACGCAAATGATCGATGCATCGTTGTAATCGTTGAATTTTAGCATCACCATCAGCACCGTCGGTGCATTGTTCGTTTTCTTTGTGATTTGTGTTGTCGCTTGAATCGACATTTTTGTGATTCAATCGAATCGATTCACATGCCCGTTGCTTGGTGTGGTTGCCACTAAGCGATGAAAAACTATCGCACAGTCCATGCGATACGGTTAATTTTTGTTGTAATTTATGTTTGTATTTTTGAGCTTTCATCACTGCAGCCGCCGCCGCTGTTTCATCTAGATGTTGTGATATATCGAAAATTTCGGCCGTTTCACATAAATCGTCACTTGTATAATTCGATCGAGCATTTGGTGAGACGCGCAAATGTTCAAAATCATTTCCCTTTCCGGCACCGCTGTCAACATCAACATTGTCAACATTATCCTGTATTGATGCCAGTTTCGATTGAAGCAATGCCATGTGACTTCGTAAGTACAAAATCTCCTCTTGCATTGCTTGTATCTAAAAGTCAGAGGAGTAGAAAATATGAATAGTATAAACGAAATGCTTTAAATCGAGAACGAACGTATATTGATTAATGTTTTGGGTTTGTACCTGTACTTGTCCGCCGCCAACATTTGCAGCTATTTGTGGCATTGAATAATGACTTTCCGTCTTTTCTTCAGCCTGTTCTAATTTGACATCGAGCGGCTCAGTTTGGGACTGTTGTTCATAGTTGATGCATTCCATTTCTGAGTTGTACACAGACCCTTCTTGAAAGCTTAATTCACTAACTGACGAGTGCAGAAAAAAACAATCATTCGATTATACAATACAGTTTAATATTCGTTAAAATTCAAATTGGCGTTGAGTTTTTAAAAATCTCTTACCACTTCGACTTCCGTCCGGCTCTTGATCTTCAATAATGGCGTTTTCTTGTTGAAATTTCAGTTTTTTATTCAGCTCAACAATGACACAGTGCATTTCAGTGATGCGACTTTCATGTGCCGAACCGATCGATTCCAATCGGCGTTGTGTTCGTTCCTTATCATCAAGCGCTTCATTTAATTTCTTTTGAATTAAATCACGTTGTTGTTCTGATATTTTTAGACGTTCCGACAATTCAACCACTTCTGTTTCGAGAGCTGACAGTGCCGCAACTTGTAACTTAACGTAGACCAGAAAACAAAAATAATTCAAATAAATTCTCAAATTTGTTGTTGTTTTGGATTTATTCTTACAGCAATTATAGTTTATATACACAGGAATCAAAAGCAATAGACCAGAAATGAATGAAAAAAATATATGCTTCGTTGTGCTTTCGTTGATTATCAGTTATATCGTTGCAATGGCATGTTATATTTTTTCGAATATACTTTTGCGATGTAATGCTTCGAACGAATAAACGGTTGAATGTAACATTATTGCGATTTTTGTTTTTCGTTCGCTTGTTTCGATTTTAGAAAGTAGAAATGAAAACTGCAACTTACGAGCGTAGGTGCAATTTTGAATCCAAAATTGGAATTGCATTTTAAAATGTGGATATATGAAGAGTGTGCGCAATTCCTTTTTTAACTGTGATTGAATAGTAACCTTGATAAATGATTATGTCATAGATTTATGGGTGTCCTTGTTTCATTATGATAAACACTTTAAGAAAGGATATGTTCTTTCTTCTATCTTTCAGTGTGGCAAAAAGAAAATGATTTTTGAATTGGGACGTATTGATTTTCAATTTAAATTTGTCGGGCATTATTGGAACAAAATGTCGAAAGAAAATAGAGATATTCTTACTTTGCTGGCCAGATGTAGCATTGCTGATGTACCGCCACCCGTTTCGGTGTCGATTGGTTGACTTTCAGCCGACAATGTCTCGTGCAATCGATGCATATTTGGTTCGGGCGATAGATCACGTGCACCAGAATCTCTTCCCCATGACTCTTTACCATATGAATTTTTACCAAAACCACCGCTACCGCAACCGCTGCCACCGCCTCCGCCGTTTCTTGTATCGAATGGTTCGAACGGTTGAAATTCCGGCGAATGTCTTGTTTTACAATTGCTTGATGTCCGTTTCTCTTTGCGTTGTGATGTCTTTCTGGGTGATTCTTTATTGTAGTCTTTACTAATTGCTGGCGATGATGGTGTTGCGTATTTATCGTTTTTCTTTTTGAGATCTCGCAATAATGGCTCTAATGGTCCAGATATACCAAGTCGACGACATGCATTTGCCAATTCTTCCGCATCGATGTTATTTCCGCTAAAATCACTGCTATTCAATACGTACTGCTGACCAAATTTTCGGTCGTCAACTTCTTTAAACTCCGACATTTAACCGAATAAATATATATGTATTTAAAAGATTTAATAAAATAAAAACACCAACAAACAAACTAAACGATTTTATATGCATTGGTCATAAACATCATTATCATATGCATCTGTTTTCGTGGATGAAACGTTGTTTTATTGAGAAAGAAAATTGATTTACGTATTTCGTTCAATCAAAAATATGGTTTTCTTAGAGTTGCTCGGTTTATTGAACACCGCACCCATGTTTTTATTTGTTTTTATGCCGACTTAATATTGTGTCACTCATTTTTTTTTCGTTTAATTTTTTGGAAGAAATGATTTGGAAAATTGCATAAAAAAATGTCACTTGAATCTTTTCCGATGTCAAATAATAACAGATGATTCTTCGCTAAATTTTCACGAAACGCAATTTTGTTTATAGTTTGTTTGGCATTGAATGGGGAATTTTTTTATGGAAAACACATTAAGCACGCCATGTTTTGTGCACATTTTTTGACATTTCAATGATTTCACTCTCCTTGTCTGAGTATGTGGTGCAATATACGATAGTACAAGTAAAACCGTACAAGTGCACCGTGGTATTCTTCGAGTGAGAATAAAAGAATATCCGATTTCAAACAAATTTTGAAAGAAAAAACAAAAACATATTTTAAATGTGTAATTTGAATAAAATAATTGTCGTTGAATTAATCAACATTTCAATTGTGCATTGTTTTGAAAAATGACGAATTTCCATATATGGTTCAAAAAAAAACCTTTCAACAAAAGATATAACAGTTATTTTCGTTTAACCAAAAATATACTAGAATGAAAAAATTCATATTATTTTATAGTAAACCCCTAAAAATGATGAATGAAAAGTCCAAAAAAACTATTATGTATTTAAGTAGTATTGTTTATTTGTTGAATTGGTTTTTATAAATCATTCATGAACACTTGAAATGCAAAGTTTTTTATCATAAAATGAGCATGTAATCATGACTTGACCGCCGTTGCATAATCGATTTGGTGCCCAATCAGCTCCATAACAGATGCTTTCATGTTTATTAAATTCAGCAATCAATTTTAATTCATTGTGATCATCATTTATTCGACAAACGCTAAAATTTTTGTACATGCATGCACATAATAGAAGTTTTCGATTGCATTTCGATGGTTTAATGCGCCAAATACCGCCGAAAAGTTGTAGATCGGTGACCGGTTGACGCCAACTGCGTGTATCAAATATGCGTAAGTATTCATCATATGAACCGGTGATTAGGCAATTTTCCGAGAAGCTAAGAAACGATGTAACGCCAGCTATGTGACATTTATTTTTTATTGTTTGTTGAACGTCGGGCGCTCGAATATCGTACACATGCATAAATGTATCATCGCCACCGGTGTATACAACATTTGGATTCCATTTATCAAATGCACATGTCCATGCTTCAAATGAATGTGCCTTCCACGTACGTTCCTTAACAATTTTATTATGTTTTACGGTTAACAGTGATACCATGCCACGTGAATCACTGGCTATTAAATTTTCCGTATGCATAGATCCACTGCCCACACTACCACGTACATCAATTGCAAGCGTTAATAAATTTTCATCACCATCCGACGCCAGATTTATTGAATCGACCAAATGCAATCGATCGTCATTTTTTAATTCATAAACAAGTATTTCGGAGAGTGCACTAGCCGCAATCAATAGACATTTATTCGAGACTATGAGCCATTTTGCATCTAGAATGGCAGCCGTTTCAATCGTATCTAATAGCTCCAAATCATCCAAATACATGTCATATTTGTATAAGTAAATACGTCCGATTCGTCCTAAAATGTAAAACAAATTATTAGTAAAACATTCACTTTTCTGCCATGCTCTGGCTGAAATTGCATTGGGAAAATTCAATGGTTTGCATACTTGTCGGTGGTTGCGAAAAATCAGTTTCACCCTCTTCCAAATGATATGTACCGCAAATAAAATGATGCGGAAAATCTGGATGTGTACACCATTCCAAACAATCAGCCGGTTGCTGTGTATCAAGCGTATGTAATGTTTTGATATCCATTTTTGTTGTATGTCAAAATTTGAAAAAAAAAATCATTTATCCACACACAAGAATTGAAAATACTTTGATTAATTTAATATAATTTCCAATAAATTTTATTTAATACTGGAGCACATAGTGAAACGGCGACACGTTATTGTTTTCTATAGACTCTTGTCAACATTGGCATCTGCTACATACACACACACATACTTATTATACAAAAATGCCAAGACAAACACTATCACACGCATCGATCGCGATACACATACATATTCAGTGCACAAATCCATCAAATAGCCATGAAGTTGGTTAGAAGCTAAGAAAAAAAAATGTCTCATCTCTGTTCGGTGCTGTTGTTGTTGTACGTGAGCAAATCGTTCTGTCTTTAGACATTGCTTAGTTGTGTCAACAATAAATTAGTATTTTATATCATTCATGGGTGTGTAATCAATTCTCCGCATAAATATTTTTTGTGCAATCGCATTAGTTAGAAATTGTGAAGAAAATCCATAAAAATTCGCTCATTTAGTGAGCATTACGCCGGAAGTAAGTGTTATTGTTTTATTTGTGTGTCAAAGAGAAGAGAAATTTATTTCGTTTTTATTAAAATCGAGCGACATTTTTGTTGTACATGTAAATTGCACCCGCACTCTACAATACACACAACCAACAAAAAAAATGGTTAGCTTCAATTGAAGCCAATTGGCAGTGAATTGTTTATCTCTGTTTCATATCGCATTCACCGATATAGATGTATTTAATGTATTTTTCTTGAATTATATTTTGAATTTGATGAGATTAAAATAGTGATGCATAAAATGAAATCAGTTTTGTTCACACTCTAGTAGTTTTTTTTGGTGCCGTGTGCATTTGGTTTGAAAGAATAATAAATTCAATAAATCGTCACGCCTAATGCGTGTGCATTCTGTTTACATCTCAGAAGTGATACAATTTACGTGATATGTGAAACTCTTCATTTTTAATAATTGTTGTCGTTGCAATTTTACTAAATTGTGGAGTGTGTTTGTGTTTATTTTGTGTTTCATTAGTCGAAAATGACAGAGAAAATCACACTATCGGATGCACTATCAAATGTCGAGGTATTGGACGAGCTACCATTACCCGATGAACAACCATGCATCGAAGCACAACCATGTTCAGCGGTTTATCGTGCCAATTTTGATACAAACTTTGAAGATAGAAATGGTTTTGTCACCGGCATTGCTAAATACATCGAAGAAGCCACAACACATGCTCAATTGGTATGTAAAAACAATCAAAATTCTTGAGTCATCCAATGACATCAGTGTTCAATTAAAACAAAACGGCATTTTGTTTATAAAACAAATAACGGCACATTTTCCCATTTTATTTTACTAGAATGAGTTACTTGATGAAGGCCAAAAACATGCCGTTATGCTGTACACTTGGAGATGTTGCTCGCGTGCAATTCCACAACCAAAATCGAACGAACAACCGAATCGAGTTGAAATCTATGAAAAGACCGTCGAAGTTCTTGCACCAGAAGTCAATAAATTGCTAAATTTCATGTATTTTCAGGTTTGGATATTTCGAATGTATGCTATCTACTATAATGACAACATTTTATTTATTTTTGTTTTATAGCGTAAAGCGATTGAAGCATTTTCTGGTGAAGTAAAACGTTTATGTCATACAGAAAAACGAAAAGATTTTGTATCAGAGGCTTATCTGTTGACATTGGGAAAATTCATCAATATGTTTGCCGTATTGGATGAATTAAAGAATATGAAGTCAAGCGTTAAGAATGATTACAGTACGTATCGTCGTGCTGCTCAATTTTTGAAAGTGATGTCCGACACTCATACACTCCAAGAATCGCAAAATTTGTCTATGTTTTTGGCCACACAGAATAAGATTCGTGACACAGTTAAAGATACACTTGAAAAAATTCCGGGCTACGAAGACTTATTGTCGGATGTTGTCAACATTTGTGTGCATATGTTTGAAACAAAAATGTACATTACACCCGAAGAGAAGCATATGCTAGTTAAAGTGATGGGATTTGGTTTGTTTTTGATGGACAGCGATTTGTGTAACATCAATAAATTGGATCAAAAGAAAAAACTACGATTGGATCGTATTGATCGCATTTTCAAGAATTTGGAAGTGGTTCCATTGTTTGGTGACATGCAAATTGCACCATTCAATTATATAAAACGCAGTAAACACTTTGATCCGAGTAAATGGCCACTATCGAGTTCAACAGCAATTAGTCCACAGGCTGATCTAATGGTGCATTTGCCACAAATTCGAGACGATCATGTCAAATACATTTCGGAATTGGCACGTTACACAAATGAAGTGACGACCACGGTAAAAGACAATCCAACCGATGCTGAAAATCGAATAACGGCCGATTTGGCATTGCGCGGTTTACAATTATTGTCCGAATGGAGCAGCGTGGTCACTGAATTATATTCATGGAAATTATTGCATCCAACCGATCATCATCAAAACAAAGACTGTCCCGTTGAAGCCGAAGAGTACGAACGAGCCACACGATACAATTACACGGAAGAAGAAAAGTTTGCATTGATTGAAGTGATCGCAATGATCAAAGGATTACAAGTATTGATGGCACGCATTGAAACCGTTTTATGCGAAGCAATTCGACGCAGCATTTATGCGGAACTTCAAGATTTTGTGCAGCTTGTATTGCGCGAACCATTTCGAAAGGCAATCAAAAATAAGAAAGATTTGATTCGAAGTATTTTGATGTCGGTGCGAGAATCGTGCGCGGATTGGTCAAAAGGATTCGAACCATCCGATGATCCGATTTTAAAAGGAAAAAAAGATCCAGACGGTGGCTTCAAAATAAATGTGCCACGCCTAAATGTTGGCCCATCATCGACGCAATTGTATATGGTACGAACCATGCTTGAATCATTGATTGCCGACAAATCGGGCGGTAAACGAACACTGCGCAAAGACATTGACGGTGCATGTTTATTGCAAATTGATAATTTCCATAAATTATCATTCTATTGGAATTATTTGCTCAATTTCAGTGAAACATTGCAAAAATGTTGTGATTTATCACAGCTTTGGTATCGTGAATTCTATCTTGAAATGACCATGGGCCGCAAAGTGAACAAATGCACGGTTCGTCATCAGCACAATGAAGAATGCAGTGATTTGATTACGATGGAGAAACGTATTCAATTTCCAATTGAAATGTCAATGCCGTGGATTCTAACCGATCACATTTTACGAACGAAAGAACCATCAATGATGGAATTTGTTTTGTATCCACTTGATTTATACAACGATTCAGCACATTATGCACTTACAGTATTTCGCAAACAATTTTTATACGACGAAGTTGAGGCTGAAGTTAATTTATGTTTCGATCAATTTGTATTTAAATTGAGCGAGCAAATTTTTACGCACTATAAACAATTGGCCGGCAGCATTTTCTTGGACAAACGTTTTCGCGTTGAATGTGAGGTGCTCGGTTTCAATTTTCAATCGTATCCGCGAAACAATCGCTACGAAACATTACTCAAACAACGACACGTTCAGTTGCTCGGACGCTCGATCGATTTGAACAAATTAATTACACAACGAATAAATGCCGATATGCAAAAGAGCTTGGAACTTGCCATCAGCCGCTTTGAATCGTCAGACATTTCCGGTGTTGTGGTAAGTTATTTGCCGTTAAGGCGGTTCATAATAAAACACTTTTCTGTTTTTAATTCTTTTCTCCTTCACTCCCTGTTTTTCCATATAGGAACTCGAAGGCCTAATTCAAGTTAATCGCATATGCCACAAATTGCTCAGCAAATGGCTTGCACTCGATGATTTCGAAAGTATGTTGAAAGAATCGAATCATAACGTTCTTGCACCATATGGTCGAATTACACTGCATGTATTCGTTGAACTTAACTATGACTTCCTTTCCAACTATTGCTACAATGCAGCAACAAATAGGTACTGCTTGCGTTTTACCTATTTATACACCATGATATCGATTTATGGTTTTCTGTGTTCTAATTTTTACCAAATCTATATTTGTTACTCTTTATTCAGATTTGTTCGAAGCAAAGTGCAAATATCGTTTGCACAGGCAATGCAGCGTGACAAACCATTACAAATGGCACATCATTATCTATGGGGCTCAAAACAATTAAATGCCGCTTACTCCGCACAGTATGGCCAATACACTGGTTTCGTTGGTTCGCCACATTTTCACGCCATGTGCCGATTGCTTGGCTATCAAGGCATTGCTGTTGTTATCGAAATCATATTAAAAGACATTGTTAAGCCGCTCATTCAAGGGAACTTGCTACAATTCACAAAAACTTTGATGTCAGCTATGCCAAAGGTAGGAATTTTCTGATGTGAAACCACATTGTGTCTACCAGGAAAATTATAATTATTATTGGAATCTAATCGAACATAATTTGTTTCAGTCGTGCAAATTACCGCGATGCGATTATGGATCACCGGGAGTATTGAGCTACTATCAAGCACATTTAGTCGATATTGTGCAATATCCAGATGCAAGAACTGAACTGTTTCAATTATTCCGTGAATTTGGAAACAGCATTATATTTTGTTTACTAATCGAACAGGCGTTATCACAAGAGGAAGTATGCGATTTATTACATGCTGCTCCATTCCAAAATATTCTGCCAAGACCATTTTGCAAAGGTTTGTTAAACATAAATAAATTTACAATCATTCGCATCAAATGAAACTTAAACAAAAACATTTTCCGTGATTTTTTTTCGATGAAATTTGCAGAGGGTGAAAAACCAGAAGCAAAACAAAAAAGATTAGAGGCAAAGTATGCTGTACTGCAAATTGTTCCAAATGTCGAAAAATTCGGAACGGCGAAACAAGCTCGAATTGCACGCGAAGGTGACTTGTTGACCAGAGAACGGCTCTGTTGTGGATTAAGCATTTTTGAAGTGATTTTGGGCCGAATCAAAGGCTATCTGGATGATCCAGTTTGGATGGGACCGCTGCCAATCAACGGTGTCATGCATATCGACGAATGTTCCGAATTCCATCGTTTGTGGTCAGCACTGCAATTTGTTTATTGCATTCCAGTTGGAGCCGGTGAATACACAGTCGAGTATGTAACCGATTTCATTTCGTTGTTCTACTGATTTGATTATTCATTTAAATAATAATATAAACTTAAAATTGAAATATTACAGAGAACTTTTTGGCGAGGGATTGCATTGGGCGGGCTGTGCTATGATTGTATTGTTGGGACAGCAGCGTAAGTTTGAGGCATTGGATTTCTGTTATCATATTTTGAGAGTTCAGCGAGTCGATGGAAAAGATGACACAGTCAAAGGCATTGTAAGTTTGAAAATATTCACCTTCCCATACGTGGCCAAGATTTAAATGTTCTCGTCTCTTATCAATAGAATCTAAAACGTATGGTAGATCGTATACGACGTTTCCAAGTGTTGAATTCACAAATATTTGCCATATTCAATAAATATCTGAAAAGCAACGATAGTGAAGGCTCAAATGTCGAGCACGTTAGATGCTTTCCACCGCCACCACATCCAACGATGATGACCTCGCATTATCATGACCCAAACAAGCTACGGCCACAGAACTAAGCAGATCGGTGAAATATAATACAGCATTATTGGATGAATAGCATTTAAGGAATCACACAAATTACATTTATTATTATTATTTAGACGGCAAATGCATAAGAAAGAAATGTCAATGTTTCAACTTCATACTAATTTAATATAAAGAAATACAATATGTTCGGAAAGTCTTTGCAATAAATGTTCGAAAATTGAAATTGAGAACCTAAAAAATGTAAGAATTTCTCACCAATATTTTCTAATCAAATCTCTCTCAATGAATTGAAATCATGTCAAATTTTACCGATCTTCATCAATGTTAAACAAATCTTGTGTCTACAAATCTAGATTCTGCCCATCTCGCACAAAATTGAAGAGCCAAAAAAAGGTTTCTCGGCCGTAGAAAATTCGAATAAATTATTCGCATCGAAATCTCAGGGGCATTCAGAGAGGAAAATCGCGAGCTTAAAGAGGAAACTCGTCAACTAGAGAGAAGAGCGTAAACTCAAAGACATATTAGTTGAATTGATCGAAATTGTTACTTTATTAAAACCAGTCTGTATGTATTTCGGATGGAACGCAACTGCACAGAGCTGTTAAATATCGAGATATTCTAAAATATCGCGGATCCGAAATACATAGACTGATTAAAACTCTTTTCTTAAATACAATTGAAGAATCGAATTACAAAGAAAACGTTGATCAGCAAAAAGGTTGAATTTTTATTCGCTTTCTTTTCTCTTAAACGGTATTCTCTTTGAAATGTTTTACAATCGAAATTGTAAATGGTATTCTGAGTGCAATAAAATTGAAATTAGTCAGTGGAAAAAAATGAAATTTAATTTGTAATATTCGTCAACTTAGAAAGTCAAAGAGTTCATTCAAAAATTAATGATCCAGATGCATAACTGACGCTAGAGTCAGACATATTGAAGCACTGACTACTTTGAGCATATTTCAGGAACTTGAAATTCATGCGATAGCCACGGGATTGCAGACTATTCACCGCCTGTCATAGTGAAAATGAATTATTTCGTTAAATGTGTAAATAAATAAAAAATCGAAATTGTTTGTATTACTTGTAACATAACGCCAATTGGATGTCGGCCACAGATCGTGTTGCTGTAGCGTTTCAGATATTCATTGAATGCCGATGGATTTAATGTTTCGATGATATCCATGCCCTAAAAGTGTTTAAATAGAAAAATTCTATATTAAGCACAACGAACAGAAAATCCGTTTTGTCGGATTCAAGTTGAATCAACTAACATTTTTATCTAATTTCTCAATTGACTTGTGGATTGGACCACACGAATCATCATAATATGTGTAGCTAAAACGTTTGCCCCAGTGGCAAAAGTCTGACGAGATAACAAATAGATTTTGTGAATCAGCCAAATATGGTGCCAATATTTCGCCGTAAATCGCTTCAACATCGGACGATATTGAACCAACTAAAATCGGAACAATTGTGAATTGATTGCGAAAACTGTGGAACAAAGAAGAAAATGAAAAAAAAAAACAATTGAATGGTAATGAAAGATTGACAATGTGATTTGGGCAGATAAGAGTGAATACTCACGCTTCCATCACTTTGGCAACGTATGGTAAATGCATTTCGATGCTGTGCTCATCTTCGTCGGTATTCATGTCCATCCACGAAAATTTTCCGGTTTTCTCAAGTTCTGCATTGATTTGAGTATCAATTTTGAGATCATACAATGGTGTTTCGTATTTTTCAGCAATTGATAAGGCACATCCACGTAATCGAACATGATGTGATGGACCCAATATAAATACACGTTTCCTGTGCACAATAATAAACATACAAATTGATTGGTGTTTGATGATTAATCAAATGATATAGTTATCTGTTGATACTTACACAACGGCCGGGCTAACTTGGCGATATGCAAAAGCAGCACACGCACCACAATATGAATAGCCAGCATGACTGTAAAATAAAATCGATGCTGCTCAATTTTTTTATTGGATGCAGTTAATTATGACAATTTTTTTTATACATACGGAGCAATAATTGCTCTAGCAGGCCCGTATGTTAGTTCAGCCTTATCCAACCAATTTTCAAGCTGCTGATTCAGTTGATTACCTAGCATCGATAATTTTTTTTTAGAAGGATTAAAATTCAAGCAAATAAATTCAAAAATACATTCTCGTTAAAAATGTGGAAAATCAGACATTTTTTTCTTTTTGAAATTTAATTTTCAAATTATTGGTACTACGTTAATTGCATTCATACAATGCTCAATTTAAATGTTCTACGATCCATTTAAGGCAAATGAGCTAGACTCAAAGACAAAGAAAACTCTCCATGTCATTTGACTATAACAAGTGATTGACTTGATTTATTTTCACTGTGAAAAAAAAAATGTACACACCTGAATTAGAGTACCAGCTGCCTGCATGAGTTGCTCTACGATCCGGCATTATTTCTATGAAATCGTTGAAAATGTCACCGAGAAAAAATATTCGATTCAAAACAATATTCAATTGCAAAGAAGACAGTGTATTTTGGTCACAAAAAGACTACAAATCGCCTTTTCTTTATTTACAATGAAAATACAAACATGTCTGTTGGATTGTAAACGTCAAATTTGTACTAATTTCAACAGTTATTTAGTAAACGCAATTCTTTTTCATATTTTTTTTAATGTTTATATCATTTTTGAAATGAAGGTTTTTCTCGTATGCTGAACATTACAGTATTATGGCAAATATTAAGAAATAATAATGTGTTGCGAATGAAAAATTAAATAATATTATCATACAAAGTTATTTTTTATTTGAATGTGAACGGGGTATGATTTGAATTCAACAAAAACATAAGGTGCATTACACCGCAGCGACATCTACTGTTCTGCCACTTGACTTTTCTGCTGCGAAGCCATCGATTCGTTCATTCGGTTTTTCGATTTCTTCAAGACAACACTGAAAAACAAAGTGAGTTCAATTTATATGTAAAAAATTTAGCTTTTTTTTCTTTCATCACATTTTAGTGTAAATTTAACGAAACACTGGCATTTGCTTGCATAATAAATGTTAAAATTGTTTTATTTTTATAAATACGATAAATATTTGAAATAATAAAATATGACGCCACGTGGTGCACAGCATATTGACCATGGTTTCGCGTTGAATTTACACATCTCATTGTTCTTTGTTGATAATTTGCTTTAAATACAAAGAAAATATGAGGAGCTTTGTTTACAATGATGATAGATTTAATTATTTCTTATGCGGTTTACACCAGAAGAACGAGAAATTGTTCTAGAGATGGCTAAGAATTGTCTGAGCAAACATAACCTCAAAAAAAAAAATCTCATCTTTTATCTCTCAAAGTATTCGTGCATAATTTTAACGTGTTTTAAAATTTTATTTTATAGAAAAATGGCGGACGCAGCTCCAGCCCGTAGTGGTTTCCGTGGTGGATTCGGATCAAGAGGTTCACGCCCACAAGTAAGTTATAAATTGACATCACATTTTAAAGCGAACGAAAAAGATCCGAATTGTAAATTGTGTTTCACTTTTGCTCATAGGGTGGTAGAGGTGGACGTGGTGGACGTGGTCGTGGCGCACGCGGCGGCCGTGGACGTGGAAAGGAAGATCAAAAGGAATGGGTTCCAGTCACAAAATTGGGTCGTTTGGTACGCGAAGGAAAAATCCGTTCATTGGAAGAAATTTACTTGTACTCATTGCCAATCAAGGAGTTCGAAATCATTGACACCTTCTTGGGATCGCAATTGAAAGACGAAGTATTGAAAATTATGCCAGTACAGAAACAAACCCGTGCCGGTCAACGTACTCGTTTCAAGGCTTTCGTCGCCATTGGTGACAGCAACGGTCACATTGGTCTCGGTGTTAAGTGCAGCAAAGAAGTTGCCACTGCCATCCGTGGTGCTATCATCTTGGCTAAATTGTCCGTTGTACCAGTTCGTCGTGGTTACTGGGGTAACAAAATCGGTAAACCACATACCGTACCATGCAAGGTAAGCAAAATGTTATTGTTGTTCGATTTCTATTTCTTTGATTTTCAATGATGAGAATATCTTTTATTCTTATGTGGTTTACACCGGAAGGCTCTAATGACGGCTTTAAGATGTCTGATTTATTTCAATTGTTTTTTTCATTTTTTAATCAATTCAAAAAGATTATAAAATAAAAGATTCTAATTTTTTGTTTGTATCGATATTTTTCAATTAGGTCACCGGCAAGTGCGGTTCAGTCTCAGTGCGTTTGATTCCAGCTCCACGTGGTACCGGCATCGTCTCAGCTCCAATTCCAAAGAAATTGTTGTTGATGGCTGGTATTGAAGATTGCTACACCTCAGCCCGTGGTTCAACTGGTACATTGGGTAACTTCGCTAAAGCAACATATGCTGCTATCGCCAAGACCTATGCCTACTTGACACCAGACTTGTGGAAAGACCTTCCACTTGGTAAATCACCATACCAAGAATACGCCGATTTCTTGGCCATCAACCACAAACCAGGTGTCGGAACACGCACCGAAGCTTAAACGTTTCCGTAACGTTTCCGAAACATGAACCATAAACAATTGAATATTTAATAAAAAAAGCGAAAGCGAATTAAATATTTAAAAAAATACATGTCTTTTATTTTGAAATGTTTTTTCTTCTTCTTCGGGACTCTTTCGCTAAGAAAGAAGGCACTATCTGTTAGTATGTCTTATATGCTATGAGAATCGTTTCTTGTTTGTTTTTTTTTTTTATCTAGATGCTATTCTTTAAACGAAGAATGGCCACTGCACCTAACAGTGAGACACCAGCAATGCTAGCCATTGTATAGATCCAATTGTTCCATCGTTTTGATTCTTCGGGTGTTTCTGTTATACACGAAATAATTTTGAGCGTTTCCTTCAGTGCTTTCGCGTTGAGCGTAGAAATGTATACGTTGTCATCAACCAGTTTATCGTATTCAACTGGGCTTGCTTTCAATGTAATTTGTGTTGCTTCCAATGTCATGTTGATCAGACGCAATTGATTGCGAACATTTTTGTAAACCGTTTCTTGATACTTGCTTGGATTCATTTCTTCAATAAATCTGTAATTTGAATATGTAATGTTTGGGTTAGATTGTTATTTTCATTTGCTCTGATAAATATAGTTGAGAAATAAATGTGTATACTTGTCAAAATGCATATCTTGATTTGAAGTGTTTCGCATACTGGCAACCATTTCACGTCGTATTTCTGCATCTTTTACTCCAAACATTTCCAGATCGGTCTCATTAAGTGCCGACAAATCCTTGAACATTATATCATTTTCCCTGAAATCAAAGACAATAGACATTTCGATTATTTCGCTCCCAACCAGAGAGTCGATTAAAATGTGCACATACTGTATTTGTCGAATCGTGTCATCGGATACATTGAAACCACGAAAAAATTTCATTACGGGATTTTCGAATGATGTATCACAGCCATCGTCACTGTCCGCAGTAATGTGGGTATCGTTAATTCCATTTCGATAATTTTCATCAATCTCAGCCATTTTTGTGCCGGTCGTGTAAATAACAACTTTTATTTTTGGGTCTTGCCGAAGTCTCGAAATTGAGGTTAGAATCTTATCGATTGTATTTCGGTCGTATCAAAAGTTGATTGTATTCAATTTCAACCGTGTTTCATATGTACCATCAAATGTCATAAATAGTATGTGATTTCACTATATTTCCAAACGAAACGCCGAAAAATAGCTTATTAAGGTGATAAAAATCATAGCCGGCTATTTATTATAATCTATACATATATTCTGCGCATCGAACAGACAACTCGTCTTTTTTTACCAAGATAAAATTGAAGTAGAAAGAAACTTTTCACAAAGACAAGATGACTACTTGGATTGCATTGGTATGATTACATTTTTTTCTAAAAATTAATTGGATTTTAATCGGATGTTTTTTTTTCTTTTCATCTACTTTACTATCTTTCACGTATTAGGAATCGAATCCAGAGGTAATTTAATTGAATAATTTCGTGTTATTTTTCAGTCATTGAATGACTCATCTATGTCAACATTAATGTGATTAAATGTAGGTACTCACCAAGTACATTCATAAATTGGGTGTATCCCCATTATGGAGTCTTACTGATGTATTTGGCTTGGAACCAGATCAATTGGAATGGCTTCCAGGACCAGTTCAAGCACTTATTCTTCTCTTTCCATGCTCGAATAGTGTAAGTTAAATGTTATTTTTCAATTTTTTTTGTGACATTCGTGAATATTTTAATGCATTACTTCTCTAAATGATTAAATAGTTTGAAAAATATTCGAAAGAACAAGACGAAGAATTGAAGGCAAATCCACCAAAAGTCCCAGAAGATCTCTTCTTTTTGAAGCAATATATTCACAATGCATGCGGCGCTATTGCATTGGTGCACAGCGTTGCTAATAATCCAGCGTGAGTACTAGTTTTTGAGTTGGAATTAAATATCAGAGTATTGCTCAGCGCTGCTGCCATCCACAGCATATTAAAATATCTTGCTGAGAATGCGTCGTCCGTTGCATGCGAATGTGCGTGGCAGTTTATACATCACAGCGAACAAGAACGCATGCATTGTCCTCTTCACGCTTATATGACTCAAAGCATTCAAACGATTGTATAGAGAACAATGCATGTATTGTTGTTCGCGGTGATGTAAAAACTGCTACGTACATTTGTATGCGACGGACGACGCATTCTCAGCAAGATATTTTAATATGCTGTGGATGACAAAGACATATTATTGATTAAAAACAAGCTGATGTGCTTAAAGATCTCTTTTTAAAATGCCAAAAATTCAGAATTGAAATTGAGGATGGAAGTATTCTGAAGAAATATTTGGATGAAGCACGTGATTTGACGCCAGAAAAACGTGGAAAATTGCTCGAGAATGATAAATCGTTTACTGATGCTCATCAAGAGGTTGCTGTCGAAGGTCAAACTGATGCCAACTCTGGTGAACCGGTCAATCATCACTTTGTCGCTTTCATCAATTTTAATGGTCAACTATATGAAATGGATGGACGTAAAACGTCTCCAATACCGCACGGTAAAACTTCCGAAGAGTCATTTTTAAAGGTGAGCAGTTTTTTGTTACGCATTTCATATGCTTGAATTTAAAAAAAAAATCAACTAAATACCGTTTACATTTTAGGATGCGGCTAAATTATGTAAACAGGCTATTGAACGCGACCCAGAAGATGTTTCATTCAGCGTTATTGCTTTGGCACCGACACAAGATTAGAACGGCCATTTAAACTATGACAGCCTTACTCAACTCTCTTTTTTGTCGCAATTTTTGTTAAGCCAAGCATTTAAAATGCTTCGATGTAATACATAATATGACTTTCTTTTAAATTTACTTGCAAAAAAAAAACGAAACTCACATTTTTATATGCATTTACATGGCTTGATAATTCAATTATGAAAAGCAAACAAGCTTCAGCCGTTAGGCAACCAAAATTTTCATATGAAACGGTGCGGCGAAAAAATGGCTCTTATTTTTCTGCCACATACAGTCTTTTTTTCACATAGTTTATTTATTGTATTACATTATAGATTACAACAAATAAACTATCCATAAAAAACGTTCGGGAAAATAAGAGCTATTTTTTCGCTGCTACGATTCATGTATGTGATCGCGTGCAAGAGCATACATAGTCTACAGACTTCTTAAATTATAAGTTGAATATTCAATAAGCAAAAAAAAAACATTCACCTGTGAAAATTTATAAATTCGAGACGATACATTTTATTGTCCAAATATGAGTTTAATAATCTCTCTTATAAAATTTTTTCTCTTAAATTGAACCGAATGGAAATAGTTTGGCACACATTTTGTGATGTTGAAATTCTAAATTTGTTCATATGTTTTGATTATATATATCATTTTCCTATATTTAGAGCTATATTTGAGCTTATAAAAAAATAATAGTGGAAAATACGATATTCAATTCGATCATTTATACTGATGATTCCTGCTTGTTTGAATAAAATCGACTAATTTGAGTATTCAATCTAGATTCATTTTTTTTCTCGAGGTATTCGCTGTGCTCAATTCATTATAATAATCTTGGTCAATTCACATAAAAGTAATTTTTTTTGAACAAAAACAATTTAAATCACGACAATTGGGCAGTGTTTCAATTATACTTATCAATTTTTGCTCCCGTTTTCAGATTCACTTACTCCTAAACTATATGATTTATTTCGGATCGAAAAGTAAATCGCTTAAATCAATTTTAATACTTTTTTCAATGATGATTTAAATTGCTTAAAACAAATGAGTTTAACTACTGACTAAATATTTGTGCTTTCACATTTTTCATCGTATATAATGTCTGAGTAAATACTATTTATTATGGAATTGTCACGGTTATTTCGTATATGGTTTTCGACCGTCAATTTGGTCGTGTAAAATTCCGGAAGACAGTCAAACACAACACCGATTTAATCGGTATACATTTTAAATGAGTCTCTTAGTGTTGATTTATATTCTAAAATGTTTGCAGTTAATGTGACGTGATTTATCTCCATTTTGACTTTTGAGCAAAAATATCAGCACGTAAATTCTGTGCAAAACAAATGCCCAATATCTGAAACAATTGACAACATTAGTATTTTTATAATCAGAATAATGTTCATCACACACACAAACCTGCATAAATGCGGAAAATATAACGGTCGATGATATTATTATGAGATTTCGTTCGACCCATTCTTCACCAGCTTGTACGCAACCTTTTTCGTTAATAGTTCGCGATATGTCATTGCTCTGTGGACGAAAAAACAAAACAATAGTATTCGAAACTTAAAAAAAAGCAACACTCTCTTACATTTGTTTCCCTGCGTACATCATAGCCGCATTGTTTGTTTCGTATAATCTCATTTGGTTGTCGTTTGCAGCACGAGAATGGAACGCCACAAGCTTCTCTACTGCCAACGGCCAAGGACGAACAATTGAAGTAGTTGTTGTTGTCCCAGTCATTTGGACCATCAATACCACAACATTGTAGCCAGTCTTCTTGAATCCAGTCGATAAGATTTTGTTGATCAGGGTCCTCACGGTAGTGAGTAATAAATGCACGTAAACCATCGGTCGCTTGTTCTTTTATCTGCGCGAACGATGTGCAAACCAATGAGAAATCAAACATGATGGTAAAAAAATGATTGTCTTACCCATCCTTTGTCACGAAGAACAAACACTACCATGCCTGCGCAGATTTCCAATAGTAATATGATTATCAAAAAAGTTGAGTACTACAATGATATATGGAAGAAGTGAAAGTTGAATTCGTTCAATTTTACATTTGTAGGTGTTATAATGATCGAAGAATCATTGAAAATAATGGCCATATATTTACCATGGATAAAAGACAAGTATTTTCACGAAGTGCACCAACACAGCCTGTGAATCCGATTATAAATGTCACAGTACCGCAACAGATTAGGATGAATGCCGGATCGAGGGCAATATTGTTGCCATTTGTTAAATTTCGAAACATATCTTTTTCATTCCATGCCCAAACGCCTACGACCAATATGCATAATCCCGCTAACTAAACAGTTTCCAATTCATAGCGGCAACACGAAACGTTTACAAACCATATACGCACATAAGTTTAACAAAAGAAAAAAAAACCAGTGACAAAGAAAAAAAAGGTAGAATACAATGACGCAAAAATCAATGATCACTATGCGCTTATTGTGTATGAGTTTTGATTTCCTGTGCTTACAAAAACGATTCGGTTATACACTCACACCTAAACAATCTTATTTGATACGCAAGTAACTTTCATTTTTTTTTTGTTCATAATTCTATTTCACAAATCTCATTTCATGGATACATTGTTAACTTACCCAAAATAAAACGTTAACACTAAATATAAAATATTTTAAACAACAACTTATTTCACTAGTCCTGCGGCGATATTTTCGCACAGGCATTTTGGTGCAGTTTCGACGTGCAATTTTTGGTGTCAATGAACAGATACCAAGACACAATGATCAACAATTGAACTGAACGTCAAACTAATTCTCGCCATCGACTCGCTTATATTTTTTTTTGTTTTCGTTGTGTTTTCTGTGTATTTTACTCTTGATCTTCACCCAAGGTGCTGTGAATGCGTGCATGTATTTGTGCGCGAATGAGCGCTCTCTAGTGATCATAATCGTACTTCACGCGAATGATTCAGTCGCGATCGCTTCAATGATTCAATTAAAATATACATCAATATAGAAAACAGGTATTATTCTTTTTTTTATCTATATAGTGAATAGAAATCAACATTTATTTTATGAATCATAACATTCTCTTTGTATTACAATGTTTATATGTTCATCTTGGTAATATATTTTAGATCGAAACACAAGGCTGAATTTAAAAATTAAAAAATAAAATAGAAATAAATTGAAAATAATCCATTTTGTTTGTATTTCTTCGGTAAATTTGAAAAGGAATTTTTTTTTACATATGTGGAAATTCTTCCTCAGAATCGTTATTATTGCGTCGACCTAATGAAGCCATTATGTATATTATAAAAACAAAAATCACAAAGCCACTCAATACGATAAACCATGTCCGGCGCAAAAGTGGACGAGATGGTGGAACGTACAATCGCCTGAAAATAATACATAAATTGGAAACATATTTGAAATATTTTGAATTTGAGATTCAATTTTAAAATGTTCGCCATATTAAAATTTAAAAAAAAATCATCAAATTGATAATGTTATAATTTTAGATATTTTTTTTTAATTTTTACATTTTTTTCGACTCCTCAGAGCGATCCTCCTCACATATGAGAAACCATTTCTGTTTCTGACTTATTTCATTTTTTCTTTCTTTTTCAGAACTGTTATTGGCACCGTAGAAGTTCGGACACTAAGAAAGTACTAGCACTCTTTTCAAGTGCCACATCTGAGTACAAGAAAAAGCGACACTTACAAGAAAAGTTCTTGCACCTCCATAGTGCCTATAAAAGCTCGGTGCTTTTTTTTTAAATCAAAGTCTTTGTAAAAATTTTTATTTGGCCAATGTCCGATTTACTCAGTTTTAATACAAAACCTACCGTGACCACCTGGAAAAAATTTCTGCCGGTGTTCGTCTTTTATACTTATTTTCATCTCTGTCAACACCCCCGATTGGCGGTTCTCTGCTCAGCAATGGTCGGCGACTACTTGCTAAAAATGAAGTAAATACGAATAAAGAAGATTTATTTTCCATGTTCTGTGTGGTCAATGGTAAGAAAACGAAATGATTTACCTTGATAGTATGGTGCAGTTGAATCTATATTGATGGAATGGTCTTTTGGTGTTTCGTGAATCGACGACGATTTATTGATACTTGATGAAGACAATGTGTTCGCATTCTCTTTAATCGACAAGTTTTCGACACCCGAATTCGAATTAGAGTTAGATGCGTGATTTAACTTTGAATTTTCTGAAAATGTTGCGTTCGGTTTCTAAAAGTAAGTAAAAGATTGAAGAAAAAAACCATTGATGAAATACATTCTACGTCCAAACATAAATTAGTTTACCAGAATAGCTCCAAATTCATCTCGTCCCCATGACGTTTTTTTCAAGCGACTACGAAGAACATCGGCTACAGGTGATATAAGATTTGATGACGGAAATATTTGATCGTAACAAGTTGGACACGTATGGCCACCGGGTGCTGTATTACTCGGCAACGCCGATTCACGTTCATTTAAACAAGACCAATGAAATACATCTGGAAATATTGTAATGCCACGCATGTATGATTTCCATTAATTATAATATGTTTGTGTGTTACATATGATTTTGAATGTTCATGTGTCTTGATATTGACACTCATCTTACTTACGATAGCATGTTAAACGAATACATTCGTCTGACTCTAGTGAATTTTTGCATAATGCACACGATGAATCATAATCACTATCTTTTAACCATTGAATGTACGATTGAATTATGCACTGAAATTAGAAAATTAAACATCGAAGCAATGTGATGACACTTTAAAGCTTTTATTTTCTACTGATCCAGCAAAAACAATAGTATAGAAAATGTGTCACGTATTTTTGGACAATAAAAAACAAAATAAACAAACCTTTGGATGTGAATTCACCATGCAATGTTCACACACATTAACCCGGTGCTCAAAACAAAATTGATTTGTAACTAATCGTTTCGGACATTTACACAATCCCATTTCACTGATTTATTTTTTGAATAGTTTATAAAGAAAATAATTTCTATTTTCGCTTTTTTTTTAATATGGAATTTGGATATTATTTTGATAGATGATAGTGATAGAAAAATGCCAACGTTCTCGTTGCCGATAAAACATCAAAACTGAAAATAATTTGGGGGAAAAAAATCAAAATGAAAACACCAACAAAATTCTATTTTATGTTTCTTTTTTATTTGATGTTCGTCATTATTCTATGTGTCGCTTTTTTGACGTTTCGATTTAGTGTAGTTGTGTGAGCAATTGACACATATGCATTTTCTCCGTTTCAATTCACCGCTTATTGGCTTTTTAGACAGCGTTCAACACACTTCACACACATTGGCCAAATGGAACGTTCGCATGGTTGGAACATCGATTATGTATTAAGTTTACGGACACAATTCAAATGTTCAAAACAACAACCAACTGTTAAAAATGAGAAGAAAAAATAAACATTCGAATATTCTAAGTTTGATTATGTGCACATTAACTCGAAAATACATAAAAATAACAACAACATATAAATTAAATTTTGGTGTATTCTTTATTTGTTTCGCAGAAACATTATAAATTAATTCTCAACGTAGTGTAGCTATGACTGGGGGGAAAAAAATCTTATGTTTTTCTAATATCAGTAATATAGTATTATTCGTCATCACGCAAAAAGAGTTCTTCGTATGGAAATTTATTGAAGATGGGATCAGCAATTGCTTTATAAATGCCACCAATGGCTTTCGTGAGTACAGGTTTTAATTCATTTAAGATTTCCGGCCAGTTGTCATTCAAGAATTGATTAGTGGTTTGGCTCAGCATTTGATCACCATTGAATAGATTCTCAAAATTCATCCAGAGTCTGTGAAAAGAAGAAGAAAAAAAAAATCAAACCGGACATTAGAATGAAACAGAATTTCTGAAATTTCTTTTCAATCGAAAGGCCAACACATAAAATGCTGAATCATGTATGTACGAAAATACAATTTATGCAAATATTATTCACCTTGTTGTTTCGAAATCCAGCTGAAGTTCATTAATTCGCAAATACTCTTTGCCTTTTTTCACTTCAACCTTGGGTAAAAACTTGATGCTTGCGTCAACATTATCTATACTCGTTTTATGAAGGAAGTGCAAAAAAAAAAAAAAAAAAATCAAAATCGTTAGCAGCCTAAAGAGAAAATTAACATTAATACTTATGCATACCGAATGTTAGATTTGCTACACCATTACCGACAATCGGCAGCAACAGAATATTACCACGCGCCTTATATTGACCGACCATTGAAATGGTCGCAATTTTTGCGTAAATTTCAAACTTTGATGTTGCTGGATCTTTTTGGAATCCACTGCCGAATAATTAAAAAAAAAAAACAAGAATTTACGTTACATTTTCATTTGCAATATTGTGAAATTTTCTCTCAAAGTAGGACTTACACCACATTTTTAATCGTTGCTTGGCTCAAACCGTGACATTTTAGATCGCGTAATTTTAAATTTATATTGACCGGACTCGTTCCACCTTGATCAATATTGACTTCGTCGACTTGTAATGGATCGATTGGCACCAAACCCAAATCTCTTCTTCCACCCTTAAATTTCATCGCATATTCGCCAATTGTTCGTTTCAAACAATTCGTATCACCGAAATGACATCGCATCAAATCCGTTGCTACAAATTTATATGAAATCATAACAAATCTTACACATATTTTCGCAACAATTTCATAGAAATCAATTTTTCCGTTAATTACTCACGATATTTTGCTGCAATGTAACCGAAAATACTGAAAAGTACCAAAAATATTGCGCTTTGTCTCATTTTAGCAAGAGAAAAATAATTTTTTTTTGTAATTAGTTAAAGAACTATAAAGCTAATTGATTTGTTTCCACAGATTTTCTATAAAACGTTTAGAATACTCATCTAAAGATGATAGTTTTGCTTACTGAATCAATTTGTTTGGATCGCGTTTCTTTTTATATTCAACATGACGACGCTAGCTAGCTAACTCTCCCAACCTGTAGCGTTGACATATGCTAAAACTTGTCTAGAATGATAAAAAGAACAAAAAAAAAGTGATATATTCAATTCGATGAGCCTTTTTCTTGACCGTCTTATTTTTATAGTTGAAACGTGTAATCGTCACACTGTTTCATAGACAACCTTTTGTTTTGAATTTTTCGTTTGGAAAAAAAAAATCTCGTCCGGTTCTCTGTTGTTATTGTTGTTGGTATTTTTTGTTGACTTTAATAACGATCAAAGTCGATAGGTTTTTTTTAATGAATTTTGCGCAGAAATTTCAATCGATGATCTAGCTTCTTACTCAAATACGACGAAAATCTGAACGTCAGAGACAAAAAAAAAATATATAGCATAGTTTCACCTTTTATTATTAAATATTTCATGTCAATCAATTCACAGCAGCATCAAATATAAATATGTTGTATAGCGATGACGGTGATAATATTTCATAATGTGAAAAAATGTGAAACGATTAATTTAAATGGTGGCATGTGCGCTAAGTGATTGATTCATGCGACCGCTGAAGGTTTGAATAAATTTGCATTCAATATGGTATATGTTTTTACAGAGTATCCTGATTTGCTGCTGCTCAGCATATAGCTGAGAGCTGAGAAATGCTGAGCTCGTGCGGCTAACGCATACGAAACGGATGCACGATACATATTCCCCTTTCGCTTCGTATGTGCTGCCGTTGACGCTATTGCCGGTACAATGGTTACACACTATACCAGCGAACATACGAAGTGAAAGGGGAATATGTATCTTGCATCCGTTTCGTATGCGTTAGACGTACACTTTCAGAATATATGAAAGACTGAGAGCAAAAACAGCACGTCGCATCTCATCTCTTGCTTTCACTTACGTAAGCAAAATAACGAGGGATGCGACGTGATGTTTTTCTCGCAGCTTCTCATATGTCGGTCGCAACACAATTTCAAACTCAACTGGTTACTAAGTTTTGAGTTTTGAATTGAAAGTCCAATCAACTGTTTATAACCGTTTAAACGGGGAGAATGCAGGTGTGCGTGCCATCCGCTTCGTATGCGTTAGCCGCACGAGTTCAGCATTTCTCAGCTCTCAGCTATATGCTGAGCAGCAGCAAATCAAGATGCTCTGTGTTTTTATGATCGTTTTGCTTATTAAGATTGTTGATCGGCTATTTCAATCACACCCGAAGTAGATCAATATATGCATCGACGACGAGATGCAATACAATGTATAGCGGGGATAGATTATAGAGACGGGTCAGAGAAAATTGCCCATTATATACGGTTTTAACAATATTTATTCATTAATTTTTATATTACAGTCATCATGACAAAAATAATACAGAGATTGAGATTGAACCAATTAGTTGCATGAAATTAAATCGAATCTTGAACTAGCTGTGCTGAGTTCATTGTTGAAATGATAAAATTGTCTTTTTTATGATTGTCACACAATCATCCAATTGTTCTTCATTGAGAACCAATGGGGGAGCCAAACGAATGATATCACCATGAGTCGGTTTTGCTAGCAGACCATTTTCTTTTAATTTAAGACACACTTCCCATGCATCAAGATCTAAAATAAAAAAAATAATATCATAAATTATCTGTACTATAATATTTTTCTGTTCAATTTTTACTTACGTTTATTAATGACAATGGCATTCAATAATCCTTTGCCACGCACTGTGGTCACGATATCTTTTGGCAATTTTCGAAGTTCACTGCGAAGTTTTTCTCCCATGCGATCAGCATTTTCGGCCAAATTTTCATCGCGCAACACTTCAAGTGCAGCAATTGCTACACGGCAACCAAGAGGATTACCACCATACGTTGACCCATGTTCACCAGGTTTAATTGTTAACATGATATTATCGTTGGCGAGTACAGCCGACACTGGATACACACCACCTGATAAAGCTTTGCCCAAGATCAGCACATCGGGACGCACATTTTCATAATCAACGGCCAATAATCGACCCGTACGACTTAAGCCCGTTTGAATTTCATCAGCAATGAATAGACAGTTATATTTGGTGCAAAGACGACGAACTTCTTTCAGATAACCATCATCTGGAACAACGACACCCGCTTCACCTGAATGATTGAAAATCTGAATTAATAAATTGTCTTTCTTTTTATTTGATTCTTTGTTATGAATTTTACCTTGAATTGGCTCAACCATAAATGCACAAACATTTGGATCCTTTAGTTTTTCTTCCAATGCGTCGACATTATTATAAGGCACAAGTTCAAAGCCCGGCATAAATGGACCGAATCGTTCAAAGCAAGTGGGATCGGATGATGATGATACGGCTGATAGTGTTCGACCCCAAAAGTTACCTTCGGCAAATACGATTTTTGCTTGATTTTCTGGAATTTTTTTTACGTCATAGCCCCACCGACGTGCCAATTTACATGCTGTTTCACCACCTTCGACACCCGTATTCATTGGCAATACTTTGTCATAACCAAAATATTTTGTAATATATTCCTCGTATTCGCCCAATACATCTGAATAGAAAGCTCTGTAAACAAACATACAAACAATTTCAAAACGAATGTATAAGATTTAAAAAAAAAAAAAATAATTTGCTATTTACCTAGAAGTGAGTGTAAGATTTTGTGCTTGTTCTGTTAATGCCTTCAAAATTTTTGGATGACAATGACCTTGATTAACAGCTGAATATGCACTATAAGTGTACGTCATAAAAAAATAGAGACAAGATTTCAATACAGGCTTTTTTTAGAATTATTTGTAACATTTCGATACTCACCTGAGAAAATCATAATACCGTTTTCCTTCGACATCCCACATATAAACGCCTTGCGCCTTGGTTAATGCCACCGGAAGCGGATGATAGTTATGTGCTCCGTATTTGTTTTCACGTTGAAACACATACTCAGATGAAACTGTTTTCTTTGTACCGTTTTGCGCTTCCATTGTCTTATTTTGGCCGGAAATAGGCGTATTTGATGCAATCGGACTCATTCTAAAAAGAAAATAAGCAATTTTATGAATATTTCCCAAACCTAAACTTGTTTCCTTTGCCACCGTTAACAGTTAGTTAGATTAATGGCCGAACTACTTATGTTAATATGAAAAATTACAATTTTTTTATTATTCGAAAAATGATATATTGTTGCACCGTCAAAGCAAACTCGTTTTAGTGAGCGAAATTTGAGTCGTTACAGTACAGTTATGTACATAGCATTAATTGATTTGAATGTCAAATCCAAAGTATGAATGTGTTTCACAAACTAAAACTATTGAATGGATACTTTTTTTTCTCGTTACATTTGAAAATGTAGAACGCCGGTGGGATGACTTTGATTTAATTGTGAGCTATTTGAAAGACCACGTTGACATTGACCTTGAATGAAACCGACTTCTGGTTTACATGTCCAAAGACACCTTTTAACACTAACATTTAAGCGACTATCATTTTTCAATAAACCCTTTGGGGAACGAATTATTTGATAAGCCAAACGTTTATTTTGGCAAATTTTGGATAAATTGAAAAACATTTCTATGCGTTTGAGCGACTGTGTAAGTTAACGTGGCAAAGTTGATTAAATTGTATAAACCATTGAATTGTGAACTCAAGTTTAATTTGAACACCTGCTAAAAGTGTGAATACTATACATGCACATTATTAAACATTGTGTAAATTGTTCTCGGGTTACAATTGGAATATGGCAATGAAATGAAAACAAAACAAAAATTCTTGGAGACTTTTTATATTGTTGAATCAAATAAACGGTTTTAGTTTGACATATTTCACACCTGACAGTTAAGAATAAAGAATTGTATATATTTTAATTAGAATAAGTTAAAAATTGACAGTACGATTGATACGAAATTAATTTATGACCTTGTACACAATTCTAAGTCATTTGATTTTATTTTTCACTTGCAATATACTCAGATTATTTCGACCGATTATAATACTGTGACAATAAAATAGCGGAACTTTTTGCGCAAACTCAAATTTAAACTTTGAAGCTCGTTAAAGATGTCTAATAATAAGTTTACATGACGACAAAGTTTCTTAGAACAGTTGTGACGACAAGCGAATTAAAGTTTTTTTTCTTTCTAAAATTCAAAAAATAAAAGCATCTATTGATATTCTAATTATACTATATTTCTTTTAATAATAAAAACACACACACACACTGAATTTCTTTACCTGATAATCTTTGATTTTTAACTACGCGGAAAAAAACAGACTCTGGTTTTATTTATTCTAGTCTAAATTTAAATAAACGGACTGATACTTCCTGTTAGAGTGCAAGTTGCTTCTTGAATAAATTAGCCCACTCATATGACGCTCTTTTATACACTCGCCAACGTCATCATCAACATCAGCACTGGCTGTGAAAACAACAAAACATCCTTATCAAGTTTTTTTTTTGTTTGGCCAATTGATGAAAATAGGAAAAAAACTCAAGATAAGAAGAGAACGAATTGGTATCAACAAATGATTGTGTTTTATCAAACTTTGCAACACTATGGTTGATGTATTTGCACAAATTAAACTATTATTGAATTAATTAAACTATATAAATAAACATTGCATTCAATGCGTTTTGTCATAGGTGAAAATGTTATTTCAATTGCTAAAAATAATGGAAAACTTTCAGAATTTCGTTTCGTTCAGTGTGTCCATAATATATAGAAATATCACTAAATAGTGTCGATATCTATACTATATCGGTCCACTATATATGAAAGATATTGCCGCACGGCACCGTATCGCACGATCGAAGCCAGTGTAGACGGAAAAAATCACAAATTGCCATGCGGCAGTAGAAAGAACTGTGTGTATGCGTCAACATGTTTGCCGTCCGCACTCACTTCTATCGTGAGCTACGGTGTCTTGCGGAATATCTTACATATATAGTGGACCAATATAGTATAGATATCGACACTATTTAGTGCTATTTCTATATGTTATGGACACACTGGTTTCGTTATCATTTATGTGATTATATTTGAATTGATTGTACCAGAAATGAAGTTCCCAGACCAAAAGACCATTTTATGATGTTTGCAATTAGATTAGATTTGGAAATTTGGAGATTCTTATTATCCATGAAAAACTACGTATAGTTCAACATATTGTTGTTTATTGTTGTTTAAAATCTCGTGCAACTTGTTTTCAGCATGTGCCGAAATAAAAAAAAAATCTTTACCGAACAAAAAAAATTCCGTTCATAAATATAGATATATATTTATAAATTGTCGTCAACGCCAATCAATAAAAAAAATGAAACGAAAAAGATCATAAAAGGTCGACTTATTAATTTGAATCAATTGCTTATCATTTCACAAGCGACAACTGATCAATTGAAAATGAATGAAAAAACCAATTGAAATGATTGCGCTTGAAGTAGCACACACAGTGAAATTAATGAATTGAAAAACACATAATAGCCAGACCTACTTTGTTTCACGGTTTACTCTGTACGATGCTATATCGGTTGTTTGATTTTTGGTAGCGTGCATGTCGCGCGATCAAATACGTATTGATAGAGATTTGTTTACATTTTTTTTTTTATTTCACTCAAACTAAAAGGTTCAACGCATTTTATTTAGTGACGTGGATTATTGTCGTCATTGTTATTCGCACATAAGAGAATCAGACAATTTTTGGTTATCAACGCCAAGTTTAATTCATTGTGGTGCATTTTAACTGAATGGGATTTTAATTTTGGTTCAAAGAATTTTCAATGGCATCAAAAATTATAATACGATGTCCACCTATTTTATTATTATTCAGAGTGAGCGTCATCTAAACTTTCATATTACCTAACTGAAAAAAGTTAACCAACATATTGTACGTCATGTAATCATTTTATTTATTTAAAAAAAATAAAAACAGCCAGCGCTTTATGTATGTAATATCATTCCAGCCAATCGGTTAGGTATTGGCAGCTAATTGGCGTAACGTCTCCTCTAGTTGCACAAATTTTCACGATTGGACAAATGCCGCAAGGCGTTTGAATTAATCCCGGCTTGGATAATGGTGATTCAATTGCTCTATAAAGACTACCTCCTTCTGCTTGTGGAATTCGTTCTGCTTTTCCATCGTAAACTACTGTTTTTAAAATGGTTTCGAGGTCATCTTCATCTAATTTTACCTGCATTTCAACGAAAATTACAATTACTTAATATATTTTATTTACAAATAATTGTAAAAAAAAAACAACTATTTTCAATATTTCCAAAGAACCATGCGTTCAGTGGCTAAATCAGTGTTTATAGTCATGAATTTCCAATTTTGTTTCTCTCTGGTTTTTTTTTACAAAATTTGAAATTTCAGTGTGTTTTCACTTTGAAAACTCAATGCAAAGACACACAATTTTTCAAATTATAGTGATACCCTTCATACTATGAAGTAATTATGATGAAAATCTGCCAAAAATATCAAATTATGGAATTATTATCATGACATTTGCAAAAAAATAGAGAAATAAATTGGAACACGCCTAATATGTTCATGGAAATTTGGCCGCTGGTTCTTCATAGTTCCGTCCTTTTGTGGAAATTACCTTACTAATACCTAATTCCGATATGAAAGTATGCACTTGCTTAACCGAACAGCAAGCCATCTTTTTCGTGGCCAACGGTCCGTCACTTAATTTTTTGGCATTTTCCAATCGCATTTGTAAAAATCGTAGAGATTGTTGATTTAAAATGTCAACAAATTCAGATTCAAAATCTTGATCCTGATACCATGCACCACCCGTAACGGTTCGATCTGGCTCCATGTTGTATAACATGTACACTTTCTTTTTGCTGGCATTCACCGATTTCACAGCTTTTATCAATTTTCTCGATTCCAAATTTTTGAGAATTTTATTCAATTGTGTCATGATCAAATTGGATTTAACCCGAATGTCTCGAATCCAAATGCCTTTGTTATCAGCCTCTTCAATAATTCCGTACACAATTTTCTCTTCATTATCGGCACCTTTTGGTACGTTTGTCTTTTTCGATACATCTTTGTATCGATAAATTAAGCTGTTATTTTTTGTTAAAATTTCCAAATGTCCCAGTTGCAACAGTCTATTGATGGAAGCAACACGATCCTGGACGGATATGTTCGGTAATAATTCGGACAAATCCGAATTTGACAAACCTTCTGGATTTTCTTGCGCATGTTTGGTAATTAATTCACCAATCTCGTCAATGGTTGAAGATGTGGATTCCATGATTCAGATAGATGTATGATTAAATCAATTTCACCGGTTTCGAAATTATTTTCAAATGATTGGTTATGATTACATTGACAATTTGACAGTTGTTCTATACATTCGACCGAAGCCTACACTTCACGTGCATCGTTTTGTTTTTGCCTAAAATCACCGAATATTGTGACAATTTTTTTTATATAATCTGCCAAAATGACGTCCGATTCTTCTGATGATGAATTTGAAAGTATTTCCAATGCAAACCACAATAAAATTTCACAAAAAATGGAAAAAGTAAGTAACAAAAACAAAATTGAATTCTATAGTTTGTCAGTCTGATTAAGCACATAAGACGACATCGGGAACTTTTCGTTTTGGTGTTTCCATTGTGAGTTGAACGAATGTGGAACAAATGGAAAATGAAATCCAACAAATACGTATATGCATATAGATTGTGTTTTTTTTTTCACATATGTGAAGAACACCGAATGACTTTCATTTAATCAAAATTGAATTATAATCAACGGTGGATTCTCATTTTAGATGGGATACAAAGACGGAGTGCATGATGGAAGAGAGTCTCAATTTCAAAAAGGATTTGATGATGGCTATGAGCAAGGATTCAAAAATGGATTCTTATTGGGAAAATACAACGGACAGCTAACGATTGAACCAACAAAAAATGATTCCAAATCAGATGGAAAAGCTCGAAATGATCTAATATTACAACGACCTTCTAGAGGCCAATGTATATTATGCACAAATCCTTCGTTAAAAGATGACAGTATAAAGGATATCGTCAACAAACAAAATGAGCATATGAAAAGAATAGAATCAACTCTAGAGTCAAGATATCCTTCAAATTAGTTTCCATAAATAAACAAAGCGATAAAAAAAATGTGATTCAATCTAGAGAATTTTGAAAAGAAAAGAAAACTGAATAAAAAGCAAACGGCATATATTTTGTTTGTTTCACTTTTATATTAAGTGAAATAATTAATTACTTTATTAATGTTCATGAAAAAAAGAAGAAGAATAATAATAAAAAGCAGTAATTGTAGTACAAACAAAATCAAGTTACAGGAGAATTAATGATATCATAATTGATTTATAGGTAAAGACCTTCTGGTGTGCCTTCTTTCTTTCGATAGAGGACACTTTCCTTGGACTTTTTGAAATCTTCGTTGGTGACTTTCATGCGCCGTTCTCGCAACGCCATCAAACCAGCTTCGGTGCAAATGGCCTTGATATCGGCGCCCGATAAATCATCCTTTGACATAATCAATTCACTGAGATTTACATCGTCCGACAATGTCATTCGTGATGTATGAATGGTGAAAATGCGACGTTTTGTCTTTTCATCGGGCAGTGGAAATTCAATTTTACGATCAATTCGACCAGGTCGAATCAATGCTGGATCCAATGTTTCAATTCGATTTGTTGCCATAATTACTTTAACATCGCCACGTGAATCAAAACCGTCCAATTGATTGAGCAACTCCAACATAGTACGTTGAATTTCACGTTCACCACCCGAATTCGAATCGTAACGCTTTGTACCAACCGCATCGATTTCATCAATGAATACAATGGACGGTGCATGCTCTTCAGCAACACGGAACAATTCACGCACCAATTTTGGTCCATCGCCCAAATATTTTTGAATCAATTCAGATCCAACGACACGCAAAAATGTTGCCGATGTTTGATTTGCAACCGCTTTGGCCAATAATGTTTTACCAGTACCTGGGCTACCATATAAAATGACACCTTTTGGTGGTTTAATGCCCATTTCTTCATAGTATTCCGGATGCGTCAATGGAAGTTCGACGGATTCTTTGATCTCTTGAATTTGTGTGTCCAAACCACCAATATCGGCATAAGTTTCTTGTGGTGCTTTTTCCAATTTCATAACGGTGACCATTGGATCGGTGTCATCGCCCAATACACCAACAACAGCATGCACTTTGTGATTCAACAATACCGAACAACCGGGCTCAAGTTGATCTTTATCAACAAACGATAGAATACTAACGTAATGCTCACTACCGACCGATGTCGAAACAATGGCATGATTATCATCGATTATTTCTTCGAGATTACCAACCGACATTGGTGTACCACGCAAATCATCGACCTTTGATCGTTCCTCTTCGTTTTTCTCATCTTGTGGCTTCAATCGTTCTTGATTCCGAATAAATTCCTCTTCCATCAATAGATAATCTTTGATACGTTCAAGTTTTAACAACTTTAATCGACATCTGGTATGCGGTGTGACTTGTGGTAATTTCATTGCAGCGTCTGGTCCCTTTGCCTTGCGCTTCTTTTTGCCGACGCGCGTTGGAATCGGTGGCTCATATTTCTTCTTTTTATCCTTGTCATCCTTTTTATCGCCGCCTCCTCCACCACCAGATTGGTTTTGGCCCTAAATCATTTTTGTGACGCATTCAAATAAACAGAAGATAAAAAAAAATAAATTAATTGAAATGTCAATTTTGCATTGCACACACATAACCTTATAAATTTTTATTACAAAAATTAAGAAATGCTATCATCTCGAATGGATAATATTTTGATTTGAAATAGAATGAATGGATCTCAGTTAAATTTCCATCCCATTTAATTCAATCACAGAGAAATAATATCAATTATGAATTGCACAGAATATGTACAAACAAATGAATAGTTTGAATCGGAAACAACAGTGAATCCAATGAAATACAACATAATTTCAAGTGAATTTATGATTAATTTTTAAACAAATTATCGAACTTATTTGTAATCTGTACATTTTAAATTGTTTTTAATGGGTACGAGCAAAAATATATTACCATTTTGTATTATTGAATTTGTAAAACAACTAAGCTCTGCTTTAACTACACTTCAATCGCTATTTTCTGAAAGTAGAAAACACAAAGTCATCGTAATACAACGTAAAACTCTGACGTTAGCTGCTTTTGCCGTATTCGTTTCAATTCCACTGTTTCACTTTTCAATGCGATTGACAAGTGAATTAACACAACCAACTTCATGACAAACGCAATAAACACCCAATGTATGTGGCGACAAACAATAATATAAGATAAGTTTGAAGCGATTCGTGAATTGTTGTGCGGAATAGTATTTGGATTATTAAAAATAATGTCATCGGAGAAAAAGAAACGAGTTGATAAAAAGAGTCGATTAACAGAAATCGAAAAGCCACGAGGTTTTGATCGTGGTTTGGAATTAGATGAAATTGTTGGTGCCACCGATTATACGGGAGAGTTAATGTTTTTGGTGCGATGGAAAAATTGCACCGAATTGGATTTGATGGCGGCGGCCGAAGTAAATGAAAAAAGTCCACAAGATGTGATTAAATTCTATGAGAATCGTTGTCCATTAAATCGTTTGGCCAAAGATCGAGATGTTCCAAACATTCCCATCATTCCGGATCCAAATATGCCGCCGATCATATCGAAAGTTGAACAAGCCGATGAAGTGACTGAAGCACAAGTACCAGAATAGAGCTGTATATGAATTGAAATTATTAAATACTAAGACTTTTAATATATAGAAAATAAAAGGCACATTTGTCATGGTAGTTTTTTTTTCATTCATTCATTTATTATCGACTGTGTCATCATCACTGCTAATAATAAAATAAAAATTCAAAATTTATTTAACAAGAGGAAAAAATCTATAAACAACTCGTTGTTTTATTCTTATTCACTATAAATCGTTTCGTTTTGAATAGACATGGTCTAAATTGAATTTTCCAAGTTCTCCACTGCGAAAAGCTCGTATAAAATGTCTAGCTGCATAGTCAAAATCGGGTCTAAGTTTCGTCGTTCCATCTGGATGATTGAATTTCATACTTTTGTTCAACATCAGTGCACCGGACAGTAGGACTTCTTGAATTGAATCGGTTGGTTCTTTCAAATTCATAAGTTGAACATAATCGAAAAATCCATTTTTATTTAGCCAATATAAAATATAATCGGCAATTTGAATTTCACCAACAAGATTATCTTGCATACAAGAAACGCTTGCCAATTTCATGCCATGCTCTAAATTTCTTATGTGTGGCGTTAATATACCAGGTGTGTCATACATGTAAATCAATGGTCTTATTGAAATTTTAATTCGTGTCAAAACACTACGCGTAACACCGGCAATAGCACCCACTTGACTCGCTCCTTTTGCATTCAAATGACGATTTCGTAGTACATTTGTTAGCGATGATTTTCCCACATTTGGCACACCGATAATCATAAGATTGAATTCGGGTTGTTCGCTACGATTAAAACGATTCGAACCTTGAATCAAACGTTTCGCCGTTGGTACGATACTTTTGATACCAAGACATTGTTGATCCTTACAATTTGTGAACAGAACATGATCGATACCTTCGTTTGTTTGAATGTCTTTGGCTATTGTTTGATATGTTGATTTGTCACCCAAGTCTTTTTTATTCAATACCAAAATATGAGGGCGTACGCCGGTGACGGTGTTTTTAAAATCAGGATTTCGACCTGAATACGGGATTCGTGCATCATGCACTTCGATAACACAATCGACCATTTTCAATTTTTGCTGCATTTGACGTAATCCTTTTCCTGAGGCCGAACCGGAAAAGAAACATTTAAATAATGGAAATTAATAAATGAGTAAATGAACCATGGAAAATAATCGAAAGAATGGATAGCAATTCTTCTGTAATGCTTCTTTAGTAATTTTTACCCATATGTCCAGGAAACCAATGGACAGAAGTTTTATCCACCGCCTTAAACACATCACGAAATTTATACGACATTTTTTTTTTTAATTTAGAAAAACAAAAGTCTTTTAATAATTTGTATTGTTGTTCAATAAAAAATTTATTTTGAAATTCTTGAATGTTGTTGACTTTGACTGCTGCTAGTTTTGGTGAGGTTAGGTTTGCACATAATAAATTGGAAAGAACTTTGACAGATGTCGCGGTTAATACAAATATAAATAGTGAAATTATTCAATTGGATTTTAGTAGCTCTTGTAAAATTGGTCTGGATAGTGAAATATCAGCCCGATCATTTGATTCCTTCATGAGTGCTTTTACCAATTTTTCAAATTCACCCTCCTTTCTACGTCTTGCCTTTTTCGTTACTTTATCATATTTATCGATCACTAATTTACATAGTTGTCGAAGCTCTGTCGGATCTCTGATCACTTTTAGATTATTCTCTTCTACAAACTGATGAGAGGAAAAAATCACATTTTTTTTCAATTGATAGGCGCTTCTATAAAATGCATTTTTAGTAAACAACAAAATTTATTTAGCTCTAACCTGTCTTGCTGAAATCTTTGGATTCTTAATCACTTCAAAGATGATATTTTTAGAAATGGCGGTATTTATAACATCTGCTTGTATCATTTCAATAACCTCTGTGAAATTTTCATCGGTCAATGAGCTGAAAAGATGCAAAATGTTATTGATTTATTTTCATTTATGAACTGTATTCAGTTTATTCACCAATCCTGTGGTTTGATTTTTAATTTATTGCATGCGCCGAGCACTTGGTATTTTAGTAATGTTGTGGCAATTTTAATCATACTTTCGCTCGAATCCTTCTGCATCACACTTAAGAATAAGTTTAGTAAATTTGCGTATTTCTGTAAAAACAAGTTGAATGTTTATTTTATTTTTTGGTCAACATTTATCAATAATATCTTTCGACTCGATAATACTAACCACCATGATTTCAATTTCTTGTTGCTGTAGATTATAGCCACTGAGTGTTTCTCTTGTCAAATCCGGCATTTCTGGTATGCTATCGCGTATAGCGTCCATGTCAATTGAATCTAAATTCAATGGTGGTAGATTTGGTTCGGGCATAAATCGATAATCCTGTTACACAACAATAAATTCCAGTCTATGTTTCATACATAACATCCGAAAAATGTACGTAAATACCTGTACAACTTCTTTGTCACGCATTGAAATTGTTGTACCGGTCTCGTCATCCCATGATCTTGTTTCATTCACTATTTTTCCGCCACTTTCAATGACTTGTATGTGCCTTGAAATTTCATATTCAATTGCTTTGGCCACACCACGAACCGATGCAATGTTTTTTACTTCGCTGCGAATTCCGAATGGTTCGCCGGGCCGATGAATCGAAATATTTGCATCACAACGCAAAGCACCGGGCTTACAGGAGCAAACACCCAATCGTGTTAATATTAATGACAATTCTTTTAATAATGATGCAGCCTCTTCGCCCGTTGATAGATCCGGTTCAAATACAAGTTCCATTAACGGAACACCGGCTCGATTCAAATCCAAAAGACTCCTACAAAAAAAAATTGTGAGTTTTCAATGCTTTTGAACATCAAAATATGAAACAAAACGACTTACGTTCGCGTTCCGGGAAAATGAATTGATTTTCCACTGTCTTGTTCCAGTTGGATTTGATGTATTTTTGACGATTTCAAATATGGTTTTTTTACATTTGATACGAAGAATGTAATTTGACCGTTCACAGCAAGTGGCAAACGTTGTTGTGTGATCTGATATCCAGCCGGTGAATCGGCGTAAAAATAATGCTTTCGATCGAACATTGAAATTTGATTGAGTTCACAATTTAAGACAGTGGCCGTTCTCACAGCTGATTCGACACACTGACGATTTATTCGCTGTGAACATTCACCAAAATTACATTTTTATTTTTTGGAAGACGTGTTTTTCATAATTACCGGTAATGTTCCTGGTGTCGCTGCATCAAACAGGGAAACGGCTGTATTTGCTGGTGCCGTTGGATTATTTGGTGCGGCCGAAAAGAGTTTGCTATTTGATAAAATTTGTGCATGCACCTCGACACCAACGACACTTTTGTATTTACCTCTATTCAAATTTGAAAAATAAACCATGCATTTCGGTTTCAGAAGAAAACAAAAAAAGAAAAAAATTCAAATTAACTAACGATCGTAGAATCTCCGATGTGGAATTCCATCTGCCAGATTGTACCAGTCCATGATGTAATTTCAAATTGTTTGTCAACTTAATCAAATTCATTTTCGTTCCGAAAACAAAACACAATTCAAATTATCCAACACCATAACCTAAGTGCGCCGATTGAAAACTATATACACACTCTCACACACTGATGACTAACCGAAAGAGTAAGAGTGAGATGGAAAGCGAATAGTAAAAAAAATAAACGGCAAATGACGTTTTGACGTTCAAATGTCATGTGTGTATGGTGAATAGAGTGGAGTGAGCGAATGAGTAACAATGTGTGTTTTTCCAATGCATGTTACGCATGCGCGCACACATTGATACACATCATAGTGTCAATGAAGTGATAGCGAATCGAAGAGCAGTCGTAGAGCTAAGAAAATGAACTACACTGTGCAGTTGCTTTCATCAATTTTTGTAACAAAGGTGTGGTGTTTTGTAAACTCATCCAAATGAATTGCTTCGATTCAGTCATAAATATCTATATTTAAAGATTGAAACTTTGAAAAAAGAAGAAGAAATAATCGAAGAAAAGGAATTTACAGGAAAAATTCAAAAAGTGTGGAAAAAAAATCAGGAACTCTTTGAATCAAAACACAAACACAGTGAACACAAAAAAATTGAGTGACTTTATCTTCTTTTTTGTGTGTAAATAAGTGAAGAGAAAATATTGTATTTGTGCAACAAACCAAAAAAAAAACGATGTAAGTATATACAACCAAAACTATGCGAACATAGTACAAATTTGATTGGACCGTGATAGATAGAAACAACCAAAAGAGAGTCTATGTAGTTATTTGGGTGAAGGAAAATAATTTGGTTGCATATGACGCGAGTGTGAATTTTAGCAAATAGTGAGATCGAATGAAAAGATTTTCACAACAACCGAATGAAGAGGAATGAAAAAGATTCTATTGTTTAATCAATTTTGTCATTGACATGATATAAACAATGAAGTGAAGCGAGTGTTTGTGTATGTATATGTGGTTGTTTTTTAAATTTAAATTTATTCGCTGGCTGATGAACATGAATACAGTTGCATAAATAATAATAATAACAAAGTAATGAGGAAAAAGTAATGTATGGAGAGTGAGAAACACAGAGAGAGAAACGGTTACAATGTGTTGCATTTACACATATAATTGCAAAAAAAAAAAACCATGAGATTTATCATGATTGAGACAATTTAAAGCAAACAAAATGTGTGTCCATTAATTTTGTGACGTCAATATCGTAGTAAAAGGAATGGAACTCCTACGCAAAATTCCGTGTGCACTTCCACCTATGCGCATATTTGAAGGCTGTGTGTATTTAATGCATAAAACAATAAGAAAGAAATACCTTGCGACGTTTTGTGGGAAATAAAACTCTCGTTTTTTTTTATCAATAAATCGTACTCATTGATTTTTAACCGCTGGCGATGACAATGTTTTATGCGACGCATAAATGAGCGAATAAAAACAAATTTATAATGCGTTCGACACATACACACATGCATATGCGATATAGATAAATGGCAAGGCATCACATTACATTCACAATATTGAATTGCACAGCGAGTATAATTCGTCTTCCTTCTTTTAAAAAAGAAAAAAAAATATGGAAGAGTCGAGCGCATACACACATGAGAGACCATATTGTGAGTGAATGTTTCGCGGTTGATTATTACTATTATTATACATCGTGGTTCGATGGAAAATTGTGTACGACGAAACGAAAACCGAGAGCGAACGTACTGAGACTGCGTGCATATTTTGGTATTGGGGATCCAATAATAATATTTTTGTATTAAAATACAAAATGCGTGTGAGTCATCGTCGTCATCGTACAACAATCCAACCAAAAAACACATTTTCTTTTTTATGAAATTTAAGCTCTAACGCCGCCACCTCCACCGCGTTGCTCATTTTTCTTCTGGTGAATGCGATTTTCTTCGTTTTTTGAAGAATCAGCGACATTTTTCTGTTTGGTTACGATTTTCTATGCCGTTAATGAGCTGGTTTAGTAACTAAGACAACTAAGAATATGAAAGAGCATAGAGAATGAAAAAGAATGCGATTACAACACCAAAACATACATACCGCTATACTTATTTTTGGCATCAACATTTGCCGAAATCAAAGGAAAAAAACACCCAAACAACGTTCAAAACATTTGAAAATAAAACAAAAATCATAATTGCTGTTTACTATGACAGGCATATACAGTATCGGAAGCAAATTCATTGCTCTTACTATTTGTTGTTGTTGATGATGATGATCACACTCTCCGCTGTTGTGGAGCAATGAAAAGCAACAAATATTCGATGTTTATATCGGGAATTTGCTAAAAATCGAAAAGCAAAAGCCGCATATCGTTGTCGCGACCAATGTACATCAACAAATCGAAAAGAAGCAGCAAAAAATAGAAAGCGCTTCAATTTTATGCGTATACAAATGCAAACATCTGTTGTAAAACTCTATTTACTGTTAAATGCGAGCAAAATAGCTAAATGTACGAACCACATTTGAAAATTAACATACTATAGTTGTACAGAGAGGAAAAAAAAGAGTAAACACAACGCAAAGGCAACGCGAATGCGTTTGTGTATGAGCTACAAATGGATGATTAATGAAAATGCAGCAATTTTTAATGAATGGGTGAGGAGGACAGAGTGAGTGAGTCATTACGGTTTGTGTTGTATCGCTACGAATTAATACAAAAATTAAACATTCAAATTGGTTATAAAGTGAAATTGGTTTGAACATTATCAATTGGCTTTAGCCGTTTTTTTTATCTTTGTACAATGCGATGTACAAATATCGAAACGTTTCACCATTGGCTGTGACATTCTTGTCTTCTAATACTCTTTTTTTCAGCTGTTCATATTTACAATTGATTTTTTTATCAATTTTCAAATGAAAATGGTATGAATTATATCCTGGATCAATGTTTGTAAATACAATCAATCAATTGAGTCATAATAACAGTTTAAAAATCTGCTTAATTCATACTTTTGGTAGCTACTTAGTTAGTTTGTGATTTAGTACGTGTGAGTGTTTATGATGATGAAATATATAATTAATATGCCGGCCAAACTGTCGCCTCGAACACCAATTTGACTGTCGAATTGGTACGACGATGCTATTATAAACATCGTTAAAATGTATTGAAAAAAAGGCAACGAATGTTCGACTGAACGTTGAATTAAATTGAAGGTTAAACCCATTCTTTTCGTATCTATTTCAATTTAGACTGTCGATACGAATAATATGCCAACGTATTTTGTTTCTGAATAAAGTAAATCTGAGTAGTTCACTCTTTTTTGGACTTTATTCAAAGTATAGAAAACCATGGCATTTTAAGCACAATAACACACAATCCCAATTGAGGCATATAGAAATTAAGAAAACAAAAGAGGAAAAAACGACACTCGTATTGAAAACGATAAATGCAGCGTGGGTATAATTTATGTGCAACCAACAACGTTCAAGATTACGGCGGGCGCTGCATAAGTGATTTTCGAGTGTGTATGTGTGTTTTTTTTAGTATTTCTCTTTCTCTCTCGTTTTCAATTTTATAACATTGTACAGAGACTTTTTCGCCTTTTTGTAGAACAAAGCACTAAGTACTTTTTTTCAGTTTTAGCGTCGTTCAGACGCGACAAATGCAAAATATCACAACTTTATATAGATATCTCTTCTTATTCTATTATACAAATGGAAACGAAAATGCTAAAAACCGAAAATGTCAAAGTCCATCTTCTACACATAAACGTATTGTGCAAATGTTTTTAAAGTAAGTCCAAAATTCTACAAAATAGAATGAAACCAAAATGACGGGACGGTTTTCAAACGATAAGAAGACACATTACGCATATTCAAAAGTGAGATTGAAAAGGGAGAATAATCAGATTTAAAGAAAAAACGAAGACGACAAAAAGAAATGAAGCCGTTGTTGCTTGCTCAATTTGAATATGGTGAATAGCATTTCCTTAAATAAGCCTGGCTTTGTAATGTACAATCGTCTACATTGTATTGTCTAACGAAATAAAAAAAAACATTGTAAAGTTTTGTATAATGTGTATGCTCTTGTGAGTTGGAAATATAGGAGCAAAGGAGCAAAACACTTAGGACATTGCTTGTTGATGGAGTTTCTCATTTCCCGAGAATCTCATTTCAAACGAAATCAAAATATGATGAAACCGAAATGAAATTATAAAAAAACCATATGGTGGCAACACTTCTGTAAGTCGAAAATAAATAAAACAAAAATGATCGTCGACATCGCGTCAACTCATAATATTGTTTATGTGCGTTCTTTCGCTCATGTGTGTATATTTACAAATGCCGCAAAGCGTTATTTGGCTCATAGAAATCACATTTTTTTTCTAGTTCGTTCGTTGTTCGCGCCGATTGAAATGTTCATGGCATAAAAGAATAAACACAAATCTAGCGCATAAAATTACTTTTAAGAGTCTCTCTCTTACTCTCTCACTCTCTCTGTGTGTGTCGGTTTTGGTCTGTCTCTTATACATATGCACGCAAGCGAAGCAATAAAAGACAGCTCACTAATTTGTTGTTCGAGCTCATTTTATGTAAATGGATACTAGATTCTCTTGCCAAATGTAAACCGATTCACATTTAACCATGCGCCCGAGATTTAGACAAAAACATGCCGATGATAAGAAATGGAACGACATTCGATTGCGTTGAAGTGTGGTTTTTTTTAGAATTTAGCACACACACGCGCGCCCATTTTCCAATCCTCTTAATTTATTCATGATGCAGTTTGCCCCCAAAAAGAAACGAAATGCATCACTTAAATATTGGAAAAATGGCAGTTCAATATTCGTTTGGTAATGTGAATTAAACAAAATGTCGTCGCTATAGCGTTTTTGTCGCATGAAAGAATTTTTCAAAGAATTTAAATACGTATACAGAGCATAATAATTTTTTTTTCTCGCCTTTTTTTATCTCTCTACCAAACGAATCGAGTTGGGAGAAGCCTTCAAAGCAAATCCGTATTTTGACATAGCATATTGAGACCAGCGCGTATGCGACCATTCGTATTATATGCATGTGATGTTACATTATTAAATGGTTATATATAAATTTTTGAACACACTCTTGCAAAGCGCAATTATGGCATTCTCTTTTTTTTGTATTTTGCTCTTAATGTACGTATGCATAGATTGCAAACGGTTGTTCAACGGTATTATATTCACAATCTGTATAATTTCGCGGTACAGACACATTGCCACATGCACTGAACACACAAAATCAACATTAAAAATAACGAACACACACACGCGCGCGCGACGCATATAGTTCTATGACCATTGATTTAGTTTATAAATTTGGAGCATAAAAATACGCTCAAGAGAAGCACCAAACTATCTGACCATAGAGTTGTATCGATAAAATACATGGTGAATGATGAAAATATCTAATTGCCACAGTAAAGTGAGAAAATTTCATTTGCACGCGAAAACATGCGTTTGAAGAAGTAAAAAAAAGTTTGAATAAAAAGAATGATACCAGAAGAAAGCCAAGTAATTAAGATGTTCATTAAGACAAACAAATTATCGTTGATTATCAAATTAAGCGACCAAATGCAATGAACTCTCTCTTTCGCTTCCACTTAATAAGGTGGAGAGAAAGCCCTCATGTTCATAGCAAAAAAAACGAGCTGAAGAAAAAGTTGAAAAACGTCAGGAAAAGTGCAAAGCATTTTACAACAGTATGTTACGTAAATTTAAAATCAAAGACGATAGACACAAATGCAAGAAAATTGACGCTGAAAACACACTGACACACGAGAAATAGAGACATGAACAACCGCGACAGTGAAGACGTACAGTTCGACAGAAAGCACGATTTTGGCCACTGTTAAACTGCCGATGAAGAAGAAAGGAACACTTTGATGTATGCAATGGTTGAAAGATTCATGCGATCGCACGTAAATTATACATATAGTAAAATGTGCAGTACTTAGTGTCCACGAAAAGCCAAAACAACACATTTCTCGCAAATAATAGTGTTATTCGGCGAGCAAAACTAGAAGCAGTGACGCGCGCGCGTATCTTTTCCAATTGTACGTTGAATATTTTCTATGTGGAAAACAAACGTATGAACGTTAAAAGAAACAACAGTGTAAAAAAAAAGGAATGATAATGACGTAATTTTCTTGTAAGGGAAAAATCGATTCGGATGTGGATTGTGGCATTTTACCGTACACACATTCACACACACACACAACAAGTTTTCCCCTTTTTTCACTCTCGCACGAAATGTCAGCTAACATTAGTGAAGCACATATTTTTGCGTGCTATCTTTTAAGCAATTGTCCGATGTGAAGGAAACAATATAAAAACGACGAAATAAAATAGTTTTTTTCTTTTTTCCAAAAGACAAATTGTAATTTTCCCAAATCGTTATACCACTAAAGTGAGAGCACACGAAAGTTTTCTTTTTTTCATTTTCATTGAATTAAATTGAAATTGAAATAATATTGGAACAGGTATGTAAAATTGAAGTAGCACACTGTAGTGTAATAAAAATGTGCCTGTGTGACAATCAGAAAAATCCCATTGTAACGACGATTATAACCACAAAGAAAAAAAGAAAGAAAAAAAAGTTATCGAAGAAAATGCAAAGAACATTGGTAAAATTGAAGTGGGATGACTGTAAAGTGCTTCATTGCGATTTTTTTTTTCTCGCATCAGTTACGATAAAATCGATGAAATATAAGCTTGAATTTGTTATGAAATCGTCTATTGATCGGGTTATTTCGTATGACTCTTATGCTTTTTTTTCGATAGAAAATTATTAGTTTACTGCTCCAAATATCCATTCAAAAAGAAAGGAAAAATCCAGACAACGTTACGGTGTGTTTTTGATGGTGTTATTATTATTAACTGCATAGCAATTTAATTTGGGATTTTTTGATGCGAAACTAATCGAAAAATCTATTGATTTTGGACTGTATTCCGTCTAATCGTCTGTCATTTCAAACAAAAAAAATTCTCCAGAAATTCCATTTCAATTGGATTACACGACATGAACTTTGAATAGACTTTTAGATTGAGTATGTGAAAGAAATGTCGTTTCGCCTATTGTGAACCATCGGTGTGTGAGTGTTTTTATTGGTTTTGTGGATGGAAAAGTAATGATATTTTCATTTTTTTTTGTCTGCCATAATGACTGTCTGCCGGGATTACAGTTAATTGCCATCGGTTTGTGATTGTTATCTCAACAGTTAAATCAAAGTCAAAATTCACTGCATAATATTTGACATCAAATATTTTTACAGTGATAAGCAAATGTAAAACGCGCATTGACTTCTGTTGCCCTTATTTATTAGTTTATTTATTTATTCATCGTGTATATATATACATTTAAGCATGTGTAATAGTTGTCATTCGTTCATTTCAACCGAACATTTGTTTGTGATGCGCCAAATGATGGAAGTCAATTTTGTTCGCATCGCAATTTGTTTTGATTTAGCTGAATTTGAATCGAATGTCAACCGACGACGAAACAACAAAAATTTTAATCAAACAAATGTTTGAGTAAGCCTCTGTGTAATGTGTGCCACATATTCGGAAAAAGTCAGTGCGATGAATTCATATTTACTTACCACTCGACCGTCGTATTGCATATCATAGTTTGAATTGAGTATGTATCATCATGACTTTTGTGTATTTGACAATAATATTCGTCATGCGCCATCTCAACTGATATTGTCTGACCGAATTATTATTATGATAGCCAGAGAAAGACAAAAACAAACAAACTTTTTGTTTTATATTTTCATATTTTTGTTAATTTCATTCAATTTATTTGTATTCTTTCGCTCACTCCTGTTTCATTTCATTTTTTTCCCCTTCTAGATTCGTTTACTTTGTATTTTTATTTACATTTATAATATGTTTTGGACTTAAGTCTTGATAACAATCAGTTTTACACACAAAAAAAAAGAAATTGCGCAAAAAAAAACGATGATATTTGATTTAATTTCAACCAAGCGGATTACTCATAGATTGCGTGAAATCGGTAAGATGAATGCAAATGCATTTTGGTCTTGCTGCTACTTTATATCTTCAACACATATCTAAAACCGAAAAGCTCGCTGCGGAATGCGTATCAAAGACTAACTCGTACTATTTTTTTGTTTTTTTTTTTTTTTTTTTGCTTCTTTCGGCGCAAATAACAATATGCAAAAAAATATGATGTGACTAATGCCATTTGATTTTATGTAGAAAAATTATCAAGTGATATGATTAACTAACCGAACGCATGTTCAAATAAATCATTAATTTGACGAGTGTACAAAATGAATAAATAAATTCATCACCTCTTTCTCTCTCTATCTCTTCCTTTTTCTTATGTGAAAATGAATAAAAATACAAAATAGGAACAAAAGTAATTCGTGGTATGACTGAAAATCCAAATGAAACTCTTTGCTCGACACAATTCTACAATCAAATCAAACGTGAACTGACCAATTCACCGTGTACGAATGATGTCGCACTTGGCTTTTACAATGGAAACGTCGATTCGACAACATCACAATTGACCGATTCACATCTCAAGTATAATGTGCACATTGTGTTGGAAAATTTGAAAAGGAGCGCCGAAAAAACATATCTGCATGATAACGCAAACAATAATAACGGCAACATTAAAACAAATAGCAGCAGAAACAACAATAACAGCAATAACGTGAGCAATCAATCCGTCAGAACGATAGACAATAATCAAAGTAATTTGAAGAACGTGAAAAATTCGTTCGGCGGAAAAATGTCAAGTCCAGAATCGGATTGCAACAGTAATGTACATGCGAATCCATTGCAACAGCTTGCCTCCTCGATCGCTTCATCACATGATTTTACACACGACAATTCCGATTATCAATGGTTTCTAGATTATAAGTAAGTATTATTATTAACAAAGTCCATTCGAATTGCTGTCACATGAATAAACAAACTAACAACATTTTCGATGCGAACAAAAACTTGATCAATTATGTTTTTGATTTATTTATATGTATGTTTTTTTTTGTTTGCAGTTATCGAGAAAATAATGTTACACATCAAAGTGTGCTGTCATCATTGTCAGCCTCTTACAATGGAATTGGTGAACTATCGTACTATGATGATTTGGCAAAAAATATTGACGCCAATTTGGCCGGCGTTGATATGGAAAGCTTTCGAGCCGAAGATATCAATTTATTTTTATCAACCATACCGAATATGTGCAAATCAAATGCAAAAAAACAACAAGAAAAAGAGCTGGATAACTCAATTTTCAAGTCAAAACAACTTTTTTCACCGGTTAAAGAGTCCATACTCAGCGTTGATTCGCTCGATATGGATTTTTATGCAGAAGACTGTGATATGATTATAACATGTCAAGCAAATAAAAATAATTATACAATTGCATTTGAAGGGAGCACCATGTATTCGGACGAAAGTTTCTATGCTGATGCAAATAAGGATGGGCTACGAAAGAAAATCGATGGTAATGATATGACAACAAATAACATTGGTGACATTGTTAAAAAGAAGGCATTGGAAGTGTCACTATGTCGTTCAGAGTCCGGATTCACCACATGGAGTAAATTGAAAAAAGACAGTTCGACCCAATTGCACAGGTTGGTTGACCATATTTTACTTTCATTTCAATTTTTGTTTTCGTCAAGAGCCACACATAAAATGATAACGATTTTATTATAAATTTCATCTAGGTATCCATCGGGTAATAATAATATGAATGTTGGTGGTATTCGACATTGTTATAATAATATGCATGTGCGTAAAAGTAGTAGCCTTCCAAATTTGCAAGTGGATCAAGATGAAACGAAGGACAATTTGAGATGTGATACGGTGAGCAATTCAACGATTGATTCGTTTGGAAAGCAACGTATTCTTCCAATGTGTCAAATTGTGGATTCATCATCGCAAAGTGATAGTCCACAACCATTGCAAGCATCATCGTCAAGCAATGGACCGCAACAAAATCAACCATCATTCAATCTCGTTAAATTGTTCATCAAACAGAAAAGCAGCTCAACCGATACATGCATGGATGTATCGTCTGGCTGTTGGCCAAGTGATTCAAGCTCATCGGTTGAAAATCGACAACGTAAAAAGAGTATGTATGATTCGGGCAAAGGATCAGCATTGAGTAAACATGATGAAGACACCCATGAGGCTGAAATTCAATATGATAGCTTGGATTTACCACAACAAAAACAACCCACCAATACGGCGAATGATAATAACATAAATTCGCCAGCAAAACGTAACACATCACAATCAAACGATTTGTATCGTGAAGTGTTTGATTCACCGTCACATCGTAAATACAAAGAGTTCAATTTAAATATTCGCAATCAGCACCTGGCCAATGTGAATAACAACAATTCAATGGACCGTGATAGTTTACGTGAAACGATTAAAAGTCTTTCAGATGCTAGTCGAACATCCGATAATATAACGCAGGTGTATGCAAAGACAAAACTTCCACTCGATATGATTACAAAATCGATGCAAACATCAAAAATTGATGAGGGCGTCAAAATTGTGCCACCATCATTTTTAGCTCAACTCAATCAGAACAGTAAAACAAATGAACAACAACAAGCGCCCGTTTACGTAATTTATCCAAATTATGCATTGCCCGATTTGACATTTGTGAAAAATTACCAAAGCCAAATAGTGTTATCGCCACTGGGATTGAAAGAAACATTTGTGAAAAAACAGCGACCACTCTCAACCAATGACATCGAATACATTAAAAAGAAAGACTACAAGCACATTGTCGATTGGAAATCGTTGGCACCATTGTTGCCATTCGAGTACAAGAGAATTTTGCAACACATTCCCGAAGTGCAAAACATTATGAACGATCCGAAAATGTCACAAAAACCAATGTTCTGCATGAGCCCGCCCATTCGACGAAGTCGACCAATGTCGTGTGATTGTAGTAGCTACTGCACGGATTCATCAACCGGTTCAAGTCAACCGCCAAGCTCTGGCTACCGTGGCTCATCAACAATGCTCACCGATTCCGAAATTGACGCCTTGTCCACCACCAATAGCGGCAACAATAATCGCATCATCGATGAAAATGCATCGGAATTACCACCATCAGGGTGAGCAATTAATTTTAAATTTTTTTTTTAATTGAATCTCTTTACTTATTATCGAATTATTTTGCAATTTGTTTGTTATTCATATTTGTAATTATTATCAACAGCTATATGCGACGCGGCATTTTGCGACGAGCCAATTCCAACACAAAATCAAAGCGAAATAGCATGATAGATGAAACAGCTACCACACAATCATCAGCGGCCCTAAGAAATCGAATGGAAAAACGATGCAGCGTTCAAGATCCATATTATGCACCCGATGCATTCAATACACAGTATTATCCATACAGCGGTGATATTTTCGATCTAAATGCGTTAAAAAACAATTTACGAAGCGAAAAAACCAAAGAGCAATTGAATATCGAGCATAAGGAGTATGATGATGAGGCGCGTAGCCGTGTTGAACAATTTTTGAGCAGTGTACCAAAGTCTGAATTGAAATATTATGCAGAAGTTGCAAACATTTTAGAATCAATCGACAGTATTAGTGATATTTATGATCGTAACAAGTTGAAAAATGAAGTGAGTCGGGCTCTAGCTCAAAAGCACGTATCATTCGATCGTGATTCTTGCCAGTATTTAGCCGTTAATAGTAATGACATTCGTAATGCCAGCCGATTGATGACTGGCCGTGGCTTTGTAACGCCGCCAAATTCACCGAATATTTCGATATCAGCGGCACGCGGCAATATCGAACAGCAGCAAAAGAGCGCCAAAAAATCAAAGCAAGAAAAAATCCAAAGTAATCGCTTCAAGCGTTTACAAATCCAATGGGAATTGTTGAGCAAAGATGCTCAACAAATGGAGAGAGAATTGTTTAAAGAGACTCGAAGCGGTGGCAATACACCAACAACTACAACTCAAAATATGGTACCCAGATCGAAAATTCCACGGCCTGTCAGCTATCCAGCAAGCAAGTATGTTCGATTGAATCCTTGTTTTTTTTTTTTTTTTTGAAAATTCTAATCAATTTCAATTTTATTCGATTCAGATCGAGTGCAACGTCTGCCGCCAATAAATCATCGCCATCACCAAGTCGAATAGCGACACCGAAGAAAGTGAATATTGCACCAAGCACAACACCCGTTTCTCGACCAAGAACGCCCAGTAAATTGTATAATACTCCAAAGAAAACCTCACCAATGATAAAGTAAGCAGCATATCGCGAAAGCGTTACATTACGTACTACAAAGAAAAGAAAAAAAAACAAAAACTAAATACGAACAAACATGTTCGATAAAAAAAAATTGAAGCACATTTCAAGAAAAACATTTCATTTTCTATTTGATTTTCTTATAATTTTCGCCCATCCCAATTCGATTAATTTAATTTATGTATTTTATTTTTTTCTTTACGTTATGACTTTCTCTAAATGATTTAGAACTGGGACACGAACCAAATAGAGCATGTAACGGAGGTGTGCACGTTTCGAGGCGAGCTTATGTTTTATATCAATTTATAATTTCGTGTTGAACTGGAATGTCGAATGTTTTGTACGGCATAATGTTTCATGGATGAGTCCCCGTATATATTTAGATAGTTTGGCGCAAAGAATCTGTGAAAAAATATAACGCTCATTTTTTTTTAATTTTATTTCCACTATGTTATTTATTTTAAAATATGATTTCAATTCACATGCATACACAACACACACACACACACACCCAATTTGTATAAATTGCAACATCGGAGCGCGATGAATTTTTTGCATTGATTTGATTAAACAAATCAACATGAGAGATGCAAATACACATATTTTCAGTGCCATTCTCAAAGATGCTGAAAAAAAGGAAAATAAGCAAAGAAGACGATAAAGAAAATTAGAGTTCGTCATAACATCGTCGACTCAAAAGTGAAAGTAAAAAAAAGTCATAATAAGTGTATTACTTGAATAGAAAATATAAATATATGAGGATTTTTTTAAATAGATTCCTAAACTACATTACACATACAAGTCATACATATGAATGTGTATATTTAAGCATAAATTATTCCAAAAAAAAAAAAAGAACTATGAGAGATGAAAACCAAAACAAACAATAAAAACAACAAAATTAATTATTGTATGAAGTATTTATCGTGAAATGAAAAATAAATAGAAAAAACAAACAAACAGATGAAAAAAAAAATTCTTTTATATTGCAAGTGAAATGAATTTCAAGTATAAATGAAATAAAATTGAAGAGAATTTACAAGAAAATCTACATAAACACCCCACAAAAGCATACAACATCAAAAAAAAAAAAATGAATAAAATTAACAAATTTCACAGAATCTACCTAATTATTCAAATGTAAACTTCTAATCAGTCGATAGAGACAATATTATTTTCTATTTCCACATAATCAATCGTAAATGAATATAGACAAAACGCATCGGCATCACAACTTCACGTGCGAGCACATATGCAAACACATAAATACGTACATTTCTCAATCGCATCACACTTCACCCTCTTATTTCCTGAAGCCACTTCTGCTTCAATTTACATAAATAAAAAAATAAATATGATGACGAGCAATAATTCGAGAACAACTGCAAAAGAAATGCCAATTGGAAAATGACATCTAATACAAATAATTGTTTGTTAAACAAATCATAAAATTGTTAAATTTAAATTCAATGCTGAACGATGAAAATGAATATGGATCGAAATCGATTATGCTATTCCAAAATAAACTAGCGATGTACGTGCTGAATCGTAAAAATTTCCTAATCATCATCGCTATAAATAGAGATGAAACTCAACTTAAAAGCAAAATTTAGATTGATCCAATGTTTTCAATCGTACATAACGTTCTAAATGAAATTAGCTAAGAAATGCTGTTAAATCTCTCGCTGTTGCAAGATTGAGAGGATTGAATTTTTTGTTTGTGAAACACAGATAAATGTGTGCTTACTTCATTTGAGTATAACTTTGGAATGAAAGGAAATTTAATTGAATGTAAAATGTTCAATTTATAGAACAAATCCCAATGATTGGCATACTTACGTATTATAAACAATACATATTACACATACACATTTCATTTCTTTGAATTGTTGAATATACAAATTTCCTTCCTCAAAAGAATAACAAATATATTCTCCATTAAAAATGTTTCCTAAAGTAAGTGTGCCATATGCAATTTTGACGTATATTTTTTATATGGAAAGATTTTCTTTTATGGTTTAGCAAAATTATTATCTATATATGGAATGTTTTTTTTATTTAAATATATTTTCCTCGGTTTCTACTTGATTTTAAAGTAGAAATCAATAACAATGGGGCTATGATTGTTATTATGTATTGAAAGACATTTATCGTTGAATTGCCTATTCAATTGACGGTGGAAATGTCTTATAATATTGAAAGAGTATGAGCGAGAGAGAGAGAGAGAGAGAGAGAGCGTGAAGCCTTTGACATCATAATTTTTCATTTTTTTTTTTTTTCGCTTGTTTTTCTCTCTTTTTTTTGGGTGTTTTGCAGAACAATGTTGGATTATATACACAAAAATGAGAGAATTTGATGAAAAAATGAAAGAAATCAGCAAACATTTAACCATAAGTTATAACAAACAAAACTATAACATGAAAAACCAAAAGAATGGAACAATTTGCTTGTATTACACAACGCTTATGAGAAACAAAAATAAAACTTAAACTAAATATCTTGTAAACGCTTCGGTGTACTCATTTATTTTATTTATGATATGAAAAAAAGAGGAACAGCGCAAATCGCTTGGAACATTCAATTCAATTGTGCGTTTCCTTTACTTTCCGAATGAAATGGTAAGTTTTATTGTAAATTGCAGCTTGAACACAATTGTCTTATGCATAACGATTCGTAACCTTTCTCAACTCCAATTTAAACTGATTTACGCATGAAAAAGCATCGAAGAGGTGTGACGATCAAAATAACGAAATAAGAAAATTGGATTGGCCTTGTTATATCAATGCTCAATCAATGCTATTTATGAAAATTGAACATTGCATCAATTAGTTGCTCAATTTGTTGGTTTGATTGTTTTTTTTTTATAAGAAAGAGATTGTTGGGCCGATCCTTGCTGTACTGCAATACAAGGCCAACCCGCGGCTGAGGTGAAGCAAGCTTCTAGCACTCTGCCATTTTCCAAAAATCAGTTTAACATTTGTTGTTCCCCTATGGGGAAACTATCAGATGTTAAGCTGATAAGAACAGATACTACACTTTGATCTTAGCCTTTAGGCCGAGAAGCGATACCGTACCACAGTTTTGGTAGGATTCTTAACTGTTTTGCTAATACGTTGCGTCAGTGAATTATAAACGAACGACGAGTGAAAAAAAAACGACATCAACGAGACCGAACAACTTAACTCGCATTGTCTGTGTGTATACACTATAGCAATAGGCACACACTCGTCTGTGCACAGCAGTGAGCTATTGCTACACATTGATTATGTACAAATGCTCGACTGTGTATTATTTGCGTATCGTGTATTTTGTAAAGATAGAGAGCAAAACCGTTGCAATACAATAAGAACATAATTCTTATGCATGAGAAATGAATTATAATTTTCTTCAGCATTCTTTGTGCGATGAACCTAATGCCTATTAAAACTAGAATAAAACAAAATATTTAGCATCACAAAAAAAGCCAAGAAAATATCCACAATATTTTCGTTTCGAATTGTATGTTGAAATGGTTTTAATTTCCTTGTTTTATCAGTTGAAAATTCAAGTGGAGGGTCACAAAGGGAATCATTTTTAGCACTTTTATCACTTTCTTTCAAGTGGCATTTGTATTTGTTCCGATTGGTGTGAATAAATATAGATATTTACGTAGTATTTGTTTAAATATATTCAAACACACAACAATATTAACTATGAACTATTTAATGGTTTAAACTCACATTTGTGTAGAACATATTTTGTTCATATGTACGTATGTTCCACGTACATTGTATGTTATTCGCGCACAAGCCAAACAAAGTCATATTTTGTGGTAATATTTCATCTATCGACAGTGTGCAACATGTTTTGTACTATTATCGATGTCAGCTGAGCGTTTATCCTGTCCATTATACTTTTAATTTAATTTAATTTATTCGGTTGAGCGGGATTTTGATTTATTTTTGTTGCATTCGTTGTTGGTCGGTCACATATTGTCGGTGGCATTTCTTTTTCTTGTCGTGGGTATTCATTATCAGTTGCCTGTGCTGCACTTCAGATCGGCTTTTATATTTTGCAGTGATGTGTTTCACATAATAAAAATACAGATAATTTTGTGAAAATTATCGTTAATCAACACAAATCAAAGTGTTTTTTTTTTGTTCATTCCAACATCTAAATATAAACAGTACAAATTTTGAATGCTGACACAATGGCTTGGAATAATATTTTATTCAATGTGCTTATTTTCATGGTGACAACCAGTCATGCCATTGAAATATCATTATCGGAGGGATGGACTATCACAAATGCGAATCAAAGTAAAGTTATTTCAGTGAACAGAATTGTAGAGGAAAGCAGACGTTAAACTAATCTGAAATATTTAAATAGGCATTCGAATACACAATGAACAGATTCCATCAGGTGTTTATACAGCATTACAAAACGCAAATATAACCGATTCCGTTTTGAATAGCTACAACGATGTTAATCTGCGATGGATAGCAAAAGACGAATGGAAGTATACATTAGATTTTGGCGGTGAGTATTTTAGAAATGAGAACTATTAGGCTCCTTTCACATTTCATTCTATATAAATGGAACATTTTTCTATTTTTGAAAGGGCAGTTACGGACGAATTACTAAATCATTCGCATATTTTATTGGTGTTTCACGGTCTTGATACAATTGCAACCATATCAATAAATAATCATGAACTATTGCCCAATCCCAATAACATGTTTACACGATATCGCTACGATGTTGCAGATAAATTGATAACGGTAATTTATTTTTAGCATGTAATTACTAATGTGCAGTACAAATATTCATTCAATTAGGTATATTTATACTTTAAGCACCTTACCTGTAAATATTTATAGGACAAAATCGATCAATAGTTGTTTGGAAATGGTTTAACAGTGATTTTACTTTTGCATTTGTGTTTCTAGTCAAATAATTACCTCGAAATCCAATTTCGATCGCCAATTGAAGTGGCTAAAAAATATGCGACCGAAAATAACTTTACGCCACCCGAATGCCCAAATCAACGATACCATGGTGAATGCCATATGAATCAATTGCGAAAAATGCAGGCAAGCTTTTCATGGGATTGGGGTTTGGCTGCTCCTTCCGTTGGCATTTGGTGTGTAAATTACATTTTATTTTATCTCTTAAAATCTCACATTAACTCTTATCTCTGGTCTATGTCATTTGTTTTTCTTTGTCCGCCATCGATAATAGGAAACCCGTTACTTTGGAAGTGTATGATACTGCAATAATTCGTGATATCACATATACATTGCATTCGTTGAACGATGAATGGCAAATTGATGTCTCTGTTTACTTGGAATGTGGCGTTGGTTCGAAATCAATTCGATCATTTGAAGGATATTTATTTGTTGATTTAATTGATTTACCGGAACTTCCTGCCATCGAAAAGCATGTGATCATTTCCCGATCGAAGGTTGATTCATTCAAAGAAACCATTACATTTACTCTGCCAAAACATTTAGTCGAACTATGGTGGCCAAATGGTTTTGGCAATCAAACATTGTATCGCTTGAATGTAACATGGTTGGGTGAAAATCGTGACATATTTACCAATGAAATTAAACAAATTCCAATCGAGTATTTACGATCGGAAAAAGTGATACGTATCGGTTTTCGAACGATTGAATTGCAAGAGGATGATGCAACCGATGGCAATTTATTCTATTTTAATGTGAACGATTTTCCGATATTTATGAAGGGAACCAATTTAATTCCAATCGATATTTTACCGGAAAAAATGTTTAACAAAGAGAAAATCGAATATTTGATACTTTCAGCAAAAGATGCACATATGAATTCGATCCGTGTATGGGGCGGCGGTGTTTATGAATCCGATTATTTTTACGATTTGGCCGATGAACATGGTTTGCTCATTTGGCAAGATATGATGTTTGCATGTGCAATGTATCCAATTCATTCGGAGTTTTTGGACTCGGTTGAGGTAGAAATTTCACAAAATATACGCCGTTTACAACATCATCCATCGATTTTAGTTTGGGCTGGAAATAATGAAAATGAAGCGGCTCTGATTCAAAATTGGTACGGAACACGAAAAGAACAGGCACGTTTCATGCAAGAGTATATTCAATTGTATAAAAATGTCGTCGAGAAAGCGGTACGCGATAACGACCAATGGCACATCTGGTTATATTCATCGCCATCGAATGGCAATCGATCGAATAAGGTTATCAATGAAAATCCACAGGATAATAATCGTGGTGATGGTAAGCAAAGAAATTTATTCCAAATATCTGTGTGTTATGTGTATAGTTGATGAAAACTTTGTTCTCTGTGCATTGTTTTAGTTCATTATTATAACTACATATCGGATGCATGGAATTCAAATATATTTCCGAAGGCACGATTTATATCCGAATATGGTTTTCAAAGCATTCCATCGCTCCATAGTATTCAACAAACAATGTATTCAACGGATAAATTGGATGACCTAATTGATCATCGTCAACATTTTCCATTTGGAAATTTGCCAATAATCACTGCCATCAATCGAAGTTTATTATTACCAAAACAGTCAAGCGCCAATTATTGGGATACATTCATTTATTTTAGTCAAATAAATCAAGCAATGTCAACAAAAATTGAAACCGAAACATACAGGTTGGCAACCTAGTTAAATTGAGTTTTTGCATAAAAGGGGCGAAGAAAGTTTGACATCTCTTTTATTTTACAGAGTTGGACGATTTTTTGAATGGAAAACAATGGGCGCATTATATTGGCAATTGAATGACGTTTGGACGGCTCCATCGTGGTCGAGCATCGAATACAATGGAAATTTTAAACTGTTGCACTATTGGGCCAAAGATTTCTTTGCACCCATCCATGTGGTGGCTAACATCGATGTACTAAACAAATTAAATGTTTTTATTATCAAAGACACCGTTGGCAGAGCTCCCACACTAAATCTATATTTACGCATTTATAACTGGTCAAGTTTGAAACCGGTATTGCAACGAAATTTCGTGATATCAATGGTAAAGCATTTTATTTTGGAAAAACCAAATGTGAACGAAATCATTTTTTGACGCATCAATTATGTTAAATGTGTTTTCTGTTTTGTTTTTAGCCGGAAAAATACGTTGAACGTGTGCTGTTTGAAAATGTAAAAGATTTCTTTAATGATGCAATTAACAGTACAAATAGTTTTATGCATTTTGAACTGAAAGACAAAGAGACCGATGAACTATTGTCAACGAATTTCCTTCTTTTGGACAAATTTAAAAAGAGCAAACAAATTACAAATCCACAATTACAGGTTCATCATTCATTTTTATTCAATTCAATTTCATTGTTTTAAAATTTTAAATAATTTTTGTTTTGTTTTTATCTACTATTTTACTTAGTACACCATCACAAACCAGCATTGTGATCCAAAAACTGGCATTCATTCAGCAAATATTGAGATATCAGTGACAGCACCAGCGATTTTTGTTTACATTAAAATAAAAACGCCGCAAATCGAAACGTATAAGTTATCAAAAAATGGCTTTATTCAACTATCGTCGATGGATTTAGTTACAATATCATTTAATAATCGAAATTGTGCAATGGCATTTACCAACGACGATATACAAATTCTAACCGTTAATGATTTTTTAACAACGTAATTTTTGTTTTCAGTTTTTCTTTAGCGAATTTAACAATCAATTATATATGACTCATCTGGCCGTCGTTTACGTTTTGTCTCATTTTTTTCTCTTCTTTCTTTCTTTCTTTCTTTTTTTTTAAATTTCATTCACATTATTTGCCGGTCGTGACAAAAATGTTCAACCTAAATTGAGTTTGTGATTGATTCGGGTTATTTTGTATAAGCATTTCTACAAAAAAAAAAAATAGGCAAAGAAAAATACAATCAAATAATTTAGAGCAAAATAAAATTATAATAATTACAATAAAAAAAATATAATAATGACATTAATGCAATCAACAAGGAACGGTAAATTCGCTGTTTGTTTTGGGCAATTTTATGACTGCGAATGAACAAAAAAGCAAAAAAAAAAATACAGAAATTACTTAACAAATTTCATGAAAATCTCTATGTCATCATCGAGATCTATGTCAAATTGAATTAATACTAATAAATTCAAAACGAACAACAAAAAAATGCGAATGCTTTTGTGATGCTTAGTCTAAAATTGCCGTGTATGGCAAACTGCTATGTTTCGGTTTTGTTTTATTCACAAACACTTTGATGGCTCCATTGAAATCGGCACTAATCAATACATAACCACAACCTTTTTTACGCTGCTCAACCATTGGATCCTGCGCTATGTTTGAGCTCTAAGTGTGTGCAAAAGGAAAATCGAAAAAAAAAAAAAATTGTTAATGTTGGCGAACAAAGACAAAGAATATGATTGCGCTTACATTTACACTAGATATATCATCGTCGTCGATTTCTGGTTTAATTATTGCCTCGGGATGTGGTGTAAATATTGCACATGTAACCGTTGCATTGTGTGCTTTAATACCTTCCCAGAAATCACTTCGGTCACGTCGCACCTGAAATAGAACATCAAATGAATTAGCAATAAATCTATATATGTATATATTTTGGTGTCGCATTTTAAATTTTCAAAACATACCGAACTTAATTTATAATCGTGATTGGTTTTCCATACGTAGATACATTGATTTTCCGAACCGGCAATGATGTATTTGCCATCATGACTAAACGATGCTTTTATTTGTGATGACGTATTCAAGTAGCCCTTGTATTTACAGCTTAAATTCAAATCACGTAAATCATATAAACGCACCCGACTATCGTTCGATGTTACTAAAATCTTATCCTCGCCGGGCATTGGTTCAATGCCACTGATTTTTCGTCCAGTTTTGTTTCGTCCTCGTGTCGAGCGCACATGAATTTGTGTATGGTATTTTAGATTTTGATCGGTATCATAAAACAAACAACGGCCATCATACGAACCAACGACGGCAAATTTTCCATTTTGACAGAAATTCGCTGCCGTTATTAATTTTGTTTGGCCATCCAATTCATTCCATAGCGTAACCTTTTTATCGGGTATATTCCATAGACGTAGTTTACCATCGAGACTGCCACTTAAAAAGTAACGATCGTCACGGGGATGAAATGCAATAGCGGTAACAAAATCAATATGTTGAAAACAACAAAGACATTCACGTCGTGAAATATGCCAAAGTCGTACAGTTTTGTCCATTGAACTCGATAAAATAAAATAATTCTTTGACCATGACACATCAAGGAGATCTATAGAAAATGAATGCGATTAAAAATGATTTTATTAGATTGAAAAGCAAAGACACCATAAATTGAAATGTACCTGAAGTGTGTCCGGTGTACGAACAAAATGCCTTTGGCATAAATGGTCCGGCACTTTGTTCGGCAGCTGTTGCCATTGCAACGGCCTCTTCGGCTGAATTATGTGATACAAGCGACTCTTGTGATGGTGTTGGCGATGATTTTTGATCAGCATTGTATTTTGTTCGCATATCTTGAAAATATGGATAAGCATCTTTCAACACCCAAATACGAAGTACACGATCTTGACCGGCTGTTGCAAGTAAACGACCGCATGAGCTGAATTTCATGCACCACACAGCTCCGGTATGTTCGCCCGACAAATCCTGAACGTGTTGCAATTTTGCAAATTCATACGGTCCTTTATTCGTACTAGACGCTTTAATTTTAATATTTTGTTCGGGATTGACCACATCAACAATATCGGCAACATCCTCTTTGTGACGTGCATGTGACACTTCCGATGCAATTAATTTCGCTCTATCGACAGTTTTTCGCATAGTTGAACCGAAGAAACGTTTCAGTCTAGCTGTTTTCCGCTTTATCCGACCACTTTCTTCGTTTTCAACTTCGTCTTCGTCCATTGCTGGCGTTTCAGCACCAGGCGGCACACCAATCACACTCTCTTCGTCCGATTCTTTTTGCAATGCCTCCAAATGACTGGTCAATTTATGGATGTGAAGTGATAATGGATTCCATCCATCAGGTGGTGGAGGTGGTTTCACTTCAGATAATGGAATTTTTTCACCTGTATCTAAATTCTTAACTGGCACTTGTTCTAAAATTTCAAAATCCGTAAGCTTTTTCCCTGAATCGGTACGCGTTCGTACAAAAACATTTAATTGTTTCAATACATCTTCATCACCGGCCGATTTTCGTCGTTCTTTTGCCAATTGTGCTGCTTTCGCTAAATTATTACCGTATCGCATTCCATTGCCCAGGCTATTTGAACCGGTGGCCGATAAATGTGGACGTTGTGCGGTTGAATTTGTGCCAAAGATTTCGGCACGAATCTTTTCGATGCGTTCGAGTTCTTCTTTAGATGGACCTTCGGCTTTATTTGCTTCTTCGTCTTGCGGTTTCACAACATATTGTCCGCGTGTTGCTTTGTACAAATTTAAACCTTGATTTGGATCAATCGAACTAGCTCGACCCGGTGCCGAATTACTTTTCGAACTATTTGATGGACTAGGTTTTGAATAGACAGATGTCGATGAATTGCCCAACGATTGACATATTCGACTCATTGAACCACACATTTCACGTGAATTACAATCCGATGAAATGACAAATGAATTTTCAATTTCTCTGGTTAATGTTTCAATGGCTTTTGTTGCTGGACTGGGCAATGATACGGCACATTCACTCGATGCTGGCGGTAAGGCAACACTTAATTTAAGCTTACTTTCTGTGGATGACGGTGACGATTCGGTACAACTACTCATTTGTTCCACCGAATTTGTTGATATTGTTTTCACTGGTTTTTTCTTCCTTCGTGGCGGTGCAATCGGTCCACTTGACGTAAGGCTATCGGTTGTTTTTGAATGTGCTAATTTGGTGCTGGCAATCACATCGGGCTCTGCACTCAAATGGAACGAGAAAACAAAACAAAAATTAAACAACATTAAATTAATCGATTTAAATTAATTGAATCATTTCTCCTTTTAAAAATAATAACCATACATTTTTCGGTTAAATTGATAAAATTGAATTTACCTTGTAATGTCGTATTAATGTTGGTATTATCATTGCTGCTGGTACTTGAATTATTCATATTGCTACTGCTACTACTGCTACTATTATTAGCTGTTGATTTTAATTTACGATGATCATTGAATACATCAGTTACCATTGTTGTTGATGCCGTATTACTTGTACTCGCCGCATTCCAATCAACAATCGATGATGCATTTGTGCTGCAGGTATCTTTTTCCGTATTTGAATTAATTACATCAACTGTTCCAGCTAAAATTCGTCCAACTCGACCCAATGATGTCATACTTTGTATACTAATGGTATCGCTGTTTTCGATTATTCGAAAGGGATGGGTTGATCGTTGTGGCGCAAAAACTCCCTCCACTGAACTATTCTGTAGAATGTTGAAAATAAAATAGAGGTGAAATCAATGCTCACATGCATTTGTCCGAGCTGATTGAAATCATTTTTATTTACTCGAATGACATTTTTTTATCGATATAATTGTTTTGTTTTTGCTCATCTTTAGAATAAACTCAAGATTATATTGACGATGCCAAAGTAGAATATTACAAGACGAATAAAATAAATCAAATCCACAACAAAGAAATCTCGCATGCCAAATTATCGTAGCAAAAATCACAAGCAAAATTATCGTAATAGTTGTACACACAAGATTACAAAAAACAACAAAATAAAACCGATTTTTTTTAACGAAAAAAGAAACAAAAACAAAATTGGAACACAAAATAAAAGAACTGTAAAATAAAATACCTGTGAATCAGGCGTCAGTGTGTTGCCAGGATTTTCATCCTCATCGTTTTGCATGCATTGACGCAAATCACGAAAGCGCTGCCTACCGGACTAAAGATTTTTTTGACGATTTTAATTTCATTATTGATTTTCGGTTGTGTGTTCATTGTTCAATTTAAAACAATAAAAAAAATCGAAAAATTATAATTTACAGTTGTAGTGAAATGGTTGTAATGTGCGATAATGAATGAAGTGGAGTGTATTCGATGAATTGATGAGAAAAAAATAAGAGTTCGAAACATAAATATGTTGAGAAAAAAAGTTATGTTCCAAATGGACGAAACTTTGGTAGGGCACCCTCAGTAGAGCAACCAAGTAATATATGTGACACAAAAAAAGGCGTAAACAAATATCACGAATTATATATCGACAACAGCTTAGCAAGAACAACAGAGTCGTTCCTTGGACGTCACATGTGCGATTTGTTGAAATTTCGTACGAACTGTTGATTTTTCTCGGTATCATAACAATAAGTTATTGTGCAACGATTAAAAACAATGAATTCTGTGCTATTCTACAATGACTCAAATTGCGAGAAAAAGCAATAAAAAATCTTGGATTTAAAACAAAAAACAAAATAAAAACGATTATTCGGTGTTTCAATTTGGTTTTGAAATTATTTTCAGTAAAATATTATTACGTATATGCGAAGGAAGTTTAAAAGAAAGAATAAATAAAGAAACGAAAAGCGCCCGGCCGAAACCGAAACAAAAATTGAAGAATTATGAGACAAATAGAAAATGAAGCGAATCCAATAATTTTGCGTATTACAAATAGATTTACACACGAAACACACATACAACATATACACAAAGCAAAATGTTGTGGCGAAAGAATAGGAGGTGCGACACTATGGAAATTATTCTCATGTGGATGCAACTTACTGGTTTTGGTTCAGCGAACACATGAGGTTGTGTATTGGGTACCGATGATGTCGTTGCTTTTTGACCCTGCTGCTTTTGCCTTGTCAATGAATCCAAATCACATTTATCGGATGGCTTCTCTACATTTGTATCGGGATATACAAAACCGTCATCTTCAGAATTCGGAGAACGTTTTCTAAGTGAAAGAACACATAAGACATTTATAACATTTGTTTGTTTTCATCACGTTACTTGCTCAATGACTAATAACACTAAACTGTGAAATCACACAACCAGAAGAGAAGAAAAAACCAGTTTCTTACTTCATCAATCGATTCGGGGTTGAATCTTCAGCATCATAATACTCCTCCGAATCATCTGAATCAATGGAAGCTTGCATTTTTTTTTCGTTTTGATTTTTTTATTCTTTAAAAGGGCACACACCTATAGATCACTTGATTCAATTGAGAGAAAAAAAAATCCTCAATCAAAAGCAGAAAAATGACTGAACTAAAACTATAACCAAAATCGATTCACGTCGTTAGTGCTGTGTGCACTTAAAATTTTCTTTCTTCTTTTTTCACTCTCTCCTTCTCTCTCTGTCGTCGTTTTCAATGACTCTACTATGTTGACTTGTTCACTGTTCAGCGCGAATTTTACTACATTGGTTCCATTTCGATAATTGTAACTTTGCTCACAAAAACAGAGAGACACTGTGACGCAAAGTGAAAAGCAATGATTCAATTTACATTCCCAAACTTGAATGCGGAATGATAGAAAAAAAATATACAAAAAAGGTTGAATTGTGTTTTCATTCGTGGTTGTCGTCGTTCGCACACAGATTAGATAATATTGAAACGCTTGGTGTTGTATTGAATGGAAATGTCACTTTTTGACAATTAGCCCAATGGACGACGCCATATTTATTATTATGCATTTTACGTTGTTCTTTGCTATACTCACACACACACACACACATACATTCTATTGATTCATTCTTATTTTGGCACAACCTAGTTTCCTTCTTCTTTTTCTTTTTAGGTATTTCGGCTTACATTTATTTGTCACATACACCTTTAGCTCAGGCATTCACTCACTTTGGCTCACAACCACTGTGAACCGACAGTTTTACATTCTGTATTTTGTTTGTTTAGTCTAGTATAAACCTTTATATACATTACTGTTAGTAATTCGAGTCGAGAACGCGAAATTGAACAAATATCGAAAATTGTTTGAAAGAAAAAGAGTAAATGACCAATTATCGATATATTGACCGAACAATTGTCTTCCGACAAACGAAAACATGCAAACATTTATGATTCATGTACGAATGTCTTGAATACACTTCAGAATAAATTCAATGACAAAGATATAATAGAGAAAAAAATTGAACAAAAATAGAGCCACACTCTTTTTCGAAACATGACACTTTCTTATTAAATTTTTTATTTTTTAAAACAAAACACACACATTTTTTTGTTGTTGTTATGATATCTTGATAAAATAAAAGTTATATTTATGTTGACTACTCCATTTCATTTGAATGTTTCGTTCAAGTCAACGTTGAAACCAATTTGGATATTTTTTCTTCATTTTGAATGATATTCACTGTTGTGTTATTAATTTGTTCGGTATGATCCTTGATGCTATTGTTTATTTCAGCCAACTGATATTTGAAATTTTCCAGCAATTTCTCCGTTGTTCTGTCGATTATAATAAATAAATAGTTTGTGTGTATTTGAATTAAAATGATATGTATCGAAAATTGCGAGTCAAGTCAATATTTGCTTACCTCTGCTCTTCCTTGATATCGGCTTCAGCGGCTGCGCCCGCTTTTTGCCACATCAATAATTCAATTTGCATTGCATCAACATCTTCTTGAAAATATTCCATCATTTTGCCTAACGGTGTGATGCAAAGTGATAATTTTTGAATCATTTTTCTCAATTCGGTCATATTTCGTGTAATCGATTTTCTATCATCGGTGATCTAAACAAATATAAAGAATATCAATTAACATATCTATATATATATATGTAGAAATGCTTCGTCTTTTGTGTACCGCTGATATGTCATTTTTTGCATCCGATTTTAGAATGGCCGTTTGAGTTTCCAAAATTTGTTGCACCAAATGTCCTTGTTTCGTTCCATCAATATCACCGTTCACATTAGTGACCGGTTCATCCATTGTTGAAATACTGTCCGGAATAGTTTCCGTTATCACAATATTGTCAGCATCGTCAAAATCCGGAATTGCATTTTTCTTTTCGGCTTTTTGCTCAGCCGTATCTTGTATAAAACTTTCCGTGTGAATAATTTGTCGAACATTACGATCACGTCGGCGTGGTGCACTTGGTCGTGCCGAAATGGGTCGAACTGCAGCCGATCGAAGTGCTGTACGCGGTTGTTTCGACTGTTTATTGGTTTCATTGGTTTTCGTAGTAGCCGGCACCAGTGGTCGTTCAATCAATTTATCTACCGATTTTGAAGTGGTGAATTTTTCAGATTTTTCTTCCGGTAACTTTGAATTTTCAAAACTTTTCGAATCAGTGTCGTGTTTCGAATGACTCTTTCTTAATTTAGAAGAGCGTGGTTTGTCATTCGATGACTTTTCTACCTTTTCCGATAGTGCCGATGACTTTGCTACTGTTGGTTCCATGGATTCACTCTCTCCAGATTTGGTCGCTTCTAAAGCGGTTGGTTTATCAAAAAGTTTCTCTTCAACATTTTCGTCTGCCTTTTTTTCTGGCGTGGTTTTTGGCGTTTTTTCTCGCTTTTCTGGTTTTACTTGCGCTTCATGTTCAACGTTTGGCAAATCGGTTTCTTTTACAATAGTAGTATCGATTGATTCAATCTTTGGTTCATTTGGCTTCAATTTATGATTTTCATTTAAATCATTCTGAAATAGTAAATTCAATCAAATCAAATATTATAATTTTGTCAATTTTTTTTTTCTTGCAACTCACCGCATTTCCGTTTGTTTGATGTGCTTCATTTGTTGGTTCTGTTACAGACTCAGATTTGGCAATCTTTGTGACCGATTCCATCTTCAGAGTTGCCGTTCTTTCACGTTCTTTCTTTCGATCCTTTTCCTTTTCTTTATCTGGATGCTGAGATGATGATCTGGTTTTAGCCATTTTCGATTCGGTTGAATCTTTACTACTTTGTTTACTCAATTTCGTGTTGCTATCCATTTTGTTTGACAATTTTCCATCTGTTCCAGTCGTACTTTTAACTTTTTTCGATGTACTTGGATCTTTTGTTTCTTTTGTATCTTTTTTTGCTTTTCGAGACTCATTTTTTCCAGTTTTCGTTGAATCTTTTTTATGTGTAACTGCCGTTGTCGCCGCCGCTGTTGTGACATTTCCATTTTTTATCTTAGCAACTGCATCGGTGGTGTCAATTTTTCGATCGATAGCCTTCGCAATTGCCACTAATAATTCATTCGTTTTATCGGCTTCCAAACCAGCAACAATTTTTGATGGTCTTGCTTTCACTTCTTGTTTTGTGGCCAACTCTAAAATATGTGATGAACGAAATTATTATCACAAATAATGCAAATGTAATTTATGCAAATGAGAAAAAAAGAGTGCAACGAACTCAACACATCAATGGTTTTTTGCAAAAACGCAATTTTCGAATCACGATCCTTCATATTATCGGATTGTAGCTCATCGTCCGAATATAATCCACCGAGGAAACCAGTGGTTTTAATCACCTTTTGAAACAAAATAAAAGTGTACAAATTCTCTTTTATCGAAAAAAAAATATTACGTCTCATTTAAAAAGTACTTACCGCATGAATAATATCATGTAAAAATTTAAATGGAGGCTTTCGCAATAGTTTTTCCGTGAGAACGGGTTTTTTAATTATTTTTCCCAACGAATCTTGTGTTCGTTTTATCACAATATCACTTAATTCGGACATGTTTTTTTCGGTAATTGGCAATTCAAATGGTAAAAAAGTTCCCTGAAAATGAAAGTTAACTTGTGTATTGAATACTGTATTTTTTTTGCTCTTCTCTTTTAGTGTGAAAGTTCAAACATTCGTATCCATGGCAATAGTAGACAATCGAAACGGACACAATTCAAATAATATATTTATAGTGTGACGAAATTCGAAATGACATTGCCATATCTATTGGTGGAATAAAATAAAATTAAATTTTAACCATCTTCAACTGAAATTTTAGCAATATTTCTATTATTCAAATTATTTTTTATTTCTATTTCTTAAAAGAACGGTAACTATTCGAAAGTTTAGTTTAAAAAAAAAAACCAAACGTCGATTTGAATTTGGTTCGTGTCTTTGCTACAACGAGTGAGAAAATTGATTCGCAGTAAGTAGTTGTTTTGCCCAAAACGAACGAAAGTAAAATTCACAAGGCACACAAAAATACACAACAACACACTCTGGCCACTGATTATGAAGGTGCGTGCGTATGTGTGTGTGTGTGTGTGTGATTGTGAAAGAATGTGCGCATGTATCTATAATGTCGACATACAAAACGTCAAACAGCAAAACACTGTTGAATACCACGCGAGTGGGAAAAGTGAGACAGAGAGAAAAATAAAAAGAGAAACAATAACGAAAACAACAAGTGTAGATACTGTTCATTTGTTTGTTCATTCTCTCTCGCATATAGCAGAGAGTCGCGCAAATATTGAGCTCCGTTTATCATAACAAGAAGATTACCGTACATTCGACTATTTATTATTCATTCGCATACGTATACAATACAAACCACATATCCATATGTTTTTTTCTTCTTGTAGTTCGTAATCGAGCGACGGAATATTATTTAACACTTGAGTGCACTACAGAGAAGAGAAGAAAAAAATAACAACACACATCGATGCAAATAGCACGCATCGGATTTCTTTTAAAAATAAATACCCTCATGTTGTTGGGTATTTGCGAATTTCGTGTGTGAAACAGCCAACTAGATGACGACGACGACGAAGAACATAATAAAAATAACAAAAACGTGAAACAAACACACGCACACATAAAATATTCTTCGAAATAAATAAATAAATAAATAAATAATTGTTTTGCATGTGCAAGCATAAATTCGATGCTCTTTTTTTAACATTAAAAATATTGTGTAATAAACTGAAAAGACAATTCAATTTGTGTTACATCGAACAAAAAAAAATTGTGTGTTGTGAAAACGCCATATAGCTATATATTCATTGCACATAAAAAAAATAAAACGCCACACAAACGCTTTGAATGCAGTGAATTAAATTGTTCGTTCAAAGACATTTTGTGTGCTTTTTTTGCGACAAAATCGAAATATAGAGATTTCGTTATAATCATTCGTTTATCATTTTGACATCTAACTAAGGTAAATACCATTGTATCAAGTGTGCCAATAGAATGTACCAATGTGTGTGCGTTCGTCTGTGAGTTTATATTTTATGCACACACACACACACACACACACACACCGACCTCAACCATAATAATAATATTTTGCTTGCCTATTTCCGAAAATTAGAGAACGAGCGCGGTGAGCTCATATCGTAATTTATCATATGTTTTATACATTCCATTATCCTTTTATTTCGCGATTAATTTCTAGTATTGTGTGTTACTGTGAATTACATTGTCTGTCGTTTGTGTACAATCGAGACTATCCATTTGTTTTTCAACCTTGAACTTAGGCAATTGATTTTTTTTGCTTAGTACTTTTCAATGTATTTCGTGCATTTCATTTTCTCCATTAATTTTATTCACATTTCATGTAAATGAAGGTATTTTTATTTAGCTAAAAATAACAAGAATAGAACCTTCTTGAATATTTAAAATTTTCTTTATTTTATTTTTTTCAATTGTCTTCTTTCACACATTCCAGATAAAAAATGCCTTTGGATAATACATATGCCCAAAAATTTGCGGAAAAATCACGGCGATTAACCAGTTTGGCTGAAGATTTTCCAACAGACGATGCTCCATTTCGGCAACGTCTACATTCGCTCTTTTCACAAATCGAAAAAGAATTTGAATTAGTATTCCTAGAAAATCTAAGCTGTGAGTATTTGTTCATCGCACAGATTTGTTGTGTGAATTGTTTAATAAACTGTTTTAAATTGTTTATAATATTTCCTTTCTTTTTTTTTGTCCACTTATTCTTTTGTGCACAGTGCAAGAGAAAATTGATCAACTGGTGGCTGGTGGAAATCGTGAACCAGGAACTGGTGATCGATACAATCAACAGGATCTGGTTGAAACCGATATTGTATCAAATAAAAATAGTAAATCAAAAGTTGGACTCAGCACACCCGGTAGCAGTAAAATAAAAGCCAGTCACAAATTGAAAGCACAAACTAGTCGTATCGTATCAAGTTTTAAGACACAATCGATTGTTGGTCCAAATGTACGTGAATTTGATGGGCACAAAGATGGTGTATGGCAAGTGGCAACAAAACCGGGCCATCCAATTTTGGGCACAGCATCCGCCGATCATTTGGCATGCATATGGAATGCAAATACTGGACGATGTTTGTTACAATATCAGGGACATTCGGGTTCGGTGAATTCAATTAAATTTCATTTGAGCAAAGATTTAGTACTTACTGGTAGCGGTGATTCAACGGCACACATTTGGCAAGCGGCCGTCAATTGGGATGGACCGTCATCGTCATCACGTAAATGCTATTCATCCGAAGAAGAATTAGAAGATGCTGAATCGAATGATGATCGTGATCGTGTTGATGTATTACGTACACCGCTATGTGAATTTGGCTCAACAACAAATGTGGGTCATTCATCGGTGGTTGTGGCCGCCGATTGGATATTCGATTCAGAGCAAATAATCACCGCCAGCTGGGATCGCACGGCAATTTTATGGGATATTGAAACACGAGAACCGTTACAAACATTAAGCGGTCATGATCATGAATTATGTCACGTTAGCTCACATCCAACACAAAAATTAGTTGTTACAGCGTCAAGAGATTCAACATTTCGATTATGGGATTTTAGAGATCAAATACCAGTTGTGTCGGTGTTTCAAGGTCACACTGAGTACGTAAATCATTGCATATTTATATATTGGATTTTACAAATTGTTTTGTTTTTATGTTTTCGTTAATTTAAATTTGTAGAAGCGTAACATCAACATTTTTAACCCGAGATGATAAAGTTGTGTCCGGATCTGATGATAAAACATGCAAAGTTTGGGAGCTGAGGAATATGAGATCGGCTTTAACAACAATTCGGCTCGATTCGGCGGTTAATCGAATCTCAGTGTCAAATGGTGGCATCATTGCCATACCACATGACAATCGTCACATTAGGCTGTTCGATCTCAATGGCCAAAGGCTTGCCCGCTTACCACGCACAAGTAGACAGGTACAACAGTTATTTGTATTTTGTTGAATGAATAATCCATGTCCCTTTGACTTTTTTGATTTAAACATGATATCTGTTTGTATTTCAGGGTCATCGTCGAATGGTATCCGATTATTTTCGATTATTTTCCGATTATTTTTCGATTATTTTAAATTAAATCGATTCTTTTCTTTTGTGATTCTCCCCTTAGGTATCTTCTGTTGCATGGGCCGAAGATATGCCACTGAATTTATTCTCCAGTGGTTTCGATCGAAGAGTTATAGGATGGTCAATAAGTCTCTCGAAGGAAAATCAATAGACCTTATAACATCAACTTAACAATTAAATACATTTTATCATACATATTGGATTAGAATGGATACTCTAACATTTATTATTAATAATTATTAATATGAAACAAGAAAGAACACACAAAATACGACTACAATTCTAAGATTTTATTCACTCTAGTTCATAAAAAAAATCACATGGAAATTCTATTTAAACAAAAATGCCCTGTATAAAAAAAGAAACATAAAACATGAGCTAAATTCAAAACTTTATCTAGAATAAAATGCATTTTTATTTTGAATTCATTTCATTTGTTTAAAAAAAAAAAAACGGATTTATTTCAAACGGTTGGTGTTGCATGTGAATTGAATGCTTATCGGTTTATCGGTGCAGTGGAAACACTAAAAACAGCAATCACTGCTAGTGTCACCACCAGTGGCGCTCGTGTAGTTTTCTTCTTTCGTCACACACCAAGCCAAAGCGAACATAAAAACAACTCATTAGTTGTCATTCATTACTTGAGCTTGCTTCAAAATGGCTGGTAAGTACACTTTGCTGTGTCTGATTTGAATTATTATTTATTTATTTATTTTTCATACGCTTTTTGGCTCCAAAAGCCCGATAGCGATGAAATTAAACTTTATCAAACGTAAATAATTGTTGATAAAAATTTAAATTGTGATAAAATTTCTTTTGTTTTTCGATATGTTTTCAGAACTTTTTGCCAAATACAGTTGCACGTACTGTCAAGAAGATATCATAGGTGTAAGAGTTCACTGCGCGGATTGTGTTGACTTTGAATTGTGTCCGCAGGTAATAATACAGTCTGTTTATATTCCAAACAAAAAAAAATGCTATTCTATGCCCATTACGTTTGTGTATGCTCAAGTGTTTTTGCTCTTTTCTTTTTCTTCTCAAATTTCGTCAATATACATATTGTGTTTGTTATTTGCAGTGTTTTGCTTGCGGTGCTGAAATTGGTCCGCATAAAAATGATCACGCGTATCAATTTATGGTATGTCAAACTCTATATATGTCATTTATTTCATCCATGCTTATGAATCGTCGATTTGAGAATGAAATTAAGTTTTAATTGTTCCATATCAAATTTATTTTCTCCAGGATACCGGTGTTTTATCATTGACCCGAAGTAAAAATGGTTGGACGGCCCGTGAAGAAGTTCATCTATTGGATGCAGTCGAACAGTTTGGCTTTGGCAGTTGGGAAGATATAAGCAAACATATTGAAACAAGAAGTGCAGAAGATGCGAAAGAAGAATATATAAATAAGTATTTACTTGGAACGATTGGTCGTTATACATGGGGTCCGGCCGCTGAACAAAAGCCACAACTTGTCGATCATACAGTGGAAGATAAGGGGCCACTTGGACATTTGTTGACACAACGATTGCCACCAATCGATGTAGAAGTAGAGGAAGCCAAACAATTGGGTTATATGCCATTCCGAAATGTATTTGAACGTGAATACGATCCAACCGCCGAACAATTGGTGTCGAGTTTATCATTGAATCAAGACGATGATGATATTGATTTAATTTTAAAATTAGCACAAGTAGATATTTACACAAGACGCCTGCGTGAACGTACACGTCGGAAGCGAATTGTTCGTGACTTTCAATTGATTATGAACTTTTTCCGGGGAAGTAATGTGATCAATGCCCGACGACGTCAATCAAAAGAGCAACGAGAATTTCGCGATCGATTTCGGGTTTTTGCCCAATTTTATACGGCATACGAATTCGATCGGCGATTAAATTCATTTGAACGGGAAAAAGCGCTACGCATTCGATTGTCCGAACTGAGCCGATACAGATGGAATGGTTTAACAAGAATCGATGAATGCATTCACTTTGAACAACATGCCGCCGCCGCTCAGGCACGAAACACAGGACCATACGGACAATTCGGAAAAACGGTATGTTTGTTTTTTTTTCATTCATTTTTCTTTCTCGGGTTTGACTTTCTTGAATTGCTTGATTATTTCATTATTTGTTTTGATACAAAAAAAAAAACTGGGCTTGGAATTGATCATTGAAATTATCTATTTTGATTTAGCGCCAAACAGAGGGCTGCATTTTACAATATAGATAAACGATTTCATTGATTTAATATAAAAAAAGTAGATTCCAAACAAAAATTAAATAAAATAGCATTTTAAATTCAATTGCTGAAATCATAACATAAAAGGAAATAAGGAATTGTTCACAATCCCATCCCTCGTTTTAAATATCTATTTCAATCGAAGATTGTAGAGATGCAAACATTGACTTCAATAATGTTAATTGAATGGACATATTTATTTGGATGAATATAGATGTTGGTCGTTGTGTTGCGATTCATTTTTGAAACTATATGGAATAACATACATCATAGGCACACACGCACGCACGCACATCCATTTACATACAATGTGAAGTCAGTGTATGTGGGGGAGAGGGTAAAATAACTATATGCTCATCCCAATATTTATATTTATTTGTGATGTACAAATTAATGAACCAATATACTCGTATATATACAACATTCCATTTTCAGTTGAGAATTTTAATGATAAAATTAATTTGTAATTCATTTATCGCGGATCGAACATATCGCGGGGGTTGTTGTTATCCCTTGTATTCCTTTTATGTGGATTCAATTCCGAGTCATTGAAATAATTCAATCGTCTTTTTTTGCTCAACGACTTATCGGAAGCTATTTTATTTGAAAGGCAAACACAATGCAACGATTCTATGCATTTCATTTCTCCCAATTGAGTTTGTTATTGAACGAAGCCAGTTTTTTTAACTTTCTCTAAAAGCGTCTGTTGCTCTATCTCTCATTTGTAATTCCAACGTAATTTAGTTAGACTGTTTTTTTTATGTTTTTTTTGTGTTATTTTTGGATTTTACCAAGTAGAATCTCATGTAATAATTGTTTTGTTTCGATTGATGAATCAAAATCTGTTTCTAACTTAATTTTTGCCTCACGTTTGCTTGTTTTTCCATTCCTATTCTCGATCCCCCTGTTGCATGGTGTTACACTCTCTTCAACATAAAATAGCTTTCGTGCGTAGTCGGACCGAATGGTCAACGAATACGGGGTTGTATAAGACAATGTTTAACAGGACAATCGAATCGGTGGAGAACGGCCTCAGTCATCTTTGCCCTCAAAAAAAGCGGAAAGGTAAGTTTATACAATGAAATCAAATTTGATCGATAAACAAGTGTATTAACGATTGGTTATTTATTATTTAAATTAGCGGAAGCGAAAGAATCGAAAACTCAAATTCCATCGACCCAAAGTGCACGCGCCCCATCGACGACCCGGTCTCCTCCGACGTCTCATCGCACAACAAAAATTGCTCGGATAAGAGTTCAAATGTCATTATGCCAACACTTGATACATCAAAGCAATTGGGAGGCCAACTGTTATCACCGAACGAAATCAACGTAAGTGATTTGATTATATTGTAAATTAGGTATGACAGACATTTATGTAATTGTTTGCCATTTTAAATCTATCTCCTATACAGATTTGTTCAACGTATAATTTACCGCCAACAACATTTATAACAATGAAAGCGGTATTTCTAAGCGGCCGAGATCACGTATCTCGCACACCAAACACACCAGTCGAAAATAAGGTTAAAAATTATCTCATCAAATCGGGCTGGATGAAAACGGGATATTGAAAACTCAACTTAAGTCAAACATCATCACAACATTCAAAAATATTCTCAAATTGAATTGAAAATGTTTTCTCTTGATCATCCATATGTTGAACTACATACGTATTATTAAGGATATTTTTTTCTTTTCACTCATTATTTTCATGTAAACTTGTATATAGTTTTACGTACAAACTGAAGAAACTAGTTCAAATCGAAAGTTAATTTTAAGTCAAAAGACTCGAAACACATTAGTTTTATTTTGTAAATGTAGCAAAATATTTATTAAACAACACAACAATATTAAATGAAATGCAAATTGAAATGATTGCTCGTTTTATTGGAATTGCAAAGATTGCGATGATGTTGACTATGACACAAACACACGAATATTGGTTTCTATTTACTATGAAAATATAGGTTTTTATAACCAGTTTGTGTACCTAAATGACCATTGGATATTTAGAAAAATTGTGATATTTTCATATATATTGGTCACATTCATGTGAATCAAGGACAATGTAACTATCTTCGTAAAGCCGTGACATGATAATTCCTCATTCGAAATTGTAAAATGTAACTCGTTTTCATGCGTAAAACTGGAAGAATTTTAAGAGATTAAAACATTTATTACTCTACTCTCCATACAGTTACTACACCCTAGGAAAAAATGTCGGTATGCAAGTCTTCATCTTACGCTCTCAGATTCAATCCAATATTTTCACTAAGAATGGCAAATGTTGACAGAAAACTTGAGTCATTTAACCAAGAGAGTTGACTTTTGTTCTACCACACTCTTCATAACCGATATGCGTTATTTTCTGCTCAGGAATTTTTGAGAAAACGGTAACCATCAATAAAACTGTCAGAATTGATTGAAGATCAATCGTCGGATGAATTATCAAACAGAGCAGTCAATATGCAACATTTTTAGTTATTTGGAACAAAACAGTCTATCAGACATTAATCGCATGAAGTGAACGACAGAGAATTTTCATTGCAAACGAACGTGAAACTGATGAAAACGTGAACGGGTTCAAAAAAGTAGACCACATTTTGGAAAAACAAAGACATGTTCATACTGCATTCGCCACTTGATTGAGTGTTGAAAAGTTAAATACAAAAAGAAAGAGTATTTACTGTTTATATGGCCAAGAATCGATCAAGAGAACACAAAATGGTGATCATTTGAAATTATTAAAAAAAATACCGTTAAAATATTTGAAATTGTCATGAAACTATTTTGCGATCAACGATAAATGCAATCTAAGATTGTGAAATCACCAATTTCCATGAATTTGCATAAATTATACTTATAGATTTTGATTAGTGAACTGCAATCTAAAATTAGATTCTCTAAAATAAAGTTGAATGGAGAGTAAAAAAAATAAATAAAACGAATTTTTGTATACTGTTTTTTTTTAACTCAAAATGTTTATTGTTTGTATTTTAATGTCCATAAATTAAAATATTATTTCTGTTTTACAATTCGGAATCTTAATTTAGATTTATCTTATTCTGTTTTTTCAGTTTTTGTAAATCTTTCGATTCGAATGTGTTCCATTTGTTGTAAAGTATTTCGAGTAACGAAATATCTATCATATCCGGTATTATTTTTTTTTTCTTGTTTTCTTGTTCAATTCAATTTCGAAGTTTGTCGTTTTTTATGGGTTTGTGTGTGTAGTTTGATGCTCGGTCATCGAGCGAGAATATTATCTCATATGCCACTTGTGCATAATGGTGTGTATTTTTGTTTCATTTTTTTGCATTTTTGCGTCCATATCTCATGAATTCGATTATAAACGAAAAAAAATCCGTTTTTTTCTTTTGAATTCATTTTTCTTCTCTCCATAAATTTTACTTTCTATTTATTTTTTTTATTAGTTTTATTTCCTTCCATTCCGTGTCTCTGTTATATATTCCTTCTTCATATGATGTTGCCGTTTTTATTTGGCACATGTTGTCTCTATAATTTTTTTTTTGTTGCTAGCTAAATTGTTTATTTTATTTTCATTTTTTTTTGTTGTAATTCATTATTGTGTTCATACGTTTAATCCAAATTAACAAAAAGTTCAATAGTTGCTCATGGGTTTCAATTTAGTTTCTATACACACCGGTTGGTTTGTTCTGAGATTTGTGTTGTGTTTGATGATTATGATATCGGACATTTGAGCAGAATATATATATTTAAATTGGATGTAGAATTTGTTTTTAGGAATCAGAGATTGTGTACACCGTTGAGTTGAGCGTATGAAATGAATGAGTGAGTGAGTGTGTGTGAGAGAGAGAGGTAGAAAGAGAGAGAGAAAGAGAGATAAATTGACGCATGCTATATAATCGATCAATAGCATAAATAATACTTTGTCGTCGATGATGTAATTATCGATCAGCTGTAAAATAATAATAATTACTTAGAATAATTTAATTTTTTTTTGTTTGTTTGTTTGTTTGTTTTGCTTTAGAATAATTTAAAATTTAACGAAATTAAACATCTTGCTGATCATTCGGACCATAGATGTTTGAAATGGAATTCAGAAATGGAAACACCAACAAAAATTACGCACACATGAAAAAAATAAAATAATATGTGGATAAAGATTGTTGTTGAAATGTTCGCAATTTGTGTTTGTCCTCACTTCGATTTATATCTTATTTCTCATTCGGATCACCAGTTTGTCGTTCAATTCTCTTCTCTTGTATATATATGTGTGTGTCTGTGAGTTCTCTGTGCATTTGTGATTGTTTGTATATGAATTCGAATTGATTCGTATTCGACGCAAAATCGAATATAATATAGTTTGTAATAAGTAACAATTTTTTCAATGCTCTTTCTCTCTGTCTGTCTTCGTTTCGCCATCGTTAAATTACAATTTAATTATTTATTCATTTATTTTTTTCGTGCTATTAAATAATTTTCCATTTTGTTTGTTTTGTTTTGTTGAATTCATAAATCTATGTCTCACTTTAAATTTGTTCTTTCACCGTATTGATTACTAGACAATATTTTTTTTATAGTAGATTTTTCTTCCTTTCATTAATTTCATTCAATTCATAATTTATAGAATTAAACATCTCTTCGATCATTGTTTTTTACTTCATATTTTGTTTATCTTTCATTTTTTTTTTATTGTTTGCTTGAATATATCACACATCTTTCTCTACATCAAAAGTTCAATGCAGAAAAAGATCCATCTTATTCTCATAAATTTTTCTCTTTTTTTTTCTCGTTCAGATAATTATTCAGAGTTTTTCATAACTCTGCCCTGACACAATCTTGATTCTGTATATATCAACTCGATTATAATTTATCGTTTTGAGTTTTATGGTTAAGTTGTTGGTTTTATGTAATTTCTTCTTTTTTCCTCTTGCATTTATTTTAGTTTTTTACCATTTTCTTTTTTCAAATACTTTCGCAACAATATTTTTTTTTTTTACAAATCCAACTTATACCAATATCTATTTTTCTTCGTCGTATGCATCATGCTTAGGTTCGGTTTCCATGTTAGTTATCCAAGAAATTACTTTCGTTTTGTTTGCTCATTTTGAATCTCTATCTCTCTTGCTACGGTGTTCTGTATTTGTTTCATTGTTTTGTTTGCTTGTTTCATTTGTTTGTTTGTTTCATACTCGTGCCTGTTCCCTGTTAAACTATTTCATTGGATTCAGTTGCGAAAGTGGACTTATACTCAGATCTCATTGTGTTTGGTATTGAGGCATTGATGTGTACATCATTTGCGGCTGAGCTGCATTGTTATTTGGCATTCCAGGTACTGCTCCAGCGGTGGTTTGAACACCCCATACATTCGGCTGAACCATACGATATGCTGCAGCTAATTTATATATTTCAACAAAAAAAAAACCAATAAAGATGAGTGAGTGGAAAAGTGGGGGTGAAAAAAGATGGAAAATTGCTTGGTAAATTGGAAATGAACCGCAAAATTAAACAGAATGGTTTACAAACCTGCACCTCCTTGTTGTTGTGGGTTTGTGTAAGCGTACGTATAAGGATATTGTTGTTGCATATATTGTGCTTGCATGTGAGCTGCTGGGTATCCCTGTAGAATTCAAAATAGCAGTAGCAGCATCATAACAAAGAGATTGAAAGAGAAAGAACAAAAATAGAACGAATTATTTTCTTTTTCTAAACGAAAAAAAAAAGAACGGGAATGAGCAATAATAAGAGGGCCCGGCAGAAAAGCACGGGCTACGATGATAAAGACATATAGCTACAACATACTGAATGAGAGATAGAGAATACACTTACCGGATACCAATATCCCATTTGTTGATATGAATATGGATATTGTGTGCCTTGTGGTTGAGTCTGTTGCGTACAACCGATTGTGGCATTACCCATGGCTGATGCTTGCGAATTATTGGCATCGCCACCACCTTCTTTGCCCCAGAAACACTTAACCGGATGACCGGCAATTTCGGTATTGTGTGTTTTTTCGATAGCGTGCGTAGCTGCCTCTTTCGTTGTGAATTTAATGAATGCAAAACCTTTATCCTTAAAAATTCTAATATCTTGGATGGAACCGAATTGGCCGAAATGCTTATGCATAACATCTTCTGTTATTGTATTTGCCGGAAATCCGCCACAATACACAGTTGTATTAGTTGAGCTGGTTTGATTGTAAACTTCTTCATACGTTGGCCTCCCATTCTTTGAACCTTTGGCCGATGAATCACGCGGCGGTGGTGGTTTTCGTGTTGACCAATTTGTTCGAATGGATCTGGAACCCAGCCATTGTCCATTCATTGCTTGAATGGCATTTTCAGCTTCGGCTTTTTTTACAAATGACACAAACGCATATCCTTTCGATTTTAATGTGTGCGAATCGCGTACAATTCGACAATTTGAAATTTCACCAAACGGTGCAAATGCATCACGTAATGTTTCTGTTTCAATTTCTGGACTTAAATCACCAACAAAAATGTGATGATGTGTGCTTGTATCAGCTTTCGGTTGATTTCCCGGGCTCGTTGCCCAGTTTACTTTCATTTCTCTTTCTAAAAATGATCGTTTGTTCATCGCTGTTAGTGCAGTGGTGGCCGATTGATGATTTGTGAATTCGATGAATGCATACGGATCATTGCCTGCCTCGCGAATAATTTTGCAACTTTTTATTGTTCCCATTTGGCCAAACAGTGCACATAATAGATCTTCGGAAACTGAATGATCTAAATTTCCTACGTATAGGGTTTTCGGTGACGAGTCATCCATGTTGAATACAACCTGCGAGCAAAAAGAAAAATAGAAAACAGACACACATTCATATGTCCAATGACAATGATGTGTTGATATTAAAAAAAAAAAAATTATTGGCAACAAAATAGTATGCTTTTTATTCTTTTACATCTAAATTTTCTTCTATTTTCGTAAAAATTATACAGACACACAACACAAAAGGAAGCGGAAACACACAAGGAGAAAGGAAAACTAATTTCGCAAAAGAAAAAAGATGGAAAAAGAGAAATTTGGCGCAAAATCGCATGTGTAATGACAAAAAAGTAGCAAGAATGAGAGAGTGAAAAAAAAATGAAGAAAGAATGAACGAACACACAACGGCGACAAAGAAGCGAAACTGCACGGATATTGGTGTATTTACTCATAGGATGCGAAACAGATACTAAATAGCGGTCGACATTAAAACTGTCAAAGCATTAGAAATGAATCACGGGGTTGCGATTTTTCATTATACAATTATGAAAAAAAAATCGCACACATACATATACATGCATTTACATATACACACCGAGCATAGATTCACCGTTTTTACAAATTATAATGTGTATAAATTCAACCAAAAAATATATAACAGCGATCTTCCACAACCTATTTTCCAGTTCAAATTTCGGATTGCGTTTCAACACATGATTTCACGTTTCACAGTTTGTTTATTTAAATTGAAATGTTCAATTATTGTTTATTACCCCGTTTTCTAAATTCGCTTTTACAATATTATTTCTCTGGATTTTTTTGTCTGTGCGGAATTATTATTATTTTCAAATATTTTTTTTTTATGTATAATTTTTAATTTTATTTGGTTTTATTCCTTTGTTGTTTCACTCAAAATGAATGCAAACATTTTGCGAAACGAGACACATTTGCATGCACACAAAATAAAACACATTAGTAAGCAGCAGGAAAATACTATGCACTAGTGTATATGAATTTTATTGTTGTTGTTTTTGTTAAACTCATTCTATACACACATTTATATGCTGGTGCGTACTACTTAGAAATGGCATGCAGAATAGACAGAGAGAATACAAATGTTTACCACACGAATATTTAACAAAAAAAAAAAAAAATAACACACATGAGAATGGCAGGAAAATACTTACGTGTTGTCTATCGTTAATATCTAATATGCTAGAATATTTTCTTTGTTCAGTTGATTGTTTGCAATTCGTTTTGGTAATTTATAAAAAAATAATATATATTTATATATATAAACGTATATGAAAAGCCGTCTATTATTCGCTCACTGAATCTCTTGTATGTTTCTTTTTTATTTTTTGGCTTTTTTAAAAGGCGTCTACGGCTACGACATTTGCTTCATTGCCAACATGACGTGGCTAAAATATGTATACCAAAAGGGTCCTGTGTTCTCTATGAAATCGGATTGCTTTTTGGAATTTATATACACATATATATCTTTTTATTTAAAAAAAAAATCACACTACTTTATACCGTTCACCTGGATAAAAATCGCAAATCAATTCGAATCAAGTGAACTTTTTCGCACACACAATCCACTTATATATCCACCGTGTAATGAGAACAAAAGACCCGGCGGTAATTTGTCGCTGTCGTTTCACTAATTTAAGAGCCAATAATTTACAATCTCGCTTCTAAATTTCTTTTTCTCTCTTCATTGTTACCACAAACTGTAGAGAAAGGGGGCGCTATTGGCAGCCATTATGAATGCTTAGCTCAAATTAGTGTACACTTCGACAGCGTTCCTTGGTTGTCTGTGAATGTTTGAATTAATGGCCGCCACATTCTCTCCAATTGGAGAATTGGTGTGTGTGTGTTCAAAATGGTGTTGAATGGTTCGATGCTTTTTTTTTCGTTTTTCAAATACTTTTGATAATATTCTCATGATTTCTGTGGTTCTCATCATTTTATTGACAAACATTACCATTTAATGATAATTATTGCAGTATTTTAATTTATTTTTGTCGTTGACACATAGATGTAGTTAGTGACGCTTCACACAAATGAAAACATGCATGATGTTTTGCAATTAAGGGTGCTTTGTTTATAATTTGGTTTTCTCAGAATAATTTAACATTTACTGATTGCCAGTATTTTTAATGGTTTCATTGGAATTACAATTGTCGCATGTCATACTCCATTTTGATTGCAAATCAACTTGAAAAACAAATATAGTCGTACATTCGTTATTATGCATTCATTAAAAGGTCATAGATAATTGATGTCCTTCTTTCGAAAATAAACAAATAATGTTTTATATTTGCTAAAAAGATATTGGAAACAGTTTAAAAACTGTTAAGATCCAAACCGAAAATTAAAATAATTGGTATCATTGGTTGTAGTGGAGAGAACGCAATTGTCAAAGTCAAAAGACAGTTTAGGCACCCAATGCAATCAAAATTTCTGGTAGACATTTGGTGTTTCTCTCTATCTCTCTCGTTCCCTTTCTCTATCGTCTATCAATGTTTCATGACAACACTTCAATACGAGAGTAGATGGCATGATTGTAGTGTTTGCAGACCATTCGTCAGAAATAGAAACAAAGATTCAAAGTGAGTGAGAGAGAGAGTTTTATTTTTATTTCATCTTCGTTTTTCTTAAATTGTTTAATAAGCGAAAACGTGAACACCAAATCTATAATGTAACAATTTCAATTGAATAAATACAGTTTTTTTGGCCACATAAATTAAAAACAATTGTTTGTTTTGAAATTCAATGCTGATTTAATGGTAGCCATCGAGAGAAAAGTGACGAAAAAATCAAGTGCTTCACTATCAATCGCGAACAGTACGAAGGCTGTCAGAGTAAGAATAATAAAAATTACCACACATTTCAAATAGATAAAATTGGCTAAAATATATGGTTCATTGAGAATGTTAAAGCAATTAATTATGTTTGATCATCGATTTATTGTGTATACACACTTTTCACACCAATCATATCAGTTTGGCTGCTGTCAAATGTGCTAACTGTGTACGTGTGTGAGTGAAATCAAAATAAATACGCAAACTTTTAAACTTTTCCATTTCCTTGAATTTGTTTGTGTACTTGTCATTGAAAATGATGTTTGGTTGTTTATGCATACGCGATAAGAATTTCACCACATTGCGTACATTTATGAATGAATTACAAACGACAATGAAAACACAAAATGTGTGTGACACATAAATGATCGATGCAACAGATAGTCAATATAGTATTAACTTTATTATTGTTGATGTGGTTGTTTTTTGCGTTTTCGTTTACTTATGTCTGTTTTTTTTTTTTAATTCTTGTTCATTTCAGTTTTGTGATATCGAACGCACTGCAATATGGATGAGAATGAGTCAACCTTCGGTTTGAGTGAAGAACAACATACCAATGTTATTATTCATATTGATATCGATTGTTTCTATGCTCAAGTCGAGGAAATACGGGATCCAACGTTGCGTGACAAACCCGTGGGCATACAACAAAAGAATATTGTGGTTACATGTAACTACGTGGCTCGTACCTATGGCATCAAAAAATTGATGCTGTTGACAGATGCACTACGTTTGTGTCCTGATCTGGTTTTGATAAAAGGTGAAGATCTGACACCGTATCGTCAAATGTCAAATAAAATCCACAGCGTTCTATTAACATTTACACCGCACGTTGAGAAATTGGGCTTAGATGAAAATTTTCTCGATGTTACGCATTTGGTTAACGCACGAATATCACAAAATAACGGTGACGATCTGAATGGCATCATTGATGAGAATCGGCTGCCCGGTTGTCATTTATTCCCCGAATATGAAACATTATCATCATGTGGCTGTGGTTGTGAAAAACGATTGACGTACGGTGTACGATTGGCTCGTGAAATTCGAAAAAAACTTTTCGATGAATTGGAAATAACATCGTGCGCTGGAATTGCTCACAATAAAATATTGGCAAAAATTGTTGGCGCAAAGAATAAACCAAACAAACAAACAGTATTAATTCCCTCCTGTACAAATGACGTGATGATTGGCCTAGACTCGGTTCGATGTGTTCCCGGCATTGGTCAAAAAGCCGAACAATTATTAAACGAAATTGGTGTACGATCGGTAAAAGAATTACAAGATATGGACTTTTCAGTGGTGCAGAAAATGTTTGGCTATGAAACCGCAATCAAATATAAAAACTGGAGTTTTGGCATTGATAAATCAGCGGTTATTGCATCGGGAAAATCGAAATCCATCAGTATTGAGGATTCGTGTCGATCGATTTCAATTCGCACTGATGTCGAAGATAAATTTCGTTTGCTGCTCATCCGTTTGGTGAATCAGGTAGCCGAGGACGGTCGCATTCCACTTGCTGTTAAGATAACCGTTCGTAAATATGATGTAATGAAAAAAACGTCACATCGTGAAACAAAACAGGCAAACATTTTGCCGTCACTGTTCAAAGAGGCGGGTAACGGTAAAATTACGCTCGTCGATAATGGACAAGAGAAACTATTGAAAATTGTGATGAGACTTTTTGAAAGAGTCGTTAACTTGAAACTACCATTTAATATCACATTGCTTGGATTAGCATTTTCAAAATTCCAAGAAGCTCGTACCCAGGTATCGAGATCGATAGCCAACTTTTTGATACGCACCGCCGATTTGGAGGTACAATCCATTACAAGTTTGAGCAGCGATGGTTTACAATCGATAAAAAATTATCAACTTCGCGGTTCACCCACACAAATGGATTTCGATACAATATCAGAAGCATCGCATGCCTCCTATTCATCGGATATATCCGAATCGGAAATTGAACCATCGCCAAAAAAGAATAAATTCAGCTTTTCGTTGGCAAAACGACGATGTTTGGCAACGAATTCAACGACCGAAACAGCATCACCAAGTAAATTACGTGTTGCTGAATTACGATTGAATTCAAAAGAATCGGATTCTGCAGATGTTCATATGCAATCCATCCATGACATAAAAAGTACAACCACTGTCGATAATGTTGTGCCTTGTGTTGTTGTACCAACAAATCGAAGTAATGCTGCTAGTACTGAAACGTCTGCTGGTGCGGCTGCTATTGTTGCTGACATTGACACTTCAAATGCACAGACGTCTTCAGGTCATGCAGCGACCGCAATGCATGTATCAAATTCGACCACTTTTCCACCAATCGTCGATCCAGAAGTGTTCAAAGAGCTACCTTTTGATGTACAAGAGGAATTGCTCAATCAATGGTCAACATCTCACGAAACCACAACTACAACTGAATCTCATGCCAATGTTTTGACTGTTAAAGCGATACCAGGCACTAAAAAATCCAAAAACAACACATTGCATCGCTATTTCATTACCAACAACTAAAACAACTAACGAAAAAAAAAAAAAACAAATAAGTTGGAGAAAAAACAAAACTTGGTTCATTGCTCAAGCTGTGTTAAATATATGTATAATAATTGAGCTCTTTAGAATAATAACAAGCCTTAATATAAAATATCAAAATTTGTACGAAAAAAAATGTAAACTCATCTTCTTCTTCTTCTGATTTAATGACTTCTGCATTATTCTAAGGAGCTCAATGCCCTTCATTTCAAAGAGAAGAGGTAACCTATAGTGTTAATTAATGTTGGCGGGTGTTTCAATATGTTATAGTTTATTTATGCAACGATAGGTTTATTTCAGTCTATCCCAAACGGTGTCTAAATGGGCTGTTGTACATTGACATAATATTTAATGAAAATGAATCGAAAAAAAAAATTAATCAAAAACACACTTACACACATGAAGAAGAAAAAAAAAACAAATAATTTAATTATTATGATTAAGCAAACTATTTTTGTTTTCTAATTGGGTCATTTGAGCGTAATTGAAATATATCACGAAACGAACGAAAAAAAGTTGTTAAAGATTGGCCACACATATAATATCATACGCTCAAGCGAAACCAGAACAAAAAACACGTATACATGCATTTAGTATTAAGTGGAATCCACTGAAAGAGATTCATGTACAGGAACTAATCACCCATGAAACTGGAGGAAAATTCAATGAAAGAAAAATGAAAAAATAAAACAACTGAATCTATAAATGATTTAATTACTTTCAATGATAAGGATATCACATACATACACACATTTTCTACAAAAAGAAAAGAATATACGTTACACATATACACTATACATCTGTAGACTAAAGGAACACAAAAAAAATCGTCCGCGAAATAAGTTTTTTTTTAAATAGATTTTTTAAGCCAATTATTTAAATCCATATATATATATATAACAAAGATACAACGAAAATAAAACAAAAATGAATTCAAATACATGAAATATATTTTTCTTTTAATTTTACAATTTTTACAATGAAAAATGGAATCATTTTTTTAAGTATTATCAAATAAATATATTTTGTGCCTTACAAAGTACAGAATGAAAAATCAAAGTATTTGTTTTGTGTATCTTTTTCAATTGTTGATTAGCTAATTTCTTATAATCGAAACATACATAGAAGTTATTAGAATGGGGTCGATTGCCGAATTCAACTAATATCAAGTGAAGAATATGGTGAGAGATGAATATTTTATTTTGAATCGGCCAAAGATCAGAAGTGGACGAAATATAGATGAAATAAGTATGTATTCATCATATCGACGAAGGAAACGAAAAAATGACGTTCTTTATGCTAGTGCAATGCTTTCAAAATTCTACTTCTTGACAAATTCTTTACAAACTAGTCTCTTATGCAGAGACTGTTTCTCATAGCAATACAGGTGTATAGGAGTGCTCTGAAGAGCCGAAGGAGCCTACTATTAAGAGTTATAAAAATTGATAATATTATGTTATGATTTTAGAGAAGAATCTCTGCTTCTCAGTACTTCTTCGGCACTTCAGAGCGCTCCTCCTCACATATATTGCTGTGGGAAACAGTCTCAGCTCTTATGTGACATTTCTCATCCCATTCGAAATTAGTTAAATTCCGAAAATCAGTACTCTGCAATTTGAGTTATTTTGAAGCGGAATTTTTTTAGTTTTGAAAATATTTATCGATTATTTTTCTTTGTTTTGTTTTGAAAATTGAGTGGCCCAGACAGAAGCCAATCACTGTTATCGAGTAGCTAGTAATAACATGGATACAAAGGGTCTGCATCGGTCCAACAAACTTTCATTCTGAGCCACTCAAATCCAAGTCAAGTAAAATCATTTGTTTAGCAAATTGCAATATATGTGTCAACATAGCATGTCTAATAGGTTACATCACCATAGTCTCTGGCCCATTTTTCATAAGCGATAATACTTTGTGGTGCAACAGAACGTCGTATTCGTTTCAATGAATTTATAAAATCTTGTTCATTTATCGGCCGAATTTCCTTAAGATTTACATTTCTCACTTGTTCCACATCGATTCCTGTATTGCAAAGAGAATTGAAAATTAAATTAAAATCGTGAATTTAAAATGCTACGATATAATAGATTCGTCACCTCGAATGGGTTCCAAAGCGGCATCTTTGGCTAATGCTGTGAGATCTGATCCAGAATAACCGTCGGTATAGACGGCCAAATTTTGAATAATATCGTCGGACAATTGACAGCCTTGTTTTGCTAACAGACTTCGAATCAAATGTTGTCGGGTGTGTGCATCGGGTAATGTAACATAGACACGTTTTGTGAATCGACGTAGCGCTGCTTCATCCAATTCTTGGGGTCGATTTGTGGCTCCAAGGACCACAATTCGATCATTCTCTTGACTACCCAGTCCATCAAATTCAACAAGAAATTCGGTTTTTAGGCGACGCGACGCTTCATGCTCGCTCGAATTTCGTTCCGATAGCAATGAATCGATTTCATCAATAAATATGATGGATGGCTGCAATTTTCGTGCAACTGAAAATAGTGCACGCACCAATTTTTCACCATCACCCACATATTTACTTGTTAGCGATGCAGCCGATATATTAAAAAATGTTGCTGAACACTCAGTAGCAATTGCACGTGCCAATAATGTTTTGCCATTACCAGCCGGACCAAACAAAAGCAGGCCTAGAAATATGGAGGTTTTTTTTTTTTAATTTAATCATTAACAACCTATGAAAGCCAAACAAACACACCTTTGGCTGGCGAACGAAGCCCCGTAAATAGTTCTGGACGAACAGCAGGCAGTATAACCATTTCTTGAAGGGCTTGTTTTGCCACCTGAAACGAGAGTTTGAACATTTAAATAATGAGTATCAATTTATAAGAATAAAATGAGAAATAGAAAATATAAACCTCTTGACCAGCAATATCACTCCATCTAACTTTAGCACCACCCTCGACAATTTCGTCCATAATGATTTGAACTAGCTTGTTGTCGACTCCTTTGACCTGTATTATTTGTGGGGCGATTCCAACACCAGCATTATTCGATGTTGGTGTCACTGTTCCAGATCGTGAACGTAACGGTGGTGTACTGCGACCAGTTGTTGGTTTGTGTATTGGTGAACCAGTTATCTGTACAGTATATTGCGCATGTGATTTTCAAATATGAATTAGCTTTTATCATTTTTATGTTTATGGTTTTTGTTTTGGAGATAATTTTGATTAATTTTTACCGAAAATTGTCTGCGAATGACTGGCGGTGTTGTTGCTGGTTTGGTGGGAAGCCGTTGAGGTCGTCCATCGGATAGGGAGGGTACACGTGATCCCATGCTTCTGGGTAGTGTTTGAGATTTATTGGTCAAACCTCCACTACTCTTTTTATTTACTACGATAAGTTTTTGTCCTGAGGCTGTCATTTTATATAGTGTGCACGCACATGTTGAATAGGAGAAAAAAAAAAAAATAAACATGTTGCAACATTAAATAAATATCGAAGTAGTCTTCCATTTACAAATACCATACATAGAATGTAACAAACCTAAAAAGTGTAATCTATCTCTAGCCATCGATAAATTGGTCTGCATTTTATCGTGCAATCGTTGTGCTCTTTCATAAATTTCACCACGTCCACCCCAACAGTCTACAGCGATTCCGAGTTCCAATTCACGAATTCCTTTTCTATACAATTCGATGGCAACTTCTTTTTGTCCTGCAAAATGCCAACAAAATAAAAACATTGATGAAACGAATAAATATCAAAAATCTTTATTAACGAACGACACTCAGGAGAATATTAAGCAAGGAAAAACATACGATACAAAGATCCAAATAAGCACCATCACACAAACCTTCATTTTCTTCGTCAATTTTGAGCGCTTTTGAAATATATTCAAATGCACGTCGATGATGGTGCTTCTGTTTGGCAAGCAACGGATCGCCAGGACCAGGGCCAGAAATTTGATGATGTGATGGACGTGACGATGTCATACCGATGCTGTCATTTACTTGACTGTTCAATTCTTGAACTTTTTCTTCACTATGATTCACACAAACTTGAATATTATTCGGGGTTTGCCGTTTTCGTAGCGGCATATAATGTGAACTAACATTGAAAATATATTTAAAAATGATAAAAATTTGATATAAAATCGAACGTAAAATGTTAAATAAAATTATAATTGGAAATGAAACAATGTATAAATTTTGTTGATGCACTGAGTCACGGCCCGTTTCAGTCGTCGGTGAGTCTGATTCCGATGTGGTCATGTATTCATTTTCACAATCGGATGATTTTGTTGGTTTTTTACCATTATTCGATTGAGATTTTTCTTTCTCCGAACGCACCATACGTACTGATGGCGATTATAAACAAAATGTCACACTTGCTCTTTTATCTCTAGCTGTTGTTATTGTATAACAATTCCGTCGTTTGATTTGTTTAAATAACAAACAACAAAAGATATGTCGTCGTCTCTTGTTATTTCTCACTTTTGATGTCGTTTTTTTCTTCTTCTGTGTATGTTATGTATCCGTGTGTATATATAGATGGGCAAACTGATGCTGCCCTCTGGTACGTATAACAATTACGTAAATCAATATTGGAGAAGACAGTTCTGACGTTTATGTGTTCTATGTGCTCAATACAATCACGGTCATATTCCATTATCAGAATGTGTGTATGGCAATTTAATTTGATAAAATTGTTATGAACCTACGAGTATCCACTTTCGATTTCTGACATTTTTCTCCGTTGTTCTCCTGCTGTACACTTTTTTGTTGTTCTCAAGTTCGAACAAGTGCCATTGAAAACAACTGGAATCGAAGTCTTGGAAAATGAAATAATCATTTAAAAAGAAAAAAAATGTTGAATTTTTTGTTCTGTTAAATTGTGGATAAAACTGGTTCGAGTGCAAAATTAATTATTAAATTTTTGGTTTGAAATTCATTAACTCAAACGTTCTAAGGTCGTATCTTGTGTGCCAACTTCATGCTAAATTCATGGATATACATTTTTATTCTTCATTCTCATTTGCTCCATCTCTCTCGCTCTTTCGTTTTTTTCGCTCGTAATGTGTGAGTGCGCTGTGCGGGGTGTATTTCATAGACGCCATTATCCTTAATTTTTTCTAATATTGCTACAAGATCCCGAAATAGCTCAAGCCAGACAGCAAAACGAATTGTTTTCCATCATACAAACTATTAAGTGTTTTAAGTAAATTCGTTCAATTCTTTTCGTATTGTGATTCTTGTTTTCGTTCTGTTTGGAATTTGTTCCTGTTAAAATGCAAAACTAACTATGTTATTGGATAAATTTGAACAATTATTTTCACATGAATAAAATTTACAAAGCAATAGATAACATAACAGACATAGAAACAAAATAGCAAAAACAAAAACAACAGTCGATGGAAAATACGACGAATTAACACGACGTTTTGTTCAAAAATAAAAAAAAAGTGTGTGTTTTCTTTTTCTCAATTCGCGATCTCCTTTTTATTATTATAATTATTATTGTTGTTATTGTTGTTGTTGCTGCTGTTGTTGTTCTTGTTGTTTTCATTGCGGCTGCTGCTGCTGGCTGAAGTTTAGTAAATAACACACACACATACAGCAATTGCACATATTGCACATTTATCAAGCGAAATTAAATCAAAATATGAATTGTGGAACATCATCGACTAGTAATGCGAGTACAAGCAGCGATATTGCAATGGAAAGACCAAAAAAAGTAACGGTTAATCTACCCGAGTCATCCAGGCCGAAGCATACGACACGGAACAAAAAACCGATTCAGGCCGATTTGGATTTGATTAAAGCATTTACACGATGTCGTGACGAAAACTTTACTGTATTAGATCTCAGCAAATCATCCATTACATCGATACCACCAGCAGTAAAAGATTGCATAAATTTATGTGAACTGTATCTGTATGGAAATAAGCTTGGTTCGTTGCCGCCGGAAATAGGAGGGTTGATGAATTTGAAAGTGTTGGCGCTCAATGAAAACTCTCTTACCTCATTGCCAGACTCGCTGTCAAATTGTAAGCATCTCAAGGTGCTCGATTTGAGACACAACAAACTCACTGAAATACCTGAAGTAATTTACGAACTGACCACACTAACTACACTCTATTTGCGTTTCAATCGCATTAAGGAAGTCGGCTTTGAAATCAGCAAACTCACCAATTTGACCATGCTCAGTTTGCGTGAAAATAAAATTAGTGAACTGTCAATGGGAATCGGATATCTAGTCAATCTCACAACATGTGATGTATCACACAATCATCTAAGACATTTGCCCGAAGAAATCGGTAACTGCATTCAATTGAGTGCATTGGATTTGCAGCACAATGAATTGTACGATATACCAGAATCAATTGGAAATTTAACCAATTTGGTGCGACTTGGATTGCGTTACAATAATTTAACGTCAATTCCCGAATCGTTGCGAAATTGCAAGAAAATGGACGAGTTTAATGTTGAAAACAATTACATTGCATCATTTCCAGACGGATTATTGGCCAGCCTAACATCACTTACGCTAATTACATTGTCGCGCAATAAGTTTACGGTGTATCCAACAGGTGGACCAGCTCAATTTACAAATGTTACAACGATCAATTTCGAGCACAATCACATCGATAAAATACCGTATGGCATTTTTTCACGTGCAAAATTTCTCACCACATTGAATATGAAAGAAAATGATTTGATTGCACTACCGTTGGACATTGGCACCTGGGTACAAATGGTTGAATTAAATTTGGGATCAAATGCATTAACAAAACTACCCGATGACATACATTCCCTGCAAAATTTGGAAATTCTCATTCTATCAAATAATTTATTGAAACGACTTCCACACACAATTGGAAGCTTATGCAAACTGAGAGTGCTAGACTTGGAAGAAAATCGGCTTGAATCACTTCCCAATGAAATAGGCTTACTACATGAATTACAACGATTGGTTTTGCAATCAAATCAACTGACTAGTTTACCGCGAAGCATCGGACATTTGTCAAATCTCACCCATTTACATATTGGCGAAAATAATTTGCACAGTTTACCCGAAGAAATTGGCACCATGGAGAAATTGGAAAATTTATACATAAATGATAATGCAAATTTGTTAAAACTTCCATATGAACTATCGTTGCTTGAAAATCTATCGATAATGAGCATTGAGAATTGTCCATTGAGTGCAATACCACCAGAAGGTAAGTAAACCTATCCAATACTTAATTCTTTTCATTCAATTTCTCTTCATGTAACTATTTTATTCATACAATAGAACTAGATATAAAATGATTTGTATTATTTTTCATTTCAGTTCTTGCAGGTGGTCCATCTCTTGTTATACAGTACCTTAAATTACACTCGCCCTACAGACAAATGTGATTTTTTTCAAATTGAACAAGAGTGAAAAGAAGATTTAATGCAAAATCAAAGATCAATTCGACAGCAAAAAAAATGTTAGAAACATTAATACATACATATAGACTCATAAAAAAAAACTGAGAGAGACACTGAACATACCAACGAATTTAAAATCTTGCTGAGAACCCAAACAAATTTCCGGGATTCGATTTCAGGACGAAAAAAATAAAATCAACAACAACAAAATTTAAAAATGGAAAAAAAAGAAACGGAGATAAATTGCCAAATAATGATTTGGTTAAAATTACATTATTATGGTTCGAATTATTTTTTATAATCAACCAAAAGTATATAAAACAACAAAAAAAATGATAAAATAACGATTATTATACATATTATATATTGTTTGTTCCATCAAATGGAGTGTATTAGTTGAAAGTATTTACATGTGATACAATTGCAACAACAAAAAAACACATACATTTTCAAAAACGAAAAATGAATCGAGAATATATTTGACAGAAAAAAATTTAAAAAAAAAGATCAATCAAATCGGTGATTTTATGTGAGCATACACAACGCAAATTATATAGTTAAAAATTACTGTCAACATAAGTTTGTTTATTTATTGTATGAAGAGCATAGGCAGCTTTATTTAATTAAAAGAAAAACAAAAAAAAAGAAACCATACATTACAATGGGTTAACAGATGTACTCATTGACATTTCCCCATTATAAATTATATAAGTGTTTCGATATCATTACATTTAAATAAAGAGAAAATAATGGAAAATTTTAACAAGAGTTGAATACAAAGAAAAAAAAGAACAAACAATCACGTTAAAAGTAGCAGATATAATCACAAAGTAGAAGCGATTCAAAACAGAACAGATACGAAATCATTTTTCTTTGGAAAGTCTAGCACATTACTGTGAAAATGAATCGTTGCGGCGAAAGAGTAGTTCTTATTTTTCTCCAAATAATACTGCAACATGAAGTTTTTTTCACACGGTTTATTTGTTGTAATACAACAAATAAACTATTCATAAAAAAATGTATGTTGCAGTATTATTTGGAGAAAAATAAGAGCTACTCTTTCGCCGCAACGATTCAAATAACAAACGGGAAAAATGGTGCAATCGACAAAATGTTTGAAAAATTAATTTTTTGTTGAAAATCGAAGATTCGCATCATCAATGAGAATGAATACATCCAGTTTAGTTACGAATAAAAAAAAAAACATAAAAAAAAGTCTTTGACACACACACACACACATTACGCTTGTATGTTTTGTCTTTGTGTTGCTTTCTAGACGTATTCCATTTGAGAATTTCGCTAATCAAGTTAAAATGTGCATTCGACAAAAAGTTCTACACACATTAGTATTTAATAATTTTGATTATTACACAATTATTCAACATTTTTTTATGCAAATAACTTTTTTATGGTGTTGTTTCGTCTAAAGTCTGAGCAGGCTAGAGCTCAATGATTGTTGTCGCACACATATAAAGCTCCTAAGACAGAAAAAAAAACAAACAAAAACACAAGTGAAAACAAAATATATTTTATTATTTTGCATGCATTTAAAACAAAAAATAAGATGCGATAAGAACAAAACACAAATTCTGACATCAGTTAATACATTTATCATGTGCCCATTTATAAATTCTATTTATTTTCGACCTATTAATTTTTTTTCAGCCATTCTACCAAGTGGTTAAACAGATTTAGTTCAACCACATTTAAGGTACTTGGGCAAGACCACAAAATCAGGCCTAGCGATATTATAATTATTAGTATTAAAATCAAAAATCAAAACTAAAACTAAGAAGCTGCTGCATTTGGCTCGGCCTCAACCGCGTATGTATTGAATACGTCGAAGTGTATTTCGATTCCCGCATTCCGTCTGAATATATCTGGAGTGTAACCCATGAATAATTCAAAGCGACCTGAAATCAATATTCTTAATTTGTACATAAATGTATACCAATCAAATATTACCTTTGTATGAAATACATCTAGCAGCCGCTATGTCGCGATGGCAAACGGTTTTCAATACTCTTTCCTCTTGATTTTGTTCTTCTTCGGCAGCATTCGCCATTTCAACATCAATCGCGTTGTCATCGATAATATGCATTTCGGCCAATTGTTCAGCAACATTCAACATTCTCCGCTTCAGCATTTGGTTCAATGATTGGCCAGTTTTTTCGGTATACTTTAACCTTAAACAACAATCTAAATAAAAATGGATTAACAATGAATTTTATATTCGTTTTCACTTTTACCTCAAAAAATATTATAAATACCAACCGATTGAGCATATGATGATTTGGATTTGTTTTCTTAACGGCCTTTCGTTCCACTTTCAGTTGTCGACGGCTCTTTTGTGTCACAATTATTATCGGCAATTCAAAGGCTAGCACGTCTTGAATCGATCACTTCTTGTGTGTTGTGGATATCGATTTCCACATCTTGGGCTCCCACGTATCGAACAACACAATTTGGTTTCTTCTTAACGCTTTTCACAAATTTCCGTGTGCCCAGACAACGAACATGCTTCTTGATTTTAATCGGCGAATTTGGTGAAATCTCAACCGCGCCCATGTAGAATAGGCATGCTTTGTTGTTCGTTAGCCGATTCACAAAATTGTCCATTGTTCGATTCTCCTCAACGTACTTATCAAATCGAAAACGTGCATATTTACGAGACGCGTATGTTTCCATGTCACGTTTCAACATTCGCAGGCGATGACGAATGTATGGTAACCATTGTGAACCTCGTGGAGATGGCATCACTGGATGTGCCTTCAAGTCGTTCTGCTCAAATTCAGTGAACTCCCGCCTGAAAAGTTTCATTTTCTTGTTGCGTTTTGGATATTTGGCTTCCCAATGGTAACGCTGACTACTGACTTTGATGTTTTCCTTATTAGTTGGGATTAAAAGAAAAAAAAATATATTAATTGTTTCATTGTAAAAAAAATTGCCGATTGAACAATATGATATGTAAAATAAACAAAATACAACTCACTTCTTTGCAACGTTGCATGTCTACGTGATTTAATGTGCGTCTTACACTGGCATGCCATGTACGCATACCTGGATCGATGGCAAGAATATCCTCTGATGACATTTCCTCATTTTCTGGTATTGGTTTGTCGAACAATACCGATGCCGACACGCTGTCAGTGAGGACTCTTCGGCGAAATGTAAACTTTCCTTTCACTAATTTGTTGATTTTTTGCATATCGAAATATGTTGCCCAATATTCATCACGATGTTCAAAGAAATAATTTTGTTCGAGTTTCAGTCCTTTTTTGCCAATGAATTCGTTGGATATGAACAGCAATAATTTCCTATCGATTGGGATGTGTTTTAATTTGAAATCATTCAATGGCACAACAGTAAAATTTCTCACTTTATATGAGTTCGGTGGTCGAAGTGCGCTCGGCTGCGGCATCATGCGATTTTTCATGTGTTCTGCCCATTGTATTTTTAAGCCGGCCGTATCGATTAGAAATTGTTCGATTTCACGTAAAATCATAGATAAAAGCATAGTTTAATCTGTTCTATACCAGGGTGAGTAAAAAAACTTGTATGTCTGCCACTGATTACGATGTCTGTGAAATAATTAATGTTGTGTAAAAATAATAATGATGCCAGATTTAAAATTTTTGTAATTTTTTCACTAATGTCGGCGATTGTTTGCAAAAATCGTTCACGCACATATTCATCTAAATTTGTATTCACCAATGAATTTACGGGCTACTATCGTTGTGCCATTCGTTGTGTCTTCGTCTACTTCGACGTATTTTCTTTTCCCACCCATTTTTGAAGTAAAAATACTCAAAACACATTGACTCAAATTTAATTTACATTGACTGTCGTTTGTAATCTTTCGCATTGGTCGCTGGTTAAACGTATTCTGATTCGATTCGGTCTTTGATTTTGTCTTGTTAGCTTATAAAATGTACAGTTGTCGCTTTATACATGTTCTGTCATGCCAAAATTCATTTCCACAAAACACTGCACTGGTCGATGGTTCAACGTATTCTGATATGATTCTCTCTTTGACTTTGATATCAAATGTTCATCATTCGGCGATCGATAAGTCTCTAACAATTTTACAACGTAGGCTACTTTTCGTGTGTGTGTTCACTTGTTGCTTTCTGATTTGAATATGTGGCACAACAATCGATGATACTGTTCAAATTCTCAGACTAAAATATGAGACGATGAACATTCGAAAAAAATACAACGCCGTCAAAAATCCTATATCTATATGTATAAAATGTGAGCAACAAAAAGACTCTTGAATGCTTTTGAATAACCAAATGTATTGATGATGTTGGTTGAAAAATGCATGCGACAATCGAATTTGAAACTGGACATGAAATCATAAACAATAAAAATCATTCAGTGACAAAAATAGAACGAGTGCAAATAAGGACACAAACGACGAATGAGAGAATGAGAGCTCGCATTGAAACATTGTCGCTTCAGAAAAAAAATTGTGTGATTTTCTGTGTGGTGTTTGTCGCATTACTTGCTTTCGTGTGCAGTTTTTTTATTTTAAACAAACAGCGATATTATGTTTATCCAAAACACTCGTCACACTAACAAAACGACAGCGACAAAACACAGCGAACGTCGGAAGCAACAACATCATTATAACGAAAGAAGTTCACTCGAGTTCAGAATATTGTTTATACCGTTGTGAGTTTATGTTGCGTTGACAAACAATCATCGCCAAAAATGGACGATTGATTCAATTCAATAGTGTTTCTTAGGCTTTGTTTTCTTTCTCATTTATTATTAACAGCAACATAACAAAAACAACGGTTACAACGAAATATGACAAGAATATTTGAACACAATGCGTTCATTGTTTATTTAAAGACAATTTCAAATGAACATTGGAAATTGGATTAAATAAAATCTGAATTTGAAAAGGAAAAATAAATAAACTAAATTCTATATTAATTTAAAATTTGTTCCTATAAAATTAAATAATCATATTTTCATGTTCATTAAAACAAGCCGAATGTTTGTATCATTTCTGTGGGAACTAAATTTGCCAAATGTATCATAATCATAAACTATATTGTACAATTGTGAATTATACAAGCAAAAAAAAGCAAAAAAAAGAAAAAACTCGGACTTTTTTTCTCATCATTTTTTATTGATTTTCTCAAATTCGATTCCACAAAATGTTGCTATGATTTATGTATTTGTTATCGTTTGATTTCAGGACATCAAAGGTATTGTATATTTGCTAATAATTGAAATTGCACGGTAAAAAAGCAAATCGACTAAAATGTTAATTTATTAATTGAATATGTATCAGTGAATTATGAAAAAAATAAATAAATATTAGTTTTGAAAAGGTACCACAAAATCAATATATTTTTCTCTTTTGATTGAAATTCGAATTTCTTTGATTGACATTTTGCATGAACTTAATCGGCGAATATTTTGAAACTTCCTAAGCTCTTGTGTTTTTTTTTTTCCTCTGGCCGCACTGCCGCAGTCATCAGGAAATTATGTTTAAGTGATTTTATACAAGGATGTAAAGAGTTGTTACATATCATTGTCAATTGCAATATAACTAAATTGATATATCGATTAAAATATTCCCTAATTTCAAGTAGATGAAGGTAGTTTGCATGGTACCATAAATACGTATTTAACTAAAGAAACCATTGGAACTCTTAAATTTACTTTATTTGCAAAAAAATTTGATTGGGGTGGTGTATACTTTCTAACGTGCATGCAGGTAATATGATTTTGTAAAGTCTATGAAATTCAGTAACTTAAATGGTGTCTCTCTTATTTATTAAAAACGATTGTGTGTTGCGACATATATATATTTAAGATTCAACTATGATTTTCAACTACTTCATTCATATTTCCATTATGTCAATCTGTGCTCAAGAGAGACCAAAATTGTCTAGTATTTTAATTAATTATTTTCTCTCTATTGACGTGTACTAATTGCCTGACCATTGAATCAACATCTATTAAAATCTATATAATTTTTTATTGGGATTTTCCAAACAGACAAAATTTTACTAGATTTATAAATAGTTTTTTTTTTATTACTTGCTTGTTGCTTGAGCAAATTGTGCTTTGGTTATGGTTTTTAAACAGTTTCATTAATTACCTACTCATCGGGTGTGAATTTCAGTTACCAATACTATTGGTTTTTAGCGAACATCAAGTTTCATGCTTATAGGCATAGAAAAATTACTACATTTTTCATCGTTTAACAGTCACTCACATTTTTGTTATTTCACTAGTTTTCTTGTCTGAAGAAATGAAAAGCACCTAATTTCTCTCATAATTTCTGAATCGAAGAAACGAGCATCTTGATTTTATTCTAAATTTTGTAACGGTTTATAAACTTGTGGAACAAAACTAATCATAAAGATTATATAAGTTTTTTTTTTTTAATTTCAAAGCTTTGAAATGATACTGCCACCGTGAGATGGACATCAAGAGGCTTATTACAAAAATAATTCGAAGGAAAAAAAATTAATCGGTATGAAATACAAGCGCTTTGCTGAATTATTGGATGAATTTTTCCTTTGTATATTGTGCGTAAATTGAAATCTTGAGTATAATAGTCGGTTTGATGTATTTCAAATATTTCAATTGAAAAAATCATGGTAAATTAACTGATATCATTCGTGGATTAATAGAAGAAGAAAAAGTTTGGGATAAAAAATATAAATGCTTTGGATTACGAACAACAATCCTTTCTATTTCTTTCATTATCCATTTTGAAGTGCAACGGTTTTGATTTGATTTCACTATAATATTTGAAATATTTTTGGCACTTGACGATCAAACAGAACATGATCTCTGCCCTAAAATTGGCTTTTTTGAACTCTTTCTCTCTCTCTTTCTACCCTTGCTGGCTCGTTACAAAAAAGTATAGCCCAAAAAACGATTTCAAATCATATGACAATTTCCATTCGATCACTTTTTCGGGTGATTTTCACGTGTGGTGATAGAAGTGCCGCATGTGCATCATTCAATCCAGCCGACAATTTGAATGATAGTGTGACACTTTGATTGCTAAACATCACATCAAATCTGAAAAATGAAAATCAATGTTTTAATGGACATTTCATATTCTCTCCAAAAGAGACTTACTCGGAGTCAATACAAATTTCCGGTTGTCGTCCGGTTGCATTTTGAATGACCAAGAAGAGCTTTGTAATCACTTCAATGACGTGGGCTGTTTGAAAGACAAAGTCACCCTTTTTTCGCCCCATTTCCGACTAAAATTAAAAAAAAAAAACAAATATAAAAAAAATAAAAAAAAAAATAAATAAATATAAAATTGGTATTCAAAAAAAAGTGAAATATATTAATATATAATTTATCTGTGTTGAGTTCATCCACACAGCACAAAAATCACTTGGAAATGCTTACGTCTTTAATATGAAACACAGCTATATTATCGTGATATGGGCTCAAAGACAATCGATAGATTTCGGTTGCTGGAATTCGATATTTGATTTGAAGTGTTCTTTGGTCAAGCAACAACATTGCATTTGTTGACAGCGCCATTAAGATTGGAGCTACCTATTTTAGACACAAAATGAATTAATTTCAATATAAATATAATATTATTTTTATTGATTTGAACATACTTTTCCCGTTGAACGTGTAATTTTGCTCACGATATCAGCAAAAACAATATATTGATCATTTAAAGATATACACAATTTTTTCCATTGGACATTTTGACGCAAACGTACATAATCACCAAGGAATGGATGCGGGATACTGCAAAAAAAAATCATTCGAACAAATGTGAAACTAAAATCATCAAATATAAACCAGACAATGTATTGAGCTGACTATTCAATCCGCAAATGTAGAGTTCTATTTTGGTATACTAGATGTCTACATTTGCGATAAAACGTTGGAGTTCCAAATATTTGTTGTCACACAATCGAAATGTTCCAAAATAGCGTGCTATTTCGTCTCATTCCAAATAAATAGTCAGCTCAATTGTCTGAAATAAACTGGTTAAAAAAATTACCTTAAAGGATAGGATGTTTTTCGATTCTTGAAAAGTACTGATGCGGTGAGTTTTTCACGCATTCGATTTCGTGCCACTTGATCGTACATTCGTCGATATTTGTAACACTAATTAAAACGGGTATTTTCATTTCATCAAGCTGATTGTGATTAGCATAAGAAAGCAAAAAACAACTTACACGCCATTTATGAAAAATGCTCCGCAACAGACATGATGTTTCGGCTAAATACGGTGGTGCAGTAATCCATTCATTGCTTATCGGGCTGTAGCTTGTTGACGGTAACCTTAGCATGAGTGTCATTAAAAATTGGCGTTTCTGAAAACCAAAAATATTTTTAGAAACTTGTTCGGTTGTTGACTGAATCGTTGCGATGTTAAAAAAACTACCTCATATTTTGTTTCGAATAATATAACTTCAACATAAAGTTTCATAATGAGAACGATTCAATTTCCGTAACGATTCAATTTCATTATGAACCAAATTTTGATTCGAAATTGTACAAATAACTACTAACCTTTCGTCTAATATAATAGTTTTCAATGATATTCACGGCCCATTTCGACATTTTTCGATATCTTAACATTCGCTGTTTCTCTTTGGCCTAATAAAATTGCACAGAAATAAATTGAGAGTTTGCCTAGTCATTTGAAAAGATCGTTCAATTGAATTTTTGGCAAAAAGATACACATCGAAAATATGGGAGAATGATTGTCGAAAAATAAAAACGAAAAAAAGCTTGCATGATAGAATAACGTGAACGTGAATTTAATAAAGCAAAGAAAACCAACATAGAACTGGAGCTTTTTTTGGTCACTTACAGCTGCAGAAATTTGCCAAACATGTCTTCTACCAGCGTTTAATACATCGATTCGACAATCCTATTGATAGAGGAGAGATAGAAAAAAGAACATGCTCTACTTCGTTACATGCATTTTTTTTGCTTTGTTTGATTGTTTTGTTCGAACATCGCGATTGAAAGTGTAACCGAGAGAAACAATCAATGAGTATCATGGTGGAAAAAACAAAATAAAAAGATTTCAGTGGTAGGTTATTTACAGTTGGATGGGCACAAAAATTAGATAGTAAAGTGCTTATCGCTTACATTGTATCGGGATTATACGTGATTAGATTGATATTGCAGTATAAGGGTGATGTATAATACTTACTCGTTGTGCTCTCCATGTGCGGGCAATAGTAATTTGGCAGTGCTTTAATCGTAAAAATCGTTTTCGTTGAATATATGATCGAAATTTCGTTTGGATTATCACAATCAATTCATTCAATCGATTTCGTCGAAACTCTTCCATTTCGAAAACCTGCAGCAAACCATAAAACCACATTATTATATCATTGGAAAATACATTCAATTTACCGCCCGCATTTTATTATAACAGCATAATCATGTAATATATATTATATATATAATGGAATATAAATACATAACTGTTCGTGGGCTGCGCATAAAAACTTTCGTTGTTCCCAAAATGAATTCGGCCGATGGCAATGGCAATTCTCTTATAATTGTTGCGATGCCCTCAATCACACTACCAATTTGATAAAATGGCCACGTTTCGGGGCTGAGTATCTTATAACGATTTAAAAAGTTTAAATGGCTTAAATTGAAACAGTAACCCATTCTCCAAATGTTAACTAATGGCATAATATTCGTATAGCGTATTTGATGCTGAACCAATGGCAATTCAAATAAGTTTGCTTTTTTTAATTCATTCGGTTTGATACAAAAAATATAATGCGTTTTTCTATCTTTAATCAATGACAACAATGATTGCAATTGCATTTGAATGTTTGACGAAATGCTTGCTGGATGACGATGTGTACGATTCGGATTGCCTGCATGTATTTAAAAATGAAAATTGTACGAATTTCACATTAATTGTTGAATGGCTCACCGAATGTCAATATAAAGTTCAATTTTTCATTTGGTTACCTTCAGGGAATAGGCTTTGCATCAAAGGCAATTTACTGTGAAACAAACCGGTACTTATGTATCGTGGTACTTTATCGGCATTTTTTTCCATGAAGCCAGTTGCGGAATAGCTCACTTGGCCGGCAAAATGTCTTATTCTACAAAATTGTGAAAATTATTCGCTTTCTAATTTTGAACATTTTGTATTGTGACCGGCTTATTTTAGTATTATGAATTTTCTGTTAATTCAAAAGTCACTTACTGAAAACTTTTTCGCAGCATATTATTGTCTTCGGGTAAAAAATTTGGATTACCAGCACAGCATTGTTGTACACGTAGCAAAAATGCTTCATCCGATTTGATATGAGGCTCATCTAATAAATTCAATATTCCGTAGTTTGTTTTGTCAATTAAATCACAAATTGCATAATTGTCGAAAAAATCGATTTTGTTCCAATCAAGACCCTCTTTGAGGTAAATTTCCTGTTGATTTTTAAAAATATTCTGAAGAAAACTCTGTGCTCCACGAAAAAGAGAAGAGAAAAAAGAACTCTGTCTGAAATATATTCATGATTATTGATATGGTGTTGTTATATGACTACACTTACTTGATGCAATCGCTCACTACAGTAATTATTAACTAATTGCTCAAAACGATTTGTTTTATTTATTTCGAAACCGAAAAAGTCCAGTATTCCAAAGTTTTTCCCATGTAGCGATCCATGCTTTATCTATAAATTTAACAAGAAAAAAAAGAAAGAAATTATAAAGAACTTTCATGTAATTTTAATTTGTGTTTCGTTGAGCTTTTGATTGAACCAATTTTACCTTGAGTGATTCATTAATTTTTCCAGCGATCCAAGTAAATAGACGACCATAAATGGTTCTACACATCGCATTTCGAATACGTGACGCACTCAACGCATCGAGATCCGAATCAGAATCATTGTAGCGCCAATTATGATCACCTTTTGTCAAACAATTCATCAAAATATTCGGATTCAATTGAGCAATTTCGGCTATTTCAATGACTTCTATAAAATAAATTACATTCAAATTACACATCGCCATTAAATGTTTTAAGTAATGTTGTGTTGGCCACTAAACTTGCCATAATCATTAGTTATTTCACACCCTCCACTTCCATCAATATTTGTTGTTGGTATAAAAATCAGATTTCCTAAGTGAAACGAGAAATTGCATTGTAACACTTGATTCAAATCAAACCAAACAAATAATTGTTACCTAACTTAAGAATAATTGAGACCATTTTAAATATGCTAAGGATTTCATCCGAAGTGAGACCAATAACGTCAAGCGCTTTTTTCGTATAGGCAAAATCTTCTCGATCGGTATTTGTAGCTGGATCATTTTTCAAAAGTGCATACTTCTCACTATTTCTTTGAAGTTTGATATATTCTATGTGACAAAAAATAAAAGCACCACCATTTGCAATTAGACAAGATTTTGAATCAAAATTGATGATTATTAGTAGAGAATCTTACTTAGAAATGCAATATCTGCACCGCATAGCAGTTGATAAAATATATGGAAGTTTCGTTCACCGTACAAACGATCTGTTACACGCCACTACATGAAATTTAATTTAAAAAAGTGAATAAAACTATTCACGTTCACCATGAATTTATCAGGAAAAAAGCGAGCGATATACCTTTTCAATCATATCTGAAATCAAACGATTGGAAAAATAAGAAAATGAACAATGGATTTTTATAAATTTGCAGAAAAACGACTTACAGCAATTAATGTGAGCTGCAAGTGGATCTCCTTTGAAATCGAGTTCAATGTCGAAAAAATTTCCCTAAAAAATGCACATGACATTGATATCGTTGTTCGTTACATTGTTTTTAATATGAAAATCGATTGACTTACAAATCGGCTTGAATTGCTATTAAGTGGTATTGATGCATTTCCAAATGCTTCCAACAGAACTTGAGCGTAAACAATGCGTCTTCGTATCGTTAAATGAATATCGGATGAATTAATAAATGACGATGATCGACTCAGCGAATACGTTGATCCGGATTTTAGTTTATAGTTTGTACATTTTATTGTGGCATTATCCTTAAAATAATTGGTACTAAAATGTTCATCGCTTAAATGGCACGACGTACCCTTTGAACATCGATTGTTGGTTTTAGTGTTGTTGTTTCCGGTGCTGGTGTTGCTGATGCCACTGCCGCCGGTTATGCCATCATCATTGTTATCATCACAAATTGACTTAATATAACCGCATTTATCGCATTGTAGATCTTTTTTCATGACAACAAAGTTTTTTTTTCTTGTCGGCGTTCTATCACATTGTAAAGCCTTCGATTCAACGGCGCTCCATCGACGTTTTTCATCACAATTGATTTGATCAACGGAACATTTTGCCTTCGGCGTATTAATTGCTGATGACACCGAACGGGAAATTTTCGGATTCCATTTGTTGTCATCACAAATGCTGTTGAGCGAAACATCGTCTAAGCTCTTGTATTGATTTCGAAGATCAAATTCAACAGTTCCCGACGATTTCTGGGCAATTGGTTCGATAAGAGACAGAAAAAAAAAACCCAATCAAATTTAACTATGAACACATTCAATCAGTCTTACTACACTTACATGTGCTTTTCGTGCAAATTTAATTGAGTCGCGCTTTTTAGAGCGACACGAACCGTCCACTAACGATTCGTATTTTGGATATGAAGCCAGACTTTTGCATCGCATCAATCGTGTACTATTTTGATTGTGAAGAATTTTTTTACCGCTCAACGTATGATCGGAATGTACGTTGGAAAGAAAATGTAAAATGATTCGGGCACTTTCAGTTTTGCCACTTCCATTTTCGCCCAAAATGCACATACATTGATTCTCATTTTGATCCTGCAAGCTGCGATAAGAGGCATTTGTGATACCGTAGCTAAAATTTGTTAAATAAACAATAAAAACTCTCGCACAATACAATCACTATATACTCACATATGTGGTGGTAATTTGAAATAGTTTGATTTAGCATAACATTGGATTGTGTCTGTGGAATAGTTTGCAATCGCCTTATATGGATTGATGGCAACGAGAAAGGCACCAATATATGTCTAAAAGAGTTTTTCAAAAGTAAAGTCAATTTATCTATATTTCTTTCTATAATATGTGTGTATTTGTGACGTACATAAATAAGACCCCGTTTGTATCGCTGATAAATGTTGGAAATGAATGTTTCCTCGGTTAAATTTTCAATTAAAACCGAGTCCCAGAATCCAACATTATCATTCAGATTTGTCATTTATAAAGCCGCTGCACGTTCGGTTATCCTTCTCTCTCTACACAAAATACAATCACAACACTAAACGAATCTCATTCAATTCTTCACTTCGTTTTACATATTCTTTTTCGGATAGCATCACCATTCACATCGCATCGATGATGAATGCAATTGCAATTCCTGTAGAAGTCATTTTATCGTTGTGCAAAAGTCCAGCCGATGAAAAATAATGCATGAAATGAATCAATAAAACAGATGAGTTTTTCAAATTTGAAAACCAAAAAAATCGATTTCGAAATACTTATGCCATCAGCCCAAATGAAAATACTGATTAAACATAAAAGAAGCACACACACAAAACGATGAATGTTCGAGACAACGAAAACATAAATTGCGAAAGAATATTGATCAAATTTTATAACTTATTTACACATAAAACAGAATGATAATTTATGTTTGTTTGGTCACTCTTTCGCCAAATCAATGGTAAAAGTAGAAAAAAAATTCCACGAAAAAAGCTCGCCCATAAAACAGTAATTGCCAACAATATCAGCCCACTTTCATTCCGTTTTGCCTACTTCACATTTTGCTTAAAAATCACAGTCATTGAAATTTATTTTTAATTTGCCAAATTACAATTTATTTCATTCTTTTTTTGAAACACTTTATTTTAAACGAAATTTTCACCTTTTTCATACATTCAAATAGATATTACAAATTAAAAGCTTAAATTCATCTAGTTTATATGTTGCGCACACTTGGCAAACTGTAATTCATCTCGCGGTGAATGTGAGAGTGTGGAAAAAAATGAATGTAGAAACATTTCAACAAAACAAACAATTAGAAAACGAAACGGGAATGTGACGTTTTCGGGAACTGCATCGCTTTTTGATTTCTGGCATATACACGGTTCGTAAATTGAAACATTTTTGTTGACATTTTGATGTGTGGCGCATGTAATCATACGTATTCCGATGTATGACTCGCGCATAATCTTATTGAGAGTGTGGTATGTGGCGGGGCCAAGAGAAAATCTGTATCCAGTTGTGGAAAAGAGATGGCACGATAAAAAAATAGTGAGAGGATATGCACGATGCCATCGACGATGATTTTTCGCCATTTCACCGAATTCGGCAAACACAGTCAGACTTCACGTTGAAAACCGCAGATAAGGATAAACATTGTTGATGGAAAATACTTTAATTCTCTCCTTGCTCGATGATTCGTACAATCGCTTGAACATTTTTATTTTTCACCGCTATCTTGAACAACGGCATCATTTTAGCCGCATACTTTCCCACTTGAAGAGAGAAAAAAAGAGGAAAAAGGCACATATTGAACCTGAGTTAATTAAATTTTCACCAATTGAATTTCCATTCATTTTTTTTTTTTCGTTTTAAATCAATTACCACGAAGTCGTATCGATGATTTCAATACCGAATTAACACCATCCAAATTTTTTTGCATTTCAACAAAATTCTGCTGACGAATTTTAAAGGAACTTGCCATATCTTCATTTAGACGATTGAGATTTGTGTAAATTCCAGTCAGATCATTTCTGAAATGTTGTCAACCCAGAAAATATTGAAATATTCTTTTTTTTTTAAATGAAATTTTTCGAAGCCGTACTCATTGTAAAGACGAGCATCCTCTGCTTGAATGAGTAAATTTTTGGCAATGTATTTCTTATGTGCCACATCCAATATCAAATTGGTGTAGGTCGTTTCAAAGCCGCTGATTCGTTCATAGTATTGATTGAGACGACTTGTAATATTGGGAAAACAAGCAGTTGTCTGAAAATAAATGTATGATTTAATTTGAACATATTGCCAATTCTGTTTTCGTTTCACCTTTAAATCTTCAATATTCAAAAATGTGGCCAACGAATGAATTAAATCGCCGGCCAAATCCATGTTTTCGGTTAGAATTTTCGATTCGTTTTTATCTGAAAACCAAATAATCACAGGGCTTTTATCATATACACTAATTAATGACAATCGAATGTCATCCAATCCGGTTATATGTTCTGGCTCAATATCGATTGGTAACAAAAAATTCTGGAATTTAAAGCATAAACACAAATTATTAGTTGAGAAAAAGTTAGAAATTAGTTGATATTTGTTACATTACAGTAAAATAATTACGAAAATTCACCTGATTAATCCATAAGCAGAGTCTCTGATAACGTTCGTTTAATTTAAATGAAACGTAGCTAGTTGTTTCATCAATTTTAATCGGAAAATGTAGATGTACAGATGGATTGAAATCATCAATAACCGCATACATTGAAAACTTTGGCAATTGTCTCGTTAATTCAAACACATGAAATTGTTTGCTGTGCTCAAACCCAACCAAAATCTGTTAAAAAAAGTGGTCCACAATTTAATTGTTGATTTGATAAAAAACGTTCATGTTTAAGATGCAAACAACCTTCAAATGAATATCATAGACAATGTTTTTTGGTGTAATAAACGGGAGAACGATTCTGGATGTTGGTCTAGAATATGAGTAGGCAATCAATGTTTCACCCTCAAAAATTCCCTCCGAAAAGATTATCAATGCTTTGATGATTGTGTCATTGTTGGTGCATACACTCAATTCAATATGCAACTGGAATGGAAAACGTTTAATTGTGGGAATTGTTTTAAATAATCATATCAAAATTACGAATCGAACCCTTTTATCACCGCTTGCTATAGTAGATAATGCAACTTGTAGTCGAGTACTAGCCGGAATAACTCCAAATTCATCGGAGGCCAAAATTCGTAGATCTTCATTTCTGTAACATGGATTATTTTAGTCATGATTTTCACAAAGGTTTTTCGTTTATCTCGAGTAAAATTTGTCCCCTTTTCAAGTGAATGAAGCATTAAGCAACTTACTCCGAGTGCTCTTTGTTGATTTTTGTATTCGATTGATATTGGGACAGTTCAAGCATTAAATTTTTTTTCGTTGTCATCAATGAGTTCAGTTCACTGTGATCCATTTGCTTGATTGATTGTAAATTGATTTTAGATCGTTCGTATCCCTTAACATCACCATTTCTAGTACATATAATTAGATCATTCACGCCTCTTCCACGGTAATCAGCTTGCATAACAGATATTACCATTTGATTTAACGATAGTTTAAATAAACTTTCACCAGTCGCAATGTCTCTTATGTCAACCTGAAAAATGATTAAAAAACCGGATCGCTTTAAATATTCGAAAACTAATTTTCAACACATTACCTTTCCAGATTCCCAGCCAATGATCAATTGAAGAGATCCAGTGCCCAATAGATCGAAACATGACATCGATAAACCCTTTGATTTTGACTATGAACGATTTTTTTTCGTTTTTAAATTTATACTTGATCAATTAAATAAAAATGTAACCTTTATACGCCACAGACGAATTCCTTCGTTATAAACACCAACCGTGCCGTCATTCAATGAATATGCCAACAGACTACTCAAATCTATTGCAGAAATATTTGAAAATAGGTATCAATCGAAACCAAAGAAAAACATGTTAATCACATGAAACGAACCAATTCTTGAGACTTGAATGACACTGGAATTTTCAAAAAATTCGGATAATAGAGAATCGTTCTGGTAAATTTTAATAGTTCCATTATCACAGCCGCAAACAATCTAAAAGTTGAAAAAAAAATCATAGTAAACACAAATTTCAAATGATTTTTATAATTAAAAAAAAATTACTTCATTTTTGCCATCATTATTAAAATCCACCAAAGCCAATGTATTCACATTTCCACTGGTAACAATCCAGAGTTTTTCATTTCCATCCATATCATAGCCGCGAATGTATTCTAAAAAAAAGTCGTAAACTATAAGAAATGTTTTCGATGCAAATTTGAAAAATAACTTACGGTTGCCGCCAACAATGACTAATGGATTTTCAAATGAGCACACTTTTCCAATTAAAATGATAAAAATACCCTCTAAAATCTCCTTATAAAATAAATCTCTGTTGTTATCGACGTGATAGGCTAAACAAAGAAATGAAATGATTAACAATTGCTCAAAAATCGTTCGGCTTCAATTCAAAAACATCGAAGCGCAAAGATTTTACCCAAAAGTTGTGTTGGACTTGCAATGACCAAAATATCCTTTGGATCACTAGATAAACAACCAGTTTCAATGGCACGAATCTCTTGATTAAAATTTAATACAGCTATATCACTGCTCATCTCAGCCCATGATAATCGATTATTCGATTCGCTTAATTTTTTATACGGATTATGTAAAATGACTTTGTCAGTGCTTGTAACGGCAGTAAGGCACACATGAATGCCATCGTATTTACCAAATTTTACGCTACCAACTAAAATCCGATTTAAACTAAACGAAAATGCAGGATTTATCGAAAAGGACATTGTTGCCTTCACTAACAGATTATCGCACAATTTCCGTACCAGAATTTTTTATTCTTCCAATAATCAACTTCTAGTTGGATATGATAAATGATAAGAACGGTATTTGCACTTTGTTGTTGTCAAAGTGTTTTGAAACAAGTGCCATGGTTACGGTATATTTTCATTGATCATTTCCCGCCAATTCAAAATTTATTCAGTTAAATAATGTTGGATATTTGAATGTAGCTCATCTATTCATATTCGAATTGATGTTTTCCATTCCATTTTATTTTCACTGTACACACATCAGTTCAAGAAATCGAAAAATTCAATAATTTTAAGTACATTTGTGTAAGTGTTTTCGATAAATTCGAATTTTACCGATAGGGTTGAAATGGATGTGTTCTCATATCGCGTTGATATATGGTCATTAAACGTATTTTTTTTATATTACCACCACATTGAGACTGTGCTGTCTAGTGTTGAACTACCGACGGTGGACTATATTGAAAGCGACGAAAAGAAAAAAAAATCAAGCGCAAATGCTACAGTAGAAAGTTTAGTATACACACGTTATACAAACACACTTAGTTACACATTTACTCCCATATCAAGCAGATTTATATTATTTTCACATTTCAATTTACGTTCTACAATATAAAAAAAAATCAAACTAAATAACATTTGTATAAATTAGCATATAAAACAATATTCGAATAATAGAAATATAGGATTGATTTTTTTGTTGTTGCTCGCCCATAAGCTGAAGGAAGAACAAAGGACAGTTTAAGCGCAATATTTGCCAATTTGTGTTTTTATGGAGGTAAAAAAAATGTTCATGCATAATCGAAATGTTTTGTGTATTTCTCTCATTCTGAGTGGAATTTATGATTTTCTTCTCTGAAGAAGATGACGATATTTAAAAAAAACAGAGAATTTTGTGCCATTTGCGCTGATGCTCATCTCTCTTTGAATTTTGTTTGTTGCATTTTTGTTGTTTGGCTATTCAGCTCTCGCTCTATCGCTTTCAGTGTGCGCGCTTGTCATGACCAATAAAAAATTATAAAAAATAAAGAAAGATGAGAATGGAGTCGCAATGTTTTTGGATTATTATTTTTTTTTTCTTCTAATTTTGTTATATATATGTTTCGCGCAAAGTGACTATGTACAAAACATTATTTTGTGTAATTTTTTGTCTATGTAATTATTTTATTTTGTATTTTTGTCCATAACAATCTGAATATTGATAAAAGATAACTAAAGAAATGGTCCTAAACAACCTTTGAGATGAAGACATGAAATGCTTTTGCTTAATTAAATATATTGATAGTGTGTTGATCAGTGATTTAAACTGCAACCTTGCGCTAATCCGATTTTTATTTTCTATCTTTTTTTCTCTCCCTTTCTATCTGTATGTATTTTACAAACTAAGATTTAAACATCAACAGTTTGTGTAGCTTTTTGTGCGTTTGCTCGTCTAACTAATCAATTAATTTGAAGTGAATAGCAATTAGAGAGCTCATTGCACCGATGAGCATTCACCAAACAACAATAACACCAGCATTCATCAACATCCACGAATTCCGACGTGAAAACAAATAAACAAACAGCAACAGCGAAAAAGAAACACATTTAATAATCAAATCATAAACCGTTTGAACCAAAATCGAAAAATAGTGTTGTGTTTTGTGTGAGTGTATTTGTATTCCGAAAAAAAAGAAAAAAAGAAGCAAGAACATTGACATCCAAACCTGGATGACTTCTGTGTGTAATGGCAGACAAAAAAATGAAAGGTTATTTTCATTGCATTAATCATAAAGTAGCTTAAGCTCATTAAAATTTTGTGTTTTGTTTTGTTTCCAATAATTTTTTTTGTTCGCTCGAAAATAAAAAACCAAGTTTTGTTTAGCATTTGACCCAAAGTGACAAATATGTTTTAAAAATACCACATAAACATTTCTTCTGTCAATGTTTTCTTTTTTGTTTTGTCGAATTAGATTTTTGAATAAATCAGTTAGAGTTCAAATTTAAATTGAATGTAATTTCCAATAAAGTCATACAAGAATCCATTTAACAGATGTAACCCAATTCATTGAAGAAGAAAAAAATTACATTTCATTCGAATTTATCTTTTAAATGGAATTCACTTTTAAATAATTGAATGTGAATAAAAATGGGAATTGCAAATAGCACTTTTTCGATTTCAAAGCCAATACTTTCCGATAAAATGCCTGATAAAAATTATTTGGTTAAAATTTTAAGACTTTGGCTCAACCCTTTTCCTCTGCTATCTCGCTGTTAGGAACTTGGTAAGGGTATGAAAGCGCGAAATAGTCTCGGCGATTTTCATTTTTATGCATAACCACTAAATAGCACGTTGTCATGAAATCAGATGCGAAACAAAACCGGTGCTTAAAAATTGTTTTGATTTTGATCCAACCACCATTTGATATGTATGATTTGTTTAGTTCGATAAGTTTTTCTGTTTTGTTTTTGAAAATGATTTTCAATTCAATTTCTATACAATTTTATAATAACATCGGCTGACATTTTGTGTGTGTGCAACATGCTGTTTTTTCTCTCTCTTCATTTCATAATTATAGGAAATATCTATAAGATGTCTCGTAATAAAGACAGATATGAAAGTAGTAACAATCGGAGGCAACAAATCTTTATGTCACAAGAGGATGTGGCTGCAGGACGAAAGTCCAACTGGACTGGTGTTGAAATAACTGGTAAAAAAAACTGAATTTTTCTTTTTATTAATACACTTGTCAACGCAATAATTGCATGCACATGTGTTTGCTTTGTGTGCTGTCTGCCAATATATCTTATCTGGTTTACATTTGTTCGTCATTTCTTTTTCTTCTTCAAAAACAACGAAAAAAATTATGTAGGCAATGTACGCAATGTCAGTCCCACTCTATGGCAATTCGAACATTTGACAGCGTTATATCTTAACGATAACAATTTACTACGACTTCCTAGCGACATTGGTCAATTAATCAATTTACGTACATTGGATCTATCCAGTAATAAATTGAGAAGTTTACCGGCAGAACTAGGCGAGTTAATCCACCTGAGGTACGTATACGCAGACATATTGACTTCTTTCAATATTCACTTCGTATTTGTATTGTTGTTGTTTTATTTTCTTTCTTTTTGTCTTGTGTCAATAGAGAATTGCTGCTTAATAACAATTTACTGCGGGTTTTACCGAATGAAATCGGTAAATTGTTTCACATTCACATTTTGGGACTACATGGAAATCCATTAAACAAAGAACTTATATCAATCTACAATGAGCCGAATGGAACGCAAAAATTGTTAACGTTCTTACTCGATCATCTACCGTGTAAGTTTTCAAATAGACTTACAGGGAAATCCCTGTATTTTTAATTTAAAATGGAATGTTTTACGTGTCTAATCGTTCGAATCATGAATCTTTCAGCGACGATGAATGTTCCACCACCTCAACGGCCTTGGATTCCACTTGCCAGACCAAATCGAACTAGACCGGCATGTAAGCGCTGTTTTACTTGTTTGTCATTTTATAACAAATTTTATCTGAACATTTTATTATCTACTTATAGTCATATTTACGGTGATGTGTTATAACGTCTTGTGTGATAAATATGCCACCCGACAAATGTATGGATATTGTCCGAGTTGGGCGTTAAGTTGGGAGTACCGGAAAAAAGTAAGCTAATTTTATTGAAATCGATTGAAAACATGTTAATTGTTCTCTCCTTTGTTCAGGCGATTTTGGATGAGATCCGTCATTATTCAGCCGACATAATTAGTTTGCAGGAGATTGAAACGGATCAATTCTATAATTTCTTTAAAATTGAGTTGAAAAATGATGGATACGATGGCATTTTTTCACCGAAATCACGAGCAAAAACGATGGGTGAAAATGAGCGCAAATATGTTGATGGTTGTGCAATTTTTTTCCGTGCAGCAAAGTAAGTCAATAAACCGACCGAATATTTTTGAACTCTTTGTGAACAAACTGTAACCGTTTCTCTTGTATCGTAAACTATTTTTTTCAGGTTTACCCTGATCAAAGATCATTTAATCGAGTTCAATCAACTTGCTATGGCAAATGCTGAAGGATCTGATAATATGTTGAATCGCGTGATGCCAAAAGATAACATCGGTTTGGCCGCTTTGCTCAAAATCAAAGAATCCGCATGGGATGGTCTAAAACCAGAGGAAGCACATATCACGCAACCGATACTTGTTTGTACCGCTCACATTCATTGGGATCCAGAATTTTGTGATGTCAAACTTATTCAAACGATGATGTTGAGCAACGAACTAAAAACGATATTGGATGATTTAAATCATAGCCTTCGTTCACCGCATAAATATGACGCGAACAATGTTCAATTATTGTTGTGTGGTGATTTTAATTCATTGCCGGATTCGGGTGTTATTGAATTTTTGAGTTCGGGCCGTGTATCAATGGATCATCAAGATTTTAAAGAGCTCGGCTACAAATCCTGTTTGCAACGATTACTCGGTGCCGATTCATTAAACGAATTTACGCATCCATTTAAATTGGCATCCGCATACAGTGAAGACATCATGCCGTACACCAATTATACATTCGACTTTAAAGGTATCATTGACTATATTTTCTATTCAAAGAACGGAATGGTGCCACTTGGTTTGCTTGGTCCATTGTCCAATGAATGGTTGCGTGAGAGTAAAGTTGTCGGCTGTCCACATCCACACATACCATCCGATCATTTTCCGTTGCTCGTTGAGCTCGAATTAATGCATTCAACCAATTTACAACCACCGAATGGTCTTCGAAGATAGCGATAGAAAAACAACAACAGCAACAACAACAGCAACAGCAACATCAGAACATAAATCATACACACAACTCATACGCACCAATTGAACGACCATTGGATTGATATAAATTATATTGATGATACATTTTGTACCAGTTGCATCAACAACAACAGACAAAACCAATTAAAATTTTCGTTTGAAAACAAACAATGATTTAAATCAAATTTTATGTGAAACATAGTGTTTCTTTTGTGTCGAATATTGGTATTATGGAATGAAATATATGACTAAGAACAAATTCTAGATGGAAAAAGAGAGAAAAAAAAGAGAAAAACCAAACTGAAATTGTACAACAAGTGAAACAAAAACTAAAAAAAAAAACTTAAACAACAACAAATTGTAAGAAAACCATCGGATCATATAGACAAAGCACATTCACAATTGTTTTGCATAAGTCAAAAAAGTAATGCCAACACAAAAAATACACATAAAAAAACAACATCAACAGGCTGAAACGCTAATTTAGAATGTCTTAATTGTTTAAAAAATGCACATAGATCATTGCTTTAGCATGTAATATTGTAAACATCATTGAATTTTAAACTGTTGTGTCCCTGCCCAAAAAACTGTCTATTTGGATTCGAACTGTTTTTTTTTTAAGATAAAATTTGCGCAAATAATATTTGACGCTAAATAATCACAGACGATGTTCTTTATTGAGATTTTGTAGTAAATGATTTTTTGCAAATTTTCTTCGCCCCATCTATCTTGACCATAAAAGTCAATAATCTTTTTTCTTGCACATGAAATTACACACAAACAAACATTAGAAGACAACAGCAGTTATAAAACACAAACAAGATTTATAGCATTGCTTTCATTATTCTTTTTAAATTAACATGGTGGAACAACAAAAGCTCATTCTCTGTTCTTCATTACAAAGGTTTTGTTTTTTTTAAAAAAAGGTGTATAAATTTGACATAAAATCAAACAATTTCATTTCATTATTTAAATACATGAAATAAGACAAAAAGAAAGGAAAAGAAAATCAATTAAAAAAAATATATAATAATATAAATGTGTATTGTTTTCATTCATTTGTGCATTTAATTAGTTCGTATTTAGTAAGTCATTTCAGTCATCAATTGAAAAATTAAAATGGATGTGAGAATTCGCTGTGTGATATACAGCACAACAACAATTGAAGCAAACCATAACCTCACTCAACGGTAGTACATAAATTTCATTGATTGTTGCTGTCAATACACTGCTGTCAAGCGACAGGCACATAACCTTAGTTTGTAATTTGGAAAAAACAACTGCACTATTCTAAAATATTACCAAATACAACGTTGACTTTTCTTTTATTCTTTCATTAAAAGAAACGAAAATGTATCGATCAATTCTCGGACACGCACAAAAGGTAACATATTTTTTCTCTTTCATTGTTAATGTTAAATGGACCAAACCATTGTTGATTGGTTTTCGTTTACAGTTGATGGCATTCGCAACATCACAAAATCAATTATTGCCGAAACGGATGATCCATGTATCGGCTGTATGTAATAAAACTCAATCGGGAAAATATAAAAAAACACCAAAATCTGATCGACCATTGACATATGAAATGGCGAATCCACCTTGGTTCATTGCCACTCGAAAATCTTGGAATTCGTGGAATTGTTGTAAGTATTTGGATGGAATGAAATAATTCGAAACTTGTCATCCGATGTGTGACATATTCTTTTCTTTAACAATTTCAAGCGAATCTGGAGGACGGATTACGGCCAAAACAAACAGCAGTCGAAGATATGTTTATTCGAAAGTTTATCGTCGGAACATTTCCGACATTGGTTTGCAGTGAAGTTATCATAAAGCGACAATTCAATCATATTCGTATTTCATTTCTTTTCCGTCGTGCTATTACACCATCTAAATACTACTTTTTGATCGGCTTTAGCGAAGAACTTTTATCATATTGGTTGCAATGTCCAGTCACACTCGAAATTCAATCAGTTGAACGGCATCAAGATATTATTTTCAAATATGTTTAAATTTACACCATGTTATGTAGACATACAATAAAAAGTAGCATTTTTTTCTAAATATCGAAACGATTGTTGGTGTTCATGTTTGTGTAACTCTTGGTTTGTTTATTTGAAAATGATTCGCAAGGATGTACTCGTGCCTCATAATCTGTGCAGTAGATTTTTTTAGCCGACGTAATGGTGATATTCACTTGTGGCGTAGATGGATTTCACTGAACAGTCACTTCCAAAAAGTTATGCTGTCTAGTATGAATTTCTTCTTCATGTGAGATACTTCGGATTTTGAATCATTATCTTACAGTTTTGAAATTAACACAATTATTGAAAATGAAAAATGTGTTAAATTCAATTCTTAAGCGATTATTTATTAAAAATCAACGTAATAAATCGTTTAGAACGATTGGTAAAAAAAATGAATAATTTCATAATATGAAATGATAGCTTAATCCGAATCATCTACGTCATAGACAACACTTCGAGCAGTTGATCGAGCTGTTCTGCGACCTAGTGACTGCTGAATTGTTGGTTGTTGGCTTCGTGTTGTCTGGAAAATAAATGGAGAAAATATTAGATAATAATTGTACGAACTGTCATCAAATAAGTGTGTTTCTCTCACCGAAACATTCAGTTCATTTCTTGTGGATGGCGCAGCTGCGGCACGACCACGACCTTTTCCTCTGCCAGATGCCGTAGTTTTACTTGCTGCGGATTTGCTTGCAGCTGCTTTGCTAGCGGTAGTTTTCGTTGCTCTCCCACCACGACCAGTTGTACCTGCTTGATTTTCTTTTTCGTTCATATCATCATTGTTATCATCATTTGATAACGGAGCAAGACCGGCTGTTCGACGATTAGTTAGTTCGGTTTGAATGTTTTTGAATACTTCATCTTTTGTCAAATGGAATTCCATCAGTGCATCATCGATTTCAGCATCTTCCGGCATTTTGTTGTTCAAAAAATCACAAGCCTTACTGATTGAGATGCTACCAAAAATGACATTTGAACAGAACAGTTAGAGAGAGATAACATTTGAAATGAAATTAAAAAAAAAAAACTATCTAAACCTACTTAATAGCTCTGTTGGCAGCATCGTCATCATTATATATAGCCAATCGTCGGCATACCTCCGATAAGCAATTGGGAAATAGTACATTCAATTTTTCTGCATTATTTGGATCTTTAAAGTAACGATCCACATAATCTTCTAAACGAACGTCCTCCTCCTCTTCTTCCTAAAAACTCAGTTTTATCAATTTTCAAATGAAATTAAAGAACAGCAATTAAAATCATTTACCTTTTCGAATGCTTTGTTCATGGCTTCTTCATTGATTGGTCGGCGTTCGGCTTTAACACGTTTGATGTTACGCTGCATTTTAACCAATTCCGATGGATTTGCCACTTGGTGATTGAATTGTTGACCAAAACGAATTTCGTTGATTGCATGCTCTTCATCGTGATAAAGAACGCGTAATCGAATCAACGGTAGCTTTGGTTGGCTACTGGATTCTGTTTCTTTTCCTTTCGCTTCATCAATCATTCCATTGATGATTCCGGTCAACAATGTCTTCACCTATGAAAAAAAAAACAGTTATTCATCCCAATAAGGTACAGTGTTTGCAGTTGAAAATACTCCCGAAAAAAAATGAATAAACAAACCTTTGGTTTGACATCACCCTCATCCAACTCCAGTTCGTCATCGTATTCTTGTAAATTAATCGATTTGAAAATGAACGGCCGTACCGTTTGCAATTTGATCTTTTCACATTTGAATTGATTTTGACAAACATGCAATATTGCAATATGTTTCTCAAAAGATTCACCTTCTGACAATGATGTGGCTACCGACGAGCCTGGCTGCGACACGAAAAACGATTTACCTGGGTTTGACAATCACATTCCGATCCCATTAAATAAAATCGATTTATATAGACTAAAGAAAAATGTTATTTATGTATTTATGCGCTCTCACCAGGCGGTTGTTCTGGCTCAACACGACAATCATGTTCATGACCCCAAAGAACAAAATCAAGCATATCTGGTAGCACCTCTTCTGGTACATAATTTTTTGGTCCACGATCAACACGATTTTGATGTAACACCATAACATTGAACCAATCTCCAGATCGTTCATCTGGTTGATCCATTGTGACTTTTGTATCGCGAAACAAACGTGCCAGCCTATTGTCATGAATGTGGCTCAAGCCATACAATGCCAACTGTGTTATACCTTTTTTCATAAGAATCGGCTTTATATTCACTTCCTCCAAACTATTACATTTGCCAAAATAGTTCAGTAATCCGGATGTTTCAAGCAAATCCATTGAACTCAGTCCACCAAAACCTTTCGAACGGAGCAGACAAAAACTGTTAGGCCATATCAATGGCTGTGTATTAAAAATGTATATGAATATAGTTTTTACCGCTTGGGTCATCATGATTTCCATGAATCGAAAAAACTGGAATGGCAACATTTAAATTGGCATCATGATAATTGACTTCATGATCGCTTAAAATTTCGAAATTGATCGGTGCATCTCCCAAAGTGTATGTGCGCAATAGTTCCATACATCTAAACACGAAAAAAAAATGATTCAAACTAACTGAGCAGAAAAAGGTCTACGTACCATATATACATACCGTTGCAATGCCTCTTTCGATGGATTTGTATCATGGAACAAATCACCACCCAGCAAGATAAAATCAACTTCGTTGTTTTTTGCATGCTCCAAAATTTCCGAAAATGTAACAAAACTGTCTTTGCCTATAAAACGTATCGGAAATGTAATTTAAAAAAATAGCCATTTACTTCGCGGTACACAGATTATAACAATGAACTTCATTGTCCTTTGAATATATATTTTCTTCTGCGCATTTTGCACAGCAAATAAATAAAAAAATACGATCCATACCAATAATTTCATCCTTTTCCTTATATCCAAGATGGATATCAGTTGCCAGAAGAATTTTAAAACAATTCTCTGGGTCGGGATCACCGCTTGCTTCTTGTATAGACGACATTATTTTTTTTTCTCGTTCAAATGAATTTCACAACAACGTTTCACCGAAATCGTTTAGTAAACAAAATCGAATGCGATCATTTTAGCGCTGATTTTGACAAGTATAAATTATGTCAAATAATTGTGGTTCGTAAGTCTTGAGCAGCAAAGTATTCTAAAGTATCAAAGTATTGTTAAGTATTGAAGAAAACAAATAAGCTTAGCGGAAAAAAACATGCAGAAAATGTTGCATCTAATTAACCGAAATGAAGACGATTTTTTTTTTCGATAATCTAACAATGTTATCAGTCCAAACACAAAACTTAAAACAAGTTTTTAGATTTATTTACTTTTTTTTACATATTTTCAAAGCAACAGTTTTGCAAATTCTCAATCAATGTTCAACAAAGAACCACGACATGTATATGAAGGTGAACTGGAAACCACAACTTATAAAGGATGTACAGTGTGGTAAATAATATCTAAAAAGGAAACTATCGAAAATCGTGTGAAAATTTGAATTAAAAAAAACCACAAAGTTCATTAAACATTTCCATTTGTCTATGTATATTAAATCGTTCCATTGTTGATAACAATTTTATAATAACTGAGTACATATATTATTTATATGATACGAAGCAATCATCGATAATTCAAATTTATGTTTTATCTTTAGAAAAAGAATGTTCTTTTATCGATTAGTTCAATTGGATAAAAAAAAATGAATGGAATTGGTTTGCATTTCGAAATTTACATACGCATTCATCTGTGTAAACTTTCCATACACACAATATTGGTTTTATTTTATTTTTTGTTGGTTCTCTTTTCAATTCAAGTATTGTATCGAATGTGATAGAATTTGGAGTTTTGAAACGAAATATGTAGAATAAATCATAATAAATTGACGTGGAAAATATTTAGTTTTCTTATTTCAAGTATAATTTGTTGTATGTTGATAGTTGTAGTCCGAATTTATGCAACGGTGACTTCTTCAGTTTGTTTTGTTATGTTTTCGATATCTTTGTTTGCGGCATCTTCGAAGTTTTCAACTAGATCAGGAACATCATCATCAGCAGCAGCTCCAGCTGACAATTTATTAGCGACAACATCACTGGCTAAACGCTTAAGATGCTTCAAACCGTCTGGTCCCAATTGTGTTAAAATGCTTGGCAACATTTCAGCGATCTAAATTTATTCACAAACAAAACAACATACACACATAATTAATAAATTATATCATATTTATATGCATCGTTGTCATTGACATTACGTTTTTACATGATAACCATTCTCACTGGGCTTGATTTTTATTATGATTTATCAATGTAATCGCAATTTGTAGATAATCGAAAGTGAAATTATTGAAGGTGAAAAAAAAACATGGAAACTAACCTCTTTTTGTTCGCTATGTCCTGTGATGGCGAATGTGTTTGCAGCAAGTGATGCTTGAGCTTTTGGATTATTGAAATGGATTACAGTTCCATCATTTTTGATCATATTTACTTCTTCGATGCCCGGAATTTGATTCACAGCCAATTTTTTTAAAACTGATTGCAATTTTTTGTCATCAGTTCCTGGTGTTTGATGGATAACCTTCTTCTTTCGGCGAGGTGTACCTTTACCCCCGATACGCACTTGTGCTTGTAATTTTTTTAATTTTTCTTGATTCATTTTCGATTGATTTTTCACAAATAGAAATCGATTACTTAAATTTTAAACAATTTTATTGCGAAAATTCGTGTTTTTTGGACAGTGCTTACACACGTGCTTCTGATACGATTGAATGCGGTAACTAAAAAGAATAGCGAAATTATTTATGGGAACTGTCAAAATCAAACGAACATCATGGTGTGCGTTTTTAACGTAACACAAAACGCAATTGAACGCACTCAATTTGGAACTTTAACCAGCCCAATTTTATTTTTGCTTCAAATTAATGCCAATTTGCTTGAAACCAATCATTTTCATATAAATAACATTTGGTAAAAATATAACAATGTCGGAAAAAGAAATGTTTCTTCCAAATATCCTATGATTTTGGTTGTATTTTTGTATGGGTGTATGTGTGTCATATCGATTGTATGAAACTGGTTCTGTAAACATAGTAAATTCAAAAAATCGTATACACCAAAATGAATGTGACAAATGAAATAGTATGCAGCCATAATTTTGTCTAAGTGTGAATGTCAAGTTTGAAGAGGTACGTGAGAAATTGAGCGTACAGATATCAAAACAAAGATCATTTGTAAAAAAAAAAATTGATAATTTTCACCACATTTCGATAAAGCACTGTTTGTTGTGTAAGTAAAAAAAAAAATAATAAGAAGAAGTTCATGTTGAAATTAGTATTTATCGGTATTTATACATTGAACAAAACAAATTTGTCTAACTCTGAACTCTACGTATCTTTTCTTCTCTTTTAATCTATCGTTGCTGAATAGTTACGACGTTCAATTCGGATCAAGAAATTTCTCAGAATTACGATATCACCTAACAAATTACAATTTATTTGTATTGTTCAACGAAAAAACAAAAAAGAAAAATTCGGTCAAATAAAATGTCGGCATTATTTGCTCGTGTTGTAAAACAAGCACTCATTACATTTGAACGTGAAAATTATGCAGCGTTTAAGTCAAATTTTAATACGCTAAAGCAATTGGTTGATCAATTAACATCAAACGATTTGAACATCTCATCGGAACTATTGGGTTCCAACAGTTTTCAACAATCATCGTCCCGTGCACCAGTCAAATACATTGAAATATGTGAGCACAAATCGTTCACAATGAGCGTATTTATTGTGGTAAACAAGTACACAATGCCATTACACGATCATCCTGGTCATGGTTTGTTACGAGTTATAAGTGGCACGGCACGTATTCAAAGCTATTCTTTGGAGCATCCATTACAAAATACACCACATATATTGTCGGTCATTGAAGAGGACCCAATTGAATTTTCAGCGAAAAATGGTTGCTCCGTACTCACACCAACAACCCGCAACATTCACGAAATTACCGCCACCGGCAGCTGTCCAGCCGCATTTTTTGACATCCTTAGCCCACCATACGAATCGGATATTTCATTATATGGACCAAAGAAGTGCTTATTTTATCGGAAAATTCCGTTCAAACCAGTAATCGATTCACCGAATCGCACATGCAGCCGCAGTAACAGCGACGATGACGACGAACAAGATCACAATACCAACGATGAGGCTTCAGATAAATCAAAACAAATCGCATATTTACAACAAGTTCGGGCGCCCAATCATTATTACTGTGATAACGTATATTATAATCCGCCTGAATTCATAGCTAATCTTAATCTATTGAATGGCGAAGAGGCAGCGTAAAATAAGATAAAACAAAACCGAAAAACACCAGACACAAATAATGTATAATTGTATATTCATCCAACGTAGTTTAGAAGTAAAAAAAGGAAGATTATGGAGCAAAATAAGGAAAAAGCGTAAACACAAGTGTTCTAAGTACCTTAATAACAATGCATTTTATTTTCTCTTTTCAATTGTAGATCAATAAAACAAATGTAAAATTTAAAACGAAAAAAAAAACATCACATTTTCAATTCAGATTTAGTAGTATTATAGTAAAAAAGAACCTTTGACACCGATCGTAAAAAATAAACTGTACCCACAAATGGGTTTTCAGGAGAAATTCATGAGATAGACGACATTTGATTTTGTTGTTGGCTCTCGACAGACGGGGCACTCTTCCCTTTGATCCAGCCAATCCATTATGCATGACCAACAGAATAGATGGCCACAAAGTGTGGTGCACGTGTCGCGGCGCTCCTCAAAACATAAAACGCATTTTGGCTTCAATTCGTTTTTTGATTGGTTTTGTTGTGACGTTGATTCAAAGCGATCCCTAAGGTGATTCACTTTTTCGATTGTATCTTTTGTCACTTGTTTCGTTCGAATGACTTCCTTTACAAAGGCTGCGAATACCAACATCAATTGTAACAAACTGATCGCTCCCAACACCTTATAACCATAAACTGAATGCTTGACATTCAACCAATGCCGTATTAAAACATAATTTATTCCGGTAAATCGTCTTGATATTTGATATTTTCCACCATAAAAATAGAACCATGTTCGATGCATTGCCTGTATGTATGGAATGGCATGTAATAAAAATGAACAGCAACGTACTAATTGAATTTTTGCTTCTGGTCGAATTTCGGCATTTCGTTCAATTTCATGTTCGACATTTCGAATCAATTTCACAAGCATCTGTTCCCCAGCATATTCCATTATAATTGATAACATTTGCAATAATTTACTTGGCAATGCAATATATTTACTATCAATTTGTATTATACCAGTATATTCTTCGCCAAGTGTTTGTAAATTATTATAACTGGCAAATCCATGATACGCCAATTCCATTAATAATGTACACAAACTATTGTATTTGATCCATAGATGTTTATTTGTAAATCGTAAAATATCCGATAAATCGTGACCCAATTGATTTGTAAATGTAGCATCTTTCTGTAAAGTCCGAAGGATTTCCGGTTGACGAGCGTTTGCGTAATAAAAACTCATATCTTTTATTTTGTAATACCAATGCGCCTAAAAATTTTTTCGTAAAACCGAAGAAACGAAAACCCAATGGAGAATAGAAATGTATCCCGTCTATTTACTACCGACCAACAAAAAAAGATGTGTAAATTTTAACATGTCAAATACTCAATTGACTTTGGACTGTTCTATTTGTGATTTCATCTACAGCATTTAGTCGGCTGCATACTATTCCACACATTCATCGAAACATCATTGTATGTGTGTAGTACGTTTCATTCGCTTGAATATTTTATGAATTCAAAACAATCGGTTTAATGCTTTCATCACAAATTTTATGATAAGAAATTTCAACTGAAAATTATTATATATTCGATATATTCGCTTCTATTATTTCATGCATGCGATTAGATGTGACCAAATGCAATTTTCATAAAAATACAATTTGTATGAAAGCAAAATTTCATTTTTAATCTTCTTATGTGTGTTTTTGAGAATAGAGACAGATTAGAACGATTATTTCTAACGATAATTTGTTGATTAATTTTCGAGTGTGTCATTTGGTATGGGAGTCGGAATATTGGTATGTCGTTTAAGTGGTCATTAGTGTTGACACAAAAAAATTAACTGTTTAACGAAATTTTCAAAAAAAGAAAAGAAGAAGAATTGGTTCGAATGTCAAATACACAAATCAATTGACCAAATGAGAGGGAGAACGGTGATGACACAAAGACACATGAATACACAAGACAAGCCATAACACATAGACCAAAAATCAAATGTGCATGGATTTATGTGTACGTGCATGACACAAACCAGAGAAACCAATAGAAACCGATAAATCGACGGCTCCAAGATGGATGGAAGAAATCAGTGTTGTGTGTGACGATCGAGCATGTCGTTGTGTGTATACATACACATTTAAAACCGAATTAAAGGCGAATACATGCACACATACAAAGCGTACATACATCGACCAGCCGAGAAACGAATAGATTTTGCATCGGCAAATGCGCATACGAGCATAAAGAGCGCGCGTTCATTGAACGAAATGTGTATACTGTGTTGTGTGTATGTTGTTCATTCAACGAAATCGCAAACTATTTAATACCAATGTTGGACGATAGGGTGCGCATCGTGTCAACACCGTGTACATCGACACACATATAATTTTTGGTGTTGTCAGTCCGGGTTTTTTTTTTGTGTATTGTGTGTATTCTCTCCATACCATTTATTATTTTAATTTCATTTGTTCATCGATTCAAACACAAATTTCAAACAGTAAAAATGTGATTAAATTACAATAAAAACACAACGGGATTCGAATGAATTTAAAAAAAAGACAAGACACACACAAAACAACCGAGCAAGTTTTTAAGTTATTTGTCTCGACCATCGCAAATCAAGTAACTTAAAACAAATTATATATATAGTATATAAAATTGAGAATCGAATTGAAGTGAAAATAGTTTTTACTAAGTGCTGAGTGTATGTGAGAAGAGAGTGAAGTGCAAACGAAACGAAAAAAAAAAAACACACAAACATTGTCTCGCTTTTTTTGGTGTGCTTAAATCTCTTTTTTCAATTTTGATAAATATTTTAATTTTTTTTTATTCTTTATTTTGTTGCCGTTCAATATACATTGTTCTGCGCTTGTCATCATCGTCATAGTGTTTAAATGAAAATTTAAAAAAAAGGAAAATTCTAAGCAAAGTGTTTTCGACGTGTGATTGTGCATTTCGGTGTGATTTTTTTTGTAATCATCTTTGTTAGTCTATATAGATATAGATACATCTAGATATATATATACACTGTATACCGTAATACGTCAAAATGGCGCATCAACTGGCCCCTTCTGTGAACTGTTCGCTCGATGAAATTGACTTAAATGCATTGAAGGTACACAGACAATTGATACGAATAAAAAGTTGTTCTTTCTTGTTGTTTTTTTTTCTTCTCTTCTCTCTTTTAGTTTTGTTTCTTATTTTAATTATTCCTGTAGCAATTTATTTAATTTCATAATATATTGGACATCGCCTTAATTTGCACGAATTGTTTGCCGTTAGTTTTGAGATTGTCTTTGTTACTTCTTGTTCGGTTTATTGTTTATGCGATGACAAATCGGAAAATTGGCATTATGCATTGGGTGGGGCAACAGATTTCCTATGTGTGTATTTACAAAAAAAACACACACAAACCGATATGAATGCATGACATATTCAGACGGAACCGAATTTATTATAAATTCATTGACTGAATAAGTAAAAAAAAATAAAACGATGCATTCATTCATTCGATCAATCCAATCACATTTTATGCTTATCCATTTCGGTTGAAATTAAATGAGCTAACATGACAAACGAGATTCTTGGCTTTACCGTATGATTCATACGAGTTGTGTTTAACTTGATAAAAAGCAACAACAACATCATTTAATGATGATGTCGGCAATTACAGCAACTATAATACATATTCGGATTGCGTTATCAGTGATAGGATCAAATTTGCCGAAAAAAAAACAGCAAATCAAAGCCAAAAATGATGAACATACATACACAGCGATTTTTGTGCATATGCAAATAATTCCCTTTCGCTTACGATATTCACCTTTATCATCATAACATGATGATGTTTTTTTTTTAAAAAAAAGGTATATTTCTTCATTTGAGACGAGGGAAAAAACGTGAGAAGCTACTTTGCATAAAAGTTATTTAAATAAGTTGACTATGTTGGTCGTCTGCTCATTGGAAACCAACGAAAAAAAAACATCAACTTTAAAACACAAACATCAACAATAATACACATATCGTCGAATTGTTGTGTGATGATAAATAAAAGAATGAAAAAGAAAGGAAACGAAAAATGAAGCAATCACAATGCAAATGTAGAAGAAAAGGAGGAAAGAGATAGGGAGATATCAATTACTCAAAAAAAGAAACAACAAAACGCAGAAAGTTGATAGGATTAATCATCTTTCGGGCGAATATATGCGAGCTACATATTAATTCATTCCAGTATTTGGCATTTGATAGTTTTATATGCGTGTATGTTTCATTCGTTTCGCCCTCGATAAGGTACCAAGAAGTGTGTGTTTACATATAGTAATATGCAGTGTGACTTTAACTTTAAGTCTCATTTGTGTTTTTTCTACTACTTCTTCTTCTTTTTGTTCTTGGTTGGTTTGCCGTTGTTTCATTCGTACCAATAACTACTACTATTGCTGTCGTGTCGGTTTTTTTTTCTTTTTCTTCTTCTTCTTCTTCTCTCGTTTACTTCGTATGTGATTTGCTGAGACAGTGATGTTGATGTTTATATACAACGCATAATGTTTGTGTCGCCCGTACGGAATTACTTCATATATATCATAATTTTATAAACATATTGCCGACGTTGCGTCTTATTAAAAAAGATAGAGAAAGAGGACAGAATACAAAAAGATACGCTACATATGAATATTATGTGCACTTTTTAACATTGCACATTGCAAACAAAATCGCTTGGTTTTGTGTGTTGGTTGGTTCACAATATTCTACATACAGTTTTTTTTTTTCTTCTTCTTCATCGTTTTCTTCATTTTGCCTCTTTTTGTTCCTGCTATTTGTTATATTTGCCGTGGCCAAGACCTACGCGACTGATTTGTATTTGCTCCCTTGTAATATGCACATGAAGATCAGCGCGCAACACACAAATATGTTAAAATAGAAACGAGATGCAGAAAACAAAAGCAGAAACCAAGAGAGCAAGAGAGAATGAAAGAGATGTAAAAGAGGAGAGCAGAGGCAACGTGAACAATTGCAACGAGTCAAAACTGAATCTTTGAGTGCGATAAAAAAAGATGGAGACAAAACGGAGACAAACATCAAAAAATCAACCAGCTACACAGATGACTGTGACTGATGTTGTCGCTCGCGCTCGCGCGCTCACACACGTACACACAGATTACAAACTATAAAATTCAAAAATAGCCACAAAATAGATATAAATATAAGTAAATTGAATGCAAGAAACAGGAATATTCCACATGCACACGCGCACACCCAATAATTTATGTTAAAATGTCAATTTTATAGATAAGATATGAGTAGTTGGCACGAGTACCGATCATTCTTGATATTTTCCGAAATGACAATGACAGTTATGCTATTAAAATATGATACGGATTGAGGGCATTCCCAATATATTTCATCAAGATTTTGAATTCATTATCGCCCAGTCTTTTATGTTTCTTTCTTGCAACTGATGAGTTGCTTTCATAAGTAATTCATCCAATGATCAAATTTCAATCCATGAGAGCATGTGCATACAAGAGCACTCAATCAACATTTCTTTTTATTATGTTTAAAGTAAATTTATTTATAACTTTCAAATGTGCAAGAGATAAGAGAGAGAGAGTGACTGTAGTAACGGATGACGACAACATTTATTGCATATAATATGTATGTGAGTGTGTACAAGCGACTGCTCATAAACATGGGAATGGGTGTACAATGATGAATGGATAATATACTATTTCTTGTCGATTATAGATCATTGAACTGTTATTAATCACTGCTTGAGTGGCAATCGCGCGTGGACACATCACGGTCGCGCATTCGTGCTCTCTCACTCTCTTGCTTTCCAATAAAACCGGCAAAGAAATGTGAATGTATGTGACGATTGAAAAAAAAAATATATAAAGGATAACAGTTTCATTGAATTTACGGTTTTCTTTTGATTGCACGATGATGTGGCTATTGCAATAGAACATAAAACTCGTCTAATTCTCGTTATCATTATACATCTGGTCACTGGAATGACTAATCGTATTTCAAATTCCATCGGAAGAGTTTTCAATTCATATTTAAATGACTGTAGTCGAACTCTAACCGCAAATACATATTCGACGCGATTCAAATTCATGTCAAATGGTGAGCTCGTGCACATACATGCATGCACACAAACACATAGGCCAATGTTGAATTCTTTCAACAAAGATTTAACAACAATAGGCATCGCAATTTGGCTCTTTCATTCTTCTTTTTTTATATATATATATACGAAATTGAAGAATAGGCAATTGCTACAAGCGACCAAAAAGCACACACAAAGGCATTCACTCACAGTATTATAAATTTGCGTTTTAGTGGTATATTACGGGTTGCGCCAGAGTAAAAAAAAGAGAGAGAAATAAACACATAGCATTTAAACGAAACAATAACAGCTGGAATGAAAACGTGAAATTATAGTCACATATTTTCACACAATTTTTGCATATGAACCGTCAAATGAACCTGAATACCTGAACCACATTGCAACTGTTGTCGATACCACAACCACGAAAAAATGAAATGCCGATTTTTTTTTTGCTTGAAAATTATCTCAACTAACGAAAACAATAAATGTAACAATAGACATAAAAATCATTCAAGCCACTGAGATAGAAGATTGAGAGAGCGGGAGATTGAGTGAGAGAGATATTGAATTGTGTGAACTGATCGCATATAGAGAGTGAAACTTAGTAAATGGATTTTGTTGTTATTTTCAGCGCAGTTAAACATACTTTTTCGACATGCACAATTCTCATGTAATTGTTAATGCGAATCTTATCTACGAATGTGAAAATTGACATTCAACTTCACATCGGCATACCGAATAAACATTTTCATCTGTGCCAATCGATGTGCTTTGCATTCGCATAATAATCGAAATTTTTGTGTTTCATTACAATCGCCTCGACAGATGTTAATGCATTTTACGTCAAATTAATGGTGAAACTGTTTCGAATTCAAATCGTTCGAAAATTTGGATCTGTACGATTGATGTTGAGCCTATATACATACATACTTCATGATTAAGGTGCATTGCACATGTCGCGCGCACATTTCAACGTTTTTTTTTTTGGGTGCTTTGCTGCTGAGAAATAGTCACACATATGTTGTGAAATGCTACTACAATCGACATTGCATTCATTTTGAACTGTTTGAAAGAATGGAAAATATTTTCGATTTTTCTTACAATAAGTGCTTGCGTATTGTGTGTTTGTTCATTATGCCATATGATATGCCACCAATTTCCATTCATTCATTGAATATATGTACTTCGGTCGACAAAAAAAAATATGCATTTCAATCTCGACACTAATTGGATTCCTCTTTTTATCTGGATCTGTGTCTCATTGTCAGTCTCTCATCACAATGTGACCGATTCCTTTAAAGTTTCAACTAAACGTTGGATATGAACACGCATGTATTCACGAGCAAACGTGTGCGTTTTTTGTTTGAATTTTTAAAACGCTCACTTTCAGTCCTTGTGAGCAATTAAAATTTAATTAGTTAACTAAGAAATGATTCATACACGCACGTGTTAAGTGCATCTGTGGCTTAATCGATGCGTTTGACTCTGTAGTTTCTCTTTTTTCTGAAATGTCACAACCATTTTTTCTCTATTCGTTGCAAATAAGGCGTTGCCGGTACAGTTTTTTTTTTCATTTTCTTAATTATTTTTCCTGTTGCAAATACATTCCGCTTTGTGTTTGCACTCTTGTATTATTTACGATGATGTCCATAAATTTTGTGACAAATGATTCAAATGTATAATGAAATTGTTGTTTTCATATATTATTTACATGTTTTTTTGTCTGCTTTTTACATTTTAGGATCCAGCGGGTATTTTTGAACTTATTGAAGTTGTTGGCAATGGAACGTACGGACAAGTATATAAGGTAAACATAAATCATTTAAAATGAAAACGAAATAATTTATTTACGTCGTTCAATATATAATATTGTCACAAATAAATGTCTGAATGAATGAAAACTGGATGCTTATGGTTTGTTTTTTTTTTATTCATATTAGGGGCGACACACAAAAACCGGCCAATTGGCTGCCATTAAAGTGATGGACGTAACGGAAGATGAAGAGGAAGAAATCAAATTAGAAATAAATGTTTTGAAAAAATATTCAAATCATCGAAATATTGCTACATATTATGGTGCATTCATAAAAAAATCACCGGCCGGCAAAGATGATCAATTGTGGCTGGTGATGGAATATTGTGGTGCTGGTTCAGTAACCGATCTAGTTAAATCGACTAAGGGACAAAGTCTGAAAGAAGAATGGATAGCATATATATGCCGTGAAATTTTACGCGGTTTAAGCTATTTGCACACCAACAAAGTCATTCATCGAGATATCAAAGGTCAAAATGTTCTGCTAACTGATAATGCCGAAGTGAAACTCGTTGATTTTGGTGTATCGGCTCAATTAGATAGAACAATTGGACGGCGTAACACATTTATCGGTGAGGAAAAATTGCAATCCATACACACGTGTGTTTAATATTATCATCGACAACTGTCATCTAAATGAAATTCAATTTATCATATAGGTACACCGTATTGGATGGCACCCGAAGTGATTGCTTGTGATGAAAATCCGGATGCAACATATGATAATCGATCGGATCTATGGTCGTTGGGTATCACTGCCTTGGAAATGGCTGAGTCTCAACCTCCATTGTGTGATCTACATCCGATGCGTGCTCTCTTCTTAATTCCTCGAAATCCACCGCCAAGACTCAAATCCAAGAAATGGTCAAAGAAATTCCATGGTTTTATCGAAACTGTGCTCGGTAAGTTGTTACTCTCCCAAAAAAGTATTTAAAAAAAAAAACATTATTATTATTATTGATGATGTAAATTCATTTGTATAGTGAAAGACTATCATCAAAGACCGTACACAGAGCAATTACTTAAACATCAGTTTATCAAAGAGCAACCGACTGAACGTCAAGTTAGGATTCAATTAAAGGATCATATCGACCGTTGTAAGAAACGAAAACAAGAGAAAGAACGTGAAGATTATCGGTACTCTGGCTCCGATAATGATGATGATGAACCACAAGTAGCTGGTGAACCTTCATCAATAATTCAAGCACCCGGCGGCGATACGCTCAGACGAAATTTCCAACAAATTCAAGAGGGACACTATCACAACAAGGCCAATAAAAAATCACCGGAACGATCGCCTGATGCAGCGCAAATTGCACAAAATCGAATTTCACAACCAGTAAGACAATCAATCACAACATACATATTGAATTAATTAAATAAAAACAAAAACACTTGTTTACCGTGTAGGTACAACCACGTGAAAAACCAGATGAATCGGGACAACCATCACGGCCAGCATTGCCTCATCGTCTTATCGTTGTACCCGATCCACCAAATGCAAATCGACCATTGCCACCAACACCACGAAGCAATAATTCATCATCGTCTCAGTCACAAAATTCACAGCAACCTCAACGGAATGCTCCAATGGTAAGCACAAATTGATTGAAACATTTTGCAAGAAAACAAGCAATACACAAATACAAGCAAATGAAAAAATTGGATTTGTTTTTGTTGTTGTTTTGCTTTGATTTTTGTCACTTTATTTATTGAAATCGTTTGTTTGTTTGTTTTTCCTTTTTTTTCCATCACATACACAACTTATGCGTTTTCTATTTATTTCAATTTGGTTCAATTTTCATTTGATTCAATTGAACAATGAACTCTCCTTCATACACACAAACACACACTAAACACGACTCCCGTTGGATTTATTTTACTTTATCGTGTGATTGTGGAATTTAAAGCTTCCACCACGTCGACCTGAGGTATGTTTATTATTATTTTTCTCGATGATAAAAAAAAAGCCATTTTAAGTTTGAATTTGTTTATGTCGAACTTTGAATATATCTAAGGATCTTATCTTTGAAGAACCATGATATTGCATGATTTCACCGTTTCTGTTCAATTTTTTTGAAAATCGAAAATGAATTGCATTTCAACTTAGAACTGACGACAAATAAAAACATGCGATCAATGAAATTCGTATGAATAATATAAAAATTATTTTACAATTGTGATTAATTTAGCCACAAGCTCAACCGGATGCACCTCCACGAAACAGTCGTCAACAAGCGCCAGCATCAAGTAAATCAAATTCACAGCAACCATCGAGCGCAAATCATCATCAACAACAGCAAATCGTTAATCCATTGGACCCAATCGAAAGTTCGGATACGGACAGTGAAGTCGAAGAGTCAAACGATCGGGGTCGAAATGATGGTACTCTATTGGCAAGCGATCCACCAAAACCACTGTAAGCACATTTGTCTGTGAAGCATCATTCCAACTAACATTCCATCATAATACTAATCATGTTCATTCTCTCTCACATTATCATTTTTTCATCTCCTCCTTATCTTCATTTTCTTCCTATTTTCCTAACATCAAATTATTCATTTTATCCAAAATATCAAAATTTTCATCCGTCATCTTCCTGTTCGGTTCGCATTTCGTTGTATTTTTTCTTTGTTTTCGGTTTGTTTGGTTTGTTTTCACTTTATTAGTCCTGAATTTTCATATAGGCCCGGCTTGAGCGTTTTAACAGAAGATTCGATCAATGTAGTACCTTCGCATGGAGCTGGTGGTCCACCAAATCGGCCATTGCCACCAACGCCAGATGACGATGATCAACAAGCTGGCGATCGTACATTGATTATGAAGAGGGTAAGTGTTAAAACATAAATTCGTTTGTTTCAATGCACTAGATGTATATGTTTACACAGGAAAATGTGTTTTTTTTAAATCATTTTTGTCAATGTGTTATGCGAAGGGATCCAATTCGAATTTTTGGTATTTTTTGAAAAAAAAAAAAAAAAATCTTGCTTGACACTCAATACGAAATTTTGTGTCAATTGTCTATGTAGAAAAGCAGCAAATTGTGTATATTAAATAATTCATGTATTTGTTAGTTTTGTCGTTATTTCATGTAAATGTAAACAACAATAGGAAAACTAAAAAAAACACAAATTGAATAAACATCATTGGGGGATGTGTATTGCACCCAGTTGGTAAAAAGAAACACACTCATGATGCAATGTTAAAACTAACAAACACAAGTTCAAAACATCAAATAAATGAAAACATAAAACCAGATAAAAAAAATGAAACGAATTAGACTAAACACATACAAAAAGCAAACACTTTACAAATGGTTGTGGTTCTTAATTTGTTTTTAATTTTATTTTTTTTTAATTTTGTTTCTTTCTTTTTTTTACGTTCATACACAAAATCCGAATTTTGTTTAATCCATATTTGTGTCCAATCCTAATAATACAAAAAAAAACAATTCCCATCCAAAATAACATCAAACAAACTTTCTCCCGATATAAACTTGTTCTGTCGAAATGAAAAAAAAAAAAAAACAAAACAAAAATCAAATTGATAACAATTGAATATGAAACAAATGATATGCACACGCGGACACATCGTGAATGCGCTGAAAACGAACCGAAAAAAAAATCGTCGTAATGACATCTTTTTAGAATTCGGAAAAACCATCTAATTTGGATAATAAGGCTGCAGCCAATGCCGACGAAGCGGTTTTGCTTCGTGATTGGGACATTGAACGGTTTTTTTCAAGCGATCGTGCCAAAAAAAATTCACCCATTTCACAAAGACCAAATGTGATTACACCGCAATCAAACAAAGATGCATCAAAGCCTAAATTCAGTGCTGATTTATTAGCTGATCGAATTAAACCAGAAACATCTGGTCAAATGAGCAAACAAATTCAAACATCGGTCAATACCAATAATACCAATAACAATGCAAGTGCTAAGCCGAAAAACAATTTTCTATCCAATCTACTGGACAATGCCAAGAATCACAAACGCCAAGAGAGCGATTCAAAATTATCCTCGAATTTTATACGTGGATTTCGACGTGAACATTCAGACTTTTTCCCATCAACAAAACGACATTCGGTTGTATTGGGCGAACGACAGAGTGCTATTGCACACTTTGCTCCGCATCGATCAAGTGCCATTTACACCAAACACAATAAAAATAATAATGGTGAACCAATCTTAACTGATTTCGTAAGCCGAACATATTTAGATGGTTCACCAGCTTGCAGTTTATCAACAAAAAAACCAACCACAACAACAACAACCACAACCAATACGAAAACATCAACACCCATAACGACATCAGCATCGTCGAACGCAATCGCCAATAACAAATGTAACAGTAACGATAACAATGTAAATAATAATCGAAATTTATTTTTTATGGGTCCAAGACGAGAAAAAACCGAATCAGTCATTTCACTGAGAAATTCAGCGAATCGACATCTTCTGTTCGATCAGCTTCAGGTAAAAGAAAAACCATTTAGCCAAAAAAAAAAAACCAACCAAAAACAAAAAAAACCTGCTAACCAAACAACACCAAAAAATCAGTGCTCAGAACTTAGAGCCAACTTTTTGTTTTTAAATAACCGCAAATTCATATTTTCATCTTTTTTGTTTTGTTTTATGTGCTACATTTTACATTTTAAAAAAAAAATCCAATGAAATGAGAGAAAATCATTTCAACAAACCTACTCACATTTAAAAGACCAAAAAAACCAACATCACATTTTTCTTTTATTTGTTTCGAAACAAAAATATCCCACATCAACAACTATTCCAGTTACTTAATTTTCTTTGTTTATATTTTTGTTTTGTATTTGAGTGTTTTTTTTTTCTTGTGCATTTCCGCTTTTTGTTAGCTCTTAATTTGATTCGTCGCCATTTAACCAGTCAATGTCAAGCATGTGCTTTCATTTGTTTTGATCTCTGTTTTCTTTTCGCCAGTGTGTTTTTAACTAGAACGCTTTGCAATATCAATAATGAGTCATCTTTTGATAACACTATTGTTGTGCTTCATTTGCTTCTTAAATTTATCGTTTGTTTTTTATTTTCTTGTTGTGAATACACTTATTTCGCAGAAGAATTGAAATTAGTGTATGTATTAGTCATCGTTTTGATGAATATGTTTCAAATATTAACATTTTAAGCCATACAATATGTACATATCCTAACCAAAATCCTCCAATCCTTTGAACTATATATCATTTGTCATTTAACTCGTTTCATTTTGATAATCCATATACCATTTGTGTTATGTTGTGTTATGCTAATTTTGAAGGAAGTTCACGATGTTTTCAGAGTATCTTCATGCTAATGGCAATAATGTTTATTTTTAATAAGGAGAAAACGAAAAAAGCTCCGAATACGAAAAAAAGTCCATTTAATGTCCGAACACGCTGTCGATAGTTAACCCAAAATATTGAGCTACAAATACGTGTATCAATGAGTAAATGATTTTTTAAATCGATGAGCTTTGCTTCAGAAACTCTGATCGTTTATCAACTGATCAAAAATAGCATAATATATGTTTTTAGGATAAAATTCAATTTGGTCTGTCCAATATTAGGTGCTGGTATTCGCTATGTTTGTTATATGTATTCGTCTTAAACTAATATAAAGTTCAATTACTTGAATTAAGGTGGTCTTGATGATCTTTATTTGGAGCTAACGGTATTGATCATTTGGTGTCTAATTTTATAGCTAATACTTTATTCGATGTTAATAGCATGATTCAACTGATCTACTAGAAATTTATACACTCTAATAATGTGCACAGGATATGAACAGAGCTGTTATTGGCGCCGCAAAAGTGGCCGGGCACTAGGGAATGTTCGCACTAAATCCATAAAAGTTTTCAAGTGCCGCACCTGAATTATGAATGAATACAAGAAATGTGCCCGCATCTGCGCGATTCCTATAATAACAGCTCTGAATATGAACGGGAATTATAATAATTTTCTTACACTTTTAATTTCTCTATTTTTTTTTTGTTGTCAAATAAAACTAAATCAATTATAACTTTAAACAGATACATTGGTTAATAAGAACCATTTGCCATTTGTATAGACGATTATTTTCGATTTTGGCCAAAATGGAAATCAAAATAGCTGTTTTTTTTTTATTCCAAATATTCTAGACGTTGTACGCGTTGTTAAATATAATTTCGATCGCAAAATTTAATTTGAACGAGTCTTTGAATTGAGTTTAATCATGTTAATTTAGAGTAATTTGAATGATTTGCCTCAATAAACGAAAATCATAAAGTAAAGTGTTGATTGTAGTTCCCGTTCTGCATGTTAGATCCATTCCGTGTTGTTTCTAGTGGTTTCGTACTTACAATTTCGACACAAATCCAAGATTGTCAATAATTATCTCTACACAATTGAAATTTCATTTTTATTTTTGTTCCAATTTCAGAATCGTGGTGAAAATAGCGGTGCACCAAATACTCGTACGAGCAACGTCTTACCGGATCTGTTAAGTCAAGCGTCACCGTCACCGGCAACACCTCCGCGTCATGATAAATCGTCCAGCGAAGAAGTATGTTTTTTGTTTTTGCCATCATCATATATATCATATGCGTTTATATCGTATTCCATCGCCTTTTCCATTTATATATGCTGATTAAAGCGAATTATACCTGTCCAATGTGAATTAACCATTGTGCAATAGAAACCAAATGCCAAAAAAATCAAAGAAAAACAAGATAGAATCATGCCTTACAATTGTTCATACCACATTGACACCCATTGCTTTCTATTTTGATCTTTTTTTAATTTTTGTGTTTTGTGTGCATTTGTAACTAATTGTCTTCGTGTTACCATTATCTCTCTTGCTGTTCGGCTTCACTTTTTTTTATCCACCACACAGGCAAACTGCTTCATTCTGTGTAAATAACTAAAAAAAAAGTCAATTCCAAATTCTTCTGAAGTTGTGAAGAAATCTTTTTTTATACTATTCTCCGTTTTCATACACGTCAAAATTGTGCTCCCCACGCCACATACACATACAAATTAAATCTCGTATTTTTTTTTTCGAACAAAATGGGCATCTACGATTTATGAAAAACAAAATTTACAGAAAAAAGAACGACATTTTATTACGAAAATCAATCACAATATAAACAAAAAATAATGTTTCATAAATGTATTGTAATAATTTGTGTTTTATCTTTCCTGCGACGAGCGCTGATGACTGCTGGATATCAGATCCAAAATTAAACCTTATTAATATCTATTTTGTGGCTCATAATTAGTAAGTATTATTTGTCTAATACAACAACAAAAATCGATCAACAAAAAAAAACAAAAGATTAATCAATTATGTATAAAACAAAAACAAATTAACATTCCACACATTGAACGTTTTCCTTTGGTTTTAACTATCTTTTGTTATTCGGCCCCCGGCTTAAAAATTTCCTTTGGTTTTGTTTTTGCAAGACTTTTTTTTAATTTCAAGTCCATATAATTCTCCATGCCTTTTTCTCTTCCTCTCTCTCTCTCTCACACACACAATCACTCTCTTTCTCAAAAAGGTTCATTTCAATTTTGTAATTATTTTATTTTTACTCATCTAACCAAGCACATTTTCTTTTGTTTTTTCATTTGATAAATTCGTTTGTTTTGCAAACGTTTTTTTTTTTTTGGATTTTGTTTTTTAATTGTTGAAATACCAAATTACGAAATCAGTTCGACTATTATTTTGGTATGCAACGTGCATGATTTCTTTATTTTTTTGATTTCTATTTCGATTTTATCGTGGAGTTTATCTCCTTTTTTTCATTCGTTAAGTTGTAGTTATTGGCGTCTGGGAAAGATTAACCACGTTTTATTTGACACCTTTTTACTCCATTTTTTTCCTACTTCACTATCATTTTTTATTTTTTATTTCATTGAGAATAAAATTCTCCGGGTGTAGGCCTGCAAATATAAAATATGTAATAATAAGCTTTATTTTATAAAATAATTTAATGATTTTTATGTTTTCTTTTTGTTTTTCTCTGTCTTCTCTTTTCATTACAGTATCGTGCGGCCATTAGTTCGGTGCATTCAACACCATCGAAATCATTTATCCTTAATAATACAGCATCACCAAATTCAACACTTTTATCCAATCAATCAATGTCCCCGAAGCATACCAATTCCTCCTTCATAAATTCACACAATAATTCCCCAAATAATTCCCATAACAATTCCACACACAATTTCCAAGCAAATTTTTCACCACAATCCAATCAACATTCATCCTCGTCTCCCGTTCATACCCAAACCAATAAATCAAATAACAATAATAATGTATCCACATCTCAACAACAAATTTTACCACCGCATGCATATGCATTGCAACAGAAACAACGCAGTTTTCTTACGTTTGGATTCAGTGCGGGTGGATCAGGTCCGTCGCGTCGTGAAAGCCATGTTAATGTAAATGTAACGCCAACATCTCATGATATTACTAGTGATACGCCAGAGATACGTAAATATAAGAAACGATTCAATTCGGAAATTTTATGCGCTGCATTGTGGGGTGTTAATTTACTTATCGGCACCGAAAACGGTCTCATGCTTTTGGATCGATCTGGCCAAGGAAAGGTAAATAAAAACGATGAACTGATTTTCTAATCACTCTGCACAAAATTCGGTACGTGGTTGACAAGTGAACTTTTATATTTTCAGGTGTATCAATTGATATCGAGACGTCGTTTCCAACAAATGGAAGTTTTAGAAGGTCAAAATATCCTAGTTACAATATCTGGCAAGAAGAACCGAGTACGTGTATACTATTTGTCTTGGCTGAAATCAAAAATTCTCCGAACCGACGGTTTATCTGATGTATGTTAATATTTTATATATAATTTATTGAAAACTTTAAATTTCATTCATAAAAATCGTTTTGATCAATTTGCAGCAAGTTGAACGACGAAATGGTTGGATAAATGTAGGCGATCTTCAGGGTGCCGTACATTTTAAAATTGTAAAATATGAACGCATCAAGTTCTTAGTGATTGCATTAAAAGATTCAATTGAAATCTACGCATGGGCTCCAAAGCCATATCATAAATTCATGGCATTCAAGGTAAATTATTTGTTTGTCAATTTTGCATCAATGATGTGGAAAATAAAATAAAAAACATCAAAAATCATTTCGTTTCTTACCATAGAGTTTTGGTGAACTGGTGCATAGACCACTGCTGGTGGATTTGACAATAGAAGATCAATCACGTTTAAAAGTCATCTATGGATCAGCTGAAGGTTTCCATGCAGTCGATTTAGATTCAGCTACCGTTTATGACATTTATCTTCCGAAACATGTGAGTATTTCGACAATTGTCTAAAAAAGTGTGTTTGAATTTGAAATTTTATTGGTTTTTGTTTTTGTGAATGATTTTAGACTCAGGGTCCAATAATACCACATTGTATTGTGGCACTGCCAAATTCAAATGGTATGCAATTGCTTCTGTGTTATGATAATGAAGGCGTTTATGTTAACACTGTTGGCAGAGTATCGAAAAATATCGTGTTACAGGTATAGTCAATAACAAAATTTTTGACCATACTTCTGAACAGATCATACTAAAACGGTGTTCATGTTTTTTTTTTTAAATTTATAGTGGGGAGAAATGCCAACATCGGTCGCATACATTGGTACTGGTCAAATAATGGGTTCGTATCAAATTTATATTATTATATGGTAATTTCCATCATAACTCATTTCTAAATTTTCTTTTGCGTGTCATTCTCCCATAGGTTGGGGCAATAAAGCAATAGAGGTAAATACAAAGAGACAACATCTTGAAAACTCAAAATCGTTTATGGTTTATCAGAGCTGTTATTGGCACCTGAGAAGTGAAGGTACTAGGATAATTTTTCAAGTATCCGCACCTGAATACAAGAAACTTGAAAGAAAAGTACCACCATCTACGCGGTGCCCATAATAGCTCTGTGATTTATGCAAAATCGAATATTTAAAAAACTGAGCCAAAATCTAATTGATTGTTAAAATTTCAGATTCGTTCCGTGGAAACTGGTCACTTAGATGGAGTTTTTATGCACAAAAAAGCTCAACGTCTTAAATTCCTATGCGAACGTAACGACAAAGTATTTTTCAGTAGTGCCAAAGGTGCATCATCATGTCAAATTTACTTTATGACACTAAACAAGCCGGGCATGGCTAATTGGTAGATGCAAGAACATACGTTTACTTTATGTGTACAGTATCGCAATTGACACAGGACAACAACACAGCAAACATAATACGAATGAACAAAAGTAACATAAGAAAATCAATACAACAATATCGGAACCGAGTCACCACCAAAACAATCGAGTAAAGAGAACGATTGAACATAAATCATTCAAAAAAAAACACATCGCCTCACACATATATCGAAGATGTCATTGCGCTCTTTGCACACCGAACAAAATTGACAAAATCGAATACAATCGCTGAACGTATTTACATTCATTGTATTTCATAGAGTATTATATACACAAAAACCCATACGAGTATCAAATCGATGTAATCCCTATGATATTACATAGATGCGAACTTATGTGCGTTAACTAAAAAAGCGAAAATTGGAAGAAAAAAAAACATCTTACAATAGCAAGAAAACAAGATATTTAGAATTGTAATGTATACATAGAGCATATATCGTGTAATAATTTTTATCTTGTATTTAAATAAAACTAAAGAAAATTGAGAGAAGAAAAAAAACGATGAACAACAACAAGAGGAAGAGAATAGGAGAGACAATATAGCGTAATGTATACACAATTTGAAACATGTAACAATAGGCAAATCACAAAAATAAGAAGCATTTAGTTTTTTTTTTAATGTTCGTTCAATGTCATTTGTATCGATCGATGTGAAAAAATGAAATCACTTTCAAATGAACATCGTTCAACATTTGTAGTTTTTCGGAAAATAATCGAAACGAAAAAACACGCATAAGCACATAGTTGTCAACAAATTCGCATTTAATTGTATAAAGTCCATGGATCGGTTTTTTTCCAAATTACGCGAAAAGATATTGCACGAAAAAAAAAAATAGAACTAAACCAAATGCATTTATTTAGCGAATTTTTGTCCAAGGCGGATTAAATCCATTCAACAGGTTTTTTTTCGCAATTTTTCTGTTTTTCTTTTATCAACTGATCTAACGTAAAGTACTATATAAAATACCGAGAGGTAAAATCTCTAAAAAAAATCATTTCCAAAAGAACAAAAACGAAACAAATCTTTTGTGCATTTTCTTTATGTTTGCTAAATTAAATTGATAAGATTTAAAGAATATAATATAATGAATTTATGAGCATAAACAGGAGAGCAAACGAAATATGTATGAAATTAGTGTATATTAATTACAATTTTTAATTACAAAACCAACAAAAACAACGATAATACAAAAGAAAAAAGAGAAGAGGAAAACATCCAAATTTCAAATTTGCACTCAAAATACTCGAGTCGTATTTTATGTTCTTCAAATATTGGTGTAATCCTATATCATTTCAATGAATTCCAAAATTAGAGGAAAACAAGAGAAAATACAAAATCAAATCATTCGAGTCCATTTTAGACTATTGCAATAAATTGTTTTGCTGCTTAGCAAATGCCAAAAGAATGAATGAGAAAAAAAATCCTAAATATATTCTAAACAAAAATTATAGAATGGAACAAAAAATGAAATAGCGATAGTATTTAATTTTTATTTAAAAAAAGAGAGAGAAATAAAAACAAAAATAATAACAAATTATTAGGAAAATCGATATTGTCAAATGAAAAACTACAAAGAAAACAGTTTTAATTTGTATTTTATAAATGAGAATGAGGTGATTATGAAGAGGGAGTAGAGAGAGATATAGCAAGAAGGAGGAGGATGAGAAACAAAACAATTTAGACCTAGAGAAGGCAAGCATATTATAATCCATACATAATAAAAACAAATATATGTAAAAACTTGCAAAATACGTGGGATATTGATAGAGTGTTTTTTTTATTTTTTTCATTAAATTTATTCTATCATTTCTTTTTTTTTTTCTTTTTCTTTTTTTTTCTTTTTCTTTTTTTTGATTTTTTTTTTTTTTAATATAATGATATGAAACTATTAGTCACATATGAAATTTAATATGATTAAGTATGTAATATTTCAAAAAGAAAACAAATCACATACACATTCAAAGAAAAAAAAAAGCAAAACAATTAGGTGACGTGTAGGAATTTCAAGTGAAATAATAAATAAAATTTAACTATTGTATCAAATAATAACAGGCACACAAACAATCACATTCACAAAAACTCACGCCCGCGCATACGAATCACTTTTTGTGATGAAAAAAAACTATATGATGAAATAAATTGATGCTGAAGCTGAAGCAGTTGTAATACGCAAAAGTAAACATGACATCAACAATAAATCATAGTTTTGACACATTAAAAACATCGATGCGGTAACAAATAGAGAAACAAAAAATACACCCAATCATTAATAGGTATTTGAATACGCTAAACAATTTTCTTAGATATACGTAATCACATCTCATAAATTCACATCACTTGCTGAGAAAATCAATTTTCACTCAACAAACAATTCCAATGGAATCAACATTTATATCGCTTTATTCATGCATTCATTTCTCACAAGCATAATTATTCATGTTCTTTTTTTCATAAGCAACAAAAGCGACATCACTCATCAACTATCGCTATTCTCAATTGATGACACATATATATTTTTTTGAAGCAAAATCATTTGATTCGTATAGAATTTTTGCATTTTGTACGCATATACAAATGTGTTGGCACTTGTTTCATTTTTTTTATTTCTAATTAGGCTTATTAGGCCTCTAGATTTGGCCTCAGATCAACGATAAGCACAACTTTTACCTAGAAATCAATGAAACGATCAAAGGACTGAAAGCGATTTAAATGAAGAAAATAAAAAAATCACATTATAAATATAGCAATCGTTGAATGTTACAAAAAAAGGGAAACGTCATATTTTTACCGCAAAGCATTTTTTTATTAGAGAAAGAAACAATTAAAATTATGAATGAAAAAATAAATAAATATTGACAACAAGAGATTCTGAAGGAAAAAAAAAACACACACACACACACTCACAATGTATGATCCGAGAATGCATTTTTAATAAACCTTTAAATTTGTATTACAATAATAAAGTTCTTTAATTTATACTTATTTATTTAATTGTGCTGCAATAATAAGGAATGGACGGGTTGCCGGGAATTCACTTCCATTTTCATAAGTTATATGAAGAAGCTTGGAAAATAAAAAAAATCATCAATTAAGCATGCATTTAAATTATCTTTTATCTGTTTTTACCAACGGAAACGCTCATTTTTTTAATTATTTTTTTTTTTTTTTTTTGCAAAATATCGTATGTTTGTTTTACGCATTGAAATATTTGTAGCGGCAGATTTGAATGGAAGAATCGGTAACCTATGACAAGTATCTTTATTGGTGTGAGTGTGTCAGCTTATGTCAGTTTATGTCAGGTACATGTTTTGTTAATTTTCTTGGTTATTTATTTCATGATATTTATCACAAAGTTTATTTAAAATAAAATAAAAAATGTTAGGCTCAAAATTAAATCGAAATCTTAACACTAGGCTATTATTGGGCTGTAGATTTTTCAAAGCATACTCAAAAGTGAATGCCAACAAAACGAGTAATTGTGTATTGGACCATCGAAAAAATGCACAATTGTTGGTTTACCCAACATTTCGTTTGAACCAGTTTACAAATTATAGTACAGATACGACAAAAAGTGATGGTGATCTAACGAAAGAAATCAAATTATGTATTGCCGAGAAAAAAACAGACAAAGTAATAGAATTGTTAAAACAATCAACAAATTTTAGCACAAATCAACTGTTCGAAATAATAGAATGTGCTGCAAATAAGGGAAATAAAGCAATCACTAAATTAGCATTGTCTTTATTGCCGGAAGAAATTCAAAATAACAAATTGATCGATCAAAATCTTACGGAGATTTGCATTGAAATGATATATTCAAATAAAATTACTGTAGATCCTAGTTCAAGCAATGACAAATTAGATCCATATCAATTGATCATCTGCCATTTACCAGTGCTTCAGGAGGGATCGACCAAAGAATATGGAGTATTGTTAATACAACAAATGATTATTGCGAATGAAAGCTTTTCAACCATTCTTAAATTTTGTGAAAATTTGAAGAAAAGCAAACGAAACCCATATTCAATTGAATCATGCTTGGAATGTCTGATGGAATTGAGTGTAAAAAAAGCTCAAGAATTTCTAGAATATTTGGCCGTACATAAAAAACTTCAACCGAACCATTTTCAACCATTTTTCAATCATGCTCAAAATCAAACTGAACTGATTGATCACATAAAATTTGCATTCAAATTAAATTGTTTAGTGGATACATCAACACTTTTAAATTGTGTACTACCGAAAATGGATAAAATTCATCATCCAGCTGCCGCTGCTTATGAATTGATCACAGCTGGTCTGCAATGGCGCCATTTAAAAACGGCTATGATTACCTTCTATTTGAAAAATGAAAAATTGGATAATGCTTTTGAAATAGCCGGTATATCCAAAGTGAAAATTGACATAGCTCTTATCCAACCAGAACTATCGAAATTTATAAAAAGTAAATCGTTTCAAGTCAGCCAGAAAAAAACAGTTCAATTAATAAAAAAACTACAATCCCTTTGTAGTGATGAAGAGTATGATTTGGCTGGCAATGTGGTGTTATCACTTTGTGATAAAATCGATAAAATTGATGATTTCGCTTTAACAAAGCAAATGTTATTGGAATTTAATTGTCAAGGTGTAAAAATGTCATGCCATTCTGTCCAGGCAATAAAAGATAAAATGAAAAGTCATGCGAAATATATTTCATTTATGCCGAATTTAATTAGTGATGGACGCGTAAAAAATGCATCGCACGAAATCCAGAGATTGGAACAACAGTTGGCTGATTATAGGGCGAAAGAGAAAGCAACACGGCAACCGATAGATAATGCAATAAATTGTATGAAATCATTTTTGCTTTCAACTAACTCCAAATATTTTATACCAAATAAAAAACTAAGCGTGAAATCAATTTCATTTCAGATACATTGTTTCAACTATTGAAGGCACACATTAATTATGGAAATTTTGATGAAGCAATAAAAATTAAAGAAGAATGCGATAAAGCTGGTGTTCCTAAGTCTGCGGCCATGCAAGTTGCACTTATTGGGTTGTGGATTGCAACAAAAAATGTGGATAAAGCCCTTCAAACTCTTCAAACTTTACAGAAATTAAAAAGTTCTAAATCAAATGCACACGTTATAATCAACTTGGCAACATTTTTACTATCACAAAATCGATTGGACGATGCAAAGATAATTATGAATGATTTGTATAAGTTCAATTCATCCGAAAATTACACAACACTGGTAAATCACAATGCATCTTTTTTATTGAATGCGGCCTGCGAGTATAGCGTCCGGAATGACTGTAAGGAGAACCTTACTGAAACATTTCTCAATAGACTGTTACAAAAAGAAGTATGCATACCTTCAAATAAACTTCTGAGTATTGTGATTAAAGAGTATATAGAAAAAAAACAGATTCAAGAGGCGGTTAACAGTTTTCAGCATTTTGCCAATCAATATCGACGAGCACCGAGATGTGTTCCACTTTTAACCCATTTAATTGAGTTAACGGACAACGAACAATCCACAAAGTTTGGTGTATCGAGAGAACAAATCAAAAACAACATTAAAATAATTACGGATGTGATCATAGATTTGCATGGGATAAACAATTCAAATATTATACTCATTACAGCATTGGCTTGCGCTGGTAAAGATGACCAGCTTCGAATGTTTTTATCGCATAATGATGTTCAGTTTGATGAATCGCGTTTATTAGGTGTTTTGGAATATATGGAAACTGATTCGAAAATAAAATCAGTGATTACCATCATACAAAGTACAAAAGAATTGCAAAACACACAAATAAACAACGAACATCTCTGTGAGTCTGTATTAAATGATTTTTTTTTGAAGAATGATTATGGTTCGGCACTTGAATTTTACAAAGCAATCCAGTTGTCAGATCATGGCAATTTTCTATCGCAGCGTTTTTATAAAAAACTTGCCCAACTTTTGATAAAAAACAAACAACAACTGCCTGTTGACTTGGCAAGTGCTCTTGAATAATCATCAACGTAGACATTTTGTAAAGAATTATTGCAAATAGAATCAATTTAATAGAAAAAAAATCAAATGTTGTTTCATTTTCATAATTTGAAATTTTTTCAATTAGAACGGACTCAAGGCACAAAACGATTCCAGTAGAGCACAAAACGTACCCATTTTGTATCAAGCTTTCTATTTTGACAGCACTTTTTTTTAACGACATTTTAAGGTTAGAAGAGTTAAACTCAATCGAAGACAATAATTCTTGTTCACATCAGCTAGAAAAAAGAAGTAGAAAACAAACTTAATACGGTTCGTATTTCACATCTAAGAAAAGTAGCGAAGTACTTATTTCACGCTTGTTTGTTTCAAATCAAAATCAAATTGATTTATTTCTTTGTAGCAATGAGAATCTTCCAAATGTTATGTGCAATTAGCAGACGGCCACAAAATCCATATAAAGTACCATTGGCAAAGCCAAGACTTCCATTTCGTTTGAAGGATAAAATCCGAGGCAAGGGAGCTAAATTGGAAATGAATCAAACCGTTCAGCAAATGCAAAATTTAATTACAAAACTTGCACAAAACGATTACGATCAGCGATTCTGTGCGGATGAAATCAAATTAATGAACGAATCCGCCAGAAATTCATTTCAAGAATACGTCAAACAAAAAAAGGAAAATAGAGCCGAACATGTTAAACCTGGAAAAGATGTAAACGCAATTCAAGTCAATAAGTATTTGAAAAAATTCCCAACCCTACCACCAAATCCATATGAAGCAAAACTTAAGAAACATAGTGAACTACCATCAAATCGTCAGAAATTTATTGAAGAATAGAATGTGTATAGTTGAATAAAAATTTCATTGCCGATGGTTATATAATTTATATAGGTGATTTAAAAAAATAACACAAAGCATTTTCAATACAATTGTAATTATTAATAGTTTTTCGATTGCAAGAAATACAAACGAATTGGAACAAAATGAATATCACTACTAATAAAATGTTTTGAAAATTTTGCCGAAGCTAGTATATACTACTTCAATTGTTTTGAATTTTATTTAAGAATAAAAAATCTAATTCACATATTTTCTTACAATTGCAATTTCATTATCAAAATAAGCCATGCGTGGTTCACTTTTGCGATATTCATGAAATTCTACAACTCGAAATACACCCAAAGTCTGACGGATATCGGCATTTCGAATAATATCCCTCAACTCACGAAAATGATTATCAAGAGAGTACCATCATGGCGCATTGAATGCCACAACAAATTTCATCGGCTAATATAATTGACTTAAAAATCTATTGATATTTTTGACATTCGTATCTGGATAAATATGATATTTTTGATTTAATCTCAAATAACCGCTTAAGTCTTCTGAAGGTTATCCCACTAAACAATTGTTGGGGCAAATTTATCCAGCTGGTTGATCATTATTGTTTACTTGGACTGGAACAACATTTGCATTTTCTCTTGGTTGTCTGCGTACTGGTGGTTTTTTACTATACGGAGGTCTTCGAAGTTGTGGTGGTCTCACAAACGAATTTATCAATGTTAAATCGAAAATGAAACATAGAGCTGTAATCAATAAATTTGAGTTAATATTATTCAAAATAAATTAATACAGAAAATTGTACCTTTGTACATTATGCACCTTGCCGCAACAATGTCTCGATGCCAAACAATGGTAAATCGCAGCTCTCGATATTTATGTTCTTGTTCCGGTTTTTGTTGTTGTTGTTGATGATGATCATTGGTGTTCGCAGCATCGTGTCCCATTTGAAGTGCATTCACAGAGTTTAGCGGCCAGTTTTTCCAATAGTACATTTTGGGTGACGCTAATCGCTCTGGTTTGGATTCTTTTGGCAGATTTGCTTGATTTACTAGACCTCTGTCGATCAACTTTTTCACACAACGGTCCAACGTTTTGCGTCGTGAGCCCTTTTTTGACACAATTAGCGGCGGCAATGACATGTATTTGGCAATCTCCAGTGGTATTGGAGCATTGCGTGGACAATTCTTGCATGCTTTGAATCGGAATTTTTTCGTTTCTTTCGGGAACTTCACCATGCAACTGGCACAGTGTTGCGATGTGTAAGCTTCATCCACTCTAACGACATCTGAATGATGTAGTTTTTTAACGCTGTTTTCAAGACGTCGTGTTCCCGGGCATCGTTTGGTCTTCTTCTTACCGATTGGCGAATTGGCTGGCAAGTCCGCGTCTCCAATGGTAAACAGCGATGGCTTATTCTTTGTCAATGATTTTGCTAACCAATCGGTTTCGTGCTGTGAGTCGATGTACTTGTCCAACGATAGCCGTGCATATCGTCACCGAGCATATGCCGCCAATCCATCCTGCATCATTTTCAATCGATGATCGAGTTAGTATATCCAGCCGTTTCCGCGCGGTGATGGTATTACTAGATAGTTTTCCTCGCGATCGGACTGTTCCATTTTCGTGAATGTTGCTGTCATGCGCTTTGCTCTTTTGTCCTGAATACATTGTCGGGCACCCAATGATATTGCTTCGGTGATATTTTGATGTTTTCCTTTGATAAAACCAAAATAAAAACAATCAATACATTGAATCTAGAAAATTATGAAATTTAAATTTAAAAAGACATTATTTAATCAACTTACTTCGACACAAGTTCTTCATGTCGAATAAAATATTCCAAGCGTCGTATGGGTTTTCCTCAAAATGATTTTTGCTATACATAGAACTTCCTCCATCTTTGCCACCGAATTCTTCTGGAATCAGTTTCCATCGAGCCAATAGTGCTAACAAATCCGTATGATCGAATCTGATGTGTTTGAGTTTATTATCACATAACGGTACAACGGTGATATTGCGAATCCTTGGCGGCAGTGGTTACATCGGTTTTTCGAACAACAATGGATTTTTCTTGTGTCGCAGCCATGCGTGCACTAGCTGTTGATGTTCTGCCTTGAATTCACTAATTTCACGTTGTATTTGGATAAAAAAATAAAGTGATTCAAACCACTTTTTCTTGATGTTCAATACATCTAACCGTCAACCGAAAAATGTCAGAAAGATTCGGTTGCATTTCGAAAATTCTTGAAGCAAAGAAAAATAAATGCAATAAATGACGTATAAGAAATGTTCTTCTCCAGAATTTCAAATCAAATTACGCAAATCTCTTCTCAAATTAATTGTTTATTTTTTATTTGAGCGTGAATAAACAAATGAATCGTTAGATTTGCAATTTAAAACTTAATGTATTGGGTTGTGTTCACATTATGCTGTCAAATGAAATATTATTGGAAGTGAAAGAAACAAGTGGATCCATTCCATTGGAATTCGTGGAAACTATGCATATAATGTCCGTTCCATTTGACACGAAAATGACCACCAGAAGGGGCCAAAACGTTTCATTTTTCAACGTTAGAATGTACTAAAAACATTATTTATTTGTTTATATTTGTTAACAATAACCTCAGAAATGTTCTATGTATTTAATATATATTGCTGGCAGCTTTTTGAAAACTGATTAAAATTATGAGAATTAAACAAATGAATAAATGAACAAAAAATGATTTTATCGATCGGCTAATTGTTTTAGTTGTTTGAGTACGGTTTCCCACAATTTTTTCTTGTCACGTTCCGATTTTTTCAAAACGGAAAAGACATTCTTTTTATCTGCTTCGCGTATTTTTTCTAAAACAATAATAATGTCTTTCGGTTTCACCAAATTGTAACGATTATCGGGTTTTCCATAGTCACTTAAATAAATACTCCACTCTTCTAGGATCAAAAGATCTAATAGTTGACGCACTTCTGCAAAATAGGCTGACGCTTCATCGACTTTTAAGCCGGGCACTGGATCGGTTCCGGCAAACACTTCGCATTGCATCTGTTTAATAAAAAACAAAAAAATGAGAAAAATAACAAAATTAATTAAGTTATTGTGCATAAAAGGGAGATAAAAGCATTACCAAGTCAAGACTAATTTGTTGTAGTGCACCCGTTGATATTTGTTTGACGTCATCGCTCAGTAGCAGTTTGTAGAATGAGTTTGCAATGTGTTCACAAGCTTTTTTACACGCAACCTGTGCAACATTTGGCAGCAAATAGGAAAAACTTTGAAATGTACTTTGCAAAAAAGCAATCATATCGGAAATAAACTGAGATGCATGTCCCTTCGGATCGGGCAATAGCCAATCATAATTTTCAAGCTCTTCAAAAAATTCATCTAATTTCGAACATAATTTGGCCGAAACTTGCATCTCGGCTTCGGCTCGTGCCACTTGAAACATGGCCGATGGGGCTTGCTTAATTTCTTGCTGTGTTCCGGTCACCTTACATACAAAATCATCCAAAAATGGGCCAGCCTTCTCCAAATACTGTGTATCAATAATAATTTGCACAACTTGCATAAGCGCAAGACTTGGATTACGAAAAATGGCCGATAAACATCCGCTAAAGCTTCTCGTTAGCAAAAGATTGGCCGCTTTACGGACCATTGCTGCAATTTCGTTCGGGGACAGTGTCAATTCTTCCGAGAATTTCATGCAAGCATACATAAATTCTTTTGCTTGATGGTATACCTCCGGAACCATGGTCGAAAATGGGAATTTCTTTGGGAATGGCTGAGCCTCCAATTGCTCCGAATGGAATGGAAAACGCTCCAAAACCGCATCGTATTGCTCTTGATCATGCACTTGTAGTGGCAAATAGTCGCATTTATTTAAAATTTCCCGGAATTCGTTGACCCATCGTTGTAACAGCACCTCATTGTAATGATCTCTCATTTCAAGCAATAAATCCCAAAGCTGTGACACCGTATAACCATATGTTTTCAATGTTGTTATGCAAAGCATTATCAAATTTTTAATGCGAAGCAAAATATTTGGATCGGTGCACGATGATGAGCTCATGCTAAGTACATTTACAGCTCGTGACAACGACGATGACCATAAATCATCTAAATACGAACGATTGACCACATCACCGGCTGTATTCATCACATGATCTTCGACGATAAAAAAACCAACAATTGAATAAATATAATTTTTATACGCCTCCAAGTTGTCGTGCATTGCTTGTGGCGTTTGCAACACCAATTTCGCTTGGTCGCGCCTCTGTTTTCGATAATCTTTTTCAAAATATTCTTTGTCATTGAGAACGGTGTAAATGTGAAGGCAACGATAAATTGGTGAAAAATCAATCCAATCTTGTGCGGACATATCATCTTCGTCCACCGAATAGTCATCGTTTGAGTTCATTGTTGTTTTATATTCGTTTATAATCGAAGTTAAATCACGTTTTTGATGCTTTTTTGTGTGTCGCATTGCAACTTCACCAATTTTCGGCGAATACTTACGAATATTCTCTAAAAATTCACGAAAATCTTCTTCGGAAGATTGTTTAATTTGCTCTTTGAGCTTTGGAACGGCACTTTTCATTTGCGATGCAAATCGATACTTCTCCATTTTTGGCAAGTGTTCACTTTCTAAAACCTCAAGCGTTTTCAACGCCGGATAGTATCGCTTATCTTCGACTTGTTTCAATAGTTTTGTAAAGCATTCCAGCACCGGCAAACAACTGCTCAATGCATCGATTGTATTTGCAATGTTACTTTCAATTTTTCGTGCTCGTACCAGATCTTTTCCTTTGGCTAAAACACCTGTTGATGCTTTTCCCAATGTTCCATCCAATTGCATCACTTCTTCGTTGAGATTATTGGCTTGCGTTCGTACATGCAGTAATTCACGTATCGAATCTATGAATCCCTGATAGTATAGATTACAAATACGTTCGATATCCTTATCGTGCGAACGAATTCGGGCCTCAATTTGATCGGATAATATATCGTTTGAATCATTTTCAAGTATCGAACGAAATGTTGGACCCCAATTATCGTCAACCGCTTCAATATCTTGTATTGACGGAATATTCGCCATTTCCAAAGTAATTTTATTAATCATCCACGCACAATTTCAAAGTCAAACAAATGTTACTCGTCGTGTTTAATAAACATATATAGGAGTAATATTGCCAAAATGTCAAAATAAAAACTATCCCTATCGAGAACACGCATAGACAGGTTCAAGCACCAAAAAATATATATAAACGGAATGCCATATGTCATAACCTCGAACGTTATGAACATATAATAACAAAACAATATTTATTTTTGTTTTCATTCTACTTTGAGAGGAGGAAATTTCTGTTGCTTTTGTAAGAGAATTGAATAGCGATAAACAATGTCGGCAGATATACGGCATTTAAAAGAGTCTGCACGCGAGGATAGTTTTGAAGCCAAAATGCAAAAAATTCTCGATGATGTGGACGCTATTGACGAGAAAATAAAACGATTAGGCAAACAACGTGAAAAATTGATGATAAACTATGAAAAACTAAAAGATGCCAAAATCATGAAAGACGCGTATACCTCAATTTTGGACGAAAATTGGGAACGAGGTAAGTTAATTAAAATTCAAATAGCCAATCATATTGAATGTGCCTCTTTTGTCTATTTATTTTGACAGAAAATTTTGAATGGTCATGTCGGTTAAGAGAGACAATGAAAACTGTATTTCGTTTGGACAATTTTCGACCACAACAGCTTCAAACAATCAACTGTGTCATGTCAAAAAAGGATGTTATTATGATCGCTCCAACTGGTGGAGGAAAAAGTTTGTGCTACCAATTGCCAGCAATTCTGTCCGATGGTCTAACAGTTGTCATATCACCGCTCATATCATTAATGGAAGATCAAGTTTGGTCATTGAAAAAATATGGCGTAAACGCTGAACTGCTATCGGCTTCAACCGAAAAAAATAAAAATAGCTTGATTTTGAAACAATTGGCCGAAGGAATAGATACATGTAAGTAAAATGGTTTTTTTCAATTTTTGGTGCGAACATTAAAACAATATGCGTATTTGTAGGCAATTATAAAATTCTCTATGTAACTCCGGAACGGTTGGCCAAAAGTAAGCGTTTTATGACATCGCTACAGAAGTGTTATTTGGCAAAACGTCTACACTTGATTGCAATTGATGAAGGTAATTTAATAAGTTTTCCTTCGTATTATGTTATGTTAAGCAAATTGCATTCTTTTTCGTAGTTCATTGCATCAGTCAATTTGGAAATGATTTTCGGCCCGATTATAAATTTTTGGGCACATTAAAAACAATGTTTCCAGACGTACCATTGTTGGGTGTAACAGCGACTGCCACAACCAAAGTCATTGTCGACGTTCAAAAGATGTTGAATTTACAGCAGCCGATCATTTTGAAAGCCGAATTCAATCGACCGAATTTGTATTATCATGTATGTGATTTAGAAAAAAAAAGTCCCATTCGTTGTTTTAGACGAAAAAATAAACATAAATGTAATATTTTGTTACAGTTGATGGATAAACCAGCGGAAAAAGAGCAATGTATCGAACTGTTATATGATTTGTTGAACAAACGATTTGCCGGTCAATCGGGTATAATTTATGCATTTTCAATAGCCGACACAGAAGAAATCGCTTCCGAATTATCACAAAGGAATTTAAAAGTTCGACCATATCATGCCCAACTCACAAATGAAAGACGTACTCTGGTGCACTCGAAATGGTTGTCGGGGGAAATACAAGCGGTCGTTGCAACAGTGGCATTTGGAATGTAAGTTTGTTATTTGAAAATTCGATTCGATTCACAAATGTATTGTCTCTATGTGAAATGTCAATTTAAATTAACAGGGGCATTGATAAGCCAAATGTGCGATATGTCATTCATCATACGATGAGCAAAAGTATGGAAAATTACTATCAAGAAAGTGGGCGAGCTGGAAGGGATGGAAATAGGGCTGAATGTATTCTACTGTATCGCAGTGCTGATATTTCGAAAATCACATCAATGGTCTTTACGGAACATACCGGCCTGAGCAATGCATATAAAATGATTGAATTTGCAATTGATGGCATAAGTTGTCGACGTGACTTGATCAGTAAACATTTTATGGATGTATGGAGCAGTTCGGCTGAATGCAATAAAATGTGTGATCGATGTTATCACAAAGACAGCGTAAATCCACCAAAGATGAACATTACTGAATATTGTCTTGCCTTATACAAAATCATTGAACATGCCACCAACATGGATGTGAAATTAACCCAATTGAAATTGATTGATTCATGGTATCAAAAAGGAAAAACCAGTCTTCGTGTTAAAGATATACCGGTGCCGAATTTTGAACGATTTTATGCCGAACAAATGGTCGCCTATTTACTCATTAAAGGTTATCTAAAAGAAGATTTTCATTTTTCGGCATACACAACATTCAGTTACATAAAAATGGGTAACAAAATCGCACAACAAGATGATCGCATTATATTTTATGGTGCACGTGTATTGTTGTTGCCCGAAGTGCATACGAATGGTCAAATTGCATCGAAATCCAATGAATATGCAACTGACTCCGACACACCTCTGTCATCGAGAAAGGAGAAAAAAATTAGGTCTCAAAGATCGAAAGAGGCTAGCCTTAGCGAAGCCAGCGTGGTGGATACACCGACCGCCAAAAGGTTAAAGTCATCAAAACAACATGGTAACGGTAATGCTAGTTCAACAACCGATGACTATGTGTATGTAACTGATTCCGATGCAGCTCCACCAATAAAAAAAGTGAAAAAGGAGAAATCACGAAAAACGGATGACGGTGGTGTCAGTGAGACTAGTTTCATGGATGCATCAATCAGCAGTTCAAAAAGCGATTCAAAGCGAAAAAAGAAAAGCAAACACGAAAAGAAAAGGCATTCGGACGTGAACGTATCGCCATCGGACAAGGCTGACGATTGTGTCATTTTAGTGGAAGGCAGTGATATAATCGAAATTGATTAAATTGAATAAAGGCTTATTACTGATTTTTTTAAAATTAAATATGTCTATGAATTATACACAACAGCTGACGAGTGTGTTGATATTTTCCATAATGAATAAATTTAAAAAGCAATCAAATATTTCCTTGATTTCTGTTACGGTACTTGTATACAATACACACATGTGGGTCCAAATGTCAATAACGTTTTAAATGTATGGTTATGTTTGTACTATTTTTAATCAGTATTTTGACGACGACTGTTTAGTGTTGATTACAATGTTGCATGGTTCAAAGGACATTTGACGATTCGAAAGAGAAAATAATCACAAAAAAAACTGTTCGGAGCAACGGGTTACTGACAAAAATTGGCTTTATTTCGGCTGAATTATTCGAATCACTCAAAATGCAAAACTTCATAAGGAATATAACAAATTCTCTGTTTAAAAAGCATTTATTACTAACAAATACCGTCAGTTCTGGTGTTTTGATGTCAATAGGCGATGGCCTTTCACAGTACGTTGAACAAAAAATCACACTCAAGCATAACAAAGAGCAATGGAAATTCAAATTGGATTGGTCAAGAAATGGGAAAATGTTTGTGGTGGGTGCTTCATCAGGCCCTTTGCATCATTACTTTTACGGATGGCTTGACGCAAAATACATTGGATTCACGTTGAAGGTCACAATGATTAAAATTCTCTACGATCAACTTGTGATGGCGCCGCTATGTATTGCATTGTTTTTCTATTCAGCCGGCTGGATGTATAAACAAAGCTTCAATGATTCGACGAATGAGTTGAAATCAAAATTTTCTACCGTTTATATAACAGATTGGATAGTTTGGCCGTTCGCACAATTTGTGAATTTTCATTATTTATCCACTGACTATCGAGTGATTTACGTAAATTTTATAACAATGTTATACAATGTATTTTTATCATATGTTAAACATACCGATTCCGAAAAATGGAAATATTGGAAATTTTAATTAATGTATAGTTCTCTGTGTTTTTTTTTTGCCAAATCATTGTTATTAATTTTATTAATATTAACAGGAAAAAGATCAAAATAAAATGAAATTGCATTCGAATGTTTACATGGTTTTTTTCTTACTTTTCGGTGAATTGCCGGCAATCGGTAGCCAATTTTTGTGTTGCTCTACCTTACTTTGCTGACTTGAAAGAAATCTGGAAAATCAGCGGTAAAAAGGTTTGAAGAAAGGTTTGATTTTATTTTCTATTTAAAATATACAAATAAAATCTGTTTCAAACTGATTGTGCAGATGCATTTTTAAATTGTTTACAATGAATACCGAATAGTGTTACCTGATAGCAGATAGGAATGTTATTGTTACTTTTAACTTTCACATCATCGTTTTATCAAAGAGAAAATTATGGATGGTATTTTTTGGATATGTTTGAGAAAAATAAAAATCTATAAAAAAACGTTTGGACAAAAGTTGGCACAACTCAGTATGTGAACGATGCATCTGGTCAGACTCATCATTTTGGTGACACAGACACACACACACACAATCCCGACAGTCAACAGAACAGAACCGAATGTAAACTATTCAATTTTGATTATGTTTTCATTTTTATTGTTTACAATAACCGACTGAAAAAAATGATTACACTTATTTTTAAATGATCAAGAAGTGGCCAACAAACAGCAACAACTACTATTATGCGTTTTAAGAAGCCAATAGTTTATATATTTTCCGTATTCATATTATTCTTAATTTTGATGTACATAAAAAATAGACACATAGATTCAAATGCCGAAACAACAAGAAACTTACAAGTGGCCGTATCGAATACGTAAGTGTGAAATGGAATTTGAATTTTCAGTCTTTAAATCGTTAAATTATGTGTACATTTAATTTTCAGAAGTAACGCAGTGCCAAATCAAAATGAAATCGTTATAGTTGTTGTATCATGTGGCATGAGACAGCAAGAAACATTAAATCTCTTGAAATCAGCTATAATTTTTGGATTAGAGCATCGCCTGAGATTTGTTGTAATAACCGAAGATAATTTAATGGCTGGTTTCCGTGAAAAGCTTGAAGACTGGTCAAATATTGTTAAAAATAAGTTTACATACGAAGTTCTTCCATTAACATTCCCCAAAGAGAACGAGGGTGAATGGCGAAATCTATTTAAACCGTGTGCAGCACAAAGACTTTTTCTACCTGTATGCATTTAAACCGAACTCACATTCCAATGGTTTTCTAATTGTTTTTTTGTCTCATTTTGTTTATTTTTAGGCAATTTTGACCGACATTGATTCCGTGTTATATTTAGATACAGACACATTATTTATATCACCTGTTCATGATGTATGGAAATTTTTCCAAGAGTTTAATTCATCCCAAATTGCAGCACTGTCGCCGGAACATGAAGATGAAAATGTGGGCTGGTATAATCGTTTCTCAAGGCATCCATATTATGGAAAACTGGGCGTCAATTCTGGTGTAATGCTTATGAATTTAACACGAATGAGAGAATTCAAATGGAATTTATACATGTTACCATTGTACAAAGAGTATAAATTGAAAATTACATGGGTATGTGCTATTGATTCTTTATTTGTTGTTTTATTCTGATTATTTTCTTTTGTGACTCATCTTCTAGGGCGATCAGGATCTGATAAATATTTTATTCGCATACTATCCAGATAAACTTCATATATTTGAATGCCAATTTAACTATCGCCCGGATCATTGTATGTATATGAGTGTTTGTGATGCACCGCATGGCATACAAATTGTACATGGAAATCGTGGATATTTTCATTCCGAAAAACAACCAGTATTTAGTACCATTTATCGTTTGATCGAAGAATATCAACTTGGTACGGATATCTATCGAAATATTGTAGCTCCACTTGAATCAGCCTTCGCATCTGAGGACATTCGACACACAAGCTGCGGCAAAATTACGGACAAATTTTTGAAAATTCTCAAACAAACATTCCAAGAAAATACACTTTATTATGATGAAGATTCCAGTTGACCAATGTACATGTGTATGACACATTCATGTGGTCGCAAATATTTAAGCAGCGCTTTTGTAGTCCAATTGTAAAAATGCAATTTTTGGCTAATTTATATGAATAGTTTTTGGTAGAGTCGATGTGAATTAAATGTGTTTTACACATTTGGTGAGACGAAAGAATATTTATGAATCGGATTTGAGTCGAAGTGTGAGCATGAGCATTTATATGATTAAACGATTTGAGGTGTCAACGAACGTTCATGCTCGGATTCGAGTTCGAGTTCGTTCATTCGGCTCATCATCTTCTAGATTTATATAGTTTTTTAACTGAATTTGTGCATGTGTTCAAATGGTTGACCTATTATTATTGATACAAAAACAAATTCATAAATTACTGGACATAGGATAGTCTATACCATACTTATATTTAATTTTATAATAATAGGTGGAAAATAAAAATGGAAATTAATTGATTTATTTCACTTTTTGGTCATTTAGCTTTAAGGTGTTGACGAGGGTTCAGATTATCCCCCTCTAAAAAAATTCGGAACCCTAGATTCTTTCGATTTGCTAGGTTTTTGCCGAGAGTTAAGGCCCTATTTGCTAGACGCATGGGTCTTGAGCCACACTCCCATTGCAGCATTTCATTGAAGCTCGAATTATAATGGGAAAATCGAATAAGGGATGTTCTATTCCATTCGCTTTGTGATCTCTACTATTTTTTGATCAAAATAATGTGTGTGTCCCCGCTTTCATAATTTGCGTTTCATAAAGTGAAAATCCACAAAAATTTCACATCATGGCATTAAAAATGTCAAATTGACCCCAATTTCTTTTCATTCATCATCATTGAACTAAGCTGTTAAAAATTGAGTCTGTACAATAAAAATTTTTTTTATTGTACTGACACTACGTCAGTAATGTGGGCTATATGCATATGCACTGCTTCGTTCTGCTATCCATGGTAGAATACGTACTTGTAAGCAAAGCCCGCGGCATTCGACATACGGTGTATAAGAATGACCACTAGTATATGCATTCGAAATCAATATATACTCAGAAACAGAAATTCAAGAGTAGGCGAACTCTTTCTGTAATTTCTGTAAAATGGAAAATAGCCGAGCATTTCTGTAAAATGGAAAATAGCCGAGACACACATATTTCGGTTTGTGCTTATGCTTTTAAGCACACATTTTATTTTAGAAAGAAAACATGATATGTATTTTTTATTTGTTTGTTTGTATTTTGTTCATCTTTGGCAAAAAAAAAAATCATATCATTATAATAGTTTGTCCATTATGTACCTTATGATATTTGTACATTGTTCAATAAATTAAATTGAATACAGAAAAAGATGAATTTGTGAAATGTGAAAAAATGCATAAAAATATCGATCATTAAATAAATTAATGATATTGGCATTCAATGTCGTCGATGAATATCTCAGCAGTCGTCAGAAATGTGCGCTATATTCGGTTTATGTTCCGGATGCACAACATGTCCATTTTCATGGGATACAAAATTTGTATAATAACTATATCCGAACAGAGATCGCAGCCTGTACAAAAGAGATAAAAGAAAAATAGAAAAAGAGACGAAAAGAACAAAAACAAAAAGTGAGATATGTGCAACAATTGTTTTGTTTTTACATTTTTCAAATCCTTTTACTGTCTAATTTCAGCAAGCCACAATAATATTTATTCTTAAAGTACACAAATTCAATGTTATATTTAGCAAATATTTATATAGTTCACAATTTTCTATCTTATTGTCGAAATGTATATAGTCATTGATGATCGATTTGAATATCGGTGTATGTTATGATATATTTTTGATTTCACGACGGTTTTTTTACAGCAAAAAAAGTATAAATGGAAACGGAAACAAAGTAATTAAAATTTACTACGTCCAAATTTAAGATGAGGTGTATAAAATGAATTTTAATGTAAATTAAATGCCAAAAAGCGGTGTATGAGGAAACTATAAATGTACTACACTAAAAGGAATGGTTAGATTACACACATAAATCATTTGATCAGTTATATGAATTTCTAAATTGCCCATTTCTATGATAAAAATGTTTTCGGGCACAAAGAATAAGTTTAAACACATATATATTTATAATAATAATAAATTAATAGCGAATCAAAATAATAAGGAAAAATTATTTGCTAACAATAAATAAGGTGATAAGTGATAATTGAGTGCGTGAATTAAGCAATCAGTTGATAAATGACACATAGTTTGTGAATATAATATAATTTTCCACTAACCGATTACATAGTTCTTGTCGAACGGTCGCAGTAAATTTATTCACTAAACATAATGTGGTGGTGCCCACAAAAATTACATTGTACAATAGAACAATTTGAAAATTTCCAAGCCATTCGATTTCACCGAAGTCGCCCAGCAAATCGAAGTTTGTGATTCCTATTGTCAGAGAAAAATTAAAAGAAGAAAAAAAAAACAACAATTTAAAATCAAATTGATTAGTGTGAATGGTATGAATTAGTACCCAAAATTCTCGATAAAAGTGGAAGCGCTGAACTAAGTATCAATACCAATGCTCCATTTACGATAAGCTGTGCTAGTGAAGTCTTATGACGTTGCGGACGAATGCTTTGCATAAATGGCATTGTATATAGTCCAACGGTGGATGTGGCGCATAAATAAAAGATGATGAACACTTCGATTGCAGCTCCGATTGGTCCAACTTTTGATAATGATGTTATACCTAATGTGAATTGCTGTAAAATTGAATTTATTTAATTACCATCCACATATAACGCTTACATTTAATTTCATTCAAATGATTTAAATTATTCGTATAATTACCCGTGTACTAAGCGGTAATGCTTTGATTCCAATCAATAGCTCTAGCATATTTTGGACTACAACTAAAACAGTCAAACCCGTCAAAAATAATAGCATTAACATGGCCAATGGATAAATTAAATTTCGCTGAATGGCTGTCGAACTTCGAAGTTTATCTAATTCTTTTCGCTCCAATCTAACTTCATGTAGTCTCTCCTGTAGCTGCTCACATTTTAAATTATGCGTAATATCGGTTGTGCTTTTATCGTTAGTTTCATTTCTTGGATAATTCTTAGAACAAATACTATTTAATGCCTTTAAATTTCGATGACGTAATAATGAATCCGTTAATGAACCAAATGCTTTTGGAATGGAATTAATATCACAATATTTGGATGGCTGATTTGATGAAGTGTTGGCATTATTAATGGTTAATTTTGATGATGATATTGTCGGATTATATTGTAGCTTTTCAATTTTACGTAAAACGCTGGCCTCTTCCAAATACGATGCATGATATTCCTCGTTTACGTCACGCATTAAATGTGGCTTCACCAGCACCTGACCAACAACTCCAAATAAACGAATAAAACCCAATGGCGTACATACTACAAATTACGACAAATTATCGGTGAAATACGAAAACATTTTTATTATAAAATTTATTTTCAGCACTTTTAAATTGTCATACGTACCTAGTAGCAAAAGTACACCAAGAAATGAAACACATGAATATAAAAATGGTAGATGATATGAGCCCAAATCTATAAAAAAAACGTGACGAAATTGAGTTTATAAAAATGAAAAGATTTTGTGAAAAACATAGAGAATTTTTCTCCAAACCAATAAAATCTGAGGAGGAGCCGCCAAAGTTGGATATTCTTTTTAACTTTTTAATATTTTGCCCCTCATTGAGGAGATGCTCTGCTCTTCAGTGCTCCCCTAGCTCCAAAGAATGCTTCGCCTCACATTTATTGCTCAGAGAGAAAAATAATCACAAGTTACTTACTTAACAGTGTTTGCAGACCCCTTTTCTCTGGATATATAACCGCTGATACTACGTAAGTTATGCCCAAAACGACAACGGCTAATAACGAGAAAACTGTAAACGTTTCATATGCACGTGAAATAATTCCCTTTCTATGGCCGAAGAATCCAGATGATTCCGCAAACAGATAGGAAAATGGAAGCAACACAAATAATGATAAATTTGAGAAAAGAAACACGTGATTCCACAATCCTGAATATGACAAGGTGACATTGAATGGAATGAAAAAGATAGAATTTTTTTTACATTACGTAGATATAAACGGTTATGGATTTTTACAGGAAATAAGATATATGTAATTACCATGGACCAGCGAACTATTCAACCACTTAACATAGTAACTGAGCGGGTATAGAAGTAGCACTTCATTGCTAGCAATCGATATGGGTAATAGTAATGCTGCGCATATGGCAACCGCTAATGAAAATGTGCATAGCCATAAACTGAAAATGAAAGAAATTGATCGAATTCATGAAGAGGTGATCACCAAAATGATGATGAGCAATTAATAAAAAATTATAAACTTAAAAACCATTGATTGATTGAACCAGGGATGTTAAATATCTATCTAATGATAATTTATAAAATAACCCACCTTATTTTGTATACTAAAACCTCGTCCTCATCAGTCGAACATAAATCTTCTCGATCGCGACGACGGAATCGACCGATCAGTGCAAATGAACCAACGTACAATAAAATGAAAAGCAATAGGAAAATCTAAAATGAACAAAGAAAACAAAAATCAATTCGATTAAACAGATCCAAAGCCAAACAAATTGAATGTCATGAAAGGCGATTTCATTTATGGTGGCTATCAGTTACAGCAACTGAATCAAGAATTGAGTAAATATTGATTTGTCCGTAATCGGTGCGAAATGCTTTCAATTGAATGTGACAACAACTACGAGTTGAGAATTGACTTAATTTTTTGAGGTCAAGTCCATCGTATTACACTTTTATCATTTGATTTCATACGCACATACATCGACCATATACGGTTTATTCATTTATTTTGGCTCTATTTCTTAAAAACCAAAGCAATTTCATTCAATAAATATGAAAAAAAGATAAAAAAAAATAAGCCAAACGTACGATACACATAATACATTTAGTATATGTTTGCCCGAGAATGAAAGCGAGACTTCTATTCACAACTTATTGAAATGTAACACCAATACAAAATATGCTGACAGTCAGCACTTTTTGTATGACGGTGTTACATTTTAATAAGTTGTGGATAGAAGTCTCGTTTTTATTCTCGGACATTCATATATATATCTTCTTTTTTTTCTTGATTGCATTGAACCAATCATAAGGTATCAAAAGAGCATTTCTATTTTCGGCACCATTTTCAAAAAATAAAATTATTTACGCCACGTTAGTGTCACCAAAGAACACCTTTGTTGAATATTTATTATGAATGAATTTCAGTTGGAATTTCGTTTCGAACAGAAAATAAATAAATAATTAAAACCTCATTACTTACAATTTGTTCGCGTACTGTGTTATGGAACATTTGTTCTCTGATATCTGTAACTTCATCATCTTCATCTAGACTAATCTCCATCGTGGACTGTTTAAATGAAATCTTATTTTATGAGAGTGTTTGTGGTGATGCAAAATGAACTGGCTGTTCTGAAGTACACACAATAAACGGCTGTTTATGGTCGAGCACAGTAAAATGTATGAATATGGTATCGGTTTCACGGTTCACTTTCTTTGCTGCGCCTTAAATATATTGCATAGAGGATCAAATTGTTTAACTGAATGAAAGTATAGAGTGCTTTGCTTTGTTTTGCAGTGGATGTTTTATTCGTCATATCTGCATTCTTTGCAAGTCTATTATTATTTATTCGTCTATGAATGCTTATTTGTTTACTTCATGCTATATTGAAGCATATATAGCGAATAAAAAGAAAACACTACCGATAAACAATCAAACACAACGATCGCATTTTATTTATTGCACGAACGACACTTTTTTCGATTTAAATAATTGTCTTTCTGTTCATTTGTTTCGTTCTGATTTTCTTTTGTCATACATTTCCAAACAAATGGCATTGTATTGACGTTAAGAAATGTAAACATGCATGATCTGTGTTCGAGAAGAGGCAACAAACGAACAGAAATAAACGATACAATGCAGGTGTGTGGATTGCAACAACGCTGCGATTTTTGTTCTGTTTTCAAACTAAATATGTAAATGCAATTATTTCTGTTATTCAATTTATATATAAAAAAAAATATATCTTCTTCGATACAGTTTGAGTTAAATGATTTATTCTGATTTTTTAAAAATTGCAATGGTTCACGTTGTGTTTGTATAGAACGATTTTGATATATATCTCAATATATTAATCGATGTGATTCTAAAATTTCCAACTCAAAATCTAAAAAAAAATTCAACTTATTTTTACCGAATTTTTTTTCTCCAACGACATACTATTTATCACAATCACTGAACATTTCTATTTATTTAGTGCGATTGTTTTAATTTCAAAAACTACATTCGAACGAATATTTTCTTTTTATTTACATCTCGTGTATAATATACATAATTCAGGTTCTTGACTCTTTCATATCACTTGCTGCTGAACGTCACGTATATTGATGCGTTTAACATTTGAAAAGAAGTAAACCGATTAATGAATATCATTCACTTCAGAATATTTTCGTATGATTTCGAATTTTCTGTTTCACATTTATCTTATACTCTTTGCATCTCGTTTCTTTTTTTGACTTATTTGGAATGCGAACACATTGTTTTCAAAAATGTATGTGTTAAGATGATGTGTATCACTTTTACTGGGAGCACACACAAGTGTGAAAATGTTTTTTAGTATGTTGTTTATGAAGTAGCGTTATTCGATTTTATTGTCGTTCTTCGAACCACTGTGTACGTTGTTTGTTCGTTAATGTGTGTGCGTCCGTTCCGTCAGTTGAACAGCTGCCTACGGGCGAATTGACATACCATTTAAACTGTACGACATTTCGAAGTAAACATGCACATTTCGCCGCTGTCAGTACGTTCATTAAACTACAACATTTTATTTATTTTGCGACGAATTCAGTGGCGATTTGAATTTTTGGCCAGTTTTTTGAATTGATTTTGGAGACTGGATTTAACGTTCTCCTAAATGCATGAAACCATGGCAATAATGTGATTGTATAATCGATAATTTACATGAAAAACAGCGTATTTTAAGTTTTGATTTCGATAGATTTAACTTATCAAAATATACCAATTTGATATTAAGGATATCGATTTTAAATTTAAAAAAAGAAGAGAAATGGCAGAAACTCAGAAAATGATAAAACGCCAACAAACTCAAGCACATTTGGGTAGTTTACAATCATTCCATAATTTTTTTTATTAATATTTTTCCATTTAATTGATTTATTGATAATTCACATTTTCGAATGGAAGTTGCAAACGATTTTAATGATTTGGTCGCCTTACCATATTCAAAAGAACATATGCTCCTAAAAACATAAATTCTGTAATTTCGTTTTCATTTCCAATATACTTGGTTATTTAATTCTTTTCTTTCGTGATTTTTTCGTCTAGGTAAAGATGAAGAGGATTTTCGACAATTTGAAAATAGAATTGATGAAGTTCATCATTTGCTAAAAGGAATGAATAATTGTGACAGAAAACTCTCGACATCTGCATTTGATATTACCAAAGAGTAAGTGCATCATTTCAATATGATTTTCATTCATTTGTACATTTGCTGTGAACTTGAAAAAAATTCTATCTTGTTTCATTTTCCATTTTGCTCACCATCAAGATTCACGAATAAATTATCGACAGATGATTTTGTTGTTAAAATAACCGAAAATCGTACAGTTATAAATAAGGAAGAAAAACCGGTATTTGATATGAATTCTGAATTTCATTACATGTTATTTATGCATTCCAATATCTGATCGTTATTTTGATTTGAGTGCAGGAAATGAATCGATTGACATTTATGCAGGAAGTAGAACGAGACGCCAAACGTCGTACAGAAGAACGAAAGCAACGTGAATCAGTTGGTCAAAACTTACGAAAGTACAATTTATAATTAATTTGAAAATTTTTAAATTTTTTTCGCATGAGAATTCCACTTTTTCACAGAATCGGTAATGAAGCCTTTCGAAATGGTGAATTCGAAAAAGCTATTAGCATGTACTCAAAAGCCATTGATCACGTAAAGGATAGCCCCGTTCTTTATAATAATCGAGCACTTACTTATATTCGGTTTGTAAATAAAAAAAATACCATATTATTTCCATTTAAAATTTATTTCTTACCTCTTTCAACACAATTCAGATTGGGACTGTACAAAAAAGCGATTATTGATTGTGATTTTGTGTTGCAAAAATTGGATGAAAAGAATGTACGTTCTTGGTTGTATCGTGCCAAAGGCTACTATCTATTGGGCGAAAAAAGAGACTTCGAAAAAAGTGTGAACGAAGCAAAAAAGAATAATCCCAAAAATTTGGAATTTATTGAAAAAACGATTGCGAATATTTTGGAAAATAAATAATGGACACCTTTTCAGAAACTTCATTGGAAAATGCATGTACTTTTTAAAAAAAATGAATGAAGTCTCGTCCACATTATGGAATAAGCCAACTTAATTGTGAACCAAACATGGAAATACCACAGTTTGACATATACACAGAAATTTGATTGAAAGATGTCATTCAAACAAAAATAAAGTGAAGAATTCATTGTTAAATTAAATGTAAAATAAGAGACTTTTTTTAATATTTTCAATATTATTAGATGGCATAGTTAAATTTGTAGTTTTGACAAAAAAAATTGCAAATCGATTTGGATGAAATTAAAAATCATTTTACAATGGATTTGTTGACACCAAAAATAGAAATTTTTATTGAGGATCATGATGAATCAATGATTGATGATAAAATATACGATAAAAACAATTCAAGCAGCGGGCTGACAACGAAAATTACCATCGATAAGGATATTAAAGAAGAAATCCAAGCGTCACCGGTCAAATACAAAAAAAAACGTCAACAATGCCCAAAATGTTCAGTGACATATTCAAAGCGTGAATATTTGTCGAAACACATGAAAACGGAACACAACATAGTTTTGGAAAAGAAAAGACCTGGCCGGGTATCACAATTTCGACAAAACAATGAGGATGATCCACGTCCATACAAATGTGATTAAAACAAAAATCAATTTTGATTGTTTATTTTATACGGAATTGTATTATATTTTAGGTGATCAATGTGTTAAAGAATATACAAAATCAAAGCATTTGGCAAGACATAGGCGTACACATTTAGAAAAGAAACGTTGCAATGAATGCAATGAGATTTGCAGTAATTATGCCGATCATATGCTGAAAAAGCATGGTATCGATTTACCACGACCGTTTTCATGTAAATCATTTTAATTTCATTTCTAAATATTTTATATTTATTTAACATTATTATGGTATTTTAGGTGATATATGTCATAAAACCTATCGAACAAAAACTCACATTCAATCACATATGCGAATACATCGAACAGCTAGTCGTGTATTTACGTGCACCGTATGCCCGAAGAGTTTTTGTTTTGCAACCGATTTGAGGAAGCACATGAAATCACATTCACAAAATCGTTCGGTAATTTGTGATATTTGCGGTGATGCATTCAAATCAGCCGATACATTGAAGTGTCACATGAGGCGACATACAGGGGAAAGACCATATAAATGGTAATTTAGATTCAAATATAGAAAATAATTTTAATGATTATCATTATGATCATTTAGTTCACAGTGTCCGCGGGCCTTCAGCACGAGCAATAGTTTAGATATACACTTTCGTACGCACACCGGAGAAAAACCCTTTCAATGTGAATTTTGTCCAAAACGATTCAGTGATTCATCGACGTTGCTCGTACACAAAAGACTACACACAAATGAAAATCCCTACATTTGCCATTTGTGTGGCCGTCGTACAAAGCAAGCGAGTAATTTACGATCCCACTATAAACACTTCCATAAGAATAATGATATATCGGGACGTCAAATTCGATTAAATTCCCGAATATTTAATCGCTTTTCGCAAAACGAAATTGATGCTCAATTACAAGAATCGGGTGATTTGATGGCTTTATTGGAGCGCGGCATGCTGGAATTTGATCGCGAAGAGAAAGAAAAAAATAGCCAAATTGAAAAGGCATTACAGGTGATGAGTGCGCCGCAAGTCAGAAATGGTATGATCAATTTATTGGCACTCAATAAGTATAATTAGTTTTTAATAACTATTTTCTTGTCATTCTTCAGCGGAAAATAAACTTAGTAAAACTGAAGTCAATTCAATTGACCATGTTGAAGTAAAATATGAAGAGATTAGATCTGAAGTACAATCGTCAATCACTGAACAATGTTCAGCTGACATATCAAATGTGATTCCTGATTTAAAACGACAAACGGCTTCGCCGACAATTTTAAATGACAATTATTCTGAAGACATAAAATATGAATATGATTCCGTTGAAATTTTAACGAACAAAGATATGTTGAATATTGAAAGTGTTTTTATAGAGGATTCAGAATGTCCACAACCGTCAACTGAAGACTTTTTCATCGATGATATTAAAAAAGAGACCAATTTAAATGACGATTACATCGATGATCAATGGGTGCTTGATAGTTATACCAACCATCCGTCACCATTACCATTCGAAATTATCAAGTATGAATCATTCTGTGGCAAAGACGAACCGAAAACAGAAATAATATCATCAACAAGTGATAGCATTAAGAATAAGCAAACTAAAATTAAACAGAAAAAGGGTGAAAAGGAGAAACACAAAACACCACCGAAAGTCAGTGCTGCAAAGACAGAAATGGAAAAATGTATACCATGCAATCGAAAATTTCATGATATAGCCAAACATTGGGTGCAATTTCATTCAGGTAAATTATGAAACGGAACACGAATCACTGAATTATTTTAATTCTCTTTTTTGTCATTTTTCATTAGGTATTGAGCGACCGTATCAATGTTTCATTTGTCATCGGTATTATAAACGATTCGAGCATCTGAAGTATCATATGAGAACCCATGGTGATGAACGAAATTACGTGTGTCACATATGTGGCAATGCATTCTTTTTAAGCAATGAATTGAGAAAGCATATTATGAATCGACATCAAGTTGAACGACCCTTTAAATGTACATTTCAACAATGTAAAAAATGCTTTAAAAATCATCATGCGCTCAATGTACACATGAGAACGCACACCGGCGTTAAACCACATCAGTGTTCTATTTGTTCGGAAGCATTTGCCGCACTGAGTTCGTTGAAGATCCATGAGAGAAAACATACGGGTGAAAAGGTCAGCAGAGATAATGAATGATTTGAATTTTTTTTTTATTGAATAAAATAAGAACAAAGACCATTTGTTCATTAATTTCTCTTTATCCATTAGCCATATAAGTGCAAATTTTGTAAAAAAGCATTCGCCGATTGTTCAACACATAAGCAACATGTCCGAATCCACACCGGTGATAAGCCGTATCAGTGCAGTTTATGTGATCGACGTACGGCTCAAGCGGGAAATTTGAAATCACACTATCGACACTATCATAAAATAATTGTAAAAAGTGTCAGCATGTATGTGGATAATTCACCATCGGTGTCAATTGCTCAAGAAATTCAACGTAATCCATATGAAAGGAGTCATGTCACCCCGTATACATTGACCGATCCAACTCGACAAATCGAAGAATAATCTTTTTATATGTTTATCATATCAATTGTTTTAAAGACAACATTTAAATGGTAAATTATGTTGTGAGATTGCTGCATGACAGTAATTTAATTTATAAATTCACTTGAGCAAATAATAAATATGTCAAGTAACTAAACGAAATGCTAAAGTTTTTCTAATTTATTTCATCTATTGAATGCTAAATTTCATGTGGTCTTTATGTTTCTTCCATTAAAGAACTCAATTTGATAAATTTGATGAACAAACAACTGCATGTTTAACATGTTTCGATGAAAAACTACATTTTTGTTGATGTGTTGTCTAAATTTAAATTTGGCTGTAAATAAAAACACTGTATTAAAGATCTAATTTAATTTTCGGACATACAATTCTTCCGATAGGGATATGCAATTCCAACATTGACACATGCATGTATGTGAAGAAGTCAAAGAATAACAAATACACTGTTTGACAAGTGCAGCTGATCCCTAAATAAAAAAGTACTTTTGGGTGTTTTAATGAAAATCTCTTGAATTTATTATTTTTGTTTGAATTTACAATTATTTAAATATGTCAAAATATCGAAGAGAGGTAAGTTATATAATCATTCAAATCAAGGTTCTCAAATGTATGTGGTGAGAATATTTTGTGTCGTTTTAGGTTTTAGCCATATTTAAAAAATTGCATGTAACCCGCCTCAAATTATTCCAAGGCGATGAACCGAACCTGGGAAAAGCCCGTGCAAAAATCAATCTTGAGTTTAAAAACCATAAAGTTGTGGAAAGCGAAGCTGAAATTCCCGAATTGATTGAAGTCGCCAAACAAGTGGAACATTTTTACCGAACACAAGTGGTCCAAGCCGTTGAAGTAGACGGAGAACGTAAACGTATGTTTAAACAATTGAATAATGAATGGGTAATTGAATTATTTAAATATAATCAATTTACAGGATTAATTATCAGAGAAGAAACGGAAAAATTAGATAATAAAGAATTTGACGAGAACGCAAAACTGACGACCCGACGAGGTACAAAACAATGTTGCAACAAAAAACCCGAATAGAATAGTTGTAAAATCAATTCTAATTTATTATTGTTATTATTTTCAATTTGAATGAAAATGTTTTTAAAACAAAAACATTTATTAGTCAAGATATTAGAGACAAAAATATTAAATTGTTTTTCATTTTTTTGATCAATTAAATGACTAAAATGAAAGTATAAAAAAGTGCATAGGATTTTTTCAAATTTTAAACATACTTAATAGAATGGTAAAAAAATGTCAATCCAATTATTAGGAGCATAGTCAAATCTCTATTTTTTTTATTCTGGTGCAGCAATCTGCAATTCTAGATAGTTATCATCTTTGACACTTAATGTTTATTTGGCATGTCTTCTTGAAGAGTACGCACAGACCATTTTTACTACATGCAGTCACGATTATGGGTCGGAGTCATATTTGAATCGATGTGATCTTAGGTACCTTGGAAATCGTCATGGGCAATTGGGGTGGCATGAGGCCACCTGAGACTTCCCTGTATCCACCGCATACCAATTTTTGGACGGCTTGTTCGATATGAAATTCAGTCGATAGTTTTCCTTTCAATGTTTTCTATAACCACACGTCTCCCTATTGAATCGCCAACTTCAGAAGCCATCAACTATAGATGTCAACTTTAAAGGTTTATATTTTTGTGAAAATAATTCCTCATGACTTTCAACGGTATTTAGTGCAATTTCTTTAAGATCAGCTCCCTTATCTGGGATAAAGCAGGAATTATTAGTGCATTGTGCAAGGTATTGGATATAAGAAACTAAAAAATAATCCGCGACTTTCCAAACGTTTTGCTCGTTCACGAAAATGGATGAATTTTTTAGATACCCATGTGGAATACTATTCTGGTGTAAAAAATGTATTGCCTCAACAATGCATGCAATGGCATTGTCAGCTGCCTCATATCTCCACCCGGTAGTATTTCTGATTTGTCTGGCACTTGTTGACTTTTTGATTGCATCCCGAATAATATAAATGTTTACCCAATGTAGATCCTCAATGAAAATTGAACTTTTACATCTGCTGCATTTCGACTCATGCATTCATTTCTATTTCCGGATCGGCATTGCAATTTGCATTTTGGTCTTAATAAAATTCTCTTCAATTTGATATGAATTATGTGCAATGGTTCGCTAGTGTCTCTGTAAGTTCCTGAATATGTGACTACGCCATTTTTTAAATGTTCTATGACACAAATGAAATCAATTGAAAGAAAAAAAAACTTATTAAAATTAAGTGACCAATATTAGCTTATGATTTAAATCCATTTTTGTTACAGAACTATTTTTATATCAACGTTTACAATTTTACAAATCCACCTATAGTAGCGACATCTAGTGCATTTATTATGTATTATACACGATTTTCAATTGTTTCTCTCTAACTGAAAGGAACCTAATAAAGTTCTGTAAATCAATCAACAAATCGTTCAGTTTTTTGTTTTGGTTTTGTTGAAATTTTATATGAATTTTGCGGTCATTAAGGATCCTTTATTCGAATCAAATAGTTACATATTCACCCATGAAAGAAGACTACCGAAGACTACTTTCAGTATGCTATTATATTGTCGCAAAAATGCGCCCATTGAAATAACAGCTGACAGATGAATCAAAACTGAATGATATACTGTGTTTATAGTAAACAATAACAAATGACTCCAAGATGTAGAATAGCATGTTACAAAAAGATCATCCGTATACTCATTTAAGTCTCAACTGTTCGGTGAAGAATCGAAAATTCGTGTTTTTTTGTGTTCGTCCGTGAATTTGGCGAACAAGATCGAACGTGAACAACAAATTCAAAATTCGCATGTTCAAAAACGAACATAATCAAAAACAACATAAAAATATTTTCTGGTACAACAATTCCTGAATTTCACTTTCCAATTATTGTACGGGGAAAGAATGAGGAAATAAGAAGAAATCAAAAAAATGAGTCGATGATTTCATTCATTCAAAATGCTATTAACATTAATGCCGGTCCTTTTCGCATCAGAAGTCTAATTTATTCAAACAATTATCTCTTTGTTTATGAATGTTTTTTTACAAATTTACAACAACAACCGACCTTCGTGAGACTAAATCGTGAAATGGTATGAGTGTTAAAGTTGCATTTCGTCTATGATATAGATGAACACCAATACAATCTTAAATCGATCATTCTGGAATAAGAATGCAATTTTGAAATGTGCAATGCCATCTATGGCATGATAGAAAGTGACATTCTGGGATATAGTCTAAATTATAAATATCTTTGCTCATTTTTTTGTTTTTTTATTTTAATTTTTTTCGTATATTTGAAACATATTTAAACGATGGATTTGTGATAATAATAAATAATTTGATTAAAAGTCGAATGTTATGATATCTTCTAGTTATACTATAATTAACATTTCGAACTTTTTCCCTGTTCACCAACATAATTTAATCAAATCTAATTAATTAATCGAAAAAAAAAATTAATGTTATTTCATTTATTACTTTCGAAACCGACAATCAGATTTCAAAGCACTTGACATTACTACAGCAGTGTTGACCGATGTTTGAACACATTGTACAACATTAAGTTAGAATCCATAATGACAGAAAATTAGTTTCAAATCGAGACGCCGTTTACAAATAATCGTGTGGTCGAACAAAGAAAGAATGAGCAATTGTGCATCATTACCAAAAGTTAATGGAACCAAATCACTGACCTTTGAAACAATACTCCGATAATATATATTGTTAAAATAACATTTTACACACTCATTATATGCGTTGTTAATTGAACGATTTGATTTTTGGTAATAGTTGTTCCAATTTAGATTTGTAAAGTTTAAAATAAAAGTGATAACAACAAACCAATTCTCAAAGATGAGTTTTTTCGGTAAAATATTTGGAAAAAAGGAAGAGGTGCCAAGCACAACCGAAGCAATTCAAAATCTGCTTGAAACTGAGAAAATACTCATTAAAAAGCAGGAACATCTTGAACATAAAATTGAACAAGAACTCCAAACTGCCAAGAAGCAAAGTGTTAACAAAAACAAAAGAGGTATGACCGTCATCGTTTCGAACGGTGAATTTTCACAAAGTGAACCACATTCATTGACAAGAAATAATTTCTTAAATTGTTGTCAAATACTGTGAGACGATATCAATTTCATGATGATTCATTGCGTTTCACCAGAAATCAGTTAACCTATTTTAATAACAACAAGTGTAATTTTCAACAATATTTTGTTGTTTTTTTTTTCTTCATAAAGCTGCCATCCAAGCATTGAAGAAAAAGAAGAGATTCGAGAAGCAACTTCAACAAATCGATGGAACTCTGTCAACACTTGAAATGCAACGTGAAGCCCTGGAGGGTGCCAATACAAATACAGCCGTTTTGACCAATATGAAGAATGCTGCTGACGCACTCAAAGCAGCACATAAACACATGTATGACACACTCGATCAGATTTGCATAATACCAATTAAAATATTATTGATAACATGTTCATGTTTTAACAGGGATGTCGATAAAGTACACGACATGATGGATGACATTGCCGAACAACAAGATCTGGCCAGAGAAATATCCGAAGCAATTTCAACTCCGATGGGTGGTAAATTTACCAAGACAATTTATTTCATTCCTTTGTGCACGATTGATTTGTACGTTTTTTTTTTCAAAATTCTTTCTAGGGTATGATATCGATGATGATGAATTGGAAAAGGAGCTCGAAGAGCTGGAACAAGAAGAATTGGATAAGGAATTGTTGAATGTTGATAAAACCGCACACGAATTACCAGACGTGCCAAGCGGTGACATCAAGCAACCGAATGTAGCAGACCGAGAAACGAAAAAAGGTAATAATGTAGATAATACAATAGTCAAGACTGTAAAATTATGACAAATTCTTTATTTGTTTTCAGTTGCCGCAAAATCTGTTGAAGAAGAAGATGACGATATGAAAATGCTGTCAGCATGGGCGAGCTAGTCTCAATTATAAATACAAGAAATAACGAACCTCATCAAATAATGGCTATAAAACCTAATATAAAATCGAAAATAAAATTCAATCAAAAGAAATTAAATATATCGAAAATAATATTTTGTGAAATGCCGTAATTTTTTATTCAAAAACTGAAGTTTTCAAGTAAAATCACTTGAGATGAAACTAACTTAATGGCGTCTTTTATACTCATATTCATCGTAATCGCGATGCCGTTTTCTGTCGCTTCTGTCACGATCGTAGTCGCGATCTCTTTTTCTGTCATCTCGACGGTTCGTTTCGTATCTAGATCGGTCATAGTCCCTATCGCGCGAATATTTATCGCTATATTTATCTGCATATTTCTCACTTTTACGCTCTTTTTCCTCATATTTTCTGTCATAACGACGATCAGAATCTCGTCGATCCGACTCACGGCGGTCCGATTCCTTTCGCTCATCTCTGCGATCCGATTCTCGTTTGCTGTGTTTTTTCTTTGAGTCATACAATTCTTCTCTGATTTCATCTTCCGGATTTGGTTCATCATCACTGCCTTCTTCATCCAAATCATCGTCCAATGCTGATACTTTGGGTTCCAGTTCATTATTTTCCTCTAAAATGTGTCGTTTCTGTACACGCGGCAATATTATATCGCACACCCGATCATCCCGCAACAATTGATCAATGAATTCATCCATGTGAATGATTTCATAGTTGCCGGCCCGATTTTGATGCCGTAATTTACGATTATCGTTGTACAATGGTTCCAAATATTTGTAACAATCAACGGATGTGCCAGTGAGTCGTAAATAGAATGCGCCCAATGCACGAACATATTTGAATTCTTCATTTTTAATGAACTCAACAACGATATCTTTCTCCGGTTGAATTTGTAACATTTTCAGTGTCAAACATAGAAATGGTGTGGGCCGAATGTTACTACCAAAAACACCGCCTGTATATCGAATTTCCATTGCTGTAAAATAAAAATCATTCATATAAAAATGAGTTACATTCAATTGCGGGTGAGTTTATCGTTAAATATATTAAATCAGTTACCTTTATCGACAAGCAATTCCGCTGTTAACGCAAAACATTGTTCTTTCCAGAATTTTGAATCGTATATACGGGATCGAATTATTTTCTCAATTAAATACTGTGGATTGGTGCCATGAATTGAAATCGCATCTTTCACTGTACGATTTGCCATTTTAGAAGCCTTTTAGTTCCAGTACTTTTGCTTAATATTTAAAATAATCTCCTGAAACTATTTTTTTTTGCGTTTATACGTTTACGTTCCCATTTGCTTCTGTCAATGTTTTATTGAGGTTCGGTGTGAGCATAAGCGTTTGACATTTCGAACCGTATTGCCCGATGATGTTACTGTTTGTGTTTGCACACAAATACAAGTATGCAGTAATAAACAACTACGACAATATCAACTCAGTGATATAGATTGTCAATTGATGACAAAACCTTTGCTATTGGAGTTATGACGCATACTTAAAAAATAGAAAACGAAATAAAGGAGTAATACATACTATTTGCAAAAACCTTTGTCATTGAATCATATTTTCATTTGGCTTAGTTTTTTTTTATTAATTCTTTTTTATTCAATTCACGTAAAACATATTCAAAAAAATTGCGATTTAAGTTTGTGTTGTGAACGACAAAAAAGAATTGTGCAAATAGTTGGAAGTGAAAGAAAATAGATTTTAACAATAGAAATAATTTGCGTGTGATTTGTGTTGTGGGTGCAAGAACAAAAACAACGTCAACATGAGTTTCTTTGCTAAAATGTTTGGTGGTAAAAAGGAGACCACAATGACCACCGGTGAAGCCATTCAGAATTTACGCGAAACAGAAAATATGCTGATTAAAAAGCAGGAATTTTTAGAGAAGAAAATCGAACAAGAGATAGAAACAGCAAAGAAACATGGAACCAAAAACAAAAGAGGTACCTGTAGTTGATTGCACGTCACAACAAACATTCCAAAAAATGCTAATTAGTTTGATGAAATTGATCCAATTGCTTTCTAATGTTTGAATAGGTCGATTTTTTAAAAATTGAAACAGAGTTGCTATAGCGATTAATTTGTGCTATCTGTAAAAATCAAGTTTACCTTTTAACCGAGACATCTAGTATTGTATGAAATCGGGTATACAAATAAAAAATCGTAAGAAAAATCGCACGTCTAACGACTGACAAAACTGTAGGAACTCTGAATATTTTTTTTAACTAAAAAATTCGACTCGTATGATGTAATATAAATGATCGATGAATGTGAAATTTCAAGGTTAAATCTATTGTTTTTTTTTGTTTAATTCTCACGCAGCTGCCATTCAAGCATTGAAGCGGAAGAAGAGATTCGAGAAGTCACTTCAACAAATCGATGGAACTCTTTCAACGATCGAAATGCAACGTGAAGCCCTTGAGGGAGCCAACACAAATACAGCCGTTTTGACCAATATGAAGAGTGCTGCCGATGCACTCAAAGCAGCACATCAACACATGTACGAATACTATTGAATTGATAAAATTTAGATAAGCTCAACTAATTATTTGATATTTTAACAGGGATGTCGACCAAGTACACGATATGATGGACGATATTGCCGAACAACAGGACGTGGCTAAAGAAATTTCGGATGCTATTTCCAATCCAGTTGCTTTCGGTAAGTGTTCAATGATCGCCAATTTTTATTTTTTTCCACATTTTTTTCTTTTTCTTGAACAAATATATTTCTTCGCTTGAAAAGGCCAAGACGTCGACGAAGACGAATTGGAGAAGGAACTTGAAGAACTAGAGCAAGAAGAATTGGACAAAGATCTGTTGGGCGTTGGTACAAGTACACATGAACTACCAGAAGTGCCTACTGGCGATATTAAAGAACCAGCTGCGGCTAGCAAAGAAAAGAAAAAGGGTAAAATATCTTGAAAAATCTTGAAATTTCCATAAATTAATATAATATTACTTATTTCTATTGAATTCAGTTCCAGCTAAACCAGCTGAAGACGATGAAGATATGAAATTGCTTATGTCATGGGCTAACTAAACTGCCAGCAGCACACATTTTAATATCTACCCGATTCAATATCGACCGCAACTATAAAATATGTATTTTATCGGTTTTTTGCTTTTGTAAAAATTTAAAATTATAACAAAACCAATTTATTTACAATAAAGTATGGTCAATAGAAGAAAAAAATTCCAATGATTTAACACGATTGTAATGCAAATCTTATACCTACATATTCAATGCTATAAGTAATCTTGTAAAACAAATCAACATTTTTTTAAAAAAACAAATAAATTACTTTAAAATGTTAAGTACAATTGGGGCATATTTAAATCAATAATGTAACGCTTTAATACGGTTTTTATAAACTATATATAGTCATTATGATCACTGTTTAAATATAGTATTTTATCAATCCGCATAATAAATAACGATGAAGACCAAATGGCTTGAAAACACTTTAACACTATTCCGTGTGATTTACTCCGGTATGTTGTCACATCTGAATTCGTAGCGTACACTTATAACTCAAATCAAAATCGGCAGCTAAAACACGGTGTATAACCAGAACTATAACGGAATTGACCATTTCCCAATTGTTCGACTAAATGTTGACCTCGGTATCCGTATCGACGTTCAAAACGTTCTCGTAAATGGTCAACTGTTGGTGAAAATACCATTGGAATTGTTTGTCCATCGTGGCCCGTATATCCAAACAGCAATCTCTGAACGAAGGCACCCACTAATAATCACAACGCCAAATCACACAATTTAAAATAAAATCGCATCATTGAGAGAAACGGAAATTCTTACCCGCTTTTGCACGTTGAATGTGACTGCTAAAGGAGGGCGGCGGTGGTTTTATTTGTTTCAATTCACCGTTTGGTAGTTTTTGTTGGTAGCGAAAGAATTGGAAATCGTTTAAATTCAAATTAGACAGATCCAATGTGGCTGAACAATTTCCGAAAGTCATCATTAGTATGAAAAATGTTCCAAAAATGCACTAAAAAATTGATTGATTATAAAAACGTTAGAAAACCCTTATTTCACTGAACGTTCACGAAGTGTTTTACCTTCCAATTTTCTTCGGAATATCTCATGTCGATGTTACAATTTCACTCTCAATGGAATTAAAAAAAAAAAAAAAAACAAAAAAAAACGATGTTTATCCACTGACAATGGTCGACTGTTTGTATGTCGTCTTCATTCCAATATGCGTCCATCGTTTTAAGTTCACTATATGAAATCAATTGTGAGCCTAATTGAAATTCTATCGGCGTTTAATTCGATGAGCATTAAACAGTCATGCAACAATCACAATAGTGTGACAATAATTTCCCTATTTTTTTTCTTCATATTGAATTCACATATTCAATCATATCTTTTTCACTCTCTTCAAATGCATAACCATTTATTTCGACACGAATCGTTTGAATTGTACTCGTATGTGATGCGCATGAAAATCCAAAAATTGAAATTATTTTCATTTTATGGCGTCATAAATTTCATTTAAATAATTTTGCGTAAAACTAATGTTCGTTAGCACAAATTTACTTTCTGTTTTTTTTTTATTTCTTTTGCGGCTTTACGTATCATTCTGAGCCGAGCTAACGTTTCAAATCTTTTTGAATGGTCTTCGTTGTGATGATAACTACGAAGTTCCAGTTAGAACGGCTGGTATTGTTGTGAGCAACAAGCAAACGTAGTAACGACTGTCACTCACAGAGGGCCACGATAATTGTGTCTATTTATTTGTTTGGTCGGTCAAATCATACAGCTGTATAGACGCAAGTAAATGATTATCAGGCATTATCATAATAAAATCGTAAATGTAAGTGAAATTGTTTCAATTTAGAAAATATATTGTATTGCATGTAGTTTTAAATTCAAAAAATCAATTCTCAGTTGGAATTTTCACTAAAATATAAGAAAAAATGAAAGCGTAACATATTTTTAGGTTAAATTGATCGAAGTGAATGCCTGCAAATATTAATAGAAAAATATCATTTCGGTTCATTTTGTTTTAAATAGAAAGATGTCACGTAAAGAAGCATTGTCGCAGTTCATCAATCAAATCCATGGTCGTCCTGTAGTGGTCAAATTGAACAGCGGTGTCGATTACCGAGGTAAGAATAAGAACCTTAGAATAAAAGAAGAACATTCTCAAAGCCAGTGTGACACTGTTCATGTACATTTTTATGTCATTTTATTGGCAATTAATGTTTAGATTCAGTTTTGTCAATACAATGTCGCGATTACTCCAATTTAATGTCAAACTAAACTGATTTATTTTTCAGGTGTTTTGGCATGTCTTGATGGTTACATGAACATTGCATTGGATCAAACGGAAGAATACGCAAATGGTCAATTGAAAAACAAATACGGCGATGCATTCATCCGGGGAAACAATGTATTGTATATTTCAACGCAGAAGAGACGAGTGTAATGAATGTATTCGAATCAAACCAATTCAATGAAACACTAACACCGACAACAACAAAATATCAAAACCAACAAAAAAAGCACAACGTTTTGTCGAGCAGTTCCCTGATTACTTAACATTACGGTTGATTCAAAGACTTCATTCCATTTTGTAAAACTAGTTTTTTTTTTCTTTCTTTGAATAAAATACATACAAATTAAGCACACATTTTAAAAAGAAATAAAAGTGAAACATTTGTCATGATGAAAAAAAAATTGGAAACGAATGGATAAATTAAAAAATAAACAAACATAAGAAAATCTTATATAAGCAATTTGCATCTTAATTGCGCTAATGAATGCCTTCTAATGGTGAATAGCTCCTGTATTGATAAAGTTCTGGTCCACCATATCCATAGAGTAGTTTACCTCGGCCGTTCTCATCATAGTATGGATAACGATATTTTGGTCTAATTGTGTTAATTCGAATGTCAGCATATACATGCAAAACACGCAACATATAAAAATGCAAAAAAAATAATAATAATTTGATCAATATTTGTTAATATTTCACGCCTTTTTCACGTATTTGAATTGACACTCACCGTTCAAAGTATTGAAAATTGGGTGCTCGAGGTTGAACCGATGCCACTATCGTTTGAAGACCAAACATGCACAAAATCTAAAGATGAAACAAATTGAGTTTTCATTAAAAAGGTTTATTTTATAATTCTATTCCATTCAAATTTCATCACTTACGGCAAAAGCAACTAAAAATTTTTTCAACATTTTTTTTTCTCTATATGTTTACTAATTTATACACTAAACTTTCGTTCGAGAAATTTCGTTACAAATTTATTCCAACTCAACGGTTTTGGTTTGTTTTTTAAATGTTTGATGTTTACGTGATCACAATGAACGCCAAACTGAACAATCGAATTGAATATGAATTTTTCCAAACTTGAAGGTGAAAAAGTAATTCAAAAAAAAACCACAAACATACACGCACACTGGCAAATCGAGACAAAATGATCAAGCAGAGGGAGAAAGAAGAAAATGGAAAGAGAGAGAAAGAGTGAGAAACGACCAAATACACTGAAAATGTTTTTCACAATCTCTGGCTATTATTGTTATTACGCTGGTGAAATAACCTTTACCAAAAGATATAACGTAATGATATTCGAGTGTTGTTTGAAATACAACGTATTATACGTGCCAGATTTATCGTTCGCACAGTTTGTTGCGGTTACAATGACTATATGCGTTGTGCTTATGGCTGGAGTTGAGCTTCTTGGATCTCTCGCATACAATGAAAGAAAATAAAAAAGTGAAAGTGCTTCTTTCGATTTCATAACTGTTTCTTGTGTATGCGATTATGTGTGAGGTAGAAAGAGATGAAATCGTCGTTTGTCTATGCATGACGGAAATACCGAAATAAAACACAATTCCAATAAATGATGCACACACGTATGCGAGTGTATTTGTCATTGATCACTTTGGATCGCTTACCAACCAATCTTCTCCGTCTTTTTCTCTTTTACAGCGGAAGTTTTTGCTTTCTCTATCACACCATTGGATACACTTCTTTGACGTGTTATCGTTTTGTTTAGGTTTTTGCTTTTCTCGAACCGTAAAACATCACAAATACACTAAACATGCGTATGCAAGAGTAAGTCTTTCGTTCGGCATTTTGAATATAGCTCACCAAATATGTAATCTCTACTACTTTTGGCTTTATGTTTTTAATTTGGACATTTTTCCCAAGGTTAATGAAGCAGCATGACACTTTTTCTTCTCTAAGACTCTGTCTTTTTTGGTATATTTCTGTATTTTTTAAAAATAAAATAATATTATCCATGAACATTTGCATTTGATAAAATGTTGGATTATCCAATGGCTTGTAACGGGTCAGTTGTATAGTCTTTGTGCCATTGATTTGTTTTTTTTTTATTAGCTTGCTTGTAATGAAGTTTGCAACATAAAAAATAATCCAACGTAAAACCTACTCTTGAAAATTGCCAGTTGTGTTTTACAACATCAACGGTCGTGTGTTCAATTTTGCTGTTTTCGTTGCATGGCAAATTCATTCGTTTGTCTCATTCGTTGAGTTAGTTTCGTTAATCAACGTATGTGGTTCGATTTCGTGATCATTTTTTTCGGACTTCAGTGAACAATAAGTGTGAACTAGTAGTTAATTCAATTAAATTAGTATTCACAACAATATCGGCATCATTTTATTTCCTATATTTATCGATACGACGAAAAAAAAGAGCAAAATTAAAAAAGAAATGACGACAACAAAGAAAATTGTTTCAATCGTAAGCTAACACCAAAATCGAAATTGCATAATCGATTTTCGTCAATGTGGAATATTAAACAGTAATGGTCGTGTTTATTTTTGCAGTTTATTGTGGTGACCGGTCTGGTTTTGTTTAAATCAGTTGCCACCGAAGATCCCGTCTCATTAATACTTCGATTAATTCAAAATAATTTAGTTGGCGCACCAGTTGTGCATCAAGTGACCGAATGGGAATTTGATCCAGATGTGGCGATACAGCGGCGAGAACTATTCCAAAAGGTGAATGGCTTTCGGGGTGAAAAATTGATTGAACGCATCGGCTTAGGCACAGACGGTTTACATAATGAACGTTTGGCCATTCAACGTGAACGTGACGAAGGTCTACTAGGTGGTACCATACATAAAATCAAACATGGCATCAATAATGTCGAATATTAATTTTTAAATTTTGTAAACAAACAAAAAAGTATATGTAAAAATCAGAGTATTCTTCTAAGAAATAAACTATTAAAAAAATGGATATGTAAAAATATATTGGCTTTGACAGTTTAAATACCAGTTTTTTTTTATACTGATTTGAAATTTCAGTGGACAAGTGATGCAATTCAAACAATCGAGTGAACGATTCATAATCCAAATATAAATTGTGATTATATGAGTGATCGTATTTGAAATGGCATGTATGCAAACACAATTTTCGATGGTGACATTCCCCATTTCAAATTGTACACACCCAAAAATGATATCGACCAATTCATCATATTGAATTGTACATAATGTATTTCGTAACGGAAATCAAAGCGAATATCTGTTTTATTTGATGAAATGAAATTTCAACAGAAAAAAAAGACATAAATTATCATATCAAAATAATCGTAATCAATTTCTTCAATAAAAATGCACTCGCTCATTTTGATCGCACCACACACAAATAGATGGCGATTATTTGTGAAAAAGGGCAAAGCAACGTAATTGTGTGCTGATGCAAAAACGTCCAGGCTAAGTCATGCACACCTCATTACTTTATAACGAGAATTGAAATCAAAATATATAAATAAAAGAGGTAAAAAAACATTGTTCGGTATACACATACCAGAAGTCACAACCATTTATTCGCTCGATTCCATCCAGTCAGCTAACCAGCGAATCAACCAACCATTGAAAATACATGTAAATATTGAGCAGCAGTTGAAAAAAAAAAAAAAAAAAAACAATTTGTAGGAAGTCGCTCAAAAGAGAGAAGGCAACAAACAAAACGCATGGAATAAACGCGCACGTGAGACGAAAGAAGAGCCGAACACTGCACCAGCATCACTATGTTCAGCGCACACACTCACAATGTTCGGTTGGTATCTGCAACAACTTTGAAAAAGCTATCTTTATTGAATTTGGTTGTGTTTACTTTGGGTGAACCCGCTGCTGATTTAAAGTAAAACCAAGTTTAATGAAATTCTATACTTCAGTGTCGTATTTTATTAAAAATTTGCTAAAGTCAATCCGCATTTATTTATTTTGTTCCTTTTCCATTTCTCTCGTTCTCTCCTTTTGGTTGGCTTTCATGTGCTCACTCGCCTCTTTCTGCTACTTTATTTTTTTACTGTGCTCTCTACGGTGGCTGGGATTTTGTTATGGTTGCCATTCGATATAAATGCTTGAGCATTTGCAATTGAATGCAATGGTTGGATATTTTTTCTGCTCCATCGTCGGTCGCACGCTTAACGCTCGTCACACGTACAGACACCATTATTCCACCTTACAAATCAAATGGAAAAAATAAGCAGAGAAAAAAAAAGCATCATTCAGGCACATTTTGCCGCTCTTGTTTTCTAGGCGCATTGATACTATTTCGTTTACATTGAAATCATTAATACTACGTATTTCGTCTTCGTTATTTTGTTCTGTTGCTCTCTGTCTATGAACTCTTCGGTGTCATCTCCTTTCGTGCTGTACTTGTTTGTTAGCTCAATCGCAACGAATACAGTTTTTCTCGGTTCGATTTTTGCTGCGCTTGAACATTGAACATTGAATTTAATACCCCAACGTGTAGGGAGTGAAAGAGAAAGGTATGAGTTGAAAGACAAACATTTTGTTTATTTTGGCTTTTTTTTTACGTCGATCGTCGCTTTTATAACCGCATCTCGTGCACTCTTTCTCACTGTTCATTCCATTTGTCGTTGATTATGGTGGATTTTTGTCTTGTATATTTTATGCGGGGCATTTGTGTGTCTTGGTGTTGGCAACGGTATATGAGCATGTATTTGTGTGTGAATCGGTGTCCATTTACTCTTTACCATCTCCAAAAGCGCTACCAAACATTTATGAAAAGGTTAAGCGGATTTCAAAATAAGTGGAATATTGACGAGAGTGATGTTACAATTTAAAAGCAATAGAATACTTAATTGATTTTATTCAACAGTAGCATAAGTTTTTTTTTGCCGCAGTTCATATGTAACGTATATTTTTGTTCTTAAGCCCATACCGTCGCATCGGCATACAATTTTTAATTAAGTTTAGGCAACTTCTTCGTTTGAGGTGTTTAATACCCATATAATCAACAAATGCGTAGCTGCTGTTCGAAGAAATATCGAATGAACACTTCAGAATCGATCTGCTCTTCAGGCAGAGGTGAAAAAAGAGAAACCACACCGCAAAAGAATCAAATAAACTATTTCATTATGCTGAAATCAAGTTAATTACCTTCCACTTGCAGTTGAATCGTCTCGAGAGAATAATAAACGTTCGTGTTTGTGTGTGTGTGTGTGCATGAGATAATTTATCGGAAATGTTTATTCATTTGAAATTTCAATTGAATCGATTGTTTGAATGCATGATAAAAGAATCTTCATTTCGCATCGGAAGCTCACAATTCCCGATTCTTTCCCTTTTTCTTTTCTTTCTTTTCCATTTCTTTTTGCTCGACTCATTCTTTTTGTCTATTCTGTATTGAAGTTAAATCCATTGTTGCGTCGCAATCGAATAATATCGTTCAATTATATGAAAAATATATGATACAATAAAATAGTGTGACCAAGCCCAGCGCTTTCAGCGTCATCGTTGGCAGTAAAAAAAACTGTCGCAAAATATGGAAAAAGAAGCAACTGTGAACAAAGCTTCAAAAGAAAGCCAACAATCCTGAAAGACAGTAATTAACTCTTTTTACTTTTCTCTCTCTCTCTCTTACTTTTCGTTAAATTTGCGACAAAAACCATGCAATTGATTCAGCAAATCTACATATAAAATGGTCTGTATTCATTCAGCTTTAATTTCGCCACTTATCATCCTCAATTTAGTTGTTTGGTCGGGAAATAAATGAAAGGAATTAAAACAATTATATAAATAAAATGTAAAAAGTGACTTTGACATTTTCGTTCATATTTATCGCTTGTCACTAACTGATACATATTATCTCTCTCTCTCTCTCTCTCTCTCTCTCTCTATCGCTTGCAAACCTTTTTAACATATACGTCGTGGTTCATGAAGCATAATAAAGACGAAATGAAAAATATGAATATCATCTATTACGCTGATAATTTTTTTTCCAATTTATTTTTTTAATCCTTTGTCGTTTTGTTTGTGTCGACAGTTTTTGGGGACATACACTCAGCGACAATTCTCTTGTCGGGATGTCGCTGTTCATCATATACATAATTTGAATAGAAAAATCGGTAGCATTTATATTTTGTTACTGTTGCGAATGTAACATACTCTTTGGTGGTTCAATTAAAATTTTCCATTAAATGGATGAAAAGACGCACAAACGTAGAAGAAGCAAAAATCACAATAGACATCCGAAACTCGAACCGTATTTGATGTGGAACATACACACCCACACACACAAAGCATACAAAACAATCTTTGATGATTGTGATAATTGTTAATGATTATCCACACAGAGAGACAAACACTCACCCATACACACACACACACATGTCTTTTGAACGGAGTTCCGTGTCTTGTAGAAGAGATTTGGATAAGTTGGAATCTCCTTCTTCCCATTTGAATTGAACATTTTCATGTGTTCTTGATAGAAAAAATGTCAATTACGTTTCAAAACTCATTTGATGACAAATGTTTTCTTTTGTGTTCAAATTTTGAATAATCAAATGCGATTCAGCACAAATAGTTTAGTGAATGAAAGTCTTTGGTCGCTTTTGTACCAACTATGACATGGACGGAATTCACTTCAAATTATAATATGCAAATTGGGATTTTTTTTCTCGTCGAATAAATAATCCACGTTTGATGCGAGTAATAGATTACATAATTGCCATTTCATACGAGTCTTCTGCATGAAAAGAGCAACACAAACATTTTATCCGTAAATGATGAAATGTGAAACGAAGACAAACCATAAAAAAACGTTGCAAAAAAATATTGAAATTTTTTGGTTGATTGGGAACGATGAAACATTTTGCAACATTTACCATTTTATTGCAATCAATCGTATAAAAAAAAGTATCTCCCATCTATTTTTGTTGTGCGATGAATGAAATTCGATGTGCCCGAAAAAAAAAAATCTCGAATCATTCGATACAAACAATTCTAATTTTCTACAGTAAAAATTTCATTTCGCGAATTTTTAATAACCACAAACAAAAAACGCGGCACAGAGAAACGAACCGAAAAAAAGCTTACTTTATATTTTCGGAATGAATACGCGCTTTTCAGGAGCGCACATTGATAAGAACATGCTGCAGACTGATAAAAAAATGAATGCACTCTCCACTTTTTTCGCTCTCTTTCTCACACACTCTCCCGTTTATTTCGTTATGCACAAAAAGTAAACAACAATTTTTAGGATATTTGATGTTCAACGGAAGATGCAAATCAATTTTCCATTCGCTTCACGTTCGCATCATATTCGTATTTATTCTCTCTATGAGTGTTTATCATTGAAAAATATGATGCACGATTTTCTCTCTATCTCTCTCACTCTACATCAATTGCTTCTGTATTCAAAAGCTATAAATTTGGAAAATATATTACGATTTAATGATGATCTAACTGAAATGGGCGAATAAAAGACAGCAAAAACAACGAATATGTATTTATATTTTGATATAAGACTTTTTATTCAACAAAAGTTTTCACAACAAGTGCAACGCAGTTTTTTCACTGTCAACTATCATGAAACCACATCATTTTTTTTTATTTTGCCACCTTTAACTGTAATCATCGGTTTGAGGACGACAATTTTGATGCTTAAAAACCGCGATCCGATTTCAGTATGCATTTTTTTTCGAAATTCTATTTTTTTCAACTCCGTAATAAAATTGTGCCGCTGTTGTTGATTAAAATGAGCATTTAATTTGAAATGTATTTATTAACAACAACAAAAAATGTAATAAAAAAAATTGCTTCACATTTTTATTGACTAAGTAAGGTATGAAAAAAGTGGTATATTAAAAAAAAAAAAAAAGATTTTCATATCAAAACAGAGAAAAACTGATTTACCCTTTGATACATTTAGATGTAAAAACCACACACATGCATACACTCGCTCATACTAATTGTCCACTGAATTTCATATGAAGTAAACGATATGACCGTATT